GGGGGATGGATGCTTACAATAGCATTACGGGAAACATTGTTTCCATTGTGTATACAAACCGGTCAATCTGGCTAGCAACAGAGGTTGCACTCTGCGCCGCCGACTGTGACGAATATGTAATCGCCCGCGATACCCCAATCAGCGCCAATGTGGCCAGACGAATCTCCGTGCTTCTTAACAGATAGCTGAACAATCCCGATTTGGAAAACACATCCTGCGACGCTCTATGCGCCTGGGCAAATTTCCGAAGGAGGAAGAAGGAACTTAGACATTCAATGACTGCTATTAGGGAGAAGTATCCGATATGAAGGTGATCGATGGTCGATTGGAGGCTCAGGGACGGGTCTAGGATGGACTTCACTCTTGTGGCTGCAATGAAACACCTCACAACTGTTGCGGCGACGACAAACACCCAGAAAAGAGACATAAAGATGATGCGGTGGCGATCTTGTAGTACACGGATGAGGATGAGGTAGCTGTAGAACGTCAAGCCGACTTCTTGGACCTGTTATAGCGCAAGTAAGTATATATCCCTTTTCCTTTGGGAAACAATAGACCTTACCAGCCATGTCATGTCTGCAAATGCGGACGCTACCGCAGTCGGCGTCCTAGAGTAATCGGCATAGAAAGCATAGTAACACAGCCCGTTCGCAATCGCGCCCGCCGCCGAAACAATGACCGGATGAAGCGATATTTGCGATAGATTGGTGATGCCGATGACCGTCAGGCCGAACAATACATTCGCTATGCCGATGCTGCTGAGGATGGCCCAGCTGTGTTCGAAATATGTCGGAAGCGTTGAGGCCGACATTGTCGGGGTGTGATAGTTGTTGTATCTAGTGTAAGAGAGTCGTCACATATTATACATGTATAATCCTTGAATTAAAGATGCGACATATATGTACTCGTTGCACGTTTTTGGAGTAAAAGTCCTTGAAACGCATACAGTGCGGCAAAACAGCCATTAAAAGATACGAACCCCAAGATTCCCTCTATCCGGGGGGGACGCATAGCGGCAAATGGAAAGTCCCGCACACTATAGAAGTTACCAAGAATCGTTGGCTCTGGGGTGACTGAGACAGTGGAAAAGGCAAAAAGTCCAGCAAGAGCCAATGGTCGGACTACGCGAGTTTGCCAAGTTCCAAGGTTTTCTGGGATACTGCACCAATGAGGGAGAGAAAGTGTTGGCTCGAGGAGGCAGCGCATAGACACCCAGAACGTCCATTAGCCTGACTCGCGAATTACATGCGCTGCTACGAGCTTTCTCAAACTCAATATATGCTCTAGCTCGATATAGACGCTGGAAGTGCCACTCAGAAGGATTTCCTAGTCCGGGGACTCCACAGCTGAACTTTGGATGTCCGTGACCTTTTCAGCACTAGCCAGATCACCGGAAGCATGTTGTGGAGATTATCGCATGCTCATACCAGTAATTCTAGCTGGGCCAGATTACCATCGCTATCATTGATGGAGGATAGTAAGATCTACACGTTTATGATGTCGATAGATGAGCCATTTTATACTCCATCAAAATCGGCTCCTTTTCCCCTTGTACTCCTGATCTAAGTTTCGAGTCCGAGCTGAAGACTGGCTAGACTCCTACTTAGCCCGATGAAAAAGTTTAACACCATGCAACTTTCATAGCACTGAGTTTCGGACCCTGTTGCATGATTTTACTCCTGAGTCCGATCAGAGACAATCGATTAGAGCGACGATATTGCGTGGATAATTAAATCAGCCCAAGATTAATTGTTCGTCTGCTTGCTAAGTGCCAGTGGTGGACATTTCTTTTTTTCCCCCGCCTTTGCTGGTTTGGGAAAATGGAAAAGTGGAGATCGCAATCTCTTTATTCCGGGGTACTATGCGCTAGTCTCACATAATAGACATCGTGTTTGTTGCATGAAATTCGATATTTAGACACCTTCTCTTACTGTTCTCTCTACTAAATTAAATCTAATTTCAATGATGCGCATTTGAAATCTAAATTGTAAGTATGGGAATGGAAAAGTGTAATATAGCTCGAGGCACTATGGTTCAAAAGTGTACATACTATATACAGCTAGCGGGTAGCCGATGCAATTCAACCGGGAATAATTACACCGAGCGAAGTCTACAGGATTCAGACCAGGGAATCGTAAGCCGATTTGAAAAATTCTCCTAGATTTAATAACCTGATAGACTCTATCAACCAGAGATTAAGCTAGCCCACTCAGGATCCTCAGAATATTCGACACCCCTCGCCATCAACCTCATCAGTGGTTCCAGCAGCACCGACCTCCGCGCGAACGCAATAACATTGACTAACAACCTTTTTGGTTTATTCACTAACTTCAAGCTGAAGTTTGAACGACTCCAGGGGTCTCCTCCACATACCTACAGCATAGACGTACATTGGCTTCGATACCGGCGTGTATCTCCCGGTATTCCAGTTACCAGAACCCTTGTGTTCCCAGCTGATGGATCCATTGAGCCGCCTTCGTCTACGCTCCTGCGCATACACGCCGCGATTGGACGGATTCTGCATTTGAGCAGCACCAATTTCTACATTAGTCGCGTTGTAAAGGATGTACATGACATGTACTATCATAGGTAAGTGTCCGGCGATAGATCTGCTCGTGTCGATGATTTTGTCAAGTAGAAGCTTGGTAGGGCAGTGATACCCCTTTATTAAAAGTCGTTTACATCTAAAGAAGGAGACATACGAAAAGGAAGTGTATTGACCGACGTTTACAATCAAATCGAAATCTATGATAAAAGGTGCACCGTCAAGTATTAATCACAATTTATTGACACACTCCCACAGAAGAGAACTACTCCGCCAATATCATCAATGGTCGTCATTTGTGCAGAATGGCGAAGGATTGAAAAGAGATACAAACGAAAAGGAAAGAAAAATAAGTACAGTCGCATTCAAAAAAGCAGAAAAAAAAAAAAGAGGCAAAACATATTTTCCGATAAGATCTCATGACAATTCAATTCTGGAAGCATTTGAGAATGGCGAATGGGGGTATGTATGGGGAAGAAGAGAAAAAAAATACAGTTGGTCAGAGAAGGAAATAGTAGCAATAAAAAAAGGGCATGTACATCAGACTTCAGGAGCCCGTTGTGTTCGTACAGATAATATCGTAAAGAATGGGATAGTGATAGAAGTAAAGGTAAGTTGATAAAGGTGGGGTGAGAATCGTAGAGAAAATAAGCACAAAGCAGGCTCCGCTGCTGAGGTAAGATACACGGTTACTGTTGAATTAGAAGCAGTTGAGGGTGCTCTTCTTCTTCTTCTTGTTGATGGCATTCATGCGCTCCTCCAGTTGGGCACGAGCAGCCTCGGCTTCGCGACGAGCACTGCGCTCTTCCTCGACAGCTTGCAACGATAGGCGAGTGGAATTGCGCTCTTTTCGGAGGGTTTGAAGCTCATCTTCATATTGCCAAGCCTTCTTTTTCCAGGCTTCCATGTCGGCCTTGATTTTGTTGCTCTGAGCCTCAAGATCTCCGAGAGCCTCTTCCAATGTCGCTGTGAGTTGCTTCTCGGCATAAAGATGCTTTTCAATAGTCTTGATACGAGCTTCTTGGTCCTCCATCAATTGAGTGCTGACCAATTCCCGACTGGCGTGACGAGAGCTGGGAGGAGACATGCTGTTGGTGTTTCCAGCAGTTGCAGAAGCGATATTGGGCAAAGGTGGGAGAGGAATGGCGGGKGGAGGAGATGGAAGGGATGTTGTAGATGTACTCTTGCGAATAGATGAGAGAGAGTTGGTGCGATCAATGGACATCTCGGTTCCGCTGTTCTTGATTTGGAGCTGTGACAATTTAGTAATCTGTAGTGTACTCAAAAATGCCGTCGATGGATATCTTACCTCGAGCTGCTCAATACGAACTTGGTACGTCTCAACATCTCGTTCGAGACTTGCGACCTTGGCGTTTGCGTCGTCAAGAGCCTGCAGACGTTCGTTTTGGATGACAGAAAGACGATTGTGGTGCTGGTCGAAGGTATTCGTAATCTGCTCTTCAAGCTCCTCTACCAAACGAACACTCTTTTGCTTCTCAGCCGTAATTTCTTCAATAGTGACATCCTTCTTCTTAACAAGCTCCTCCTTCTCCTTCAACTTATCCTCAAGGGTAGCAACTAAAGTTGCAAGCTCAGTTATCTTGGCCTCATGCTCCTCATTCGATGCATTCGGCTCATCTGCAGTGGCTCCCTTGGTTTCGAGTTGTTTCTGAAGGTCTTCGTTTGCATCGATAAGATCAGCGTATTTGCTTTCGAGGGTACGCTTCTCCGAGACCAGGTCTTCCAGCTGATCGCCTACTGTCACAGGAGTGACCTCGGTCTCAAGGACCCGAGAGATCGAGTTCAGCAATCCAGTCAAATCCTGCTTCGAGCCAGCAATTTCGGATCGTAGAGTTGAGAGGGTCTCCGCATGTTGTGCGTTGAGCTGGGTAATGAAAGAGTCATGATCAGCTTTGGCAGAGTCAACAGCGGTAGATCTGCTCTCCAATTCTGACAACTGTTGTGCGTGAGTCTCCCGTAGAGTAGCCAAATCCCTGTCGTGACTGTCAACGAGGGCTCTGTGGGAGTCTAATTCATCCTCAAGTTCAGCGATTCGTGATTGGTAAACGGCAGAATTAGCATCGTTTGCTTCCTTGGTGGAGGCAAGGCGTGTCAGTTGGTCATGAATAGCAGAATGGGATGCCTCGAGCTCGGCGATCGCGGTTAGATGTGTTGAAATAGTGGATTTGTGCTTGTCAATCTCCGACTGCAAGCTGGCAACATAATTTTCTTGTTCTTTCCTCTCCTCTTCGCGTTCTTGAAGGAGCGCGGCCTTTTCCTTGGTTGCTGATTCTAAAGAAACGGCATGCTCCGCTCGGATTGCATCAATTGTAGCGAGTGCAGCTGATAATTCAGCCGAAGTTTCCTGTAATTTCTGTTCAGACGCCTCCAATGCCTCGATGGCAGTCTGATGTCTATCTTTCCATTGAGCAAGTTCAGTCTCCAATTGTGCAACACGGGCCAGAGAATCTTCTGACAACATACTACCATTGGCAAGAGGAGTTTCTGAAGCATCGGTATTGCCAAGAGATGATAATTCTGCGCTGAGCTTCTCGATTTCAGCACGAAGCTCTTGCTCCCGGCTGTCGTGTGCTTCCTGCATTTCTCTCATTTGACTCTCCTGTTGGAAGATCTGGTCACGCATTTGAGAGACCATCGCCATGTCCATAGGCTTGGCGCCTTGCAAACTCGACCGCTCTCGTGTCAAACCGGAGATGATTGTGGCTTTCATTTCCATTTCCTTCTTGACGTTGGTATTTTCGACCTCCAACGCTTGAATACGCTCCATTCGAATATGGAGCTCATGCATGGCTGCATTCAAATTTTGCTCGAAGTTTTGCATTGTTTCTGGTCGCTGTTCAAACTCTTCCGAGGCAATGTTTCGTAGTGCTGCAAGAGATCTATGGGCACGATCCACAGTCGACATAAGGTTTTGGCTAGTCATTCTACGAATGACCGAGGCACCTCCTGGGCTGGGGGTTGTCGGGGACTGAGGTGTTCGAGACTTGTGGAGGTCGGTCTTTAGTTGCTCTACAAGTATGAGAGTCTCGTCATGCTCGGCTTCCAATTGAGCATATTTCTGAGCAACAAGATTCATGCCCTCCTCATGCTCACGAAGAAGCTGGCGCAAATTCTTGACTTCTTCTTCAGACTGTGGGGAACTACCGTTGGCAATAGGTACGTCATCCTGTGTTGACATGACAGTGGTATCAAACGTATCCTGCGAGATCCCCGACTGCTCGACCGAGGACAACTCCGAAGAGAGCGAACGAGAAGATGAATGTTGACCGCCAGTTTTGGTTTCCTCCGTCTTGATGCTCTCTAAAAAAGATTGTGGTCGGGAGGAACTGTCGACGGGAGTGTCGACATTCAAGGGTCCTGCGGGGTGACGACTGAAGTCAATCTGGTCCTGCATCTCGGCCATGGCTCGCAACGCCTCGTCATATTTAGCAGCAAGAAGATCGTATTCATTCTGAGTGGTCTCGTGCTGTACGCGAAGATCCAGCAATTCTTGGGTGATGTTTTCCAGTTTCTCAGCGACGAACTTTGACTGAGCAGGGCTCTGGCTATGCTCCTCGACCGCTTCCTTGTCTTGGGAAATATCCTCTTCAACAGCTTCAACGGCATCAACGTCATCTGCGACAGAGGTAGTGTCTAGTTCTCTGGTCTCTTCGGACAATACATGTCCTGCAGCATCCTCGCCCAAATCCTCGTCGTCGTCTTCGGGAATAGCAGTCTCCACTGCTTCTGTCAAGATGTCGAGTGTATTGCCGCGAGCTCGGTTTGTTCGCATGTCCTTGACTGCTGGAGGCTTAGATTCGCGAACTTGAGATTTGTTGCCATTCTGTTGAATGTGGTCAAGTTCATATAGAAGGTTATCCAGTTTGCCCAGGTTCCGCTGGCGGTCAATGACGTGTTCGAGTCTGTTGATCTCGCGTTGCATCAACTCCATATCCTGATCAGCTTCGGCTAGTCGTTCTTCCAGGGTCGAAATATAGTCTTCACATCCGGCCTCGTTTTCACGAGCACGTGCGATTTCTTTACGCAACTCGTTGACAAGAGCAGAATTCTTCTCTTCTCCGGTAGAATGACCATCGAGCTTGGATTCAAGATCATGCAGATAGTGTTCGGTGCTGTTCTCACGCTCCATCAACTTCTGTACTCTCGTCTGCAATTGTGCATTGAGAGTCTCCATGTATGCGCACTTGCTCTCGCGTTCGAGCAAAGAGCTTTCGGTGTTCGACAAAGAGGATCGAGTATTTGAAAGAGATGACTCTAGGCTCTGAATGGTCTTCTCGTATTCCAAGACAACTTGCTCCACAGACTCGGCAAAAGAATGAGAGCGTTTCAGTCTCTCAATCGAGCTGTTTTCAATAGCGGCCGCGAGTTCATCAGGGTCTTCTGTTTGAAGGTCTGAGGCTTTACTAAGTTCCGAGATGAGCTTCGCGTGACGTTGGCTCAGCGAAGTGTAGCTCTCCTGCATATCCAGCAAATGGTTCTGTAGTTCCATTTCCCGATCGCTGGAACGTTCGCTTCGCTCGGGCTGTACAGCGCTCTTCCTGTCTCCGGCCTCGGAATTTCGGATCTGTTGACGCAAGAATGCAATTTCGGCCTTGAGACGTTCGATGACGGCTTGCTTGTCGCTTTCATCTGTGATCTGCTGGATGCGAGGCTTGCTCTGAATAGCTCTAGCTCTTTGGGCATACTGGACGGTGTTCAAGGTTTCGCTCAAGTGGAACTCGGCAGGAGTAACGCAAGCAACCATGTAGGTAATGGCAGTTCCACCGAGTGAGTCTTGAAGCAAACGAGTCAATTTGGAATCACGGTATGAAACATGAGCACCGGACTGTCGAGACGACAGCTGCGAGATAACCTTGCCGAGACTAGCCAACCCAGCATTGATGGAGATACCTTCCTTGGCTCTCTCGCCAGAAGCACCAGTATTCTTGAGACGTTCGCTTCCGGCAAGATCCACAAAATGAAGTTTGCTATCCACAGTAATTACTGCGTCCGAGGACGATAACGCCTCTACGGGAACAGACATGCGCTTCTCCTTTGCTGTCAAAGTTTGTGCGGGCGACTTGCGTTGTACCAAGTTCAAACTAAACACGGCATGGGAACGGGAAGATTTCGCATTGATCGCGGTGGCGTCGGTTTGGCGAATGCTTGAACCAAAGTTGAGGGCGCCGATCAAGTCATCGAAGGAGTTGATTTCTACTTGATGAAGGCCAGTCAAGATAATTCTGCCTTTAGCATCTTCACGAATCGTAACAGTGCTGCGATCTCCAACGGGTGTTGTATCCGGAAGAAGTAGATCTCGGAGTTGTTCGTTGTAAATCTGGTATATGTCAGTAAAGATAAACAAGGATGTAGGTACAAAGGAGGACGCACTTCAACGTAGGTTGCCTTCAGCTGCCAGGTCTTGTCCACAGGATTTCTGTTGAAGATTTGCGGTGAGCTCATAGAATATCGAGCGGGTGTGCGAAGACCAGAGGACTGTGTTCGGCTATGTTTGGGGGTGTCTAGTTTCTCGAATAAGAGCTGCGCCGCTCGAGGAATGATTCCTATTCAAACACCCATTAGCCCAAAACATTCTTCGCTTGTTTCCCGGTTATCTTACCCATAGCATGAGTGTCATTTTGTTCACCAGGACCCGATGTTCCCATCGTGTATGATTTACCCGCACCAGACTGGCCATAGGCGAGAATCGAGACATTGTAGCCTTGGGTGAAAGAGTTCACACTGTCGCTGAGATATTCCCAAATTCCTTCTTGGTCTACAGTCTCCGGAAAAACACGATCGAAGACAAACAGCTTGCGTCCTTGGGGAACATCGACGGCGAGACTGGTAGGCGAAGTCACATGGACCATCGGTCGCTGGAATCGCTGCGGAATCAATTCGTACCCGGGGTCGGTTGGTCTCAATGGTGGCCGCACACGGACAGCTAAAGAGGTAACAGAGATCAGTTATGCGATCGAGGCGCAGCGGGTGAAGTGTGTTGTTTCAAGTACATACCAACTTTGACAGCTGTCTTGCTCTCCTCATCCGAGGCGCGACTGTCACCGTGCCTGCTTCCTGTACTCATGCGACTAAAACTCCTCGGAGGGCGAATAATGGCACTCATGGGCCGTGTTGTCGGCGTTGGAGCCGCTGGTGACCCCGGCGGAGATATCGTCATGACTGCGGTAGTCGCTTGTGTTGTTTCTCTGTCTAAAATTCAAAACTCCTCCGTGGGCCGAAGCCAGTTGGCGGGCGACAAAAAGACGGCGATGCACAAAAGACGGTCAATCGGAGCGATCTCCTCCAAATCGAGTGATAAGATACGACACGTGGGCGAAGGGTGATTTCATAAGGAATGTAGAAACAAAAAGCAGAAATTTGCGACCAAAAAAAGACTGAATCGAGAGAGAGCGTCCTGCGCGGTTGCAGCCACGGGTTTTGGGCTGTCGAGCTCGCGCGGTGAATATTATTATTGTGTTGTTTGTCGAGTAGCTGGTGTGGTAATCGGATGGTTTTACCCCTTATCCGCGGTTGCTCCCGTGAAAGTACCAGCAAAAAGAAAGGTGCAGTCGGTCTGAGTAAGCGGACCGTGTAGAGACTTCGTTATTTCAGAGCGTGTGTATGCAATGCACGTAGAACAAACTCTTAGCCAGAGCTCGACACGACATGGAGAGCAGAGTGAAGAGGAGAGAAGTCGACGGTTTATTTTTTGGACAGAGGGAAGGATGCAGCCAGGGGAGAGCGCTGGAACAGGCAGGCGTGGCCCGGTAGCGCGGTCTGGTGAAGGTAAAACAGCAGGAGCCATCCGTGCAGCGTGCACTGAGGGAAAGAGGGAATGGCAAGAGCCAGGGGCACTCTGTTCTAGTCCACTTCAAGACTAGCGCAGCGCGGGACAGCGGCTGTCTCCACTTGCATTACTTACTATGTACGGAGGTGGTAGGAGTAATCCTTTCGTACAGAAGATAGAACTGTTCATGTTGATGCTTTACGTTGATAGGATTCCTATCAGACTGTCTGACAATCGTCTTACATCTGCAGGATGCAGTTCCAGTGGCGTGTCAGCTTGGAGCTCAATTTCATTTCCGTCTGGTAGGCTTATCTCGGTTCCCGCTGGATGGTCTCGGAGCATTCAGTCCACACCCACGGGTCGTATGTGCAACCGGCGGAGTATTGTGTATCAAAGACGGAGTATTAGGACATTGGCATTCTGTGCTTGCAGGACGAACATCAACCCTACAGGACAATTATTGAATAATTCGATACATGCATACTAATCCGTACGGACCGTATGCAAGTCAGCGCAGACTCGGATTGTGCCGAGAGTATGTACGGAGTCCATCCGGAGTAGAACACTTTCACATGTTCAAGCCTTGGCTTACTTAAAGTACGTCCCCTTACGGGATACTTCACAATTCATTGTTGATTGATCAGCAAAGCAGCAATTATCCCGACTCGACCTATACACTTGGCGGGAAAATATCAAACAGGCCGACCAATCACTTGCACTGGTGCAATCGGTTCATGCATGTTGGTCACGGACTGTGTTCTAACTTCTTCCTGCCAGTCCCCACTCGAGAATTGATTAATATCTCATCAATTATAACTGGCACTACCAGTTGTTTCTGTTCTGTTCTCGCACACATAGTCACATACGCATCCGCGCACACAAAAAGAAAAATGTGGCTGGGGGCCCTGAAGCAATAGTCCAACGGTCGCCCACAACTTCAAAGTCTCAAACACCGGGTCTGCCGCTAATGCAGCTACTTACGTGGGATGCCCCGTCTATTAGGCGACCAATGGCTGAACTCGATTTACGCTGTGCACGCTCTTCCGTACTGATACTCCATACTGAGCAGACGCTTTTGGCATGGAATCGTTTCAAGTTTCATAATGATCATCCCAGAATGGGGAGAACAAAGTCCAGGCCTCAGAATCAAAGCCCAGAATAGGCGACCGACAGCTGGTTTGTGTTGGGAGACCCGTTTTTGACAAGTCGCCATTGACTCGCCAATAGTAATACAAGGGGCTAGCTAGGTTCGTCTCTTTTGATCTAAGCGGGATAGACAATTAATTGTGTGGAGAAGCATAGTTCGCTTCTCAGTTCAAGGAAATATCGCCCGCTGTTGAAGTCCTTTGAAAGGTTTCGATTGTAGCATGCACAATCATATTCAGACTATGCCACGTGCCGAATTCTTCCCAGCTTGACAAGCGAGACGCGCCTTCCTATTTTGGTTGCATGACTAGGGTTACGGCTTCTACGACATCTGCCACTGCTCTTACACTTCCACCTCACCTCAGCTCTGTCTCTCATGTGCTATAAAGGGCACCCATCATAGTAGTTTGGGTGACTCCCTGAGACGTAATTCGTTGTCGTATATCACAGATATATGCTGTTATCATCTGATTAGATTAGATGAATTAGAAGAAACTATCAAATAAACCAACCCTTATTGATTTGCATCGCCGCTTTGGTTGGCATTGTTCCTCCCCTTGAGTCCGCGCTTAAGCTCAAGCAACTTGGACTTTTGTAGCTGCATTTTCCTTTCAAGAGGATGCTGCTTCAGACTTATAGTCCGAAGCCCCTCAATTATTTCATCGCAAAGCCGGATGCTTTCATCGAACTCATTTTGCAATTCATAGCATCTAGCAAGCTCAATCATGGCGCCCAACCTATCCGGATGAAAGTCGCCTCTATGTTGTGAAAGATGACGCTGGTTTTCGATCACAATACACAGCGTTCTCTCGGCCTCTTTCAACTTCTGTTGATTGATCAATATTATTCCCAGTACCGTCCTTCCCATTAAGGTTCCAATATGTCTTTCGCCTAGATTACGATCCGCAACCTCCAAGGCGCTGCAAACGAGTGTTTTTGCCTCATCATGCTGACCTAATGCAGTTTTGATTCTGGCCAACTGCGCCATGGCGAGTAGCGTGTATGGGTTCTCTTTACCCAATTTTACCATGCGACAATCAAGGACTTCTTGCTCCATCTTTTCAGCTAATGGTAACTGCTCCTCTACCTCTAACTGTAGAGCAAGCAGAGCCAGATCCTCCTTGACGGTCAATGTCTTCAGGTGTGTTGGGCCTAGGATTTCGCTCATCCCGTCAAAAGCGGTTGTCAGCATCCGTCTGGCTTCCTCCAGGCTCTCATTGTCGTAGAATTTGGCAATCGTTCTCCCAAGGCTACCCATAGCGCTAAGGGTATCCTCATGCATCAGGCCTCTTAATTTGATGAGGCCATCGACTGCATGCTGTTGAAGCATTCTAGCTTCACTATATCTTCCTTGTTGCCATCTGGCTTGCCCCAGAAGATCCATCGTTGTCAGAGTTTCGCCACTATTGGGTCCTAACGATGACATACATGCCTGCAGGACGGTTTCCTGTAAATCTGCCGCTTCATCGCCCCGGCCTTGACTCCAGTAGGTAAGTGCCAATGCTAACGTTATACGCCGACTGACTGCTTGATCCAATCCCAAAACGCTGTCGGTATACTTTTTGACTGCCAACTGAAGTATTTCGGCGTCATTCCACCGCCCGTTTTGCGCAAAGACAAGGCTAAATTTTGCGTATAGTGTGGCTTGTGTTGGGCCAAACATTGAACCTGCACCGGGCCATTGTACGACTCCAAACCAGCGTCGCTTCCTATTTTCGGTAATTTTATGAACTATAGCTTGTTGGCAGCTGCGTGCATGATCGATATGCGGTAAGATATCTCTGCGGAAGACCTCGTCAGCCTCAGTCACACCCAAGGGCGGCAGGAGGATCGAGTGGGCCAGCGTCAAATTTGCAGCTTCAGCCCATACAGCCTGATCTGAAAATGTCATTTCGGGTCTCTCTCGCGCCCATTTGTGAACCAAAGGGTGCATGGAGTAACTATCGCTGGATTCGTGATACGTGATCAGCGACATTTGGACAAGTTCTCTCAGTGCATATCGCACTCTGACTTCGTCAAAGAATCCAGATTCACGGCCATCTCGTACGATATGCGGCAATACAGGAGGACCACGCTCTCTCATCATGAAGCCTAGTACGAGAAGACGTATATTACGGTAACGCTGATGCCAAGTTAACGGCCATTCTCGCTCTTCTTGGTTTCTCTGTTGCTGTTGAACCTTTTCGATCTCACAATTGACGATCGCTCTTCTTAGAATGTCGAACGGTATATTCTTATAGTAGAAGAAAGAAAACATCTTCAGCAATTGGATGGCATCTTTCGAAGCCTCAGTCTCTTTCTTCTCGATCCAAGTATAAGAAACTTCGTATGTCGCGAGTGCGCTCATATATTGCTTGTCCTCACTTCCAGAGTTAAAGGACAACTTTCGTATACGACGTATTCTCTCCCAGTCCTTATCATAAAAAGTCAGATAATCCTTGAGAGTGCATAGTCCAGAACAGATTGCGGCCCCAGCATGAATGACAGCGAGAGCAAGAAAACCAAGCTGTTTTGTGATTTTAGTAGCCCACGTGGAGGAATCAACATCCCAAGGCTGGGCCAATTGTGCCGTTCGTAGTAAAAGAGCACTGGCGTCATCATGTTCCATACCCTGGAACTCGAAATAGCCTGGCCCGACGTTACCGTACACCTTATGGGCTGGGTTTCGCGTTGTGATGATGATGTAGCCTCTGTCGCCTTTGGGGAAGTATTCTTGCAATTCGATATGAGGATCATCGGCATTGTCAATAAGGAGAAGCCACCGTTCTTCGCGATTTGAAAGCCAATGCATGGCAGCTGTCTGATTAGGATCAACGTGTCCATGTTTCCCAATCTCGGCGTAGGTCTGTTTGGCTCGTTCGCGAGTACTGGCATCAATCCAGAAGATTCCCCAAAAGCTTTTTTTTGTCGACATTCCGAAAGGGACAAAGGTTAGCAAACCCTTTTTCCGCATTGAGTCTTAAGATACCGAACAAAGCATGGACATACCTTTCTCGATTTTGCTCGGCAAATTTGGAACAAAATTGAGTCTTCCCCGATCCTCCAATGCCGTATACTACAAAACGCAATTGCTTTTGAGCATGTATTTCCATCATCTGCTTGAGAAGAATATCCTGTAGCTCTTTCAGAAACCATGTTCGCCCCGTGTAAACGCTACTAACGGGTTGCGGGATATCGAAGAACTCATTCGGTGTCGTGGTACACACCGCAGTGGTGACGAATCGAACCGAGTTTCGGAATTGCTTGAACCGAGATAAAGACTCGAGGTCTTGCTCGTTCTGATCCGGATCGCTGCCATCGGAGAGTCTAAGCTGGTCCTCCAACTTTGCAATCTGCGACTTGAAGCTTTGATCATATGATCTCAATTCTTTAGATAGGCGTTCGAGGGTACCTCGAGAGGACTTCTGATGATAACTGTAGTTATATTAGACACACAGACTGAGATATGGGCAATGTACCTACAGGCTGATTCCAGTAAGCAAGATCTGAAGATTATGCTTCTCCGTGGAGAGCTTCTCACGTATTCGCTGCAGATCGGTGGCTTTGTTACGCCGTCTGGATTCTTTGGTCCAGCTATCTATTTTTCCAGTGACCTTGGATCCCGAATCGCCGTATATATCTCGTATTACCTGGTCTAGTTGCAAGGTAGTATGTCGGCATGCGTCCAAGCTTCTTTTGGTTTCTTTCCATAGGCGTTCGATATTATCCGCTTTCAGAGGAGATAACGGCTTTGTAGATTTGTTCGTCTCTTCCTCAAAAGCTTCTGCGACTGAGGTGACAGTGGTCTCTAGTGAACCCAGTTCATTAATAAGGCCGTCAATTTCCTGCTGAACGTTTGCAGCAGCAGCAGAAACATCCTTCAGAAAATTGASGAGCCGTAAACACACATCAGCAACACTAACGGTGCCCACCACGATAGAGAATGGATCCATTATAGTAGCAGAAGTTCTTGAAGGCTGCCTTTCTCCGCAGAATGCAGATGCTTATTGATGGCACGATGCCCGTCTAGCGGGGTTTCAGAACATTGAATGAGAATGAAAGTCCATATATTGCAGACACATAATAGAATGCTATGATTGCGCAACGGAAATCTGTCTTCTTTTTGCCACCGGCTTCTTGTAACACAAAACTGGACTTGCTCATGTGTCAGACGGATTGCTACATGTAAGATAAGGCAGAAGACACCATGGTAAAGGCATTTGATGAATAGCTAAGGATATGGCACCGATATTAGCGACAAAATTTGTGATTCGTCGGGAACATACAAGACGCCCAAGACACCCTTCCTCAGCTGTCACAGCCGCTTTGGAATCTTGATTTTGAGCGTTACCATTCGTTTTCCTCAATACTTGGTCAAATACGAAATCGATTGTTTGGAAAGATTTGGTCCGAAGACTGCGGCTAGTGCAACCTGAAAGGACTTGTTCTGTCACACGCCCCCACCACAAAGTGCATTGTTCACAGGGGCTTGCAGCCAGGAAATATTTTCAGCCGAATCATGGTGTTTTGTCCAGTATTCCCACTCACTCAATGATTGAATATTCCAGTCGTTCTCAGCCTAATATTGGGACCTTTCGCAATGTCACTCAAGTGCGAGCCCGCGCAGCCTTGTCTCGATGAGGTGAGTTACAAGTTGATTGCTTTTTCATATAGGTCAAGCTAGGAACAGGACTTGGTTTTTTGACGGAACTGATTCCCAGATTTTTCGAAAGCAAACCAGGAGCGATGATAGCCACATCTTACAATACCTTCCTCACCCTCTTGGTGTTATGCCTAGCATACAAATTCATCAAGGCCCATTATGAGAAACGGGTATGTTCTGAGCTTTCTCGTGGTATTCAAATTGCCGGAAATGCCCTGACTCGCCAGTAGGCTGATGAAAGATTAGCTGCCTCAAAAGGCTGTCAATCGCCCAGAAAGTGGAACTCAACTTGGCCTTTAGGACTTGATATGCTACTAAAAGCCTTTAAATATGAAAGCAAAAAGCATATTCTCCAGTTCTTCCTGGAAGTAATGGATGAGAACGGACATACATTTGAGCAAAAACTGCTTTTTGCTCGAGGCATTGACACTATAGACCCTGAAAACATTGAAGCTGTTTTATCGAGTCAATTTGAGGGTTCTTATTATCCCACAAAATGGCAGTAAAGTGATGACACTAATGTGTAGAAAGATTTCGGACTTGGTCTACGCCCCCTACATTTCGATCCTCTGATGGGCAGTGGAATCTTCACCCAAGACGGTGCACAGTGGCGCCACTCACGCCAACTCCTACGACCGCAATTCATGTCAAACCGCTTCAATAACTTGGAGCAAGTCAAGACTGCCGTACAGAATCTCATCGATGGCGTTCCAGATAACGCGCCGGTGGACCTACAGCCCCTTTTCTTCCGGCTGACATTCGACACCACGCTTTTTTTGTTATTTGGGAAATATCTGCCATCTCTAAAGTCCGAAGGAATCACAGATCGTGAGTCCGAATTCGCAGAAGCTTTCAATACTGGACAAGATTATCTCGCGCAGCGAGGGCGACTGGGAGACTTTTACTGGCTTCTTGGAGGCTTGAAATTCCGTCGAGCTTGTCGCATTTGTCACGATTTTGTCGATGGTGCGGTCCAAAAAGCTTTGGAGAGTTCGACAGAAGACCATCTGAATGAATCAAGGGAAGCTTATACGTTCATCGATGCATTGATTCAGGAAAGCAGGGATCCGAAGTTCTTGAGGAGTCAATGCATGAATATCCTATTAGCTGGAAGGGATACGACTGCATGCTGCCTGACATGGGCTTTGTAAGTCTTGACTGTTTATGCTCCAGATTTCGGTATAATCTACAAGATTAACATGTAGACAGGCGCCTCCTTGTACAACATCCTAACGTCCTATCCAAACTCCGCCGAGAAATCAACCATGCCCTAGGCATCGGCCCCAAAGCATCAGAACCAACAATCAACCAACTCAAGAAACTATCTTATTTATCCAACGTCATTAAAGAAGTCCTCCGCCTCTACCCCTCTGTCCCTGTAAACTCTCGCGCCGCCATCCGCACAACAACCCTCCCTACAGGCGGCGGCCCTTACGGCACGGATCCAATACTCATCCGCAAAGGCGAAGCAGTCGGATATAGCGTCTACGCCATGCACCGTCGAAAAGACATCTACGGTGCTGATGCAGAGAGCTTTCGACCCGAGCGGTGGGCCGATCCTACCATTTTGAGTAGAGTTGGTAATTGGGGATATTTGCCGTTTAATGGTGGACCCAGGGTGTGTCTTGGACAGGAGTTTGCGTTGTTGGAGGTTGGGTACACGATTGTGAGGATAGTGCAGGTTTTTCAAGGTATTGAGATGGAAGGCGTGGAATGGCCTGTCGTTGGGCAGGAGGAGCAGGTGCTTACGTTGGTTGTGGCAAGTGGTGAGGGCTGTTGGGTGCGGATGAGGAGATACTGACTAAGACTTATTTGACTCATGAGAAGACCAGTGTGTATTAATAGAACTTTCTGGGTTGAGGTTTCAAAGACCCCGCGCTTAAGAATAAAGATAGCAATCGCACTCAAAGATTTGTGGCCTTGATCTGAGAACATGCCGTGTTCTTATACATGCCCATGTACCTTAATCCGGTACAAACACGTATGATTCCCACCCCAATTCGATTTCACCCTCACCACAACCTTATCCACCCTTAGCATTGGATAATCAATCAACGCATCCAGCGCAAAATGCTGAATTGCGCTGCCCGCTCGATCGTATTCCCATTTTCCTAGGCGGAAGTACGTTGGTCCTAAGAGGTGGTCATTGGCGTATGCCGTTTCAGGGTCGGATGGGTAGGCTTGTTCCAGGGTTTTGAGGATTGAGTCTAGGACTGAAGAGAGTGAAGATGGGAATGGTTTCGAGGATGATGATGACGATGACGAGGAGGATGCAGTGGAAGAATGGAAAAGACCGAACCAGCCCGTTTTCTTGTTGAAGGATTCACTTGTGAATGCTGCTTCAGTCTCGGTTGGTTTCGGCGGTTGCTGCTCGCGGAAAGGCTTGAATTGTGCCCACAACTCCATTTCACGAGGCGCGACACTTGGATCTGGAGATGCGCTCGCTGAAATGTGTTCTACCACAACCTCGTCGAGTATAGCGCGTTGTCCTAGTTGTAGAGCGAGTTGTAGTTGTCCCTGGCCACTCTTGCTGGGGGCGCCGCACCAGCAGTCGCCAACATCGTCCCATGCTTCTAATGCAGTTTCTGGAGGATTCGGCTGTGGTAAAATTTTTCCTCCCAAGCTCTCGTACAGACGTCGAGGAAGTGTCCTTCGAATACCGACGCTGGGACTGGTAAACTTTCGGTCGACGCGCGTACCCAAACCTAGGGAGAGAAAATTGATTCGTGGCTCGATCTCGGGTAATGGACTCATAATCGTGACCTGGCCAACCACTTTTTCTTGTTCGTGCTTTAGGCGAACAACATCTCGAGACACGACTGATAACTCGTTCTCGAGTTGCGCCATTCCTTTCGATATTTGAGAGACTAGATTTCTCTCTGTGGCGTTGAGAGTAGGATAATTGGGCTGCTGTGAGAATAGATCGGCGGCGTCCAGATAACCAGTAAGCAAGTATGTCGTGATGGCGAAAATTGTCACAAACAGAGTCATCGTGAGAAGGGAAAGTAGCCAGCGCGTTTCTTTCATACTCCCGTGTTGTTTTCGGAACAGAAGCGGTCGACGAGGTTTATCAACTGGAGCAGTTTGATCGGAGGTTGGTGGTCGCGAACTTCCGGTCACACTTTCGTCCGCAGAGTCGTGGGCAACATTTGTCGAAATTACCGTTCTTGCGGGAGCAGTCCTGACATCAGAAAGCTCCGACTTTCTATCTTCTTCTTCGAATTCTTTCTTTTCTTCTTCTTCTTCTTCTTCTTCTTCTTCTTCCTCCTCCTCTTCATCATCTTTCACATTATCGTCGTCGTAGTGAATGGTTGTGTTGTGTTCTGCGGAATGTGTTGTATCATTCGTCCATGTAAGTCCTGAGAGCCGCCGAGGAGGCTTTCTAATATTGCGCCCTTCTCTTGGTGGTATTACATATGAGCTCGTCTCTGGTTCTGGCTTCGTTCGCTGCAGGTTATCGCGATGCAACTCCCGCTCCAACTGCCAGGATATCACAGACGCGTTGTCGTTAAATGCAGAATCTTCACCTTGCGGTGAGCTCAATACGATAGAAGCAGCCTTCCTACCGAAGCCAATAGAAGGAAGGCGAGGGTATCGGAAGAATGAGAAACCACGATCAGTCTGCTGTTCTAGATTTTCATTCTCAGTTGTGATGGCGGGGTTGAGAGACGGGGGTGCAGGGGTAGAAGTGCTGGAAATTGTTCGCTGAACTGGTGGTGAGGGTGTGACGCTAGAATGAATACTGCCTCTTGCTCTCATATCCCGTCTTTCTTTGCTTGGACTCTCAGATGCGGCTCTTAGGGTATAATGTAGCTGCCTGGCATCAGGAGTGGTGGCGCGCAGCACAAAAGAAGGGGTTGAGGATGGACTTGCGCTCTCTAGACGCTTGGAGCGTCGCACTGGAGAGCCTGCCTCTATCGAGTATCTTCGTCCTATCCATTGTTAGATCATAAACACGCGATTTAAAGAAAGAGACTGACCAGAGGGACTGTAAGATGGATCTGTGGGATGGCTTATTCTAGGCATGGTGTATGGTTCTGTGTGTGAAAAAGTATTGAAAGATTATGGCCGAGGAGTTGTCGGTATTTGTCTCCGCATGCATACGCAATATCTAAGAAGGCAAGTCGGTAGCCCTCTCGAGTAGATAGCCTAACTCAGCGAATCGGGCACCATTCGTTTGACGGTTATTGCAGCAGTCAGGTAACAAACTTGCTCCAATAAGTATGTAATCAAGACTTAATCGCAATCACATGCTGCAAGGCGCATGGAATGATGTTTTCAAGCACCTCTCAAGTCGATTTCTAGGACGCAAGTTGAATTGTCGCAAACCTTCTTTGGGGCGTAGATGTAGAGATGAAACAAAGAGACTTGAGACGATTAAGCGCAACGCTTGTCTAAACTTTCGGATAGAATAGCGCAAGATCTCCTAACAATGAGCGGCAATATTGAGAGTTCAAGATTGTCGAAATGGTTCTCTAATAACTGGGCGAACGATTTGATTGGCTGTGACGGTTTTGATTGATACTTGGGGCGGTCTTGAAAGCTTTGTATCGGACGGGATGAAGACTTATGTATGCTTGACCTTCAGGTCGGTAGTCGCGTCAAGTGTAAGTCTGATTACTTGGACAGGAAAATGGGGGTTGATGGAAGCGGTTTAATTGATTGTAGTTTGATATCGCAATGTTCAACGCGTAATTTGGCGGACTGTTTTCTGCCGCGTCGGCCTGTTGGTCCGTGCGTAAATAGGGTTAGGGTTATAGAATATCCATTGTCGATTCCAGCTTCAGCGCATCCTCAGAAGTTTGATCTTAGTTTATTAGAATAAGAGATTCGTCTTCATTGTATACACACCACACCGTTATATGCTACATGGTCCCCGCTTCGCAAAACATGCACAGTTCGCCTCCAACACAGACAGAAGAGATGAATAGCGAAAGAAACTTGATATATAATACAAATATAGCCAACGCCAATTGTCTATAGCCAAGAAATTCTTCGAGGAGACATGGTTAACAAGTCCAAACTCCGACTATGCCATCCTTACGACCTTCGACGAGATAGCCGTCTTTGACGCGTACGCGCTCGACGATCGAAGCGTTTTCGCTGCCCTCGCCGGCTCCGGCACCACAGTCCCAGTGGTGGCCATCGGTCTTGTCGTAAACTTTGACGACGTCTTCGCCGGCGGCACAGGCGATGCGCCGAGTGTCAAACATCATGCTTGTGATCGGGTTGTCGTAGGCAAAGGCGTCATGAATCGATCCCGTACGCAAATCCCATATCTAAACAGTCAGTATACTAATTAAAACTTAGACCAATAGAATGGACATACCCGAATGCTTCGGTCCAGACTACCAGTAACCAAATGCACATCATCAAATTGTAGACATGTAATAGGACCGGTGTGTCCAACAAGACTGCGGTGCACTTGCCCACTTCGGAGATCCCACAATCGAATGATTCCATCGGCTGTTCCACAGGCTAAAGCTGCATCGAAAAACTGCACAGCGCCGACAAAGTCTGCCGATGCATCTGGTAGGCGCCCAGTTGGGCGCCATTGAGAGCTGGTGTTGGTCGAGATGGATGTCGATGCCTGAGCGGATGCCCATAGGACATCTAACGTCTGTACACATCGTCCCTTGACGAGATCCCACTGCCGCAAGGTCTTGTCGGCTGATCCAGATATAAGAGTGTCGCCACGGAAGTGAAGAGCTGTGACCTCGTCGACGTGGGCTTCTAGCGAGAATATCTCGCAATCGGCCATATTGGACGCAGAGTGCGATGCTGCGGCCGGGTTAGGTTCGTCACCTTCTTCAGCATCCTCGTCTTGCGCGGACTTATTGATGCGGTCGGTCTGAGGGATCGGTTGAGCACGGCTCAGGTCCCAGATACGGATGGATGCGTCCATGGATCCAGTTGCGACAAGGTTGTCTTCCACCTGCAAGCACCTCACAGATGCATGGTGACCCTCTAAGAAGCCGACACATCTTCCTGCACTCAAATCCCACACGCGGACTGTATCGTCCAGAGCTGCACTGACCAGCGTGCCGAACGGATAGTCAAAATCGATAGCGGTAATCATATCATTATGTGCTGGAATCTCCTTAATCGCAGTGCCTGGAGCAAAATGCTCATGAAGAATAGGCATTGATTTTTTCCCTGATACCCTGATTAGCCTATCTTCTCTTTCACCAATTAAGGACAATGCGCACTTATAGATCTCACTTTCCGACCCCGTGGCGACGTTGTCGGAAGCTTCTGATATATAGATTCGGACATGAATGACGCATCGAGAGCGGCGTCTTCTGAAGACTCGTTTGTTTCCGACGTCGGTGTCGCTTTAGCCGTAGCTGCTTCCTCCTCTTCCTCCTCGTCCATATCTTCTATCTTGTTATCCAGTTCAACAACTACAGCAGTCAGTTTACCCGAACACGGCAAAAGCGAAAACGGCCATACTCTGATTTTCCAGCTCGGTCTCATCCATCTCTAAACCCGCCAGACGATCCAGCACTATTTGCCGCATGTTGTTCAAATTGGCGATTTTGTTATCTATTTCGTGTATCTCGGCACTGCACATGTTCTTCCGTATACCCATCATTTCTAGTCGGTGGTTCAATCGCTCCCGCTCAGCCTTGAGACCACCTCCTTTCGAAGATGTGAGCAATTTCGTAGGCTCGGCATCGTTAATAAGTTTTTGGTGTTTCGAGCTTCGTCTGCGGTGTGATTTGTGTTGTTCATCTGCTTCGGGAACAGTGGCTTGAAAGCCTTGGAACAGGGAATAATTGCTATTATCCTCGGGTATGTTGGCGAGGAGCTCGTCGGGAAGAGAAGAGAGCGCTCTCGATTGAATCTCGGAGGTCGACAGTTTCGAGCGAACGAGATCGGTTGGTGAGGTTTTGGTGAGAGAGAACATTCGCCGTTGAAGCGCGGGTCGTCGTAGTTCGCGATGGATGTCGGTTAAGGCACTTTGATAGTGAGGATCGGACGTGGGGCCCATGAGATGGCTGGCCGTTGACGTTACTTTTCGGCTGAATGCTTCTATATGGCGTGTCTACTCGAAGTTCATGTATTAGATTCATGTTCAACGTTCTTTGATTGCGCAAGTACCGTTAGGCCGGTTCCCAGCAGCGAGTCGTCTGTCGAACCAGTGTCCCACGAGCCCTCGGGCCACCCATTTTGGCCTTGATCCTCCATCGGAGGATAGAGCTGTAGAGGTACTCAGAAGTACTGTATGAAGGTGAGTGCGGCGAGGTGGGAATACGAGAGTGTTCCGAGTTGGAAAAGACAGCAATTGTTGGTGGAGCTGTTTCGGCGATGTTAATACGGGCAGTTTGGCTCGGCTCCTCACGTCGTCGCATCATTGCCAGGGTGCTGTAATTTACGTCATCTTACAGCTGTATTTAGTGCCTATGCGGGTATTTTTCGTATTGTAACTGGTATTTTACGCTGGATTATACGTGCTGACTGAATACTGTCTATGAGCACGCGAGTTCACTGTCTCTATCTTGTAGTGTTCTTTGATTCTGCCTGAAGCTCTCATTTATAACCACTCATGAAGCCTGGACGGATACATCTCACGCGATCGGATTATACCGGCTTTTCCCCTCCGGTCCAGTCAGGCTCAGCATCTGCGCGATTGATCGGCTGCATACATAGTAGACCCTTCAATACGAGCGTCACGAATCTTGAAGCACGTATGTACTCCGTACTATGTAAGTACTAAAGTAGTGGTCCTCTGCACCGAGGACAAATGGGATGCTATACTGCTTCTTATTAACCTCGTACCGTAGCATTGGTAGCATTGGCATTTGTTAGCCCAGCATTGGCTTTCTTTCTCCTTCAAAGTATACTCTCGAACAGTTTTTCTTACTACTGACTTTTGACATACTCATATCCATCGCCGAAAGAATGTGAACAACAGCATAATGAAAGGTAGTTGGATGAGGGAGGGATATTTGGTCTGCCGAAGAGCGGTGTCGGAGTCGGCCTGTGACTCTTCGCAATGCGCCTCCGACGTGGAATATCTGATAGCTCCCTTCACCACTTCTTTTTATACACACCTTGCAATTGATCGATCATTTGTTCCAACTCCTCTTGACTACTATCTCCTTATATTTGTGCGTCACCTATACAATTGTTAGGTATTAACTATGGATGCTGCTATCGATCTTACGGACCGCTCCAAAGCTTTGGATCTGAATAACATTCGTGCACAGCTCATGTGAGTCACTACAATATGCCTTGCGCTGAGCTCCAATCACGAACCAATTGACCGACCGATGTACAGCCGCCTCGAAGACACAATCACATTCCACCTAATTGAACGAGCCCAATTCCCCGTCAACAAAACAATCTATGTCGCCGGCGGCGTCCCCATCCCCGGCAGCAACCTGAGTCTTATGGACTATCTGCTTCGCGAGCAAGAAAAACTCCAATCCCGAGTGCGCCGCTACGAATCACCAGATGAGCATCCATTCTTTCCCGATGCGCTCGAAACGCCCATATTAGAGCCGCTCGAATACCCCGAAATCCTACACCCGAACGACGTCAATGAAAACGAGACAATTAAAAAACGCTACATTGAAGAGATTATTCCATCCGTATGCCCGCGGAACCGCATCGATCGCGGTGTGTCACAGGAAAACTACGGATCGTCCGCAACATGCGACGTCAACCTCCTCCAGGCACTCTCGCGCCGTATCCATTTCGGCAAGTTTGTGGCCGAGTCGAAGTTCCAAGAAGAATCCGAAAAGTTTGTGCGATTGATAAAATCTGCGGATCGGAAGGGTATTGATGAAGCGATTACGAACTCGAAAGTGGAGGAGTTGGTGCTGAAGCGGATTGAGACGAAAGCGCAGACGTATGGGAGTGATCCTGTGTTAGCGGAGTACGGTAACAAGGTTGATGCTGAGGCTGTTGTGAAGATGTACAAGGTTGGTTTTTTCAAGAGGTTTGCAGATACTTGTTGCTAACGGGCGCAGGACATTATCATTCCTATAACCAAGGTTGTTGAGGTTGAATACCTCATGCAGCGCCTGGTAGGAACTCAATGGCAGTAGCTCAGTATACCCAATAAAACCATCTACTATCTTACAATTTATGGGATACGAACACGGTGAACGAAGATCGACGATTTCGAAACTAAATAACTTTTCCCCTCGTTCGGATTATACTGGCGGCTTCAAATAATCCGTAATCGCTTTAATCGCATCTCCAAACTTTCCTTCTTCAATCAACATGAGACTCCCCGCAGGCTTAATCCCAAAGTCCTGAAACGCCCTTTTCGAATCCGACGCACCCTCTGCCTGTTTATGTGTATACTCAAACGTGCCATGACACAACGTATGTCTCTCAAGCACTTCATCTTCCGGGTGAAAGTAGAACTTCTCACTGCTTCCCCCGGTTTTCTTTTTCTTTTTCTGTGGTCGTGATTCTTCCGCATCCAGTTTTGATTCTACTTCTTCGTAGGTTTTGGAGAGTATGAGGTAGTGTGTAAAGTTGTAGGGTTCTTTCTCTTCCAAGGCCCAGGAGATTTCTTCCTGCAGCATGGAGTACATTGGCGGCACGACTTCAGCGGGGATGTTGATGAGTCGTTCTGTCAAGATCAGGCCGATGGCGGGTGGATTCTCGGTGTTGACGAGTAATTGCGCCAGAGGTGTGAGGGATGGGTTCGACTTGGCTTTCTGCGCAATATACTGTGTAAGATCTTTGATAACTTGTTTATCCTGCGCAAATAGTCATCAGCATTCAGATTTCATTTCTTTTCCAATCAACATGCTGTTACCTTATGTTCACTAATATTCAAGACGGACAGAAACGCATATGGATCCGTCTCAATGCCATCCACCTTGACCGTCGAACCAAGCAAAGGTTGTGAAAGGATCAGATCGGCTAGCGCCGACATGTCGAATAATTGCGCATCGTTGTCGAGGAGTTGTCGCAACAATGTCTTGAGGCCGTGAAAGTCAACTTCTGCTTTGGGGTCGAACCATTCGAATTCGACATTTACGAGCTCGACATCCTGTAAACAAACATTGAGTCAATTTAAGATCTTGAATGAGGTTGAATTTCACTATTTCTATGCCGGAATATACGTACGGAGTCGCTTCCGCTATCGTTCTCGTCTCTCATGGAGACATCATTATCATTGTCCTTCAGACTCTTGCGCTTCGCCATTTTATTTATCCGAGCTGAGTATCGACGTCGTGGTTTGTGGAATGATTGTGGACAAATTTGACATTCCAAAACTAAAAACTTCTAATCTTATCTGGCGGTGAGGAGGGGCAGATGCAGTATCTTATCAGATGAGAAGTAACCCTTATCCATAACCCTACTTGATATAGATTTTTGGCAGAACCGTCACAAGGAAGATCTATTTGTTGGGCTCGGTATACATCTTTGCATTGAGCGGTGTACATGTATTGTCGGAAATATACTTTCTAGTTTTGCTGATTGGTGTTGTTCTAGAGCCAACATCAACTCATCTTCTCCGCTGGGCGCCTATAATAGTTCAACTCTGTCTGACCAGGATCCATCTAACGAGCTTTGTCTTCGTCAATGGAGGCATGAACAGTCAGACACTCACGGCTAGTTGAAGGGCCCGCAAAAGCAACTTGCAAAGATATTGGCTTGTGTGTTTTTTCCTGAGTCGGAGATTCGCACAGATAACTGTACTCCCAGAAGTGCAGAGTGATTTGGCATCCACGTGCATTGTCCGAACAAGAGTCAGGTCCAGGTTCTCCATCAGCCGCACAAGAAGCTAGTACAACATTATTCCCAAAAATGTTCTGTATGAACGTATCATTCAGCCGTATGCTACACAACCCGATTCCAACTGCCGGCAACATGTAATGCACCTCATATTTGTTAGCTCCAGATGCATGACAATTTATTACTCTCTGATTCTACGTTACGTAGTACTAGCCCTTTATTTTTTTTGGAGGTTCTCCATCCATACATCTCAGCTCCACTTCGCATTTCGCACGCCTCATACTAAACAAAGTTTTTGCATACGCGTTCCGCCCATGGGTAGGATTTATGCTTACTCGAAAGTTACTAATTAATTTAAAATAGCCAGCTAATCAAGCAAATGGGAACCTTAGAAACTCTAAACTAGGTGATTAAGCTTAAGTTTCACTGTTATATGCATGCCTCTAATCTGTTATAAGAACAGTTCCGAAATGATTACGCATGCAGTTGGCTTGGCTACAAGACAGTTTTGGGGGCTAGGGTTATGTGGATTGAGGTATAAAAGCTTCAAATTTACTTGAGATGGATGTGAAGATCTTGTTTTGTAGTCAAGTCGATAGACCAATTGCCAAAGACTATTCTCTGATCGCTATATCCCTCAAAACAAGGTACATACCCTATCTCAATGTGAATTTTTGGGAGTGCATCATCTGACTACCATGTATAGAACAAAATGAAGGTCTTCGCTACCCTCGCTGCCCTCGCAACCGTCGCCAGCGCCGAGATTGGCTACTGGAAGCTCTACTGCGGTGACTCCGTAAGTCATTTCCCCCTGAAGTCACGAACAAGAATACTAACACTCTCATTGCCAGTGCTCAACCGGCACTCTCATCAACCAAGGCGACATCGAGACCAATGTCACCACTACCTGCACCTCTCTCGGCGCCACATACGACTACTGCTACCTCGAAGTTGACGAGAGCTACCCCAACGTCTACCGCTCCGTGCTCTCGGCTAGTACCACTTGCGGAGCGTCCACGAATCCCGTATTGAGTGGTGGAGAGTGCACTGATGCCGGGAGCTGGGAGTATTATGAGATATACTACTACCTATGATTGAGGACTTTTTGGGAGGATGATTAGTTGGGATGATTACCTAGATTTTATATAGGCACGCAGCTTTGCCAAGCCATAGGGTTTGACGATCTAGCTGGGTGTCAACACGCAGATCTGGGTAAAAGCGACCAAGTCGCTTATCGATTACGTTAGAAAATATTAGGACTGATCGTTGTGATCTGCCTTAGCAAGTTGTTTGCAGTATACAGAAGAAAAGCGTGGAATTGTCGAATCTCGTACATTAGTGACACTAATGTACAACATTGTTGTTGAGGAATATCTACACTCCCAGTCACGAAGTGGCCCGCTTGGTAGCCGATAAAGTTCGTGGATAATTCGTCGAAGATTTCCATATTCGCATATTCTTAATCTCCCTACCGAAAGGTGAACGGGTCTGCTTAGAACGCCTTCATGAGCTGTATATTTTTGTTACCATGACTCTTACTCCATTGTCTTTCTTGGGAACGGCAAGTATACGATCGTGGTACGGCGCAACATGTTCAAGCCCAGTCTCGAAAAGTTGAAACTCAACCCGCCGGACAATGTTTGCAAGAAATATGTACAAATCGGCATAAGCCAGGCTGACTCCTTTTAGCGAGAACGAACACTAAAGGCATGTTCTGGGTAAGAAGAAACAAACTCACTTTATACCCACGCACTGCCTACTGCCTGCCGAAAAAGGAACAAGCATACTTTCGAGATTGATACCCTGCTCCGAAGCGCGGATCCACCGCCAAGGGTCGAAAGACTGCGGATTTGGGAATATCGCTGGATCCGTGTGATTGAAGTATATGCTTTGACTAACGGGAGTCTAATATTCCCTTGGTGGTTAGTACAGAGAATAGAATACCATCGTACATGACTTCACTATCCTGCGGCCACAAGCGACGAATGTGTGCCAGTCTTCATACCGCACCGAGTAGGCAACATATTTGCGATTGACTGAACTTACTCCGATTGGGATCGACCACTCCTTGTACTTCAAAATTTCATCAGGTGCGACTCGTGGAAGTCGAGTCAGAACGCTCATTGACATTCGAAGGCCCTCGTTGACGACCGCTCGCTACAATTCATGATTCTACTTAGCTCGCAAGTAGGAATGGAATGCTCGATTCTTACCAGGAAAGGCAATGCTTCAAGCTCCGATAATACTGGAATTTTTGACGGCGTAGGTATTGCCGCATTGAGTTCATTTCGCAGCTCTAACCATGAATCTCTAGTGTCCAATAGATGGAAAATCGTCACAGCCAAAACATTAGCCGTTGTCTCACTTCCAGCAGCAAGGATAGTCCATCCATCATCTTCCAAACGACTCAGCACTTTCTCTTCAGCGGACAACTTAGAATGAGATATTGCTTTGAAGATCGTGGCTTGTTCAGCCTGATTATCTGCATTTGATATCATTGAAGTTATTGCTTCTTCCCTAATTTTCTTGTGAAACCCAAGAATTAAAGCTGATCCTGGTTCCAGTCTTTGAAGAATTGCGATGGGGATGCTCTTCAGTCGTGAGATGTTGACAGGTAAAAATCTAAGAAGCTGGCCCATGGCCAGTATGGTCTTGATAGAGTCCTTCCAGAGCTTCCCAGATTCTTGGTCATTGAGAAATCCACAGGGTTGACCGTAGGAATAGTGTGAGATGATGTTCAGTGTCAACGTCATTGAGGCTTCGTGAAGATTAACCACAGTGCCCTCCTCATACGATTTCCTCAACAAAGCAATGAACTTTTCAACTTTCTGCTGGATCAGAGGCTGAGCTGCTGAAATTGCACGTTTAGAGAAAAAGGTGCTTAGAACTTTCCGTCGCAACTGATGCTTCTCATGTTCAATAGTTGCGATCGTAGCAGTTGGTGCCCCAAACACCCGCGTGAATATTAGGTCTTTGTTACGCCTGTGAGTAGAACCTGCGTAAAGTTGTTTGTAGAACGAAGAATCCTTAATATGAATTTCTCGTGGAGTAATGCGAACAATCGGGCCTAAAGGAAGTTATTATAGTTTTTAAGACTCCAAATCAGTCCTGCGTTTTACGGACTGATCTAAGCCATTCAGCTTCCTCCTCTTTGGGAATCAAGTCTATCCTACCATAAACATTGTGCATTCGCTCAATTTCCCATATAAAAGCTCCATCTTTTATAACACTGAAATAGAAGTCATATAGACTTGTTGCAGCTGCAAGCTTTGGTCCTGGAAATTTGGAAAGAGGGTGAAAATAAAGACGGTAAACAACTGTCGCGTAGAGATAAAAAGCAACTAGGAGCGAAGCGTACAAGAACATGATCATGCCTGAAAACGGATATGTGAATACTGGTTAGGAGTCACCAAATAGATAATTTTGTTTTATGATTATAGTTACGGATAGAGAGTTGACAGGATATGGTTAAATAAGTCGGTGATAATATAGGTTCAAGATACTTGTCTACTTTAAAGATGCATTGTATTGGGGACAGAGTTCAGGTAGCTATACCTGCTGCATGCATATTTCATATGTGGAACTGGCTCAATCTGTTACTTGAGTGGAGGGAAAAGAAGATGTGCCTGTTATAGTGTCTGTACCCAGACGGCACTGGAAAGATAATTGAGACGAAATTTGACTGGTCCTATGTACACAATTTCCATACACCGTATGAGCAATTGCCATCGTATATATAAAAGATAATGGAAATCAAGCTTCCTATAAAAGAGAAATCTGATCAATCACATACGCAGTGGTCTTAGCTTAAGGAATAAAGCTGTTTTGGATATTGGGCATCTTTACCTGCGTATACCGACATGCCAAATAAAAAGTAGTATAGATATGAAGGATGGTAACAATCAAGCTTCTTATAATAGAGAAGTCTGATCAATCACATACACAGTAAGCTTAAGAATAAAGTTATTCTGAATATTGGGCATCATTACCCGCATGCATCTGTATGTAGGACTGATACGAGTATAGATGCTTGTGATCAGTTCTCTACGATTTACACATAAGGCTCATCCGCTTATGAGCTATGTTGACGACCTGGAAAGTTTTCCGAGATCTACCTGGCTCAAAATAACACAATGGATTTCCAAGCGAGTATGTCAAGCGCTCCAGAGAGACACGATAAAATGGACTAATTGAATTGGGCCATCGCTTTTGGGATCTTGATCCCAGTTTTTTAAAGAATCACGCCTCTTAGAACTTGATATATCTGGTACGCTGTCTATGAGTACAAGCCCTAACTAAGCACTAACTAAGCAGGAAAGAAGACAACAGTTCGGATTAACGATATTGATGTCACCTAATAACACTTTGGTCAATGATGGGTCACACGTGTCACCATGATGCATATCTGGAATCCTAGGCCTACTCAATGAGCCAATTATCAGGCATAGTTCTGGCGGACTAGAAGAGAAAAAATGATATCTATCACAAAGTATAGTGGCGTAGAAAATATCCATGAAGGACTTGGTTTAAAGGGCTAGACAATCATTGTACCGATTTTCCCAGTTTCGTCAATTTAAAGAGCATATGAAGCTTGCGACCTATAGCTGAAACACTATCGAAACGACATAATTCTCTTTGAGAGCTCAGAGAAAGTTCCCATTGAGGACCTATAGATTTTGAATTATATCTACAGCAAAGCACCGTGTCAGATTAGGAAAATGGTTTGTCACAGCACCGTCAATGGTACTGTTGATTGCCAGGAGGAGAGATTTTCTGATCCAGCCAATACTGGTAGTGGTCAGACAAAGGATGATATTGTCATCGTCGGAATGGGCATGAGACTTCCGGGTGGTATTAGAACTGGAGAGGATCTCTGGAGCTTGCTTGTCGAGAAGAGGTCTACTCGAGGCAAAGTCCCCCCCGGTCGATTCAATACTGCAGCGTTTTGCGGCGAATCACCAAATCCTCGGCTTGCTAGTTCAGAATATGGCCACTTCTTGGCAGAAGATGATGCACTAGGAGACTTTGATACCTCATTCTTCCGAATGAGCAAAATCGAATCTGAAATTCTTGACCCCCAGCAGAGATTGCTTCTTGAGGTTGTATATGAATGTATGCAGAACGGAGGACAAGGGCAATGGCGTGGGGAAAACATCGGATGCTTCGTCGGAGTTTGGGGAGATGTGAGTCAAAGCTCTGCCTGGGATTCCTTAATAGGTAACTGGATTTGATCAGCAGTGCTCACACGTTACCCTTTTAGGATTGGTCCGATCTTCAGACAAAGGACACCCAGATGGTATCTAACTTTGGCCACTATCGAGTTCCGGGAGGTCATGACTATGCATTGTCTAATCGAATTGGATATATTTTTGACCTCAAAGGTCCCTCATTCACCCTGCGAACCGGCTGCTCTTCGTCATTAGTTGCGTTACACCTAGCTGTCCGAGCTATCCAAAACAGAGACTGTACCTCGGCCATCGTGGCCGGTACAAATCTCATTTTCTCCCCTAGCATGTCTATTGCAATGTCCCAGCTTGGCGTTCTATCATCGGATGGCCGATGTAAGACACTTGATGCAGCTGCTGATGGTTATTCTCGTGGAGAAGGCGTTAACGCTATCTATATCAAGCGTCTATCGGATGCCCTTCGAGACGGCGATCCAATCAGAGCTATTATCAGGGCCACTGCAACAAATTTCGATGGTAGAACAAAACGATCCCGCCTAATATCTACTTCAAGAACCCCAATCCCAAGCTTCGTCTACGCGAAGCCAATTTTGAAGTGCCACAGGAGCCAATTCCATGGCCAAATTCACAAATGGAGAGAGCTAGTATCAATTCGTTTGGTGTAGGAGGCGCAAATGCACATATCATTGTGGACAGCGCTTCCGCTTGTCGTTCCAATCTGCAAATTCCCACTACAATATACGAAAGCATAAAAAACAAAAAAAAGGAGGACGACTCTCAGTATGAATCGTGCAAGAGCAACAAGTCTATTCTAGTTCTGTCAGCAGCAAGTCAGAACTCTCTGGACGCAAGTATTGCAGAACATCTAAAATACGTAGAAAAGGACACTACGAAGATCAATGACGTTGCATATACTCTCTGCAATCGTCGAGAACATCTTCCATTCCGCGCATATGGTATCGCAGGAGCTTCCACGCCATTGAGGTTTAGCTCTTCAACTACAGTAACTAGCAGCAGCACGAGCATTATTCTCGTATTCACAGGGCAAGGTGCACAATGGGCCGAAATGGGTAAGAATCTCATTTTCGACTACTCGTCTTTCCGCAAGGATATACAGTCTCTCGACGACATTTTGCAACAGCTCGATCCTTCTTGCAAATGGAAAATCGCAGATGAACTGTGTAGAAATCCTCTAGAAACTCGTGTTAACAATCCCGAATACGCACAGCCACTGGTGACAGCAATACAAATAGCCTTGTTTGATCTAGTACGGAGATGGGGAATAGGAGCTTCCGCAGTTATTGGGCACTCAAGTGGGGAGATTGCAGCCGCATATGCAGCCGGTGCAATAACCGCAAAGGAAGCCATCGCAATTGCTTATTATCGTGGCCAGCTTGTGAAGCAAATTCGCAACCAAGGAGCTATGGCATCTGTTGGCCTTGCAGCTTCCAAGCTGTATCCTTTTCTTCCAAAGTCAGGGGCTGTCATTGCTTGCGAAAACAGTCCCGAGAATGTGACTATTTCCGGCAATATTGACAGCGTGAAGATGGTCTGCCAAAGTGTTGAACAATCGATGCCTGGAACATTCATGAAAGAACTCCGTGTCAAAACGGCATATCATTCTGGTAAGTCCTTTTCACATTCTGCGACACTCTGCTTGTGAACGAAATAAACAGGCATCTCTATCTCCCTTATGCATAACGCACCAAGTCTAATTATGATCAAGATCACATGCGAGAGATAGGAAGCAAGTACAAAGCTGTTTTAGAGCCATTAGTGAGAAGCAAATCTCCGGCTATCCCCTTCTTCTCAACTGTTCATGGAGAAGTAATTGCAAGCGCCGGTCAATTAGACGCCACATACTGGAGAAAAAACTTAGAAAGTCCCGTTCTTTTTTCATCTTCAGTTCAGCTGATACTATGTAAAGATTCCCAGCGGAGCGTCTTTTTGGAAATTGGCCCTCATAGTACTCTAGCTGGTCCTTTGAGAGAGATAATTCAACATGCTAGGCGGCAAGATGTCTTCTACCTCACAGCTTTGACGAGATTGAAAGATTGCACGGAGTCTATATTGAAGATGGCAGGGGAATTGTTTTTACATGGAATCTCGTTGAATTTTGCGAAACTTACCAGTATCGGGCGGGTTTTGACTGATATGCCACTTTATCAATGGCAGCATGGTGAAAAGTATTGGTCTGAAAGCCGTGTTAGTCGAGAATGGAGACTACGCCAATTTCCTCATCATGGTATTTCAACCAATGTTAAAAGCAATTTCACCAACCAGTCTAACTTTCTACTGCAGAAACTCTCGGAGCTCGCACTTTGGAAGGAAACCCTCTCTATCCCCAGTGGAGGAACCTTCTCCAAGTGGACCAGATTCAGTGGGTGAATGAACATAAAATTGAGAATGACATCGTGTTTCCTTGTGCAGGCTACTTGGCAATGGTTGGTGCAGCCATTTGGCAGATCTCCGGAGCCGTCGATTTTGCCTTACGCAATGTCATTGTCAAAACAGCCATGGTTCTCTCAGAGTCGAAGGATATGGAAATTATGACAAACTTTCAGCCTGTCCGTTTGACTACAAGTCTGGACTCAGATTGGTGGGATTTCACAATTTCATCATACAATGGCCACAAATGGCTAAATCACTGTGTCGGACAAGCTAAAGCTGGTGCTGATACCCAGAATCCATGCCCTACGAGGCAGTCCTTGAAATCAGACTTACCCAGGCTGGTACCAGATCCTTATCCAGCAATCAAGCAATACCTGGGAATGAATTTCGGTCCATGCTTTAGAGGACTCCAGGACGTTACCGCCCTCCCAGGTGAAGGCATAGCCGCCGCTAACCTTCCAAAGCCATTACAGACAGGCTCACCATATGCGATCCATCCCACAACAATCGATCATTGCTTGCAGCTCTCTGTAGTGGCGAGTTGCGATGGTATTTTCCGCCGAAATCACACAAAAGTGATGCCAACAAGTATTGATCATGTGTATATAAATGGCACATTGAATAGTGGTTCGTTTGAGGGTCTCAAGGCGCAAGCAAATGCTGAACGTACACCTTCTGGGACAATCATTGGTGATGTTCTAGCCACAGCTGCGAACGATGACATTGCTATTGCAATCTCCGGTGGCAGATACTCACCTCTTCAAGACGTGTCCACTCTAGAGGCTTCTAATGCTGATATACATGCAGGAGCCAAAATTTGCTGGAACCCTGATATTTCCTTCTGTTCGATAGAAAATTTGATTCTTCCTATTCAGCGTTCACATGATGAGTGCATCTCACTTGATAAGCTTTCATTTCTCTCTGTTCTACAAATCAGATGCGATATTCAGAAAATCGAAAGTGCTTCAACCAGTCATCTCGCGAAATTCAGAGCCTGGATCGAGGCAGAGTTTCATCGAGCATCGAATGGTACTGCATATGGATGTGTGGAATCTACAGCGGAGCTGTTGTCACTCAACTATCAAGACAGAGCTGCAAGAATCACCCACCTTGAGAGCTATTTGCGGCAGAGCGGATGGGATCCAGTGGTAGATTTAGTTGCTCGGGTTCGACAAAACTGCTGCGATATCATGCAAAGAAAGATAGAAGGAATAGATCTCCTTGTGGCTGAAAATGGTCTCACTCGACTGTACGACAAATTGGAGTCCAACACCGACCCAGGCAAGTTTTTCAAGACCCTAGGCTTCACTAAACCGAATCTTCGAATCCTAGAGATAGGAGCTGGGACAGGGGGAGCTACGGTACATGCTTTGGAAGGGCTATCTAGTTTGATAGCGAACCATCCTTTATATCATAATTACACTTTTACTGATATTTCGTCCGGGTTTTTTGTCGCCGCGCAAGAAAGATTGAAAAGTCACCCCAGGGTGGACTATAAAGTTCTCGATATTTCGAAGGATCCACTCCTGCAAGGCTTTTCAAAGGAATCATACGATCTCATAATTGCTTCCAATGTCCTACACGCTACCCCAAGCTTACATGAAACCCTAACCCACGTGCGTACTCTTCTTCATCCGAACGGACATCTTTTCCTACAGGAACTCTCGCCGCAAATGAGATGGGGAAATATGCAAGTATCACCGTCACTGTGCGATTTGCAAAGAGTTTTGACTGATACGGGATTCTAGAATAATGGGTATTTTACCTGGATGGTGGCTTGGAGAGGATGACGCCAGGATCGATGAACCTTACGTCACTCCTGAACGTTGGGATCGAGAACTTAAAGATGCCGGATTCTCAGGAGTCGATGCTTTGGTTTACGACAGCGAGAAGCCATATCATGTCAATGCTAATATTGTGGCGAAACCACGAACGAAAATCGCAAAGCTTCCAAAGAGAGTCACGCTATTGCACGAGCAGGACCAGTTGCTATCATCATTTCTCGTCAGAATCATAACTCTACTTCAAAATACAGGACACGAGGTGGATCTTCGCACACTTGGGCAGGGCGTTCCTCGTGATCAGGATATAATCTCTGTACTCGACCTTGACTCGCCATTTTTTCACGAGCTTGATCAATACCAAATGTCCACGTTTCAAGCGATGATTGGAGGCATCGAATCCCATAGCATGTTGTGGGTTACTAGATCAATCCAGATGAAATGTTCTGATCCTAGATTTGGTCTCTGTCTCGGAGTATTTCGATCTTTACGTCGAGATCTTTCCATTGCCATTGCGACAATTGAAATCGATTCTGTGGACGCTAGTGCTTGTTCGGCAATCTTGAAGGTCTACGAGAAGCTCCAAAACCGAGAAATTACAGATATAGATCCAGACTATGAGTTTGTGTTCTTCCAAGAGGAATTGCACATTGGACGGTTCTATCCAGTCTCAGTAGTAGACGAGCTCACTCACGATGTCAGCAAATTGTACGCTGCAAGGGTGGAAGTCGGAGTACCTGGGCTATTACAGACTTTGAAATGGGTACCTGTAGAAGACTTCAGTCTTGCCGATGATTACATTACGATTGAAACGAATTGTATTGGGCTCAATTTGAAGGTGAGATGTGCTCGTGCTCCTCTCTCTAAGTTCATCACATAATACCACGAACAAGCACTGAAGTACTGATTTTGCTCTACAGGACGTTTTAAATGCATTGGGAATTCTTGGGGGGGACGGCATCGGCCTTGAGGGAGCCGGTACGATCACTCGAGTCGGATCCAAGGTAACAGAACTACATGTTGGAGACCGTGTTCTGTTCGGTAACATGTCCGAGCGTCCGTGTCTTGCGACTCATGTCACAGTTCCTGCTCAGAGCTGTGTGATGATTCCCTCGACTTTAAGCTTTGAAGCGGCAGCTACTTTGCCGGCCGTCTACATGACGGTCATACACTCGATACTAGATGTAGCAAAATTGTCCAGGGGTCAGACGATTCTCATTCATGCTGCATGCGGTGGAGTCGGTTTGGCCGCAATTCAGGTTTGTCAGAATATTGTTGGAGCTGAAGTACGTGACATAGCGGAATCCCTACCAATTTTCACCCTTTTGAAATCTTGATTCTGATTGTAGACCTAGATTTTTGTCACGGTTGGAAGCGAGAAGAAGAAGCAATATCTTATGAAACATTTTGGAATTCCCGCTTCCCACATCTTCTACTCTCGAGACGCTACGTTTTTACCAGGAATCATGACAGCAACCAACGGAACCGGTGTGGATTTGGTTTTGAATAGCTTGAGCGGCGAGTTATTGCACGCTTCGTGGCAATGTGTCGCAGAATTTGGGAAAATGGTTGAGATTGGCAAGCGTGATATTATCGGCAAAGCAACCCTACGTTTAGATCTATTCGCCGGGAATCGAGGCTTCTTCGGAGTTGATATGACCAGTTTACCACTGGAGAAAGTGCGCACGTATGTTATTCTTTGGCTCCCTTTTCTATAACCATAATGGAAATGACGACGCTGATTCTTCGAAGATTAATGTCTCGGATGATTCAATACTTTGAGGCGGGTCTAATCACACCCATTACACCAATCAAGGCCTTTCCAGCAGCAGAAATAGCAGATGCTTTTCGTTATCTACAGAATGGTTCTCACATAGGAAAGATCGTGGTAAATATACCAAAATCAATAGCAGAAGAACTAAGTTTAGAGAATTCGGTCGAAAAGCTTCAACTACACGCAGACTTCAGCTATCTACTTGTTGGTGGCTTCGGAGGTTTGGGTCGAGCGACAGCTAGCTGGATGGTAGAGAATGGGGCACGACATTTGATATTCTTGTCGCGCGACGCTGGTAAGTCTGAAAATGACCAAGCTTTCGTTCGAGAACTTGAATATCAGGGTTGCAACGTACAAGTATTTGCCGGAAGTGTTGTGAATCTTGGTGATGTTGCCAATCTTGTCCAAAAGGCATCAAAACCTATCAAGGGTGTGATTCAAATGGCGATGGTAATCCGCAATCAAGACTTTCTCAGCATGAAGCACGAGGAGTGGGAGGCCGTGATTCTGCCAAAGGTCCAAGGATCATGGAACCTACACCAGGCACTGCCGAAGAATATGGATTTCTTTGTGGCCACAGCTTCAATTAGTGGGACCTTCGGTTACTACGGCCAGGCGAACTATGCAGCTGGGAACACATTTCTCGACGCGCTGGTCAGCTATCGCAACAATGTGTTGAACTTGCCAGCTGCAGTTATTGATCTAGGTGCGGTCGCAGAGATTGGCTACATGAAGGAAAATTTCGCCGATCAGGAAATGTATCGACTTTCCGGTAATCATTACATCTACGAACAGGCTTTCCTTGATTCTATCCACTGGGCAATACGCAAATGTGACTCCCGACACGCCGATGGAGATGGACGGAATCACATCGTGATCGGCCTTCGCTCTAAAATGCCCCTGTCTGATCCTCAAAATCGCATTCCGTGGAAGCGAGACGCTCGGGTAGGTATCTATTATAATCTCAACTCCAGATTTCAGAACGAGGATGCCAGCCACGCTACATGTGATACATTGCAGTCTGTCATGTCCTCAGTAGAGGATGATCCGTCTCTTCTAAAAAACAGTGAGCTGGTGGAAACCTTGTCTTTGGAGATTGGGAAGCAAATACACATCTTGATGCTCAGACCTGGGGAAAATCCGGACCTCTCTCAAAGTCTTGATGATCTGGGGATGGATTCATTGATTATGATTGAAATGAGAAGTTGGATACGGCGTAATATAGGTGTGGAAATCAGCACCTTGGAACTCTTAAGTTGTGGCACAATTTCTGGAGTTGGATCACTAGTGCTAGAGAGGCTACAACGGAAATTAAGCACAAAAGAAGGGAGGATTCTGAGGTAGCCTTAGTGGCGTCAGAAGACTTGGAGGGTCATGGGGACAGGAAAGAGTATCAAAGAGTCATCTTGATACATGAATGAACGAGGCATTGTCCACAGCCTCGGATTTAGGTTAGGGTATGTACATAGCGCTTATGCGAAACGAAGACCATCACGAGTCTTAGAGCGACTACTTTTGGCACTTACCTTTGAGACGAAGATGACCTCCCATTCAATTCCTGGCCTTCTCTTAGTTCATGAGAACACTTCGAATGTAAAATTGCTAGTTCAGGCAAGATCACGTGATGTACCAAGCCCTCATTCAGTGTCGACCATCAACCGAAGGCCACGTCAGGCACGCGACCACATCTGCATCACTACTATGTACTACGTAGTAAGTCTAAAACATTCTAGGACCAAGCTATTCCTTCTTCGTATTAAAAAATCATTCTAGAGCCGAAAAGGAGGTTTTGTCCACCTTGTACAAAATGTGACGATACCCAATGCGGTACCACAGCGGCAAAGACGAAGGCGGGCTGCTCGCTATATTATGCTATATTTTCTGCATTGACATGAGCTCCCGGATTATAACGTGCAGTCGGTATTTGCAGGGATCTGAAAATATAACGTAGGACGTTTATCAGGCTTTGCGTTTGTACATAGTATGAAGGAGTTGAGGATGGCATCATATCAGACCCACACTGAGGTCACTGCTCCGTCACAGCCCTGAAACTGCTGGCATCGTCATTCTCCAAACAGTATATAAAACCATTTTGTCTGAACATCTTCAAATTTTCTAATCATCTCTACGCAAATAAAACTGTCAACCTATTCCACATACGCACACACGCACGCACACACACGCACGCACACACACGCACGCACACACACCCACACACACGTGCCTCCACAACAACAAGACATAATGGCCTCGTCCGGCTCCGCCTCCTCCAACGTCGGCTCCCGACAGCTATACGAAGACGGCGACCAACGCAAAGATCCCCAATCCGAGATTCAGGAGCGAGAGCGATATAAGGAGGGTCAGCCGGGAAGTCACTTGGCCAACGACTCTAGTATGTCCCCTTTTCTTAGGTATTTAAGATGGTCAGGTGAAAGGTGTGCCTAACATCAGACAGAGGATCAGAGATCAATTGCCAATCGTCTGGCGCGCGAAGAGCAGCGATCGGCCAAGAATGAGCAGCCGTATGATGCTGAAGCAGAATTGAGTAAGAAGGATCCTACTGCGCCGGTATGTCTTCTTCCTCTCTGCAGTTCTCAGGGGGTTAAACTAACGTACCTATTCTCAGGCCAAGCTTCATGGCAACAAGCCCTCGAAAGGGGCACAGATCGACGCTGAACTCCAGGCTGAGGATGAGCAGAGACTTCGCGAAAAGAGTGGTAAATAAGTGATTCAGCGGTCCGGTCAATGTATCAATATAATTATAGACACGATAATGAATTAAAATTTAAGACATATATGTTCATATGGGAGTTGTAATGTACAGATTATTTATGAGATCTATCATCAGTCGTTCAGCCATTAAATAAAGTATCTTCCGGGCCTGCCCGGAAATGCTCAAATGCAATCATTCACTCCTTTTTCCTTCCGACTCGGTCTCACCAAACTTCAAACCATCATTACCAGAACTCTGGAAAAGATACCTCCACCGCTCCTGAACATTGCCGCACACCCCATGTTTAGACGCTCATGCTCCAAAATAATTTTCGTAATTGCACGCAACCCATTTCACTTCTTCCCAATAGGCCCTTTCAGCGTCATAGCCGAATCTTTGAATTGCGTCTGTGTCGGCAGTCCATATGCGACCAGGGATAAAATCCGGGGCACCGTCCCATCTAAATCCGAAAATGTTATCGGATGCGTCGAATTTGGGATGACTGGCGTGAATGAAAAATACGCGTGGCGGGTTGGCTGCGTCAGGCTCTTTGACGCGCCACGTTCCTTCTTTTGTCAATTGGTAATCTGCGATTGGATCGGCTTKAGCTACAGCAGAAACAATAAAGTCGCCGCTTTCGGTCGTATGGCCAAGAGCACTAACCCGCTCGCTGACGGGGTAGACGGGCTCTTTTAATGCCGATGCTGCTTGGATAAAGGCTTCCTTGTCTCCCTGGCCGTCGGCGCCTTGTAGGAGCAAGGAAAAGTAATGTGACGGGCCGTGATAGTTGTAGTATGCGGCTAGAAGAAGAGTCAAGAAATGAGTTTTCTTCGAGATGAGAAATACGCCGGTCTTGGTAGCTGCGCGGAGGGTCATTGGTGGGATTTCTTGCTGCGAAATCTGATAAAAGAGCTGTGATGTAGTCGACGCTGAAAAGTCAGGCCAGGTGACGAGCCCGGTAGAAGCGAACGGTTCCGAATCCAATAAATCTTCCACGCGATACAGAGGGAAACAATCCGCATCCATCCAGACAACTTCCTCAAACGACGAGAACAAAACTGCAAATGTGCGGAATTGGTAATGCTCAATCTCGACGCCCTTGTGCTTTGTTGATCCCAGCAGCTCGGACAGGACGACGCATTTCGCGTTGTATTGCGGAAGGACCTTTTGGCATAGGTGATCCTCATACTCGCTTGAATCTCGCAAAAAGACTTCCACCGGCATGGTCGAATTATTGCGCCGGAGCATGCGCAGCTGAGCCATGAAGAGTGGAAAATAGGGCCCGCCTGCCATTGACACCAGCCCTCGTGATCCCGGTGTATGGATCGGTTTTATGATCTTGGATGTATGAATCTCCTCCACGAATTCCGCATGGGCCGACTTCATCGCTTCGATATGCTCATCCGGGAGCACCACCATGTCGGGACGCGGACCAGCTTCGAGCGCATTGAATGTAACCGGCTCCGCAAACCCATCAAGCACAATCGACGGACAATTGGGCGCATGGCGATCGAGAATCTCGCGAAACGAGGTCCAAAAGGCGAGTTGACGGCCACGGAACGGGTCGACGGGGGATTCGGTGAAGTGGGCATTGTAGAAGCGATTGTTTGAAGATGGTTTGCTGGAGATGTAGATGGAGAAAAATATGAAAAATAGAGCGGCCAGTATGAGACAAAAGGAGCGCAATCGCTTCCGAGGGCGCTGGACGGCCATGACTGGCTTCCTCTCTTAGAAACCCCTTGCGGCGCTCCGACCACAGCGAGATCGACCGGGTCGGAGTAAAGGGTTAAGAGCAGGAGGGGTAAAGCCACTCAATAGAAGTGCCGAGATGCATTGAAGTATAGTAGACGCAGGTAGAATTAATCGTAAGAATCGTGCAGGGAGGGAATCAGGCAATCAAAAGAGTTCTTCATCGTTTCGACTTCAGACGTTTTGTTCCTTTTGCTCCGGTTGCTTGCGGCTCGGCCAATGCGCTGCTTGGCCTCATCCGGTTAGTTGTGAGCACGTGAGCGCCGATCTTAGGGTTACTCAACCCTAACAAATCAATGATCAAGAACTTGCCAAGAATGAAGCTTGAAGATTGACTCAAGGAATCGAATGACCTCGGCTTACAGGGAATGCTGAAGAGTCTAGGGAAAGCCCGGACTTATTGGCTAGACTGAGCAGACTCCGCCGAGATCACCAAGCCAAGGTTGCAATGTCAATGCACCACTTCATGACCAACAGTCTCAAAGGCTTAAACGCGCCTATGGCGGACTCTGCTGATAGTCTGATCAGGTTCCTATCGGCTGGCGCGCGCGCTGAGTGGCCATCGAGAGACCCTAGACACTAGCCGGGCTTCTAGTCTTCTGCCGAATCCAGTGACGCTCATGCAAGCCAAATGGCGATACTTTCGACGTTTGCAACTCTCGTGCATGTATGTAGATTAATTTTTAATTACTTTGACTTTACACGAAACATTCATGCTTGATTCTTGATTCTTCCTAAATTGTTCCGGACCTTTCCATTAATTTCCTATCTCTAGTACGTAGAGATAGGGACTATCCACTTCTCCGTACTAAACTAGGAGGGTTAGTGCAGATGCTTGATCTCTTTCTCCGCCTCAAGCCGTTCTTCTACTACGTGCTACTAATACTACTATTACTACGTAACTAATCGTCTGTGCTACAGGGCACTCGGAGACCGTCCGAGTACTCGACGAACGCTCTACATCCAGCAAGTACATATATTACGTCGGATGTACTGCATTTACCGTTTATGTGCCAGTGAGTCCTAGCACAGTGTGGCAACTCCACAATTGGCCGTCCCACTCTTCATATCCCCATCCTCCTCATCCGGTTCCTTCTGCGTTTGAGCGCTATCTTTGACGACCGAGACTCGACCACGATCAACGCCTAAATACTCGGCCATCCTCGAGTCTTACCTTTGCGCTTTCTATTTTCCGTCATCGATTCAATTAGCTATTACTTTTTGCATGGAGCACACTGCGCCTGTTCACTCCTATTCTTTCTTTCCCTCAAATCAACCGCCGCCCCTCGATCAGATGCGCCATGTCGGAAGACGCCGACGTTGTCGCTGCTCAACAGCCCGCCCCATCCGCGACAACAGCGACCACCGCGCCGCGAAAGAAACGCAAGAGAAAGACCACAGGCGGCGGAGCCGCAGATGACTGTTTTACATGCTCCAGTGCCGGTCTGAATTGTGACCGCCGTCGTCCGTATTGCAGCCAGTGCCTCGATCACGGCAGGGATTGCGCCGGTTACAAAACAACCCTGACCTGGGGCGTGGGAGTTGCTAGTCGAGGCAAACTGCGTGGACTGACGCTCCCAGTTTCGGAGGGCATACAGTCGACATCGCCGCCATCACCCGCAACGAAACCTCGCAAGCAGAGTATCGCTGCACCAGCTACCACCAGGGCCAGAACGTCACCAGCCGCTCCAAAATCTCCCCGGAAGTCTCCTGCCGAATCCCCTGCGGTCGTCGACACAAATTATAGGTCMCCCGAGCCTGTCGCCGATACGATAAACGGAGCGCATCAACAACCGTCGACTTGGGGACCTCCGACACCACGATACCCAGCAACTACAATATCAGAAGTGATCTTTCCCGATCATCATAACCGCACTGCAAGCGATGGGTCGTTGGTTTTTCCCACAGATGGCCCATTCTATGCCTCACAGACCCCAGGGATACTGCCAACGTCGTCAGCAGCGCAACAGGCGTGGTTGGTTCCTATAAATACTACTCTCTCTGCATATCCTGCGGTCAGTAAACAAAACGCACATTATCATCATGTCCGAAATCAACGCCCTCAAACTGGCTTCTACACATGGTCACAGCCAATCACAGGAAAACGGCGCGCATCGTCAATTGAAGAAGACGAAGACATCACGCTAAACGAAGAAGAGGCAATTATCTCTCCGGTGTACTCGGAATCGGTATATATGGACCAATACTCGATCTTCGGCTATCAGCAGAATCAAGATCCCTGGAGGTTTTCAGCAAGTCCTTTTGCAAACTCGTTGCCAGACCAACTATTAGAACAATCAGTTGGCCGCACACCTCGAATACGATATTTGATCAGCTACTTTGCGGAAGTAATTGCTCCAGTGATAGTTGCCTTTGACCGGCCGAGCAATCCCTATCGAACACGCATTTTACAATTGGCACGCCATAGTGAGACCCTGCAACACGCCATTGCAGCTTTATCAGCGAGCAATATACGCCAGAGACGAGAGGAAAAGATCTTGTCTACCGAAAGGACAGAACAAGCCCGAAAGTCGTCATGGGCTCATCGCGCATTGACGGACGTCTCGTTTCAGGAACGACATGGAATTCTAGATTTTGCAGGGGATAACCGCGAAGAAGTTTTCCACAAGTCTGTGGCGATCAAATCGCTAAACGCCTTGCTCGCAGATCCGTCGAAACGGCACCATGATTCAGTTCTAGCTTCCCTGCTAATACTCTGTCTATTCCATGTATGTGAAACCGGTGTCGCGCAATTCCAAACCCAATTCGCTGGGGTCAGGAAACTTCTAGCTATGAGACATCGCATGAACATGCCCGAGTCGGAAGAGGCCCGGTGGTGTACGAGAATGTTCACCTGGTTCGATGCCATGACCGCCACTATCAACAATAGGGAAGGTCAACTGCAAGGCCTGTATTTAGATATGACTTGTGCGTCAGACGAGGAGTGGGCCATGGAGAATTTGGCCGGCTGCGACGGGCGATTATTCAAAGTAATGGCCCGACTAGGACGTTTGAATATGTTGAGCCAAAATCAGCATGTTGATCCTTCGTATAACATCGACATGCCTGCAGCTATGCCGGTTGTTCCTCCTGCATTGTCTCATTACACCCCAAACGGAATGAATGCGGCTTATGCAGCGACGCTTTATGCCCACCCTCAAGCGGCGCAATGGGGCAATCCCGAATTTTGGGCCGAATGGCACTCAATTCGCCAACAGCTTGAAAGCTGGCGACTCGATCCTACACAATTCGCCGGCGTGCATGACAGCAATCAACTCACTCAATCACCTTCCAATTCTTGCGGTTCGCTATCAGCGACTTCTGGGCCCACCATGATGTCTTCACCGACGACGCCGAATTCGAGTGTAACAGTGGCACCAAGTAACCTTGCTGATCTGTCCAACATCTCCGAAGCATTCCGATATGCTGCGTTGCTATACACAGAACGACTCGCACATCCTGACTTACCATCGACAAACCCCCGCATTCAAACCTTTGTCCTCACTGCGATGCACTATATTGCCGCCGTCCAGTCGGATGTATATTTATTATGGCCGTTATTTATTACGGGCTCCGAATGTGTATATGAAGAGCACCGTACAGCGATTCGCAATCGCTGCAAGGATATTCAGAATGACTCTGGTTTCTACAACAATATATCCTGTCTTGAGTTGCTGGAAAAGATCTGGGCTAAAAACCCGCCCGTCACGAGCCAACAACAGCAACACCTTTCTGTACCATATCAGAGTCATCAGAACCTATATCCGAATCATGGGTACTCAGGCACCCCTGTGTCGAATATGCGTGCTCAGACGCAGGACCCTGGCGCTGTATCTAACAGGATTCCCCAAGATGGCATTGGGTTCAGATGGCGCAGTATTATCGAAGGAGAAGGAGTCGACGGGGAGTACATGGTATTATAGCATGCATCAATATGTGACATGCATGCATATAGTCATCTGGAATGACCGCATAAATTTGCCCGGATTACAAAAATCTACATACGATTATGATACCTAATATATAGTATAATGATACTTTTTTCTACCTCAAATATTCGTCTGAGTTCACAGATGAAAAGCCATCATATCAACCCCTCAGCCTTCACCCACTGATAATCCAAAACCTCGCTAACCCTCTCCGCCTCTTTCATATTCGTAATCAACTCAATGGCATACAGCGACGCATCAAACGCACTCGTCAATCCCCCCGACGCAATAACCCTGACCCCATTGTCTAGGGTTCCAACATCCACAAACCTTTTCCGAACGACCTCCGTCGCGCCAGCACCATACAGTTTCGCGCATAATGCTTCTAATTCTTTGATGATGAAGTGGTGCGTCGTCACGCGCCGATTAGCGAGCACACCCGCAACAGCCAGGAAGAACGAGGCACTACAAATCGACAACAGCACCCTCGGCGGTCTCTCTTCCGTTGCAGGCCTGCTCGGCAACGCCGCAAACTCCTTTATGATCTTCCTAACCGGAAACTCATGCCATTGACTCAGTCTCTCCGTCGTAGCCCAATTCGCACCGGGCACAACCAATAAATCAACCTCGGACAATTCTTCGAGGACTTGGTCGTAGCTAATGTGTTGTTTGAACGTAAGACCCGACGGTGTGCTCATTGTCGCTGCATTGTCGGTCACGGAAGTGCCGGGACCGGCGACTTCGATGCGGAAGAGTCTGTTGCTTGTGGCGGGGTCGCGGGCTTGATAGATTGTTTCGTAGGGGCTTGTGAAGTCGATGAGATCGATTTGGTCGAAGGTGAGGATTACAGCGCGGAGTGGTTGGAAGGTGGACATTGTGATTTTACGTATATCAATATATGTAGCGGAATAATCCTAAGCTTGAATACTGTGAGATACTTTAATTATTGAAATTGATTGACTCTATATATGATGATAAAATTCAGACAAGGATCAGAGATCTATTGTTATTAGTTACCGCGCCCTGAATAAGTACACCGAGAACCGCGCATGCATGGAATTGTTGGTTGGCTAATTGAAGATTAGTAAACAATATGGGTCAATTCCCTCAATTCCCCTCACATCGAATCGCGGGGAGCATTGTGACATCAGATAGGATCGAATACGAATAATAACTTAGTCCGCTGGACAATGATGGAAACCCTAACTCTAGCTAACATACTATGTTGAGAACACACTTTAGGCTTTTCAAAAAAGTAGTGGTCCGGACGGTAAAAGATACGTATTTATCTTCTCCCAGTTTTGAAGATATTCACCGCAAACTATCGTCGAAAACTGCCTATCGATATAAATCCACCACACCATTCAACCATTCCCACAAAATCCCAGCGTGACCAAGACATCTCCACGAAATCCACATGCCGCCAACAAACAACATTCCCCTCCCAAGATTGAAAAAAGTCTGAATCTTCCAAATGAGTCTCACCGCATCCTGAAAATCCTCCGACGAATTACCCCTCGGAAAGTCCTCGTTATCCGGTACATCCTCACACAGGAACTCACACAGCGGTCCCCAGCCTTCCTCAATCCTGTACTCTAACAACCTCTCCTTCGGCACAAGGCTCCTTACACGATCGTAATGTTCCTGAAATACGCGTTTGACTATAGTTTCATCTAACGGTTTCCCATCAAACTTGTTTTCAAGTAAACGATGCATGACCCCGCGCCGTCTGCTTTCGGCAGATCGCGAAAAGGGGTCGAGTAAGAAGTTGAGAGCTGTAAGGTACCAGGGGGGATGTTGTGAGAAACGAGCTGCTTTGGACCACGAGTTCCAGAGTGCGTCGGGTGATTTGTTAGTTAGGATGACTTTGGTGTTTGGGTAGAGGTCTAGAAGTTCGGAGGCGAATTCGCTGAAGGGAATATCTGCGCCGGACTAAACCAGTTTCATGTATCAATGGGGATTAATGATAGCTTGAGGGTGAGACGGAGGTCTACCTGGTAGGAGGATAAGACGCTATCCCATTCATTCTTGGATATCTTTGGCCCGTCTTCGTACTTTGCCGCTACAGCGCGAGACCAGAAGTCGGTATGTTCTGGATGGTTTGCCCATTCGCTCATGTGGTAGCATTTTCCGTATCCGAGCCTTTCCAGCGCTTTCTTGAGGGCTATTCATTATTACTTGTATTAGCTTTTATACAACCATGATGTGGATCGATACATACATATCGTCCCAGTACGAGGAAAGCCTAGACATAGGATTTTCATCGGCACTTCTCTTGAGCCTTTTTTGGATTCACGTCTCCATGGTAGGAAAGAATCTAAGCTGCTGACTTCGTAGTTTTTGGATTTTTCAGCCATTTCTGAGTTGAATCAGATCTGATTTGTCTTTCTTCTTCTTCTTTTAAATCGAGTTTTGGGAAGAAAAGACTGCCAATTTATAGACGTATCATCTGACTCATGTTAATAAAACAGCCCCAATTTGACTAAGATTCAAGTCCACGGCGGCTTACAGAAGTCCAATTTATTTTTTATGTCTCGTATAGTATACATGTTGAATAATAATAATGTACAATATATTGTCCCGATACTTCCCCAATTAGGAAACCGATGAGGTCCCACAAGCATCGTCGCATAATTTAGGAACTAGAACTAGTTACTAAGCTTCAGGCGTTAGCTGAATGAAGAAACACGCTGAAAAACTGATTATTGCACTATACCCACCTCATCCTTCATATCTACATGAATACGCCCCCCAGAAACGCTTGATCTCTCATTTGAGGGATCGCGGCTAATGAACTGCTCATTCCGAATAGGGCAACTGATTCAGACCTGCAATTTTCGAAGTACGTAGGTAGGGTGAAGAATATCGAATGAAGCGGATTATATGTATGTACAAATTCCGTGAGGTATTGGGTATACTAGAAATCACTTAATAAAAATTATGAAAATTCCTTATTTGCAGATTGAGCTTGGCGTATTGGGGTTTTCTTGATGATATGTACACATACCTCGCTACAAAATTTTGGCTTGCACCGATAGATGAAGGCCTGGTTGTTCCTCACACCTGGAAATTATCAGCTAAAGAGAGAGACTACTTATATCACGTTTATTATCATGTATTCATTCATTCTTGTCTAACCTTGAAAAAATCTAGGCGGAAGTGTGATCTAGGTACTCAGACGACATCTGCGCATACATAACACCAAAATATTTCACATCTAGAATTGATGCTTACCCAGTTTCTTACCTAATATATGTTCTCGAAATTTCTTTTTACCGTACTTATGACCTGTCTGAGCTTCACTCAAAGTTGTTTATGCTCAATGACAATTATCTGAATCGGGTTGTAGATTTTCGGTCTAGGATCACCGAATCACCGGATCACCGAATCATGACAGGATTTATAACGATAGAGTCCCACGTGAATTTTCATGTTCTAACAGAATCATTCCTCTGTTGATTCTTTTGCATTCGTTCATCATTCCTGAATCTAATCAAGATGGTACAGTTCGATGGCCCTCATGGAAAGCTTGGACCCGGATACTTTTACCGTGGTGCCCGCAACCCTCCAGCAGAACCCACCCAACGATTTGATGGAAAGACGGTTCTCGTGACTGGATGTAACACTGGTGTTGTGAGTCAGCTCATCATATTCCTCACTTAGTTCACGAACATCTAACGGAAGATTGACCAACCTTTAGGGCTACCAAGCGGCCGTGAAAATCGCGGCCCTGAACCCCAAAAAACTGATCCTAGGCACTCGAACATTGGCCAAAGGCGAGGCTACTCGAGACAAAATCCTAAAGCAAGTACCATCAATCAACCTTTCGGCTATAGAAATATTCGAAATCGAATATACATCCTTCCGTTCCGTCAGCAAATTCGCCGAAGCAATCAAGAAGTCCACTACCACTCTTGACTGTGTCCTTCTCAGCGCCGGTCTCGTCAACCCCTCTTACGAAGCCACCAATGAAGAAGGAGTCGGGAGCTGGGATATGGGTATCAAAGTTAATGTCTTGTCAGCTGCATTGTTGGCAATTGAACTTCTCCCGCTTTTGAGGCAAACACCTGGAAGTGTCCTGAACTTCGTGGGGTCCACTGGGTATTGTAATGTGACTAGTCAACAATTCAAGCCTATTCTTGAGAAGATTTCGAACGGCCAGTCAACGGAAGACGTGAGTGTATTAGAATTTTTCAATGATGAGCAGCGTTGGAACCCCGAGGCCGGATATTGCGAGGCGAAATTGTTGCTCATGTTTGTTCTTCAGGGGCTCGTGAAGTCTCTTGGTGGAAGCCAGGGTAAACTTCCTGCTTCAGGAAACGGTCCTGTACTTTTGGCATGTTGCCCCAACCAAACAAAGACCGATTTAGGAAGGAACTTTCCAATTGGAATGAAAGTGTTTATGTTTGTTTGGAACTCTGTTCTGGCGAGGACAGCAGAGCAAGGGAGTAGGACATTGGTGTCTGGGTTGACCTTGGGCGAGGAGGCGAATGGGAGACTGTGGGTGAATGATCGATTCGATGATCGATCCCCTAATATCACGGCAAGTGAGTGGGAAGTATTGCAACAGGTGGCTTGGAAGGAGATTGTGCAGGTTTTGAAAGCTTATAAGCCCGATTTGACAGTCTGATCTTTATTCCTAGAAACTCAGCAATGCAAGAACACAGGTCCGTCAAAGATCTTATACCATGGAAAAAAAATTTAGACTTAGGGGTAGAAGTCAACCCTGTAGTGAAAAATAAAGTAGGACGCGACCGGGGTCGATCCGATGACCTTAAGATGGTTGTATAGATGAATATACTGCAATCTCACACTCTACCTGTAATTTTATTAACAATTTTCTAGATACACCAGATTAGATGAACATACCACTGAGTTACGCGTCCTGTTGGGAGATCATCGCGTCGGTAACGGCACCCTCTACTCTCTGCGAGTCTACCTTGACTTAGTCGCATGGAGCAAGAAGAAACGATACAAAACATATTCAACCTGGAAAATCGAAATTAAGCCAACAAAAATCATGTGATACCATGATTTGGACATTATTATATAAATCAGGTAGAGGACGAGCTTTCATGGTTAGTGCGGTTGTCTGGACGGTCACAGCTACGTAGGTATTCGATACCTAGGTACACTTTTTGATTGCAGTCTTTAAGCCCTAGCTGGTGGCACCGACATGTGAAGTGTTACTACCTACCTAGGTAGATTGAGATGTTGACTCATATCCTGCATACTCTGTCACGCGCCTATCATTGAGACTTGGAAGACCTCTAGTAATTAGCAGATACTTATTAGTAGTTGTCCTTGACTTCTGTATAAAATGCCCTCTATTCCCTACGACCTGTTCAACTATGTACATCGAGTGAATTATGTTCAAGAATATAAGCATTGCCTTCGAAAGTAGTGTTTCGAAAGCTCCATTTTAGGTATCTATTCTCCAGTGCCGTAGTTGATGATAACGTCGTTACCGCTAAGGTAGGCAGTAGCAAGAACATCGCTACCCTGAACCATATCAGCAATGTTGGAGTTGCCTGCTCCCCAATTCTGACCGCTGACCACACATTGAGTGTCAGCCCAGTAGACCTGACCAAAGTTGGCAAAGGGAGCAAGGACATCGCCAGTAGATTCGATGAGGGTGAAATCTTCAACAATCCATTCAGCGGTACGTAAGCACAGAGCTGGTGACTCGCCGGACCAGGTTCTGGTAACGCTGGCACCAGTGGCCGTGTTTGTAAGTACGGCAGTACCGCTGCTGGTGCTGGTCGCAGTGACACTGACACTCACCAGGTCACCTTGAGAGACCTCGAAGTTCTCAAAGTTGATTTGGTATTCGGCGGGCCACCATTCAGACCAGGGGGTGTAAGTTACAGCGCCGTTTTGGATACACCAGTTGACTCCGGCTTGGATGAGACCACCATTGCAGTCATTGCCCCAGCCATCAATACCGACCCAGGCCGTGCCACAGTACGAGGTGGATGGGTCACCACCAGCTGGCATAGAGATGGCGGGGATTTCAAATGCGCCGCTGACATAAGTGACATCAGTCTCCTCAGTAATGGCGCCAGCCCAGTTGGTATCGGTGTAGTCAATTGTGGCTGCAATACCAGGGCGGGTTGTGTTGGTGTAAATGCCTGGACGCTCGGTAGTACTAAATCCACGACGAGCAGATCTGGGAATTGCCATGGCAGTGCTGGCAAGCAGCAATGGCATGAACTTGCTGATAGAAGGCATTTTGATTGATCTGAGGCAACGTCTGACAAGAAGGTATGAGAGACTAATTGGGTACGACGAATGACAAAGTAGAAAGGATGAAAACGAACGGCCACTGAGACCTTTTATAATCAAATTCCCCTGCTCTTGTCATCTTTTTGACCATCAGTTTTGGAGCCTTTGAAGAGGCCCGCCCACGGAGGGTGTCGTCGTTCCCTCACGCATAACTCGCTTCGCTTCCGACTATACCAGAATAAGTTCCTAGGTAAGCCCTAGTGGGATTCATGTATGCCTTAAAGTCATGACTAGGATCTAGCCAGCTCCAAAAGGGATGAAATTTCTAGCTAAATCAACCTCATGACTCCTTTGGATTTTATTGACTGGAGAATTACTATTGCAAACGGAATAAATTTTTGCAGAGAGATTGATCTAAGCATTGGAATTGCAACCTGGATGCAAGCCACTCCATATTGGCAACGTTCCTATAAACGCCACGGCTTAACTATTTTGATATGCTTACGGTCTCGTTCAGGGAAAGTAGACTGAAGGGGGAGTGATTAGCTGACAGCGTGTCTGAATTGACCAAGGATTTTGCTTTTTCAGAAAGGCTTGACTTGAATTGTGTCCGTAGATTGTAACCCTATTTCCCCTAAGCTTGATAGGAACTGGTAAGTGGTGCGACGCTATCTCCGCTGGGGCTGAAATCTTACCATCTCGAGGAGTCTGCAGTCATCACAATTAAATCAAGTACCACTCTTCAGACATACCTTTTCTTTCTTCAGAAAATCTTCAGCTTACATAGTCGTTGCATAGTATTATTAATATTGTGACTAATTTGTGTCGCATCTGCGGTGCGCCATCGGACCCTCCCTAGATTGGTGCTTGTCGTCCGTCTTGAGGCCTTCGCAATTTGCTGAATTGAAATTACCTTAGTCAAGGCGTTTCTGATTCCCAGGGGTTCGGGTAAAATCAGTGCTTTAGACAATATCTATTTATTAGCATATATGAGTTCCATTCAGAAGTGCTATTTGAACTGCTTGTCGAACTCAGCTGTCGTTAACTAGGTAAGTAGCCCATGACTAAACGTTCTTGCTGATACATTCTTACAGCGCTGGGATTTTGTAAGCAATCCATAGATTTTCATAAACAATGTTGAATGCTTCTTCGATTCCTATCACATTTTGAGATTATGGCTGACCTGCTCAATCCTCAGAGGTCTTCGATCCTGAAATACAACAATCATGCTTTCATTCTGTTTCACACAGTATATTTGAGAGTGAAGCTTCATCTTAGGGCAAATCCCTGTGTTTAGCCGAGAATCACAGCTGGTGGAATGGGTGTTTTCTCTCTGCCTCGTCTGATCGTCTTCTAATTGCCCACACCGGACCTTGTCCATGACCATGGCACAGAAGAAGCTGCCATTTGATCATAATTTGAGATCGTACTGCGTATCAAGATTTTTATCATTTAATGAGTGGCAGGKTCAATCCACTTTATCACAAGCACGAAGATATGGTCGAACTATAGATCATCGAGGAAGAATTGCAAGATCGTGCTTCAGAAACAGTATCCTCAGCCTTAACTTTTGCCATAACAGTGCAGCTCTAAGCACCCTTATATAGCACGCATCGCTAGGTAGCACTTAGGAAGCAACGACAGGTCACACTGGCTAGGACTGAGAGCTTTGATAATCTCTGAAGGAGATATGGGCTTTGTGTAGGGAGTTCAAGAGGAACGACACGAGGGCATGAAGTCCATGCAGCTTATTCCTCATCATTGCATAGCAAAGGCATCAAAACCAAAGGCAAACTATCGCGCGACAGTTCTGACCGAGCATAGTCAGTCCGTTTGAGAGCCCATGCTCGAGAGTCTTTAAGCTTAAGCAATGAGACAACGTCATGATCTTTCGTCATGACTGACTCCTGAAACTTATATAACCCGTTGACTCATCTCCTAATAATATGGCTTACGAATTGCTAATATAACTACAAGCAGAACTTTCTTGTCCTGATCTCATGAAAAAAAAAACAGCCATATCAATAAGACTCAGTGTGATGAGGGAGACGATCCCGGGGAATATGATCTAAGACTGAACTCAACACGAAGAAAATTAATTTGTTGGCACATTTTGTGCGGCTATATCGAAGAGTCTAGCGAGATATCAATTTTAAGAGAACTCAGCCATATGCTTAGCTCGTGCAAGATATAGTAGGGGTATGTAGGGGCATAACGATGTGTTGCAGTCGTGAAGTCGTTTAACTCAACATAGATAGAAAGAAAATAACTAAAATTCGACACAAATGATGAGAGTATAGATAGGCCCGCGCAGTCCTAAGTTGAGTGACCCTGCCCTAATTCTTACCCTAAGTATCCAAACCGTCGTCTCTCACTCACCTTCCTCATTAGGAAGTAAACCCACACACGACACAAATTGTTAAGAGCAATGTATTTGACTTACAGGTGTAACATATGATATCATTTTCGCTCAAACAAATGCAAAGAACAAACCTCAGCCATGAAAGCCTGAGTCATTGGGTGGGAGCAGCCCAAACCAAAACCCCTCCATCGTCTCTCGAATATTTTACCGCTACCATATGCAATGCTGCATGAACGCCCAACAGAAACAACGGAATTTTTTCCTTCTTGCTATCATCTGCTTTTAGTTTAGATTTATTGTTTAAAATTTCCAAGTACACTTGATGATATCATTTCTGTATCTGTTTTATCGATGTTTTCTGAAATTTAATGCCATGTCAGCGTAATAAGTAATTCGAAACTTCAGGTGAATATTCTATCGTTGACTGTCTTGTTGCAACGAAAGCCATGCTCCGATAGTCCTACCTCCATCTATGCGTACGCGAACGATCTTTAAGCGAGGAGTGACCTTAAAAGTTAGGGGTGATGAGAGGAGGGGTAAGTCGGCCGACGTTCTTATGTTGGTTGGAAACTTCAATTTATGCATAGTCCGATCTAGACCGGACTAGAAGACACCAAAGACTTGGAATTGTTCTTATTTGCGCCAATGATGGGCAGGTGGCCTAAGTCCATGGGTCATTCCAAAATATCGATGCCGATTTAATTTGAAAGTTGCGTTACCGAAGGCTTTATTCTCATTGTTTCTACATCAAGCTAAAAAAGATGAATGAAAGGAAATAATCTACTTTACTTATCGATAACGTCAATCGGAACATGCAGGCCATCTGCAGCCAGTTTATAGTTACTCTATGCGGTAGTTGGTTTACTTCCACCTGCATGCATCATGCAGAGATAGATACACTGTACTGTATGTACGCGTACATACGTACAAACGCAAACACACACACAAAACAGCAAACGAAAGATATTTGAGATAAGCGAGATTAATTATGCTAGCCCTTGCAAGAGAATAAACAAACCCACTTCTCTCGACGAGGAAGGAATCCAATGTGTAGGCAGCAAACAAATTTTACGGCCAGGGGCAGCAAGGGGTAAGACTGACCCCTGGTTGCTATTGGTCTATCATTTATCAGTTTGGATGAATCAATTCTTGATTCCTGTTATGGCATGGTTAATAATCGTAAAATCCTTTGATTGTTCTTTGACTAAGATCTGGTTGACATCGTAGCAGTCCTAGCCCTAAACCCTGGTAAGCGATTCTTACCAACAATACGTGGTGTCCACACCAATTGTCTTTTGTCGCATCATTGTAATTTAGTCAGTATCATACCAAGCTATTCACTATTTAATCACGGTGTCAGATATGCATGAATGCCGCCATTGCAGAGTTAGATTATGAATGGATACGTAGTTATCCCGATATATCGACTGGTCGGCCCACAACACAAATGCGTTTTTCGAACCTCCCTCACATAAAATATAAAGAAATAATAATACGAAGTTAATACCTGAGCAAGGTTTGACCAAAACAAGATCTATATTTACGAAAGTGTGTGTACACTTCATGGTGTTCAGCGGAATTCGTGCCCAATGTTTGTTGATGTATACCCGATCAGGTAATTTGGTGGTAACTGTAACTTTAAACGTTTATTCCGAGTATTGTTCAGATCAAGTCTAAAAAGTCGGTGAAAGGTTATAAATCTGCCTAGGTAATCATTTACAGGACGTAGACAAAAAAAACGTGCATGGAAAGGATGACTTCCAAGTTGAATAAACTTCGCAGGAGCGATTGTGCGATTTATATTTCCTATCTCGTTTCCGTACCAATCGCAATTAAGATTAACGGCGGTTTATCACTTAGCCCTCTCATGGATATTTGTTTTTAGACCCAAACGCCCGGGTTTGAAGCTGCCCTAACAGTACTACATACGTACGTATTGTCATGGAGGATGCGCTTCTCATGCACGAGCTGACTTGACAACTCAACTCGATCCATACCAAACCGGTTCGAGTTTACCATCAATTTATTTGATTGCTGTTAGAACTTTAGCTGCAGACTTGGCCTGCATAAACACTACTGCACACTCCGCCTCTAGAAAACCTTGTGTGCTTGTCTGGTTTGCGGCCTATCAATCAACATCAAGATCAACGATTTGCACGAGGCGGTCAGGGTTACCGGGTTAATGACAGACGCTAACAGTTAGGCGCAGTATCGGATAGCGGTGACTGCATCATGCATATTTGTTGTCGACTTGTTGTTTTAAGGCTAGTTGTTAATAAACAATTGGCGATGCTATATATACCGGTCTGAAGGTCTCCATAAATTCGGTACTGTGTGTTGTTCGTAGCGGGCCGTTTATTACCGGTCCACATATCCACCTCTTTGCGAGAAAAGTTGATCAAAAGTCTGGTCGAGTGAGATAGCGTCCGTTGTGGGCACTGGGCAGAGCATGTCAATAGTTTTATTGTGTGTACAGATTGGATCATGCCCGTTTGTGGATGTTGTATTTTTGGTTGCTTCACGGATACGGTTACGGTACCAAGATTTCTCAACGACTTGGTTCCATGGTACTGATCTCGAATTCTGGACATCAGTTGTGAGACTGCTTTGTGGCTGAGTCGATGATGAGACCATTTTCTAAATGACTCACTGAATGATGACCGAAGGTGTCTGCCTTTTGCACCGATACCATTCGCGGTTGTCGGAGGCAAATCGACTCCTGTATAGGAGGCGATACTTTGTCCTGATCCATAACTGCTTTTCCTGGCTTGATATGTTGACGCCTAGAGAATATGACTTTGGCGATAGGTATATGGCGGCTCTGAAAGGCTCATCGCTTGACAACTCATCAGTCACCAGACTCCATCTTCTGCCATGTGATTGCGGCGGATATGAGTCAAAAACTTTCTTGTAAACAGGTGTTGGAACATCCTCCAGTAATACTCATCAACAGATGAAGGTGATGCGAGTGGCAATTTGTAGGCCAAAATCTTGGTGATATAGCAAAGAGAAGGAGAAGTATGAACAGAACCAAGAATAAACAGCCACAAGCACATGACCAGCTGACAAATCGGCTTGTCCGGGCTAGACGCCACAGCGTTCAACCAACCACAGCGTAGATCGACATTGCATAGAACACGGACAGCTGAAAGGCCTCTTCTCATTGGCATCACCGTCGTACTCCGTAAGGCTGCATCAGCTGAACCAATTCGACGTATTCCCGCGATAAGAGGGGCTGTCTTATCGATTGGACCTCATCTGAGTCTTTGCATGAGCCCTGAAGCCATGCAGTATGCGCATTCCATGCACGTATACGCGCCGTGCTGAACGGGGCCAAAGTGCGCAAAATTACAGCAACATAAAATTTAGGAATGTTCAACAAGTCGGCTGATATGCTGTGGATGTTTCATGTTCAAGCATGGCTGAGAAATCTATTTTTTTGTTACTTCTTTGTGTGTGTGCTGCCGAGAATAATTCGGGCGGAAGAACAATGGGACAAAGAGTACGCGTCTAAATAAGGAATGTTATTGGATGCCGCTTTGTTCACCCCTTGTCATGGCACATAGACCACCACACCACCAGAATATTCGTTTTTGAACAATGCTTGTATTTTTGAGGGCTTGTGTCGTGGTATTTGTCGATTCGGGCAAACTCAAGGTATGGAGAATCACAACCATGGCTGCCTAGATATCGTTACACGTAACAGGATTCTGACCGGATTTCTTCTCGGATGCTGCGCAACATGAATGGGCTATCACTAGAATTTCGATTGATTTGTCGGCGATAAATCCAGGATTTAAGCCGGTCTCACAAAGTCCGAGGTACAGTGTCTTTTCCCCTTCTCGGATGTGATATCAATCCTACAGGCTACTACCACGCTTGTGACACGGGGGTGGCAAATAAATATGTTGCAGTTGCTCATTCCGGTTGATTCCATTGGCATGGAAGAGATCTTGCATGTGAGTCTATCTTGCAGAAACTCCAGTTCTCTGCGCTTTTCCTAGGTACGTATGTACATAGTAATAACTGGTAGGCAACCATGACACTGATTCACGTAATACTCATGTGGCAATCAACGCTAATCCTCCCTCCATTCGTTCATCCGTAAATGATGCAGGATGAAACAACCTCCGTCTGCGGGCCTAGTTCGCGGCCTACCATACTAGACTATTCCGTACGTAGTAAGAAGAAGAAGGGAATGGGTCTCCGAAATCCCGGCACTTTGAATCCCAAACTTTGTTTTTTCCAGAAGCTCCGTAGTCACTAGTTAGGTGTGTAATGGAGGTCCAAGAAAAAGGGGGAAACGGCAAAAGCCGTGGTTACTAACTGGCCTAGAGCACAGCCTCGTCGATATACGCACTACGCTACATGAAGGTAATGCCTCAACAGAAATGTGGAATATCTCCTCGGTATCCAATAATGCGATGGGATTCAGAACCTTGAAGAACACGGGATGAATTTCTGTTGCAAATATACGACCGTGGTAGACGGCAGGTAAACTTTGCCAGGGTATGTATTCCGTGTAATCCGCATTGATTATTGAGTCAAGGATGTCTGTATACAAATTGATTACGATCGTATTGGCTGTTTTGACTTGCAAATAGGAGCCGATAGCTGTAAATTTGTTAAATGACTGGCTGATCTGTGCGAGACAAAAATTTTCACTTGGTACGTGCTCTCATTAAGCGAGGAGGCTCTGTGTAGAAGAAACTTGACGTGTAGAAAGTTGGAATGAAGGGCAGGGAAAAAACAATCAACAAAATTCAAGTTTCTGAAGTTATTCCCCATGTCGCATCTACGAATTTCTGGACTGATGAATGGACAGAATTATGGAAAGTGCTAATTAAAAGATTGGAATAAATAATGGTGTGGTGAGCTTTGACGTGAGGGTTAGGCAAACCCTCGGCTGAGTGGCCTAATTTGCGCCATGCGCCCACCACACGGAGAGAATTCCTTTAGCGTTCTGAGGGCCAAAACGGAAAACCAGTACCAATCACCCAAAAATATACGGGTTCGTTTGTGTAGCGTAGGGTTGGTGACCTCCCTGTTCAGTACCAGCCTCCAGCATGCTCGGGCCAGAATGAATCACACATAACTTAGACTACAGAATACACTCCGCGTTGGGATCTAAATTCGCTTGAGTGACTCATGGATTGAGTCATATTAAGGAAATAATAATTGGTCTGCCTTGCACGCAGGCACAGCCCGGAAGTTGTTGAGTTGGCAGTCAGATGAAGATGTTTTGGGCTGCAATCGATATGTTTCTAGTTTGGCAGTCTGTACGGAGAAGTTCCGTACGGTATAGTAAGAATGAGTGGAGACGGTGGGCTGCTAAGATAACACTAGGAACTAGCGCTAACGCCACGCCCCGAAGGGCTAATAAACTGTCGGGTAGCTGCCGCCAGGCCCCGGCGCACTAATACACTAGTGCATGGTACTTACGTCGTATGTTCCAGCATGTACGGTAATTTATTACCAATCGATGCCTGGACTCTTAGGCCGCTCGTTCCTTGCACCCTGCAGAGTGCAGACTGATAAAACCAAGGCCCCATCTCCCGCATGCCCGCTTCCTCCTCTCTTTCTCTCTCTTCTTTCCTCCCAGCCACTGGCTTTTCACAACCATACCAATCCAACAGGAAAATCTCTACTCAACAAACTGCCGATATTCAGGTGTTCGTGTGAATAAACTGAATATACCAGCTTCCAACGATTCGAAACTATACTTGAGAGGGTTCATCCATTAGACCCTTTTGAGTAACCCATACGAAACAGCGAGAGAATCATCTCGGGTCCTATTCTCGCCGGATCCAGACTCTTCCACAACGAACTCGTCCACCGTGTTCGCTTGCCACAACGCTCAAATGCCCGTGCAGTCCAGACACGCTTCTCTCCTCTCCTCTCCTCGACCGAAGCCCGTACCCCGGTGACGGTCCTACTTCCAGCTATTTGGTTTGATTGTTTGCCACCGTGATTTCTGAGTCCGATTAGATATCCTGTACAATATAAGTGCTGTTTGTGTTTTGTTTTGCGTTTTGCATTTTCTGCGTTTTTTCTATTGAGTTGAGGGCTTTACTTTGCTTGCCAGTTTGGAGTCGACTTTCGATTTCGCATCCAGCATATCCATCTACCGGTTGTCAATGCACTCGTCTCGATAATGTATCACCAATCTACTCCGTCGCGCGGCGGATGGCCTGCGTACGACTACACCACCTCTCCGCCAGGCTCACCTTACTACCAATCTTTTTATGCTACTCCAACAAATGCATCACCTCGGGCCCCTCCCACCAAACGCCATTCTCGCAAAGCCAGTTATGCTTCGCCTAGGGAATCTGGATGGTACTCGGCATTTGCCCAGTATCAGGAACCCATCCCAGAATATGCGTCATCCCGCAAGTTCGACAATGTAAGTGCGTCTTTTGGTCAAAAGAAAAGAAAACATCGCGCTTCCATGCCGGGTGACGTGCCCTCCTATGGCAAAGGCAATGGCAATGGCTTTGGTTTATTTGGTTACGATTACGTCCGTCCCTCGCGTATGCCGAAACGACCTATCATTATTGATGTGGTTGACGAAGCTGACGATGAGCCGACTTACATCTACCGCGAGCCAAGAAGCGTTCGCTTCCAGCGATCTTCTTACACAACTGCTGCTCCACGCAAGTCAAAGGCGACCACTGATCCTTATTCTTTTTCTACTCAGGTTCCTCCCATCTATGAAGAAGATGTAAAGCGATCTCGAGCTCGTCGTGCTTCCACTTCTACCCGCACCTCTCCTCCGAAACCACCAAAGATGGCCGCGCCTCCCAAATCTCCGACCAAGGCTACCGAGGCCGATGCCGAGGCTGCTGGTATCCCCGCCGGTTATTCGATCAAGAACTGGGATCCGGATGAGGCCCCTATCCTCCTGCTTGGAAGTGTCTTTGATGCAAACTCGTTGGGTAAATGGATTTATGACTGGACTGTTTACCACCACGGCGCTTCTACTCCAATGGCCGATGTTGCGGGCGAATTATGGCTACTTCTTATTAAACTCGCCGGCAAAGTCAAGCGTGCGGACGAATTTCTTGAACGTACCAACAGTCGCGAGACCGTCGAACTCTTGGAGGATTTTCTCGACAGCGGCGAACGCCTGTGGAATCGATTCAAGACTCTGCTCAAGGATTGTGAGCAATTCATGTACAAAGCCGCCAAGCGCGAAACCGGCCGCAGCGCTCCAGTCTCGATGGGACGTAATGCTGGTTGCGAATTTGTCGAGTCAATCTTTGGACGCGACCGAAAGTTACATGACACAGAGAAGCTCATGAACAGCATTCGTCTGTGGGACATGCGGTTCGATGCAAACTGCGAGGCCATTCTCCGACCGTCTCGGAGATCCAGTCGTCGTCAGTCTACCGTATAAAACAACACATTACCTCTTCCTCCACCTCATCAACAACAACTACAAGAAACAAAAAAACTATTCAGCAATTTATTATCGTTTTGATTCGATAAGCCATTTTAGCGAAGGATAAAAGCTCTTTGATTTTCTGGTGGGAACTTGTTTGTTTTCTTCCAAATATTACAGGGACCGGCTTCATTGCCAACTGCATTTGCATGGATTCATCATTCAGCATATTATTCGGGGTGTCAGATAAACGCCTCGCATTTCATACATTTCCTTTGTCACAATCATTTCCTGGTGTTTGCCCTTATGTTTTTCATTTCTGTGCTTAGAGATACCCAATCTCGTGCTGTGGACCTCATCTTTGCGATGATACCCTTGATTTTATGTCTTATACTACATTGCTAATACCATATACCTATCAACATGATTATCGTCTCGTACTGTAATGGGCTACGTCAGGCCTGAGTAGAAAGTAGAAATACAAATTACCCCGCCCGCACGGCATCAAGTATAGTTCAGTACTACCCCAAAACGTCTAACCGCCATTCATTCATGCATGGAACATCGAAACTCTGCTTACTTCACGTATGTCGTAGCATGCAGAGTCCAGCGAAATGAGCCGATAGGCCGCTACCCCCAACCTAGCCCAACCCCATTCTGACCACTCATTGTCGTCATATTGGGCTAGGGCTATGTATAACCGCTTTGACGTTTACGGGACGTACATAAAGAGCGAACGGTTTGACGCGGATACTTATCGTGACACTAACGAGGGTTTGGTGCATTAGCGTCATGCATCGAATGATTATTTGATTGTTTTGATGGATTTGGTTAGTATGGAGGGGAAGGAGGACAAAAACTTGTTAAGACGCATGACGTGCGTCGGGGGTTGGATGTTACTTTACTTACTACAAATGCAGATACGACTTACTCATCGTGTGTGTGCTTTGTGCTATGTCTGTATTTTGATTTGATGTTCCTTTAGTAATACTGGTACACGGTGTTTGTAATGAATAGTATAGACAATATGTATGTACTTGACCGGAATACCTAAATGATTGGAATTGCCACAGCGCCCCCAACGTACCTGGGGCTGATACTGTATACCCGTGACAGGAACTGAAATAAGCCTGTTATAGATGTATGTATGCATGGAGAACATGGTAGCTTTGGCGGAAGCGCGGGATGGGCCGACTAGGTTATCAATGGATGCGTCATGCATGGTTTGTATGGGATCGAAATAAGCTTAGCCATCGGTCAATCATCAACCAACAGTATGCTTCACTACAATTAACGAAAGCAGTAGTATTTATGTATCATGATATGCAATGTTTTTTGCAATAGGGATTGTGCTATGTAGGAACCGTTCTTTGGTTGACAACTTTAGCCCTAATTCTGGGTCATTACTATTTTTTCTTAAAAATGATCGGATAGACGACACCCCAATCTTAGTAAAATCGCCAACGACAAACATAGAGGTATATGCTAAAGGATATGACTTCTAAGCCAAAGAAAGCTTTCTAGATGCTTGCTTCATCTCTTTCMCCAGCCACAAGCGCATCCCAAAGACCCGGAGAATCACGAAAATTGAGAATATCTTGCAAAGAGTATCGGCCGATGATACCTCGGACCATTGCGCCTCTCTCAACTAACCATTGCGCAATCTGAAGCCTTCCCGCGTCCAGGGCCTGCCCGCGACGACCATAAAATAGATTGGTATCCAGCGCTAGATGAAGCGCAGTAGGACCATGGCCGGGCCAATGATAGGAGCTCTCAGGGTCAACGCCCGTGCTTGCATGAATATCGACACCCTTTTCAAGCAGTAATTTGACAATATCTGCCTGGCCGCTCATGGTGGCGAGATGAAGCGGTTGACCAGTCCAGTTGTCATCCTGGTATAGCCCTGTGGGCTTGATATTGGCTTCGTTCCACTTCCCAGTCGCGGCGTGTACATCTGCTCCTGCGTCTATCAGAATTTTGGCGATCTCTGTATGGCCTCGGTAGCATGCAAAATGTAGCGGTCGCCAACCATATTTATCCGTTCCCTCAATGTCAGCGCCGTTTTGTAAAAGGATGGAGAGAATATCCTCATATCCGTTCTCAGCTGCGTATCCCAGCATAGGTACATCTCTGCGCCAATTTCTGATCTTCGAGTTGATATCTATGCTAGGATGTACTTTCGAACCATATTTTAAGATAACTCTTACCATGTCAATGTTCTGCTTTATGATAGCCACATCAAGCATGGTATGTTTTAAGGAAGTGTTGTCCTCCTCAAAAATCTCCTGCATCTTGACGGAGGAATCGGTGCTATGTTCGAGCAAGAACTTCATCACAGCGGTCTGTTGGGCAAACCCAGCACAATGAATTGCAAGCCATTGCTTACTATCTGCAATATCGGCTTTGGCACCACATGATACGAGGGAAGTCACTAGGGTGATATGACCCTTCTCGGCAGCAAAATGCAACAGGGTGCGACCATCGTTATTTGTATCATTCATACCGTCCACCTTTTGTAGACACAGACATATGCGCATGATGGGGTCACTCTCATTGGGAAATTCAGTTAAATGCCTTGACCAATGATCTTCTTTCGGATGTGCCACAGCATAGTCCAGGAGATAAGCGAGGTCACCAGCCTCGCGGAAAAGTGCCACAGTGAGAATGGGATCAAAGGTCTTTGATGATACTTTATAGATGTCCGCGCCAGCATCAATGAGTGCTTTGAGAGCAAATTGTGAGCCACGCTTGTTCGCCACAAGCGTCAAGGGGGTCTCTTCGTCTTGGCAAAAGTTGATGTCTGCCCCGGCTGATACCAATTTTTCCAGGACGGCTCCAAAGTCTGCATCAATATCTCTCCCTTCCAAGGGTTCTGTGCTGGTTGTTTGAGCCACGAATGAAATGCATAGGCTATAGATTGCATCCGGAGAAGGATGTGCTCTGTGCTGGAGAAGTAGATTTGTCATGTTCGGTTCAACACTCTTGATGGCATGATCAAGAATTGGAGTCAGATTAAGATCCACTGGAAATGTAGCCCCTAGTTCCAATAAAACTTGAACTAGTCCCCATCTACCTGCTTGCAATGCCATGCTAAGTGGAGTGAGCCCTTCAACAAAACCTTCAAGCCGTTTAAGCTTTATGTACTGTCCCCTAGTTTCTTTGATAACGGTTTCTTTGTATAACACCGATTTATCCCCTCCCTCACCCTCAGGCTCAGCTCCATGGGCGGGTTTTGCACACACGGACTGATCTAAAATTTTGGTCCGACCATTTTCGTATTTCCCCTTGATGAGAAGGCTCACCACTTTTTTCAAATAATGCAAGTTGAGGAACTCTTTCCTGTGAAATGCCAGCAGGTGCATTGGAGTAGCACCATTGTGATCCACTGCATCAGTTGGACATCCAGCTTCAACTAGAATTTCGACCAGTGGTAGATGAGGTCTTAGTACCGCGTAATGGAGCGCAGTTCTCCCGGAACCATCCTTGAGGCACGGATCCGCACCTCTGGAGAGTAGCAATCGGGTGATCTGCATGGCCAAATCAGAGTCCGACGGCTCGGCTATCAAGAAAGTGTTTAGGGAAAAGCCAGAGGCTTGAATCAAGGCCGTGGACCCATTTTCGCTAAGTTTTATTCTGTAACCAGGCAGCGAAATAGGATCATCACTGTCACTCATATGATAGTTCCTCGCGACAGGCTTGTTTATATCCGCCCCTCCATCGAGAAGCGCAGCGATGGTTTCCACAAACCCATTCATGACAGCTTCGTGCAAAGCAGTCCGTCCATATCTGTCCTCAATGTTTGGATTCGCGCCATTTTTCAACAAGCATTGGACATATCGGGGATCTCGACGACAAGCTGCGACACACAAAGCATTCTTGTAATCGACATCTGCTCCTGTTTCGACTAAGAGCTCTACTGATGAGAGTTGTTGATCACGAATGGCTGATAGTAAGAGGACTGACTTCCATTTTTTAGAGTCTGAACGCCACTCTTCCGAGCTGCGTGCAAAGCGTCCCGTAAATCTTGGTATATTTGACTCGCGTCCGTTGACGCGTTCGCCCTTCGTCAAGGTTCTCCATGGGTTGTGTGACACAGGAACGTCGAAGCGTTCGCGTTCCCAGATCATGTTGAATTTGACATCTGTCACAATGTCGGGAGGTGTCTGAAGATGCTCGATAAGCATCGTGAATATATTTGAATCCTGACCTGCTGCAGCCACATCCACAGGAAGGGTTGCGTTGGCGTATGACTCAATTTCTTCCATGGTCATTTTATGAAAGACCGGCTCSGATGACTGGAGTTGAGAGKGATATTCAAGAAGTTCCTTCACTATCGCCGTGTGTCCGCCCGAAACAGCCCAGTGTAAGGCCGTCCAACCGAACTCACTTCGAGCAAGATGGTTCGCGCCACTCGAAAGCAGAAGACGCACCGTGTCGGTGTTCCCCACAAATGCCGCCCAGAATAATGGGCTCCATCCTTGAATATCCTGGGCATTGACATCCGCTCCGCTAAGTATGAGGACTTTTGCCACGGGGAGCTTATCGTTAGCACATGCCCAGTGGAGGGGGGTCCATCTATGCGAGTCTATTGCGGATGGAGGCGCACCGGCCTCCAAATATTTGCCTGCAATGTAAGTTAACCCCCAATAAGCTGCTAAATGCAGTGCTTCAGGATTTGTGGGCATGGATTCGAACAATTCTTCAGTGACCCCAGAGTTGGCAAAGTCCCCGCGAAATTGAAGTGCCTGAAATGCACTATTTCTGAGAGCCGTATCATCCAGTAGTTTCATGATCAAAGTTTCTAATTCTGTTTCGAAATTTCCTAGAACGACGTGTTGTCCCCAATGCTTGGAAGAGTAGTCTAAAAATGCTAGCGAATTGAGTCGCTTGATCATTTCGGTCGAGCTTGCGCATGATCCTGTCGCTAGGGGTTTCAACGAGAGATATCGAAGACAAGTAMAAGCCATATCAAGATTCGCTTCCTTCTGAGGCAACGAAAGATGGAGGACTTCGTATGCAAAAGCATGAACCAAACCGAGTGTGTTGTCATGTTCATTGAGTACTACCAGCCCGGCACAAACCTGAAGTAGAATATCGGGGCTCGGCATATTATCACGTTGCAGCTCCTGACCATCTTCGACTGCGAATGCGGTTATGACTTCATCCAATTTCAGTCTTCGCTCTGCAACCATGATCCAGCCAAGAAGCCGCCGAGCGAGCGTGGTCCGTGCCGGTGGCTGAGCATCTATCCGCTGTAGCGTCGCTTCGAGGGCTTGCTCTAGACCTCGTGGTGGTCTCTGAAGTGCCTTGCGTATTTGATGGATTGTCACAAGATCAAGTAGTTCATCAAGGAGGAACCGGGAGAGAAGGAATCTGCGTTCGGTCAGAGTTGGTACCCCGGAAGGGAAGGTGATAACACACATGTTTCCAGTTTTGGACACAATTTCATTGACTAGACTGCTATCTCTGGCGACTTCCTCAGCAAATTCGCTTCCCTGCAGTCGACTAGCGACGTATAGTCTTAAATCAGAATCTGTAGGTTTAATGGCCAGGTGAATAGCCGGGCCCATCTTTTTTCGAATTTGTGGTAAATCCCTGCTGGTAATCAGTATGTGAATCTCTGATTTTGCAAGTTCAGGAATTTGTGCTAGAAGTTCATTAGGCGTTTTCAGTTCGTCCAGGCCATCTATTACCATGTAGATGGGTTGCACAGAAGCTGCTAGGGCAAGCAACTGTACCACTCGAGTTTCATTTTGTAGAGTACTCGGGTCACCACATGACTCTTTGAGCATAGAAAGCATCTCGCCACTTCCTTGGATGATAACCTGTCGAAGAATATGGTGCAGAATATTGATGATATTCACTTGGTTTTGTGAAGAAAAGTCGCAGAAGAAGTATACGACAAGAGAGTTTTTCCTTCGTTCTTCCAACAGATGGTCGATCACCACTGAGCTAAAAATATCATATGACTTAGCATATAATAAAGCAGCTCCGACAGCGGCGAAAATACGTACGCGAGATAGCTTTTTCCCACTCCGGCTATGGTTATGTTCAGCTGCAGGCAGGCCAAAAACGTTGACAATGGAGTGCTTACGCGGACCATGGCACCATAGAAGCTCTGTTGATCGGCTAAGCCATGTCTGAACAGCAATACTGTTTAGAAACCAACCACCTGTTCCCGGACAAGGAGATGGCTTTTGTCGCAGTGGTATAATCGGAGTTGGAACCCACGTTAACAGGATATTCCGATCTTGCTCTACTCGCTAATCAGTATTTGTCGGATTCGATGCTCGGGCACAACCTACCATGATGTGCCAACGAGATTTTCTTGTACGTCGCGGTTGTTGTAATACTGTTTCTTGAATCAGAACAAAATATTCCAAAAATGAGTCCAAGTTAGTTTGTACAGTATGCAAGAAGATAGATAATCTGTGAAAAGCGCCCGAAACTTTTGTAGCATATCAATATGCGGTTTCAACTCGCGGTCTTGGAAGGGTCTCAGAAATCTCGACTTCCGTCTTTCTAGCTCAAAATACAAACGGCTGAGCTCCTTGTAGCAATCCATTAACGCTTCTTCGTTCAAAGTGGGAGGCCGGGCTGGTAAGATGCCGGTTGACTCGGACTCTGCAACTGCCTGCTCAACGCGATAGAGTACCTCGATTAGGGCGGAGATTTCTTGAAGGTATTGCTTCTGTGTTTTTGCTGCATTTTTTACTTCCCGCGCGTAGCTGTAGCTTAGTCCGGCGATTTTTGCTGAGAGCTCTATTAGAGTAGCGATACTTGAAATCAAACCCAAAGCTTCAGCCATGGTTCCATGTGGTGAGGATATTTAATCGACTATATCTCATGAGAGTAAGAAGCACAGAAACAATATCTATACGAAACCCCGATTCATAGATTGATAGTTCATTTTATGGCTTTGGAGTTGCAAACAAGCTGAGAAACCAGCTAGAAGGTGCAGAGGACGGGAAGCTCAGCTTAGTGTGCCTAGCTTGCTGGTAGTGGCTGAGCGTCAGGGAATACGAGAAAGGCATGATCTACATCATCAAACAACCATTGGTAATTGACGTATAGCCGCCGCCTTAAACGAATTATAGAGATGGTGTTGCAACCATACGAAAGATCTGAAGCCCTGACCCTGAACCAATAGCCCTACCTATAATAGAAGTACTACCCTCACTGCAACAGACAGTTATAATGCGTGTAAAGCGTGTTAGCTTGTAATACAGCCTCTCCCTCAACTTCTACTTTCCATCCCAAGGTGGATTTTGCTCGTCCGCCGAAGACTGGGCACCACACTGAACAAGATAACCGCTCGGAAGACGCTAAGGAATATCGCGAGGCGAAATATGTCAAATCTGTGGAAAATGGATTACCAGTATGAATATACGAAGGAAACGTGGAAGCCCTCTGCTCGTTATGGTACACACATCATCTCAAGATGACCAAGACAAATTTCAAACTCCTTGAGGTTTTTCGCTGCTGCAAAAATGATACTGTCTTGTCTGACAAGTACATATCTTGCTGATACACCACCAATACGCTCTAAGAAATTGCTGGGATTATATCCAGGTTTCATCGCCATTCCAATACCTTGTTCCCTTGGTGCTGGATACCAAGTTATGTACCTAGGCGACTTCGGCCGGTTGGTGATTTCTCGTTTGAGAGAAGTCTCAAGGTCTTTTTGGCTTTTATGGAGTTGTATGATGGACTGATCGGATAATATCGTTGACTCAAGCCGAGTGCTTCTCAGCAACTTCTGAACTTGCGATTTCTCTTCAGCCAATAGCTGCCCTGCAATCAATAAGATAAAGGGGGTTGGTACGTGGTATAATATCTGATCAGATAGGACCATTTCCCATCGCAGAGAACTCTCTGGTAATGAATTAGTTGGGAATGTTGCTATGGCGTATGTTTGCGCTAGTTTGTAGCCACCGCCATATTTGCTCAGGAAGAAACCGTCCTTGACACTTCGGTAACCAGTCACTTCACCGTGACTGAGAGGAGTTGGAAAGCCACGAAAGGAAGGAAGAGTTAGTAGTGGTAGGAGTAGAGGTGCAAGTGCAGTGTATGCTAATCCTGCCGTGCCGTTGCAGAGATTTCCGCTTATCATTGTGTGCCTCATTGAGTTCTCAACCCCCAGGTGTCGTTCCTTTGCCCATGCTGACAGCACGCCATTGATCACACCCTGCGGAATAGAAGACTTCAGGCTTGCCAGAATGGCAATTCTCCACGACAGCTCTTCTGCATCCCGAATACCGCATGCAATTCCTTGTCCACCAAAAGGCGGGAAGACATGGGCCGCGTCTCCGATCAAGATTGTTCGGTTATCAAACCATCTATTGACTACCTTGTGCGTGAACTTGAATGGACGGCATCTCATTATCTCAATGCAGTCTTTTGGAAACGTGATTTCGCGGCCAAATTGCCGTCCTGTTGCGTCGGCTGAGAGAGTGATCATTGGCGTCAGGTGCTCCCAAAATAGTTCTTCTGCATTTTTAGAACCATCATCCGACCAATCTGGTTCTGCAAATTCGTGCCGCCACAAGCGATCTTCATGAGGTCCGAATCTGCCGCATGCAGTGGGTTTCCCAGGAGGTGCGCAAAAATGCCAGCCCTTCGGCCAGAATAGGTCATATACCTCCTCTGCTGTGAGACCCAAGTCCCATAGAACATCAAGGTCTGGATGAGTGGCTGGCGTCGGCAAAGTCATGTGCAAATTTGCGGCTATCCACGTCCCCTCGTAGCGGAAAATTCCATCTTCTTGCTTGATTCCAGCTGTAGGTTCCAAGAATTTCTTTCGGACAACACCTCTTTTCCCGTCAGCACCTATAAGCCATTGAGCTCTGAGATGTTTTTTTGTTTTGCTTCGGTGATCGAGGTAGGTCACCACCATGTGCGTTGCAAGCTCTTCGCGATCAATCACTTCACTGCCCGTTCGGAGGGTACAGTACTCGGACTTTTCAACTAAACATCTGAGCGCATGTTCTGAAACTGTGTTAGCAGAATTTCCAACGAGAAGAGAAGAACATAAACAATTGCGTACCCAGCTTTGGTTGACTTTGAAGAATTCCATTTGGTATAGCATGACCCATCCAATTGTGGGTAATGGGGATGCGGAGAAAGGGCGACGATTTGAACGTGCTTCGATGATAAAAAACGTCATCTACTTCTGTAATTACCAGGTTAATATCCCCATCAAAGTATTAAGCAATGTTGACGGAGGTCTTACCATGTCCAATCCAAGGCATAGATTCTCCTAGTCCGATTCTCCATAGTACACGACAGGCATCGCCGGCAAGATATACTCCTCTTGGGTCGTCTGTTATACCATCTTCTTTTTCCAGAATAATGCTCTTTCATTTGTGCCATTAGCCAGTGTTTGCTGCCAAATCCGAGACATTTCAAGCATACGGGAATCTTGTACTTAGCCAACGATAGCGCAAACACAAGACCTGAAGGCCCTGCACCCACGATCAAGACAGGAATTGTCTCCATTTCAAATTATTCGCACTTTGTTGTTATTCTTGATGTTCTGTAGTATGAAACAGACATCGAGTGGGAGACATCTAGGCAATTAAACACTCTCGGAGTCCACTGCGCCAATCTTCAATTTAAGGAGTTTCAGGAATTTTTGGATTTCCAATTACTATTGTTCCGAACTGGGTACGTTGATTTATCTTGATAGTTCGCCACATAGATGCTCCGGTTGATGTTGTTCCGCGGATTATCTTTCGGTGTCAGGTAACAACCTTTTAAATGTTCCACCTTTAAGTTAAATACCATGAACACTCTCCCTCTGTCTTTGGTTAGCAGGTCTTCAGGTCTCATGAACGCCAAATATTACAGAATGTCATTTGTCGTCGATTTAGTCGCAAGACTCCCACGCGCAGCGCAAGAATGGCTTGTCCCCGCGACATCCATTCCAGACGTTCATAACAACCTTTGCAAAGTCCAGCTATCACGAATCGGACATGTGTATTTTGAGCATGCAAATCTTCGCAACTTTGAGAAGTTTGCGGCGGATTTCGGTTTTTTCGAAGAGAAACGCCTAGGAAATACGATTTACTACCGCGGCTACGGCAGAGATCCTTATGTCTATGTGGCATCGCAGAGTGAGAAAGGCCGTTCGAGATTTTTAGGAGCTGCATTTGTTGCACGTGATGAAGAGAATTTCAGCAAAGCAAGCAAAATCCCTGGAGCTGTTGTAAAAGATCTTAGCCATGCCCCTGGTGGGGGTCAATTGGTCACTATTCCACGACCTGATGGAACCTTCATGCATGTCGTCTACGGCCAAAAAGAACGCAAGGTGGCTCTAGAACCCCCATCTAAGATTATTGAATCTCAGGGTCCCTTTAATGAACCTTTCAAGAAAGGAAGACTTGGCATATTTCAACGATTCAAGAGCGCGCCTGCACTAGTCCACAAACTTGGACACTTTGGATATGTATCAGTCAGATTCGAAGAAGAGCTGGACTTCTATACGTCAAATTTCAACTTTGTGCATTCCGATATCCTAACGCATGACAAATTCGGTTGGGTTGATTTCATGACATTCATGCATCTAGACCTGGGCGAGGAGTATTCGGATCACCATAGCTTTTTTATGTCAATGGCACCACCAGGCACAAAAAACACATACTGCCATCACACGTCATATGAGGTATCCGATATCGATACCCAACTCATGGGTCATCGTTGGCTGGAGGAAAAGAAATGGAAACCAGTTTGGGGTGTTGGAAGGCATGTGTTGGGAAGCCAGATTTTTGATTACTGGCTAGATTCTAGTGGGTTTAAAATGGAGCACTATGCGGACGGAGATCTGGTAAACACAGAGTATAAGAATCGGCGGAGTGTGGCAGGKCCAATGGCAATCTGGGGGCCTGAGATGCCTGGAGATTTTGCGAACAACAAAGCTGTCTAGCCATGAGATGTTTTTTCGAAACGTTAGTCGGGGCCAGTAGGACTCGACATTGGCACTTATTTGCTTTTATTGCTTCTGTATACTAGAACATTCACACTAGGTAATTTGAGACAATGTCCCTCAGGTTGAGACTAGCGAAATTTCCGTGGATGTATCCAGGTCTCCACTAGAAGACTATGATACTAGAGCAGAGCTTAATGTCAATTAGTCCTGCGGTGTGAGATCTGCCGTTTTCCAAGTCTGAGAGGTTTTATCTTGCAAGAGCTGTCCCGTTTACCGTGCAGTTTCATAGTCTCTATTTGAAAACATGATTTTCAAAACATGATAGATACATAATGAGAGGAACTAATATGTACGTAACCACATACAACTATTACAGTGGAGCCGTGCTTTCGGCACAGCTTTACATTTTCCAGGCCTTCAATTAAAAGTAGATTACAACGTTGAAGTCATCTCCACGAGCTCAGGCGATACCATAACATCCCAGTAAGAGCTCGGAATAATGTCGAGCTTTATTTCAGGAGGTTTGTCAGCGAGCCGAATCTCTTGTACGTATTAATTACCCGTTTTAGCTGGGATCAAAGGGTGACTTCTTACAGAGTTGACTGCTGACCTTCGGGAAACACAATCTTATTCCGAAGGATGCCAATACCACTTATCTGCACTTCAACAACTTCATTATGTCGCAGAAACCGTTTTGGCTTCATGAAAGCACCAACGCCAGCTGGAGTGCCAGTCATGACAGCCGTGTATGCGGGTATCGTTGTGCCTAATTTGTAAGTCACTGGCTGTGTCTATGCCATATATGAATATATCACAGGCTTACTTTGACTCATGAAGCTGAGGACCTGCGCCGGAGAGAAAATTCGATCTCTTGCAATCTGGGTGTCCTGCATAATTTGGCCGTTCACTCGTGTAGTCAACTTGGTGTTCTCGTCCACCCGAAAAACGTCCGGGCTGACCAGAACTGGTCCAATCGGTGCAAATTTATCGAATGCTTTCGCATAAAAGAACTGACCAGCATTTTGCTCGGCCATTTGAAAGATGCGACAACTGAGATCGTTTCCTATTGTGTATCCCAGGATACATGATTCGGCTTCGTCCGGCGTTACGTCTCGACATTCTCGTGATGTCACGAAAACGAGTTCTCCCTGTACGTCAGAGTTAGCCCAAAAACAACAGATTTATACTCTTTTCACATGTGACTCTCTCTCTCTCTTTTTTCCGGATCGAATCCTAGGATGGACTCTGTAGCTTACCTCCCAGTCTGGGAAATTAGATGCGCAATAGCGACTCATTGAAATCTCTTCTTCGGGCGACGCCAGTGATGCACACGGTTTACTCCAAACTGGTGGATTCATTGGTACATTGAGCTAAATCGAATTTGTTAAGCACCTTCGTGGATTCCATTAAATGTCTTGTCATCTCGTACCTTGGCCTCTTTTGCGTGAGATCGATAATTTAGTCCGACACAGTAGATGGGAAGATCGCTTCGCGGCAGCGGTGGAAGAAGCTATTGTTCTGTCAGCATTCGACAACGAGAGAAAGAAGTGTCAATATCTAACGATCGACTCACCTTCTCAACCACAACTTCGAGTGGATTCTCATTCTTGATCCATTCTTCGAAGATCTTGTGGGCCCTAACTGATATACCGATTGACAGAGCAGTTTCAGCAGCAGGGAAATCCGCGAAAAACGTCTCGCCTGCTGATTCAAAGTGGATGAGCCGTGAATATTCCCTCATGATGATTATGTGGTGAATCAAGCTGTTGAGAGATCTTTTCAAGAAATGGAGAGTGGGCTCCTGGCAATCAAGGAGAATTAAAAACAATAAAGAATACAGCACTATAATAAAGAAAATAGCATTAAAAAAAATATCAATCAGAATACTTATAGATCTTAAGATATAAAGTTATCTGCTGCAGTCTCTCCGCGGAGCAACATTTGCTTCTATTGATTGGTCCAAAAAAGTACTCGAGCGGATACAGCACCGGAAAGGAAATGACTACCCAGTTAGGAAACAATCTTGGAATTCTATGATTATCCGGGAAGTCGTGAAGCAGACGCTGACTAGATTTTGGCAAAAGACTCAAAAAGTTTATAAGGGTACAGCTTACACATACGAAAGCAAAAATGTATTCTCTGAGCTGCTGAGTCGGCATTGAACTCAGGGCTTTTCTACAGATTATATCTGCCGTTCTTGTTCTTAGCAAATCTAAAGGAAGTATTATCTCAACTTTAATTGGTTCTTTGGGATCCGCTTCCTCTAATATAAACTTCGATCAGTGATGAGTTAAGTCTTGAGGCTAACGACCGAAACGATCTACAGACTATAGCGTCAAGTATCTCCGCCATTTGCCTTAAACATCTAACTTTCCCATTTTTGAAGCTCTTCATACTATACTCAGCTGGAAAAATTTTTTTAGCCATGCTTGCGATTGCAATGTACTTATGATGACCTACAAAGTACCGGGGCGTTTGTCAATCAAGTCGTTGCCAGCTTTTTGATTAATTGTGAACCGATCCCTTTCCACTTCCTGATTTCAATCCGCTGAATCATAGGAAAGAGTAATATCGAGCCTGATGTTGATATTGTTGATACCAGACATTATTGGGAATGCATACCGAACACGCCGCGTTCATTATGGTGGTATTAAGTTTAATTCGGCAGACATGGTGCTCCATTTTGGTTTCCGTCGATGTTTGAGACACTGAGGTTCGACAGGTCAGCGGGGTTACTGGTTGCATTGGTGGTCATTAGCGTCTTACCTTTGATTTAGATGTACGGTATATACGGCTGTCGATGATCTGGTGCTCACATGTTTAAATTAGAGATCAGCTTTGTTAAGATATGGTTGACTGCATTTTCGTAACTGTTCTTTCAATTCTATTAGGGCTTAATTTAACCCTACGGTTCTTGGAGCTATCTTCAGCTTCAAATAGCTTTTCATGTATCTTGTTTTCTTCGTAGTTGGTAAATTTATTTCATGTTGAACGAGTCTAAAGAGGTTGTAGACACCGTGTTTCATCCCAGTGCTTCATTAAAAAGTATCAATAATACCATCAAATCTTGTGCGTGAATCCTGAATTCTCTAGGACTATGTATAACATGTTCTTATGTTCCATATCGGTCGCGTTTCATCTCTTTCACTGACATGCTCGAGTCAACGTAGAGGCGTTATAGGGACCGATACACAAGCGTAAAGAATTGTGCCCGACTTAAATGTTTAGTTGGGGCCGTCGCCATTTCCATAAGCGCTAAAAGTGTACTGTACACCCAAAGGCGAAAGTGAAGGGCCACCATTCTCTAGAAGGACCTCGGAGTTATCCGCAGTTCCAAAGTATGCATATCGGTAGACGCAGTCGTTGTCGTCTAGGAAGGGGATTGCCGAACGCAAGAAGGTGCTCTGTTCATCGATCGAGCCTAGGGCTTGGAACTTTGCAGAGATTAGTACTTAGCTCGTAGTTCATTTTACACGTCTTTAAATACCTCAGTGAGCCAGACTTGGCGGCCTGTCAGGGAGCAGATGCTGTTGACCCAGTTCTCAAGATCAGATTCTAGACTAGCGTCGTTATACCAGTGAATCGGGACAAAGTCAATGGTACAGCCGCTGCATGCTTGTAGAAACTCAGACAACCATTCGTAGCCGTCATTAGAGACAGCAGGGGCACCAAGTGAAGCATGGCCAGCGAACGGCTCCATGTACGTTATATAAGCGTCTGCGGCCTGCTGGGGAGTGAGGTTGGATTGACCCGATTGCTCAGGCTCATTGAAGGCGAGAAGATGGCCTGAACCACCGTTGTCAAGCCAGTACCAGGCATTGTCAAACCACTGGGTGGTGTGGTCGCTTGACGTACCCCAAAGCATGGGGACATATTCAGCAAAGGTCTGCTTCTGGCTTGTAGTACTATCCCAATTGTACTGCCAGTTTACCTCAGAACTGTAACCGTTCCACGAACCACCGAATTCATAGATGGGAATATCGTCATTGGCAGCCAAACCTCTCTTGGGCCAGGGATCAGCAGCTACTGAAGCCACGAGGAGGGAGCTAGCAAAGCTAGCGATAATGGTAGAACGAGACATTGTAGAGGATAAAATCAATCAATATATAAAGTAGAGATGCCTGTTGAGTGAAAAGCTAACAGAACAAATTCTAAGAAGGAGTGGCTGTTCTGATTGATGTATTGCAAACTACGGATAGGAATGTTGATACTCTTTTCTATTTATCATGGGCAGTCTGAAAACCATGGAATCCAGCTTATCCACTTATGTGTATTATTTCGAAAGATCGTACGGAGTTACCGCAGTGGATGTGGTTTTAGTTCACCGATGCGCAATTTTACAAAATAAGACAAACCTCCAAATCAGTCATCGTTGGAGCTCGTTATGGATAATATCCGGCAGCAGTCCGTCGTGAATCAAAAGCCATTTCTTTCTCGTTCAGAGACTCTCGCAATCTCCACACATGGTCATCGACAGATGACAAGTTTCTAAGCGCAGGAATGAGGCGTTCGGACGTTGCAACTGCTGATGAAATCAGAGTGGGATTGGGCTTTTTGCGGAGCCGGTACTTGGTGCTATACTTTTCGGTACAATTCGCCATGCTTGATCTAGAAATACAGGAAGACTTTGCAATGAATCTAGAATCAGATGTTCTCGTTTATCTTCTCGTGCTGACAGGAACGTGGTGCATACCTGGCTTAGCCTCATCGGAGATTTATGGGGGCCGACTTTGAAAGCCATGTACCTACTGTAAGTGCTAAGCGCCTCTAAAGGACTCTTCGTTGTACCGCCATATGTATAGAGATCAGCGCTTTAATCGCGCTTATTCCTTTCCATAATATTCTAGCACTATCCCAAAAATTGCAATCATTTTGAAGATCTTTACAAGTTGGAGCACTGAAGTATGAAGCTATTCAAATGTAGAAAGATGCATACACTGATTCCTCATGGCGCAAAATAACCCGCGAATAAGGGTACCGCTGAATATTTCCAAGGAAGGTATAGTGCGCGCTCAGCGCTGTAATGTGGCTTGGAACGATTCAATCTAGTAATCGACAAATTCTCAGAAATCACTAATTTTTAGATTTTTAGAGATGTGCATATGGGTCATCACCTAGAAGCATTCAAGCATCGCCCTTAGAGAAACGTTTGGTGTACCTGACTAGCAAACAAGGTCCTTATATCAGAAAACCTTATTCAAGGCGTATTCTAAGTCTCGCTAGGCCCTTCGGTTACAAAAGGGGCGGCAGGCAGGATCATGGCCAAATCGGCCGATGTAACTAGACATCGGTATTCCCGTTTTTAAAGCATGTATTAAGTCATCATCAACCAATGATGAAATAGGTCAGGAAATCATGTCATCTCTTTCTGCTTTCCAGACTATTAACTATCAAATAGGTCTTGTCACGATGTAACCGAAGGGCTAAAATTTTGCGCCGTTCGGGTCGTATTGGAGGAAGAACAGCCATATCGAACTCCAAAAATGGAGTACAAAGGAAATAAGATATCATGCGCTGTACAAGCATTCATTTTAAGATCCAAAGGATTTCGTGAACGAAAGGAATTCGAAATAGGCGGAGCATTCGGATCAATAGCTTCACGCCACTGGTACATCGCTTAAGCAGTGACTGACCTGATAGTGTGAATAAAGTGTTGATTTCGATTAGAGTATAGCCGATTTCTTGATACTTCGTGACCTGAACATCGGGACCGAGACGACCGTCTTCCGCAGCCCATGATCATGAATTTCTATATAAGTGAGCAAGTTCCTCCAGGCTAGCAGCAATAGCATCCATCTTCTGTTTGCCATAGATATTTAAAACATGGTCAAATACGCACTTTCTCTTTCCATACTAGCTGGAGTTGTCGCCGCTATGCCGGCCGCTCCAGGAGTGGGTAGCCAGGCTCCTCCCAGCCTGCCCAACGCTGATCCAGCAGCTATTATGTCTGTTCCACAAAGCAACGTTACGAGCTACCAGACCGGTGGACTTGTTCGTTACAACGTCACCGAAAGTTCCAATCTCTCCAAGCGATGGACCTGCAGCACCTCACCTACTCTTACCTGGGGTGACACCGATACTGGCGGTCCAGGTATCACTATCGACAACGCTGGCAGTGACTGGAGAGGTTTCTACTTCTATCACAACAGCTGCGACAGTATCCCCTGGAAATACATTTGGATTGCTGCTGGAAGCACTCAATTCGTCTCTGTTCCTACAGGCTGGGAAGGTCGTGTCCAGCGCGGTGTTGATTCCACCATGCTTGATGGCCAGCCGCAGCTTCTTGGATCTTGGTTGGAAATTAGCTGGGATGCCGCCAATGGTAACACCGGCTGGGCTGACGTCTCACTTATCCGTGGTAATGACGGTGGTATTCTTGTTTGGAATGAAAATGGTGATTGGAAGGGATTCACACAGTGGGTTTTGGACGGTGCGCCAGACGGTGCCTATGACCTGAAAAACGACGGACAGTGGGTTATCAAGTACACAGAGAATACTGATGGCTCCATCAACACCATTCCCCGCGATTGGGATATTCAGGAGATTGGTGTCGATTACGTCTACGTCGATGATGCTCACGGCAGCCCTGTCATCTCAACTCCTAACCAGCGCTTTTCTACCTACTGGCCTGATGGTCGCGCTTAGACGATTCTTCCAATGGAAGAGAAAGTAAGAGTCGTATTAGAAGATATGGATGCTTTAGCAAGATATCATCATCAAAATACATTCGAGTCAGGTATAAAAATTACGTGGAAGAATCTTGGGTCTACTTTATCAGATAGTCCTCTAATATGTATGTAATTAGGGAAACGAAGAGATTTTTATGTTCATACTTAATGTGTTGCTTAACTGAAGTGCCGGCTTTTAGGTTTAGTAAATAGGTATATGAAAGTGGTACTTCACATGGCCATAAGATCAACTTGTGTATCAATCGCGATTGGTATTGTTTCAATGGATTCTAACTACATAAAACTAAACGTCAAATCCTTCTTCCATGGCTACAAGGATCAGATTTTCTTGAGAAATGATACCTCAACTCCAGACATACATTACAAGAGAGATCAGCCTTTTCAAATCATTATACTAAAATTAAGATGTAATATATACAAAAAACGATCAGGTCTAGTACACTGTTCTAGCAGTAGTCTAGCTAAGTAGTCTCACTATGCCTTTCACCTTGTAAGAAATTTCCATTTCTGCAACTTTGATTCTCTTCTCCAACTTTTCATCCCAATTGAAATAAATACCACTCCGTTCCAAAACCCACGCAGTGATCCCATAGCTGCAACAGCAACCATCAACGAGTACGAAGAATGATTCGGATTCACGAGTGCGGAGATTCTATTGATCGTAGGAGCAACCCATGTGGCCAATAGAACGAGGAAGAATACCATTGGCATGAGAATGTATTGTCTGAAAGATACGTAAGATTTTCTGGTAGTTTTGTGGTTGAAGACGACGGGAGAGGGAGAGGATGATGTTTTGTCAATGAAAGATTGGGGCCCCTTTTGGTCAAGTGATGAGGGAGCTGGATGGGTTTGGATGTCAGCTTCAACTGTGACAGCGACAGCATCGGAATTATCAAAGGAATGGTTGTTGGTGGAGATGTTGGAAGAAAGAGCGATGTGATCGGCGTGTGAGACATCAAATTGATGCCGGAGTTTGATGACCCTGACACCGACAAGTATATAGAGTATCATGACTATGAAGATCAGAAACCTGGATAAATACCGTCAGTACGAACAAGAAATATGATCCTGATTGAATGATCATTGAGGCATACCAGATAGGGCCGTAATAGAACAGGATTCGGAAAAGAACCCATTTGGGAGAAATTGAACACCAGAACTTTGAATTCGAGATCAGCCAAAAGTATGCTTGAGACAGGAGGGACGTGTTCAGACTCACTGTCACACTTCCGTACATGGGGCCTTTCTCCGGAGTATGGATGAAGAGAAAGACAATTGCAGGAATCGCTACGATGCATGTAATGATTGTAATATAGTAGAGCTCAAGCTTGCGCAAAGCCTCCGCTTCAAAGCGATGATAAACGACCAGGTAAACATCCACCGCCATTGCCACTGTCCAGAGAACATCTGCCATAGGGAACCTAGATGAAGAAAGTACTCGTTAGTGAGTGTTAAGCATGATTTAGCTGCTCACTTGATACCTACATTTGGAGACAGAAGCCCTGAAACTGGCACAAAGCCGAAGAATTACCTGCATCTGGGCCGCTCGTTGATATCATCGTTGCAATAAAATCAAACAAATTATAGAACGCATTTATGAAGATCAGACGATGCATCGGGTTGCGAAAATGTGTTGACGAGACAAAAGTCGCAATTATCGTGATGACGCCCAAGATGGAGAGCATCGAAGATAATCGACCCACCAGGGTTAGGGTATGTAGCTGTGCATCCGTAAGGGCCATAGTGAACGCGTTAGAGGCATAAGGAGCCTCAGCCTCCTCCCACTATGATTAATTGCAAGCAGCAGAATTGAACCTGCGAGGTCGAAAATAACCCGACACCAAAGTAGATCACATATCTTCATACAAGATCGAAGATGGAGCAATCTAGTAGCTTAATATATTGGATCCATTTTTCAATTTTTAGGATCTATTTTCAAGATTCATGCTTCGGATCGCACTGCTATATGACTTATGGCGTGATGACTCTGATCAGTCTCGAGGGCAGACATTTTCGTCATCCAGAAGGCTGTATCGCTTCCCATATTATTTTGTCGCTTTCGTGCAAATTGCTGTATGGACAATGATTGTGAATTTTCATAGCGCTATTGCGTGATAAGGGCCCGCCTTTAGGATATTATTTTACTCTTTGTCCATACTCCGTATACCGCATATATATGGCTGGCCCATCCCACACTACAATTTTGCTTTTTGTGCTCTCCCCGCTTTAGGCAGCATTGGCTCGTGACCCTTGTTAATATGAGTAAAACGCACCCAGCCCATCTGTTGAATTTTTTTTCTTCAACCATTCTCTTGAGATTATGGGAAAAGGATACATGCGTGATTTCAACACAATTACACCGGAAATCGTGGCAGTAGACTTTGTTTTGCATACGCGGAAGAATGAATAGACTTAGCGTGACGTAGTAATTGTTAGGGCTACCTCAATGAGGACCTCAAAATCTAATTAGATCAGTTGTCATCGACAAAGGCCCTTATGAAGAACAGAATTGAGATCTGTCAGATCTTGTACTTGAAAAAAATGCCGATTTTCAGTGTCGCGCGATAAGCGAGGACTGCGCATGTGCCACCCCAAGAAGCTTAAGCTCCAGGTACCAACGAGCCGGCCTGTCACCCTATGAATCTAAACAAACTTTAAGCGAGTAATGATCCTTGTGCTATCGCCATTTCCGGCGCTGATTTTGTCATGCATGGATCTTGACTTCTCCTGACTAAACCCTCTTCTGGTACGGCTGTCTCTCATCCACGATTCGGTACCCAATGATTGAAGCCCTTGAAGTGATAAATGTACTTGTGGTGCATAATAATACTTTCGAATATAGCTGAAGCTTGCGACACGATTGATCATGGAAATCTGGCCTTCGTAAAGTTTGAAAAACGTCATCCCGAATCCTTAATGCGCAGGGTCAGTCTATATAATACGTAATGTCATTTCAGTGATTTGCCAGAAAGAATACGTCGCATTTCTGGTAGGTGTGGGAGGCACAACTATAAGACTGTATTTGGAGCATATTATTCGAAGGATAATTCGTCCGCGTGTCGCTGAAGTCCATGAATGATTGCACCCGTTGAATTGAGTACTACCATTGAATCTTAGGATTGTTGTCTTTCTTAATGCCAAGGAAATAATGCGTGACGGAGTGTGAAAATCAATTTTTGCTTCCCAAAGTTGTGTCTCTTCTTGAAGCATCATACTGGGTAACCTGTCTTGACACAACCGAAATGTCTGTGTTTATCGGGGGATACAAAAGTTTCGGTACAAACTATAAGATATGAACACAGCTATGGAATGCAAAGCCGAAGATATATCGTCCGCAGACATACATTTCAATCTGACCCTATTCTTCCAGAACCTTGGAAGTTCATTGCAGGTGATGTACACCAAGAATATAGTTGACGCAACACTTTCAAGGTTGTTTCAATAGCATCAGGACGGATCTTGAATTATTTGTATGTTTGAACAAACATTCAGATGCTCTTGTAATTCCCGGTGATACTTATCCATTATATACTATAGGCATCATCACTAGTAGCAATGGTTCCCAATCGTGATTCTTGGAAAATGTTTCGGGTTATTGAGGACTATCAGGGTAAGGCAAAGTTATGTTTTCTCGTCGGATTGAGGCTCGGACTTTTTGAATTAGAGATTCCACGCCAGGTAGACACTCGATTGAAGAGAGTCATCTCAGCCCCTGAGCCAGAATGCCAGGATGTTGTTGATGTGATCTCGTGATTGTAATCAAAGTGCGTTCACTTTCTAGGGCTTAAATTCCATGTCGGCCCCACACCGCCCCCTGCCGATGTTTTCATTGGTTAAAGTACCTATATTGAATTCTATATTTGCCTGGATGCCCTCGTGTTTAGTTTCCCTTCTCTTCTTCTCTGTTTGTAAGCGGACAAAATCAACTCTCATCCGAATCAACAATGAGATCACTCCCGCTGGCTATCATGTATCCCAATATAAATAGCCAGGTATATCCAGCCTGCAGAGAGAAGGAAGCAGAAATAGTCGAAAAGGAAATCCAGAGCTTATTATAATCATTGAAATCTTCAAGCAGAAGGAAAGAATTCGACTGTCAACATCTAGTATGGATCGCAAAGAGGTGAGTTTATCACTGTGTTAATATCTTCTAGATCTACCATTGATTGATGCTGTAGAAATGGGACATTGTGTCTGAAATACCGAGTCTTCATGGCAAAGTAGCTATTGTAACTGGAGCAAAGTAAGAACTACGTTTAGTGACTAGAGTTATAGCAGGCTAACGGTCATACAGCTCTCCGACTGGCATGGGGTATAATGTTGCCCAGCAACTCGCTTTGAAGGGAGCCAAGGTCTATGTGTCGGCAAGGTCACTGGAAAAGGCCAATAGCGCAATCAAGCAAATGAAAGAAGGCAATCCCTCGCTAGCTGTTGGGGACTTGCTCCATCCTCTTGCCCTCGAACTTGGCGACCTTCAAGGCATCAATGCAAAAGCGGCAAAGTTCGCAGCGGAGGAGGGGAGATTGGACATTTTGGTGAATAACGCAGCCTTGCTTGCCAGGCCTCTGGACTTGGATAAGAATGGAATCTCGGTGTCTTTCGCGACCAAGTAAGTCTTTGACAAACAAAAAGACCCAATCATGCTGATTTGATGATAGCCACCTCGCCCCTTTTCGGCTGACAACTGCTCTTCTTCCACTCCTCAAGAAGACAGCAGCGAAGTACCCAGGAGTTCGCATTGTGAATGTTGGCTCTGATGTGCATCTCAAACTCCCGCCGGGCGTTCAGCTCAACAATATTGCCGATTTCAATCAATCCTTTGGAAGCGCCGATAGTCCCGAGAGCAACCTGTTTCGCTATGCGTTATCCAAACTGGCAAACCATCTTTTCAGTGCTGAACTCCAGCGGCGACTAGATGCAGAGAATGTACCTATCGTTACTGTTGGCCTGCATCCCGGTTATGTTTTGACTGGTATGTACAAAGACACCTCTCCTTTCTAATGAAATCCTTAGTGTAAATATGTTTCTAACGACTTTATCAGACGGTGCGAACAGGCATATTGATAAGTACCACGCGGATATCCGCGAGACTATCACATCACGATCACTTTCGCCACTGGACGGTGCGCTGACTACCATCTTTGCTGCGGCCCATCCGGAAGTGTGGGAGAGGAGGAATTCATATGGTGGTGCTTATGTTGAGCCATACGGGCGTATAGAGCAGCCAAGCGAAGATGCCAGGGATCCTGTTCTGGCGGCGAATTTGTGGAGGTCCAGTGAAGATGTTTTGCAGCGCATTGGTGCTTAGAAGCAGAGTTCATAGCCCAGCAAGAACACGTACTCAGATAACAGATTTATCAGTCAGTATACCAATACAGACGAGGATTGTAATTTGGTATACATAGTTCATGTTACCTATGGTTGAACAGCCAAACGATGTGATCAGCCCCCACCAAAAACTCGTCTACTTCTTGCGGCACCATCACAGCGCAGAAAGGACACATGCGAGCAACAAACCACGCCCGTTGCGAAATAGAATTTCCTGCTGCAGCTCCAGTCATAAGAACCCATCGAAATACCTCAGGCCCGTACTTGAACCAAATGGACTCGTCGCAATTTGTGATTTCGTCTTTCAAATCGAGAACGTATTTTTGTGTTTCCAGGTCGCTATTAAGATCCTTTGAACTCCCTATATTCAAGATCGCTCTTAGATATAGAAGTCCAGCCACCAGGCAGCACTTTTCAACCTGTTTATCTTTGGTGGTGAAATACTGCTGATGAGCCGGGCTGGCAATGAAGTTAGACCACGAAAAACCAGAATGTATCCCGCTCATTGTGCAGTATTTGGCAAATTCACGTAAAATTTCGAGGGCGGATTCTGGAAGTCTAAGCTTAGGAGGTCTTTCCATTTGTTTTTCAACTGCTTTTGAGAGCAAAGAAGTATAATCTCCAAGACGATGACTGGGTCCTGCACGAGGGATAGAGAACACCGATTTGGACCGTAGAACAAGAGCGTTCCATACTTGTTGTCTGGGAAAATTTAGTCAGCTGTCCAAGATATACAGCTTGTATAATGCCCTCAGGGACAGGAAAAGAGGACTAACATGATAAGAAAATATCCAATGAGATTGTCCGGTTGCGGTGTTCCCATTCCCTTATGTCGTAAAAGTGCCTCAATTCCGGACTGATGGGACGCCCCTTCGTAAAATTCCCCATTCAGCTTCTATGTTTCTGTTATCAGTTGGTGTCCATCATCATATTTCGTATTGGTATATCACTCACCGAAAAATACAATAGATGTAACGTCGCTGCAACGACGCTGGTCGAAAGACTACTATGGTCACTATTTGCAATAGCCTTCCTGATCAACCGAAGAGTCTCAGTTTTGTGATGTATGGTCACAGGATTATCGAGCGAACCCTGGACTATATCCAGATGAGCCGAAGTTGAATAAAGTGTCGCATGGAACAAGCATGGGTCTGACATGGCCGCTTGCATCCATGTAGTCTGCAGCATAGAGGCGATCGATTTGGGATATTGATGTACCAAAGGACGTAGGACAGCATCTCCTATATGATGTTGTCATTCACTTCCTCAATTACCGATTGGGGTTAGGGCTAAGATTTAAAAAGGGAATGACTAACTGTGTGTGAGCAAAGCCGAAAAATACCATTGTCTGGGGATTGGGTACTCGACACTGTCAAGAGTACTATTTCGGAAGATAGTATCTTCTAGTTGGGCGATTCTTTGATATAAAGAGTTGACTAGAGCCTCGTCTGAATGGCCCTCAGCTACTGGATAGTAGCACTTGCGAACTTTCCTACAGAGTGGAATGAGTGTCTTATCCCATTGTAATTCTGGCTACCGGCCAAGACATAAGAAATGCACAAAAGCATAAACAACCTACTTTATGCATGCCCCGCATATAGGTAAGATTCGGTCACATCGTTTCTTTTGCTGACTGCACGCCTTGCAAGCCTGCATAGAAACCCCGGGAGTTTCGCCCGTCACCTGAGTGGTGCTCAATACACCTGCCATTGCCTTAACAGTGGAGATGACTATCCTGAAATTGTTCAATGCACTCAAAGAAGTTATGACAAGAATTTCTAGTCGTAAGTTTAGTAGGAAGTCTAACTGGAGTAGATTTACATGATGATTACTAATCCTAAATGCCTTAATTTAGTTGGCCTATGCAATCCATAGCGACGATCTTGAGGCTTCAGTCAACACAAAGGTTTTTTTTCTATCTTGAGATTTATATATTATTTGGGCCCACTGGAGATGTTGGCTACATCACGATAGGATAATGACTTGGGTGCTCCGTCTGAAGCAGACATTACCTCCGCTTCCAGGTGTAACTTGTGAAGGGCGTGTAGAAGTAAGTACAGATTACTCCTTGTACTTCCTATCATGAAATCCAGCAAGAACTTCCACGGTCCCATCTCCCTTCTCTGCCCAACGTTTCTTCGCAATCTCTGGATTGAGCTGCAAAGTCTGTTTAGCCCTCACCCACTCTTCCATGGTAACCAATTTCTCGAATCGAGGCTTCACTCCAGCCCTCTGCAACACCGGGGAATCTGTAATGGGCTCAAGCACAGTCTTATTATGTGGGCGAGCGAAGTAAAGCAAACCCGTCCGCTTATACTGCCGTTGATCCTCTGGAGGCGCAACAACCCGGTGCACAGAGCTCTTCAACCAACCACCGGTCAAATGAGAGATGGTATCCGCGAGGTTGACGGTAATAGTGCCCGGTTGAGCAGAGACATAGGTCCAGTTATTATCTTCGCCCAAGATCTGTAGGCCAGCAACGGGTTGACGGAAAAGTAAGGTGACTGTACCGAGATCTGTGTGACCTCCACCCTTGCCATAATTATTTGCTTCCCATTCCTCTTCTGTGCGAGGATAGTATAGCATGTATCGGAAGTGGTCCTCACTCTTTTCTTCGTAGGTATGCTGCTTGACAAGGTAGTCTTCATCCGGTAACTCTAAGATAATAGCAAAGAGCCGTAACAAAGGTAGCACCACATTAGCATGCAAGGCACGATGGAACACCTCGATCTCCGATAAATGAGCTTTAATCAAGTCGGGATGATTATATCTGCCTTCAAAGTCCTTGGTAAATTTGGCAAAATTATACATCTCAATGTTATCTCTTGCGTTATTGGCAGCAACATATCGTCCAGGTCGGCGCCAGCCATTGTAATCAGCTGCGCCATAGTTGACCTCGTATTTCTCCTTCTCTTCGACGGGGAGCTCAAAGAAATTCTGTGCTAGGGTGAATTGCTGATCTACTTGTTCCTGGCTCAGACCAAAGTTCTTGACGTAGAAGAATCCGACGTGGTGGACGGCATGTTCGAGCTGTTTGGCCAGACGTTCTTTGCCTCCTGGGCGGTGGTAATCCTCGAGATCGAGAGTGACCAACTCAGCCCAGGGTAGATCGGCTTTGGTTTCCGGTGGGTGTGTGTAGGGCTTGAGATTCTTATAGGCGTACTGTTCAAGGTCCACGGCGGGAGCTTGAATGGTGGTGGATTCTATCGTCGTAGTAGTCATTTCGTCTCTTAATTATACTGAAGTCTTTTACTTCTTCTCAAACAGTAGAAAATTAAAAGATGCATTGACGTTAGATATGTAGTTGATCGTGCGGGGAAGCATATTGTCACAATCTTAGGGCTAATGTCGCCATCGCTATTTTGCGCCGTATTCCTCGTCGGACACTGGATGCACGGATGAATTTGAGGTCAGGTAAGTTGTTTGCTTTGAAATCAAGCAGGAAGTCAAGCGTCTAAGTCAGTTTTACGCATTCAATTGAGTCATGTAGTTCCATGCTTGCCCTGTAATATGCCGGACTTTCGTCCGAGAACAATAGCCTGATACAGTATAGGGATATCATTGGCTGGCAGCTATCTATCAGTGTCCATGCAGGACAAGGACGCGTGTATAAAGCATAATAAATATTGATAATAGGTAGCTGTAAGGCAAGCACACCAAATTATAGTTGAATGGTGCAATTGACTTGTGCTGTGTATGGAAAATGTATGTTGATTGCGACAGTAAGGTGGGCATGTCGCAATGTGAAGCTATCATTCGGAGCCATCCGGCTAGCGGTTGTATATAATTCGGAATCTCGTGTCTTACAAAACGAATATGATATTGATCATTGACAAGCTACACAGGGTTCAAGATGTCGAGCAGCACGCCGAAAGAGACATCGGCAGTCACTGAAACGAATGTGTTTTTAGACAACAACCAACCTCTGTCGGAAGATACTCCCAAAAATGGATCATTTTTTAGTTCCATTCGTCGCTACATCTGGGACGACCCAAAGAAATCACCCAAAGAGAAATGGTTCCTATTAAAGCTCGACGTCTTCTTGCTTACCATATCCTGTCTCGGATATTTCAGTAAGAATCTCGATCAGGCCAATATAAGCAATGCATACGTTTCCGGAATGTCAGAGGCATTAAATATGAAGGGCAACGAGTTGACTTATGCCAGCAATGTCTTTACGGCCGGCTATGTCCTCGGTCAACTACCTGCTGTGATCTTAGTCACACGCATTCGTCCTTCGATCCTTATCCCTACTGTGGAAATTTTCTGGTCAATTTTCACATTTTGCTCTGCTGCTGTCAAGACTACATCTCAGCTATATGCTATGCGCTTTCTACTTGCTATCTGTGAAGGTACCTATTTTCCGACTGTTGTATACATTATAGGTTCATGGTACACCAAAAGCGAGCGTGGGAAACGCATGACCATATTCTACGCCACTGCAAGTCTAGCTGGTATGTTCAGTGGATACCTTCAAGCCGGCGCATACAAAGGTCTTAATGGCGTGTTGGGTCATGCTGGTTGGCAATGGCTCTTTATTGTCTGCGGTATCATCAGCCTTCCCATCGGCATCGCAGGATATTTCTTCTACCCAGACTTCCCGGAAACTACCCGCGCATTCTACATCACCCAGGAAGAAGCAGAGTGGGCCCAAAAGCGCTTGATCGCAGATGGCATGAAACCCCTTGGAGCTTCTGCCTGGGACCGCACGAAGATCTTTCGTATCATGAAGCAATGGCAGTTCTGGGTCTTGCCGGTTGGATACTTCCTCGTTCAAGGAAGCTATCCTATTCAGCAGCCTGCTTTTGCCCTCTGGCTCAAATCGACTGGACATTCAGTCTATCAAATCAACGTTTGGCCAACCGGTCAGTACGCCGTTGGTTTTGTGACGCAAATACTTGCCGGTATTATTTCTGATTCTCCCATTTTTCGCGGTAAACGTTGGCAAACTCTTATTGCTATGCAAATACCTACAATACTTGGCTGTATCGTGCTCGCTGTCTGGGATGTCCCCATTGGCCTCAAATATGCGGCCTATTACCTGACGTTTACCGCTGCTGGTGTTCCAGGTATCTATTACGCTTGGTATTCGGATCTGATGCCGCATGATCACGAGATGAGAGGGTTTATCATCGCCGCTTCAAATATGTTTAGTTATATCCAGTCAATTTGGTGGACTTTGACCGTTTGGAGGACGGTATTGTCTCCTCGTTTTCATGCTGCGTTTATTGGAGCTGCTAGTCTCGGTGTTACGCTTTGTTTTCTTGCGGTTGTGCTTCAGCGCTTGGAGAAGCACGATACGAAAAAGCGAGCTTTGATTGAAGACGGGACAAGTGATGAGGAAATAGTTAGAGCAGATAGTACTTAGGTCTGTGGCTGATTTGATTCATTGAATATAGCTATATTTGGGGAACGGTATAGTTCCAGTACCTATCTTATGTAACAGGATTCTACCTCTTTTTAGCCAACACGGCATCTAATCTTCAGAAGATTTTAGCTGTTCCTCTTGTTGATATTGAGGAATATCCTCGCCAGCACGCCACTTATACTTGCTGCCCGGATGATCCTCTGGCAATCTCTTCGAGCCAATAAAGACTTCTCGAGCAGTAGCCCCTTCCTTTTCCACATGACTCCTGAACCTTCCACGCCGTCTCAACTCCGGAAGCAGATACTCCGCCATATCCTCAAAACATCCCGGATTCGTAATATGAATAACATTAAACCCATCCACATCTGTTAGATCCACCCAGCGCTCAAGCTGATCAGCGACAGTAGTCGGACTGCCAATTAATTTCGCCTGTAGGCCGCCAACACTGAGATACTCTGCAATATTCTTCTTGGTCCAGGGCTGGTTCTCCTTTCCGGGTACCGAAGCCGCCCATCGCCGAATAAGAGATTGAACACGGGGCGAATCCGTGACTAGGAAATTCTCGTCATCGGAATACTTGGATAAATCGACACCTGTCCATCCGCCAAAGAGGGCGTAAGCGCCTTCATAATCGGCGTATTTCAGGTATTCTTCACGTTTTGCATGCGCTTCTTCATCCGTCGCAGCCACGATTATGCAGGTTGCTAGTATGATCTTTATATGATTCGGATCACGGCCTTCTTTCTGCGCGATGTTTCGAATATTGTTCACTGTTACGCGAACATCTTCAGGAACTTGGCCGCCAATAAAAATGGCTTCTCCATGCTTGCCGCCAAATCCATTACCTGCCTCGGAAACGCCCGCCTGAAATAGAAACGGAGTTCGTTGTGGTGACGGCTCACAGAAATGAGGTCCGGGGACTTCAAAGTATTTCCCTTTGTGGTTGATTTGCCGCACTGCGTCGTCGGCGATGTACTTTCCTGTTTCTCGATTTTCGAGGACGGCATCGTCGCGGAAACTGCCTTCCCAGAGCTTGTAGAGGACTTCCATATACTCATGCGCAATTGCATATCGTTCATCGTGCGGGATTTGCTCTTTCAGGCCGTGGTTACGAGCAGCACTATCTAAATACGAAGTGACGATATTCCACGCAACTCGACCCTCACTCAGATGATCAACCGTTGAGAACCTCCTCGCTAACGCATATGGTTTTTCATATGTCAAACTGGCCGTCACACCAAATATTAAATTCTTCGTAACAGAAGCCATGGCCGGAACCAAATACAGAGGATCATTAACCGGGAATTGGGCACCTGAGGCAAGAGACGGTACAACATTTGCGGGTCCCTTGTAAACATCGTACGGACCCAATGTATCGGCGATGAACATTGCGTGAAATCCGGCTTTGTCAAGCAGCTGGGCGAGATCGTTCCAGAAGGAGAGCTTTTTGTATTGATCTGTCTTGTTGCGAGGATGACGCCACAGGCCTGGGGCCTGGTGGCCGGGTGTGTTCATGACAAAGGCATTGAGGATGATTTGTTTCTTGGGGGAGTTGTTGGTCGTTGCCGGGGTGGTGTCTGCCATTGTAGCTTACCTACTATACGAGGATCAGAGGAAATTGCAAAGGAAAATGTTCAATCTGTCTCGAGAGGGAGAAGAGACCTATATCTTGTAGTACATTGAGAGTTTATCAGCGCTAGAATTGCCCAATTAGGAAGTCGTGCAGGGTTGTGCCCCATTTCTCGCCATCGCCTGAGCGAGGCACGCCATTTTCGCTCTCATTCGTCTAGATTCGTCCATATGCAAGTCATCACATGTCAACTTATCGGATATTTTGACTGTCTAAAGAGCGGTTCAGTTTGGATATATGCATATATATAAAATTGATTATAGGATTATATACTCTATCGCTATATGCGTCTATGAATTAGCAGTATTCTATTATGTCGACAGTCCGGCTTCCGCAAAACGATATATTTTCCCCAGACTTATTTCGAAGCCACAGGCCAGATAGTCCATCCAACAGCAATGCACACTTTGAGGAATCCAGAAATCCACAAAGCACTCTGCATCTCAGCATCACTACGACATAGCCAACCTGCCGCGATCGCGCCGACAACAATAGCCACACCSGAGCCGATACGTCTGTTGCGTTTGACGTTCTTCGTGACACCGTCCGCGAGACCCGGATCGGATGCAATATCAAAGTACACCGAAGTCAACACCACGGTCGGCAACTCATTGAACCCCATTCCACGACTAGCCGAAATCTGTCCACCGAACTGGAAAGCCAAGATCGCGATAGGAATCAATTCCAAAAATAGCGGTCCGCTGGTAGGTTGATTATTGATGTCGTGTGGAATCGTATCAGCTTGTATGATTGCAGCCGCAATGAACACGAAAATAGCCTGAATAGCGAAACAGACGGTCAAGGTACCCCTCTTCCGGTTTCCGACTGCTCGCATAATCTTTGCAAACACGTACGATCCAGTGAAAAATCCGCAGATCGATACCAACGACTTCAGCCATCCGTACGGTTTGTTCATAGGTATACCCGAAGCACCCAATCCCACGAAAATTGTGTTTCCGGTTTGCATGCTGATGAAACATCCAAAGGAGGCATAAACGACACCGTCGCATAGACCGGTGGTCAACGAGCAGAGAATAAATACGATATCTGCATGGTTTGTGCTGACAATTTCACCCCAACGGCCGCGTCGCGCGGGTTTTTGGTCGAGGATTTGGTCGTCTTCCTCCTTGGCGAGGTGTCCGTTTGTGTTGTTGGCTGCTTCGAGGTCATCTCCGGGTTTGACAGTATTTTCTAAAGGTGCTGCTACGGTCGTAGATGTCGCATTTTCGGGGATATCAAGCGCTGGCCCGCTTTCTAATTTCTGATCGAGGACGCCGGGTTGTGCCATCGTCCCTCGGTAATCGCGTTTCTCTCCGAGGCGACACGATGCGATCGGACGGTCGGGGAATTGATCAATTCGTGAGGACGAGCAGCGATCGTGCGTACAGTGCAGAGGCGCCCAATGGCTATAGTGTCACGAAATTGTGCAGTGAAAGAGAGAGCGATAAAGAAGTGAACAGGGGAGTTGTAAAAATTTTCTGATCACGACATCGGAGTTCATTACGGGTAAACACTAAATAATAAACTGCTTGTTGGCCATCGGAGGATCACCGGAGAGCGGCAGAGATAAGCTTACTTACCTGTTATCGATTGGCGGCTATCGGCCAGGAACCGGGCCGAGCACGAGAATGCCCAGCCCTAGCCCTAGCCCTAATGCAGTCTGTTTCTGTTCATCAGATGGACGGGCGAGATTGAACCCTATGCGAGGTTGGTAAGTTTACAGGCAAAAAGGATAATCATTATGTAATTACTGTCCATCTAACTAATATTCAGCTCTTCACATAGTATGGAATATCGACCTTGCATGGCTGGAGAAACCCTTAGGGTTGCTGCATTTCATTAGAAAGAATCCTGCCCTAAATTGTAGGCAACTCCTCACTTAGTTTTCAGGTCATTATATCCATTTCACATTCATATTCGGGACAAGTAATCTAAGATCTAGTTCTATACTTTTCAAAATGCTGAGTAATCTCGAACATGCTCTCCGGCCACCAGTCCGCGTCCCTATTCCACAAACACATTGGCCAATGTGCCTCTTTCTTAAAAGACACGATTTGACCAAGCTCCCAAGTGCCAATGTCACCAATCCACCACACATTATCCAGCAATACAACCAAGACAAGCCAATGAGCAAATATATCGACGGCAAGCTGGTGCGCTGTACTAAGATTTGGTGTCGTCCAACACATCTGATCGCTGTCCGGTGCATTATTGGGTTGAATCAGGCTGAGCATCTCTTCGACTAAGTTCAGAAACTTGGTGGGAACTTTGTGGATAAAAGCCATAATATACCTGCGAGGGAGCGGCGAAGGTACCATAGACGTGATGCTGGCTGTGTATCTCCGCAACCAGGGGGAGACCTCGGACAATTGTCCTACAGGGTCAACATCGACTTCGAAAGACAGTGGTGTAGTTGGAGTCAAATCGCCGGCAGGAAATGTCTCTGAGACAATGTTGCTGAGTATGCTCAAGGCGACAAAGCACGCTTGAATCTCGGGATTACCGTGAATGGCTGAGCTGTCGAAACCGCCTAGTTCGTTGCTCGCTTCAAGGATGGCTCTGTCCCTGGCTCGTCTGCGTAATTTTATTAAGGCGGTGCCTACCGTAGAAGCCATTATGGGGTATAGGGCATGATTTATTGGGTTTCTGTGCAGCTCGTTTCGGGAAGATCGTTGATAATCGTAGTGGAGCTGCGAACTGTTCCTTGTAATGAGCTGATCGGGCGAATGATCTGTACTGAACTGTACTGCGTCCCTTGGCGAATGAGTATCTTTAAGAAGCCCATCATAAGCCAGATGCACAGCACGAAAGAGGCTAATCCACTGAGAATCCCTAGGTATTAAACCTTGCTGCAGTTGGTCACCCAACGTTGCGGTTTTAGCTAGCCAAATACGAGCACAGTGGCTACCAGAACCATACATTCCCATCATGGCCGCATTTGCTAGGATATGGTCATAATTCTTGGTCTGGGGAAGTGTCGCTTGGACCTCTCGTAGAGATTCCATGTGATATCCATTTGCAAGTGATAAAAGCTCTATGACTTGGCCACGGTCTTCATGGGATGCCGATGGTTGATTGATGATATCGAGACATTTGCATACTGCCGATAATGCTAACACAGATTTCATCAGAGGCTTGCTCTGACAGGCTAGATTGGGAATGCCAATTTGTAGAGTGTGTTGCTCTTCGTCGCCCACGGTCAAATCCTTGCTAGTATGATCGAGGTAGTGTTGAAATAGTTCAAAATCTACAGGCGCAAGCGTCTGCGCTGCCTGTAATATCAAATTTGAATCAAGCCTTCGGTCTTTTCTCGGCAGCGCAGCCACCATTTGAGATGAAGCAAAGCTTGATATGGATGATATCGGGCTTCCAGACGAATGGTCCGAATCTCCGGGACTGCCTGGTCTTGATCCGTGCTGTAGGAGAAATGGATCTATAAGCTCCATCAAGAAGTCATCCGGTAACACAGAGTCTGGCTTTCTTTTGGGATATTGACAGTTCAGATTCATCTTCTCGCATCTTGAGCATTTCGGTAAATGCTCGTCGCACTGTGCCGTCGTTAGGAATCTATCACCTTTGATCGTATATTTGAATTTTGTGCTTACCTTGATTCTGCGCTGTTTGCATTTTGTGCAGCCATACCTGGACTTTTTGTGGGATCGTCGTGTCTTAAACCCAACTGCCTCGGGGCTTGAATTTTGGTTCACGCTATTATTGTTCTTCGACATGTTGTACCGCGCGCTATGTTCGAGATATTTTGATATCGTGGATCTCAACCACGGGTTCGTTCGTGATTATTATATTCATGGTCATAATCACTGTAGAACAGATCTCCTCTAGCTACTACCTACCTATCTAGGAGAATGAGGGAAACCGGCACCTCGGGACACAGCCTCATATATTTGGAATTGAATTGTCCATTGAAGAATCATCAATCCTCTTGACGTCACGAGAGCTGAACTTGTCGATACTTGGCATTAAATATTTAAGCATACTAAATGTCACCGAACGTCTTCATTAATCTCGTTTTTCTCCCTAACTGTCATCTTCTCCGCGCTACTCCGTGCCGGATCACCGAATAACCTCTACGACCATACCCGAAACCGTTTAAAGTCATTGGGGCCTATGTGCGGCTAACGTGGATAGGTATGGTGCCCTAGCCCCCAATGACAAATATTTGAGAGTCTAAGCCTCAACCAAATTAAAGATTTCTCCATCGTGACAAATTCTTCAGATCCCAAGGTTGACCAATCGTGCTGAAATTCGCGACCGGGTTTGAGCTTTATGCAAGTGCGTATTCGGTAGTTGACGAATTCGCGTTGCATTACGTGAGCAATGATCGATTAAGTCAGGCTTCTTATGCGTTGATTATCGAAACATTTGTACGAGCCGGCCAATAAGCTGTTAGTGATTTGAAGTTTGACGGGTAGTCTATTTTGCTGCGCACTTGCATCTACGAGCCGGCCAATGACCTCCACAATCCAGAACTTATTCGATCTAGAAGGTCTTGGTATTTCTACGGCGCTTTGACAAGGCCGCCAATGGAAAGTATGCCAAATGTCCAAGAATCCCTCCATAAAGGAAAGTGATCTAGAAACCATCAAGAGCGAATGACTGAGCTACGTCAGATTGATGATAAATAGTATCATCTTATTTCAATGTTCTGGCCACTGCTTGCTTCTAGTTATATGTCCAGCTCCATTGCATTATCTGTCACATATGCAATTAGAGATCCACAATCAAGAGCATGATCACACTCTAGCAAATCCAGCTGGATACTCAGCATTAAATCAGAGACCATATTTCCAGCTCTCTTCGACACTAGCCCAACCCTCCAGAAAGTTTGGATATGCAGTCTGGAAAGTGTCGGCTGTACGGAATCCATTCACCGCACTTTTGACACATCCAGCTTTTGGTGCCGGTGTGCCAGTCAACCGATCTTTAATCCATGGCAGCCACTTCATCTGACTAGCCTGAATGCTGGGGAAATGATCCATAGCTGAGTAAGTGACTAACTCCAGTGACTCACTCCAATGTTCCTGCTTCAACATCGTGCAAGTGTCGTCTACCGCAGGCTCGACCGCGTCGAAGAGAGGAACCACAATGTCCGCTTCGCCGGAGATGATGAGTAATGGACCCTTGAATTGTTTTCGACCACTTTCTGACAATTTGGCATATTCCTGAACCGTGGGGGAGTCATACCAGTTGGGAACAGCTAGTTCGTCGGTGGTTACATTGGTAAAGGCAAGAGCGTCTGTGGGTAAGCACCCATCCAAGGGCTCCAGGACATTGAACCATCTATCGTAGGACACAGGAGTCAAACCAGTATAGTTATACGCAGGGAAGGCGGCTGTCACTGCAGAAATAAGTTTTGGCTGCCCGGCAATGATTACCTGAGCCCAAGGCTCGGTGATGTTACTGAAAGCGTCTTTGAGATGGTCGATTGTCCGCGTAGTGGGTGCAATTGCAACAGAGCCCTTGTATCCAGCAATTGGTTCCTTGACCTGTTTCTCTGCAAAAGCCCAAGTTGCTCCTCCACCTTGAGAATGGCCCATGGCGACGAAGGGGCCGTTCGCTGTCAGAATACTGGGAAATGCTTTTCGGGCGGCTATGATGGCGTTGGCGAGATCGTTGGCTTGCGCTGGTCCGTTTAGCCAAGGATGTCCTATCTTTTGTCCATTGGGCAAAGTGTCGACGCCGAGTCCGGCATAGTCTGGTGCTACAACCACCATGCCTTGAAGAGCAAGGGTGAAGGGAGCCTGGAAGTGGTACTGAAGGTTGCGGTAGTTACTTGGTGCACACCCTCTGAGTACGCCAGAGGTACCATGAGCCCATGCCACCATTGGATATCCTTTGCCGGGGATTTCGAGTGGTGTATACGGCCATAGGATATATGCAGAAGTCGGGAGAGTAGTACCGTTTTGATCGTTGGTGGTGTAAATGATCCGAGACATAGTGAGACCACTAGGAATACTGTAGTTCGCGAGCTCGGTCACCGGCTCGACAGTGAGGATACTTCCGGGAGAAAGCTTGGAAGAAAAGTTGGAAGGGGCTTGGTAGAATGAGAAATCACGCGAGGCATGCTGGTCGATTTCCCACGAGTTGCCATTTTGCACCGTCTCTAAGCAGAGGGCATCGCAAGTCGAACTTGTCTCAGCGCAAGCTGTGATAGACACACCAACCCCGATGAGGGCTATGAGTAACTGGAAAGGAAAGCGTGATAACATTGTGTATCCAATTCTCAGGTTTGTTATTGATAATCGAGGTTATTCCGGAATGTTAGTCTCGTTCTTGTGCAAATGAGAGGATTGCTTACCCCTTTATATCTTTCTTCGTGAGCCATCAACGTTGGATGCCCATGTGGACTCTTGACATATTGTTCACAAGCCAACTTCATCTGCTATAGCATTCATCGTCGATGTCCCACTCGCTGAGAATTGAAATTGGCCCTTCATACGTCGACATGACTAACTAAGAGGTTAATGAGATAAAAAAGGCAAGTTATTCTTGTCATAAAATGATTTGGAATTGATTCTAAATGCGTACTGCGTATAGTCGTCTTTTCTTAATGGGAATGACGAGCCAAGCAAATCCTCCTTCTTAGACCTACTCATATGTATGAGTAAATAATGTGCACTCAATACACAGGGGAAAAGCTCTTCGTGATTCACGTATAGAATACGCTACGTATGGTTCGTTTTTAAGGAGGCTGAATACGCGCTGATCGTGGGGTCCGGGGATGCGAATACGCTCGTGGCTTGGTACCTGGGCCGAATACGCTCTGTGATCCGCAATATGTACACACCTACAACTATAAATAAGTACGTCTTTCATGGATGAAAAGATTATATCCAGAGTTCAGTCATACCAATCAAAGACAAAACAAGCATAAGTTTTCACAAACATGAAGCTCACCTTGTTTCTCGAAGTATACGTATTTAGCGTTGCCGCACACGGCTGGCAACTCCCTCCTAAAGGCCATGAATGGCATCCACCTGTGACCGGAGACAGTAAGTCTTCCTATACCTCTTCCTTGACTCCAACTGACAAGATAAAAGGCCGCTCGCCCTGCCCCGGTCTCAACGTAATGGCAAACCACGGCTTCCTTCCCCGTTCAGGCAAAAACATCGACCTCGCTGCAGTCCGAGACGGTGTCAGCCAAGCCTACAACTTCGCTCCCACCACATTCGACAGCGCCTTTGAGCAAGCTATAGATCTGGGAGTCTCTACCACCGGTAACGCATCGACTTTTCACCTTGAGGATCTCAAGAAGCATGATGCCGTCGAGTTCGATGGGTCATTGTCACGCAACGACGCATACTTTGGAGACGATAATAGCTTCAACCATGCCATTTGGTGGACTACAGCACTCAGACTTGGTTTGTATGATTATGGGCTTTTTGGAAATAATACACATGTCAATGTTGAGACGGCTGCTAGAGCACGTGCTGCTCGCGTGCGAGATGCAAAGGCGGTTAATCCGAAGTTCAATGCGTCCGCCAACGAATTGACCGGTAGTCCCGGTACAACAGCTCTATATCTGGCTACTTTGTGGGATGATGCGGCAGATGCAGCACCAAAGGCATGGATCAGAGCTTTCTTCGGTGAGCCTTATGTTTCTATTTGGTTTCTTAGTGTCATGCTAATGTTTGGTGTGACAGAGAACGAGCGCATCCCGTATCTCGAGGGATACCAACCCCCTACGGTAGCGAGGGACGGTTCTACTATCGGTGAGCTGTTTGCGAGAGTTACTGCGGTCAATGTTTCCGATATACTCGGCTAGACTGGCTATTCTGCTTTACGATGTTCCAGGATTGAGCATGTTACGAGGCTCTTGAAGTGCTTGACATTCATTACCTCTACACTTTCTTTTAGAGCACACTCACTTATCAAGCTTGCTTGGTGAGCCTTTTTCATACAGACCAGATATCTAATGAAATAGATTTTATATCTGTTTTTTCGACAATTGCATTATCTAATCGCAGTAAAGGAAAAGTGAACTACGTGAACCTCACACTCGAAGAGTGCTATACTGTAACAAAAGATCCTAAACAGTCAAATTACTAATAATATGAGACAAAGCTTTCTGTCTCATTCTAGTACATTATTTCTCGTTTCTCGCATAGTTTGAATCATTCGAAATCATGGGCACATTAGGGTTTTGAGGGTTACCGAAATTAGGGCTTTTGATCGTTGGCTTCCCCGATAAGTGAAATATGTCCAAACTACGAAGGCATACTCTACAGCTTCATAATCTAAATCGACAATTTAAGACTACTGAAGGTTACTAGGTGATTTGCAGTATATGAGTCGAATGTCTTGAGCATTTAAATGCAGCTTAACCATGATGAGCGATATAATTGATCAGGCACCTAAGAAGTCATCATCCTATACAAATAGAACTCAGGATATCAATATTCAAAGACCCGGTAGGTAGATCTGTACACATACATGCATATTAAAATTACGTAATGGAAAATCCGCAGATCCAGAATACATTCAGAATGCCAGAGTAGGAAGTCAACAGCCAGGGTGAAGGACGACAGTGTCCACCACGGAACATGCTTGGAAGGAAGGGATAAATACAATTAATTTCTTCCTTGTAAGTAATCACAAACACAGCAAGCCAGGCACGTGTAATCTCCCGGCAAGGGAAAGGCAGTGACTGGACACAAGAAAAATAAACATACGTCGGGTGATGCAAGGAATGTGCGTACCTGGATACCCGTCGACCTTGAATGATGTGATGACATGATTGAGAACTCCTATATTAGTCCGTCGCTCGACCGTGCAATTGCGTCTTTGAGATGCTTTTGTTCTACTTTTCTATTCTGCCAGAATTTATGAATAGATATGATAATGCGTGCATTCTGGTGGACGGCGTTATTGAGTTCCTCGGTACTCGTTGCAGGACAGGTGAGCACACCCATATTCTACTATTCCGTACCTGTCTAATCGAAAGAAGGATAATGAACCATACTCACCACCATACTATCCCTCGCCCTGGGGAGACGGCGAAGGCGAATGGGCAGACGCATATGAGAAGGCGAGAGAGTTCGTGAGCCAGCTTACTCTTCCCGAGAAAGTGAATCTGACGACGGGTACTGGGTGAGTCTATCTTTCATTTTGTGATTTAATAGAGAATGAATTAGTATGACTGACTAGGCGAAGGTGGATGCAAGGCTCTTGCGTCGGCGAAACAGGTTCAATCCCACGACTTGGATTTCGAGGACTCTGTCTCCAAGATGGGCCTATGGGCATACGATTCAGTGAGCCCTTGCCCACAAGCCACTAGAAAAAAAAATAACGACTAACTGAAGGCACAAAGGTGACTACAATTCTGCCTTCCCCGCCGGTGTCAACGTAGCCGCAACCTGGGACCGCTCCCTGGCGTATCTCCGCGGCCTCGCCATGGGCAAAGAATTCAACTCCAAAGGCGTCGACATCCAACTCGGCCCAGTTTCAGGCCCCTTGGGCAGAACACCTGAAGGAGGCCGGAATTGGGAAGGATTCAGTCCCGACCCGGTGAATACGGGCGTAATGATGGCCGAGACAATAAAGGGTATACAAGAAGCGGGCGTAATTGCATGCGCGAAACATTATATACTTAATGAGCAGGAGCATTTCAGGTTGGTAGGGGAGGCGAAGGGGTATGGTTATAATATTACTGCGAGTGCGAGTAGTAATGTGGATGATAGGACGATGCATGAGTTGTATTTATGGTATGTCTACCCCTTATGTGTCCTGGTGAATTGCGTCAGCTAATCTTCAAAGGCCATTCGCAGACGCAGTACGCGCCGGGGTTGGATCAATCATGTGCTCTTACAATCAGGTCAACAACAGCTACGCATGCGCAAATAGCTACACATTGAACAGGCTTCTCAAAGGCGAGCTCGATTTCCAGGGCTTTGTCATGAGTGATTGGGGCGCTCATACATCGGGCGTAAGTAGTACTCTTGCCGGCCTCGACATGTCCATGCCCGGTGACACCTCGTTCGACTCTGGTGACTCGTACTGGGGCGCAAACTTGACCATTTCAGTCGTCAACGGCACTGTTCCTACGTATCGGATTGATGATATGGCAGTTCGCATAATGGCTGCATACTACAAAGTCGGCAGGGACAAATTTCAGGTTCCTATCAACTTCAATTCATGGACTCGTGATGAGTACGGACCGATATATGCTGCTGCAGGACCGGAGTACGGGGTTGGTAAAGTCAATGAGCGAGTCGATGTACGCGGTAACCATGCCTCATTGATTCGCAAGATCGGAGCGGCGAGTGTAGTTCTTCTCAAAAACACAGACAGCGTCCTTCCACTCAGTGGCAAAGAGAAATTCACCGCGATCTTCGGCTCGGACGCCCGCGCTGATCCAGTAGGTATCAACGGCTGTGCTGATCATGGCTGCGACAACGGCACCCTTGCCATAGGTTGGGGAAGCGGTACAAGCAATTTCCCCTACATCGTGACACCGGAAGACGCCATCAAGCAAGAAATCCTAAGCAAAGGGGTTGGCATCGTCGATTCCGTGGCCGATGACTGGGCATACGACAAGATCCAAGTCCTTGCCTCTCAAGCCGATGTGGCCCTTGTGTTCGTCAACTCTGACTCAGGCGAAAACTTCATCGTCGTTGACGGCAATGAAGGTGATCGCAACAACCTGACCCTTTGGCGAGACGGTGACAAACTCATCGAAACGGTTGCTTCTCAAAATAACAACACCGTCGTCGTGATTCACAGCGGCGGGCCCGTTCTTGTGGGCGATTGGTACAATAATTCAAATGTGACCGCGATCCTCTGGGCAGGTATGCCTGGTCAAGAAAGCGGAAATTCTATCGCAGACGTCTTGTATGGCTATGTCAACCCAGGCGGCAAAAGTCCCTTTACATGGGGCACAGCACGCGAGGATTACAGTACAGATGTCCTGTATACACCCAACAACGGAGTCAACGCTCCACAGATCGATTTCACAGAGGGACTCTTTATTGATTATCGTGGCTTTGATAGAGCCAATGTCACGCCCATTTATGAGTTTGGGTTTGGTTTGAGTTATACGACATTCGAATACCAAAATATCAGAATCAGGCCCCTTCAAAACGCAGCCCCTTATACGCCCACGACTGGCTTCACGGCACCTGCACCAGTAGCCTCAAATTTCAGCACGGATTGGTCTGACTACCTCTTCCCCCGTTTCATTCGCAGAGTCCCGTTGTTTCTATATCCATGGCTGAACACGACAGACCCAGCTGCATCATCCGGTGATCCAGACTACGGCCTCCAGGCCAATGAATATCTACCCGAGAACGCGACATCTGCCTCTCCGCAGCCTTTGCTTGCAGCTGGAGGCGCGCCAGGCGGAAATCCAGGGTTGTACGAGGAGGTCGCCATCGTGACTGCTGATATTACCAACACCGGGTCTGTGGCGGGKGATGAAGTTCCTCAACTTGTAAGTCTCCTTTCACTCTTTCTAACGGTATGTAATAATCTGATCTGATTGTCATTTTGTAAAGTATATATCACACGGCGGCCCCGATGATCCTCCCGTCGTCCTTCGAGGCTTTGATCGCATCTCGCTCCGACCACAGGAAACGAAAGAATTCAGCGTCGTACTGACGCGCCGCGACATCTCGAACTGGGATGTTGTTTTACAAGACTGGGTTGTGACGCGGTATCCTAAGACGGTTTATGTGGGCAGTTCGTCGAGGGAGTTGTTGTTGGAGGCGGGGKTGCCTGATTTATTTTAATACGTATAGACATGTGTATAATGGTATAGTATTAATGGTTGGCTATTGTATAGTCCAGGAATATGCAGCCAATCGATAGATTTTACACGCATGAATATAATTATTCATCGCTCAATTCCCACTATTACAGTATTTATTCAGTATTCACTCTCCTCACCAATGTGCATTATAAGAAGTCTCGTCCGATTAGACCTTGATCTCTTGAGCCTCTTTGGTCGCAGGTGACTCCTCAACGATCTCATTGGTGATGAAATCCTCGTGGTTCAAGTGGCGGAAATGAATGTTCAGCCAGATGGTCTGGATGACGAGAGCGACGGCAGGTGCAGCCCAGAGCCAGACCTAGAAGACGTTAGCTTTCATTGTCATATACGATAGAAGAAAGAAGACTTACGAGGTAAGGGTCGACCTGGACAGGAAGCAGGATTTCACCAAGGGCAGAGGAAAGAGCAGTCATAAACAAGAAGATAGCCATAACGAGACCTCGCATCGAAGGAGGTGCGCGCGAGTAGGCAAGTTCGTAGGCAGTGACGTTGGCAAAGCACTCGGACATGGCGCTCAAAGAGTTGTTAGGAATCTGCCACCAGATCGAGATATTTGCAACGGTGTCGCAGGTAGAAGCATAGTATCCGCAAGGAGACAGCTTGTACACGTAGTGCTGCACAATAGCGCCCGCGGCACTGGAAAGGGCAGCCAGGAGGAAACCAATAGTCAATCGGTCGATAGGTCCCAACTTAATACCAAAGCGGTGCAACGTGGGATAAAACACATAACTGAGGAACGGCACAAAGACAATGATGGTGAGAGGGTTGAAGTTGTTGAGCAAGTCGTTGGGGGCACCATTGGTGACCATGGCAGCTCCCTGGTTAGATGGGACAGATCCAATACCGCCGTCGTTCAAGTTGTAGATGGGAAAGAAGAAGAAGATGTGGCATGCGTCGATGGTTCGCTTGACATCGTCGACCAGTTTGTCGCTCCAGCTAACTGTGATACCTTGCTGGGCCAAGACAGAAGGTTTGGCAGAGTCCCAGAATCCTTTCTTCCAAAATTGGAATTTGCTCTTCTTGAGAGCAGTTCCGACAATCTTGAAGGCGCTGGTGAGGTCGGAGCCAGATGGGGGAGACTTCTTGGTACGCTTGTACATGACGAACAACAAAATGGGGAGAAGGAAGTAGATGATMCCCGAAATCAAAAAGGSGAGCCAGTAGCCAACGTCCTTCTCGGCGTAGGAAGTTGCAAGCATGTAAAAGGCACCGACGTTGACGGAACCATAGAAGATGAGCATAGTGCGAGTCGCCGTCAGCTCAGGAGAGACAATTACCTTCTCACCACTCTTCAAGGTTTTAACAAACTCCTTAGAGTGGAGTGTTTGATCGAGAACGGTAGGAGCGATGTTAGGCTTGAAGATACCGGCACCAACAGCCAAAATTAGAAGACCAATAATGAATGGAGGAGCGGCGTTTGCCGTTCCCCGTTGCAGGACAGAAGGAATGGCACCGATGATTTGGATGATGTGCGCAACACCACAAATCAAAACACCAACCACAATGGCATAATATCGACCGACTTTGACATCAGCCCACCAACCGCCGAAGATGGGGATAACGTAGGCAAGAAACTGGAAGAGCAGAACGAAACCAGAGGAGGCTTGAAGACCCATGTTTAGAGCACCAGCAGTCTCTTGGGTGCCTTTGGGAGGGGCACCAGCTCCATTTCCACCTGCCAGAATTAGAGTCGCGTCCATAGATAGCTGTGAGTAGATAGTAACAAGGCATACCTGCGGGAAGAGGGAACTCCACAAAGTTGGAGAAGATGTTCTGGGCACCATAGTACGAAGCACGCTCCGCAAACTCGACAAGACACAGCGCGAACGCGATATAGCTCAAGTCGTCAGAGACTTTGCGCAAAGTTGCCTTCTCCTCTGCAGTAGGGATAGGGAACTCATCGTCTCCCTCACTTGAGGAGGCGACGTCGCCAGAGTATGCGACTTTCTCGGTGTTGTCGTGAGGGATGTGGAGGGAGTCACGAGCGGCGATCTGCTCGACGACCTCTGGAGGAGGGCGAGTCGCGATCATGTCCGCGATGACATTTTCGCCTGCGTTGGTAGCTGTATGGAGTTAGAAACATGATTGAGCGAATGTCGTTGGTGTGAACAAACCCATCTTGAGATAGTGCGTGAGACGGAGACAGAGACAGACAGTGTAAAAAGGCTCTGGACTGCAAGAGCTGGTCGTCTGGAGGAAGGAAGACGGCTCAAATGAAGATGGCGGACGAGACGCTCTTTATCTGAACTGACACTAACAGAAACTACTGAGAACTGACAGGATTACATTCTGTACCATTGACTAAATTAGTTGAAATGATAAAATCTGGCGCACGTCGGGCCTAATGCCTAAGACGGGATAGAGACTGGAAAACACGTTTTCTCGAATGGATCCGCCTAGTGGAGAGGCAACTTGCAATAATATGTGTAATTTAATAATAAGATGATAAAGAACCAACATGATTGATTGATTGATTCATGCAAGTTCATGGCGCGGAGGGCGCTCTTTCAATTAGAATCCCTGATAAGACGATCTGATTTGGTAGGATTCTTTGTTACGCGAAGGGTTGCAATGAGACGACTCAGGTCACCCCCATTATGTCGCCGGTCGCCGCACTATCGCGAGCCATCCTAGACTCGCAAATTCCTGTACCGATGGGATCTCGATCAAAAGACATCTCCATGCAATTTTAGACTTGGCGCGTTGGCCAGAAAAGGAAGGTCGAACAAAAATCATCTTCTAGAAGTCGTTCAGATTATGGCCAAGCGCCAATTGGAGTTTCTCCGTCTGAGACGAACTGGTCCGTACAACACGGAGATGGCCAGAATAAGGGATCAAGGTCAGAGTGTGCCATTGCGTCCAAAGCAACGTACATGGCGCAAGGGCCCAAGGGGACGACGAGTAAGACGGAGGATTCGAGGGACGGCCCAGTGGGTACGTCGTCGGAACTTTGTGTTGAACTGATGCTGCGTCTTGATAAAAGCCAAGCAAAAATTGGCCGACATGATTGGACTTGACGCGGGGTTGTTAATCGACTAGCAGGTTAGCAACTGGCGCAAGATTTGCATATGTTTTGGTGATTATCGCGTCAACGTGAGTGGCTCGAGCGAACGGTTAGTACGGAGCGAGATGCAACGTTGGAAAAGAATGCCGGAACTGCTATCACTGGACAAGTCACCAGCATCTGTACGTATCGCTGTCGATGTACATTGAACGAGTATTGTCGTGGAAGTTGGAACAGTGTTATTTTCCTTGCATGGTCTCTAGTCTGCAGTTTCGGTGCGTATCGAAACATCAACTGCAAATTGCGGGATACACTAAGACCGTAATCTTTCTGTGTATCCGCCGAGGTGCACTGGTTCAGGACGAGGTCCAAGACATGAGGATTAGCTTTAGGTCGCACGACACTTGTGGCGTCGAGTGTCGAGCCTGCGATTGGCTTGGCCCCGTAGCTTAATTATCCTTATCGCAACAGGCTTCGATGTTTCGGTGGGAATACATCGCCCGTCTGTGGTCGGCGTTTGCAACTGCGCATATCGTCGGCGCAAACGAAAGACTAGCTGCTAGGGAGTATTATTGTAGGGTGGCGCTCGGAGGTTGGTCTTCATCTGTCTGCCAATACAGAGGAAGCATTCGAAAGCGTACGTATTCAGGGCCGGCCTTATCAGCACATATGGATCCACAATGGCGCAAGTCTCCTTTCCCCATGGTCCGTGGGTAAATTAATTTCGAAGTCCCTGTGGTGACTAAGGGGAGAGAGTGGTCACTCCCGACGAGGGGACACCGGACGGCGCGGAATAACTTCCTGCCGAGCTCTCCCATTTGCCAGCGTAGCGGAAGCTAACTCGGTTCCTTCCGACCAATCTCCAAAAGATCGTTTCTTGTCAAAAGCTTCAGCAAGTCGTCGACACCTTGGCGAATGAGTCGTGCAGCAGTCGATTCTGATTCGTGCGTGCCGCCTTTTCAAGATAACTGCGTACTGCTCGATATGCTGCTGATTCAGTCAGCCAATTGCTGCCAACCACTATGGTCGACGATTATGTAACTGGGAGGAGGCGTGGTATGAGAGTCTGTTGTATCATTGATGATGCAGCATCCCGTCATGTGTGTATCACTTGCCACGAATGAAGGACATAAATACTCTGGGGTCGATCATTTTGTCTTGCCGTGTCTGAAATTGAACATTGTAAAAAGTTCTTTCCTGATCTTCCAAGCCATATTGACTGCTCAACCCAACATGCCATCATCCAAAAGCGACACAGCAATCCGCTATCCCGAGCGTGCTGATCAGCAGCGCCGAATCCGTGGCGTGACCCAGGATCGCAAATGGGAGGCCCGAATGCGCGAGAGAGCCGTGACAAACCCCGAGATGGCGTCGAATGCTACAGCATGGGGACCCGAGTCTCAACTGGAACTCCATATGGACCAGGCAGGAAACCCTCAGCCGGATCCGTCGCAGTTCAGTGATGGGTATAGGGCCTCGAGACAGGGGCTGGTGTCCAAAGGTCAGGACCACGACATGGTCTCTGCTGCGAATGATGTCCCTTAATCGGCCGCAGGCGTGTTTTTCGTGGCTGTCTTAGCTTTGGGCATTTTGTTTTTGATAGCAAGAGCTCGTCCCTTGTGTACTATAACTGCATTGATTCATCAAGTGCATGATGTGTTCATTAGAATCACAATATCATGCGAACTGGAACTTTGGTGTTATACGTAGTTCAAGCTCGACTCGTATGTAGTCGATATGTCGATTCGTGAGGGAAGACATGAGGACCTGTTCATCACAGCATCGAACAACACTCGAGTAGAATATGTAGAATGTTAGGAATAAAAAGGAGTGTTGAGGGAAATAAATATCGAATCGAATCTATTCCGAAAGCTCGGAGTTAGCGTGACTCATTCCGACCCATTGCTGCCTAGGGCTCCGTAGTAACCCTAACTTTAATTTTTTTACTAATATACGTCGCATAAGAGTGACAACTAATCCCCGCAAATAGGATACTACGTAGTACGAGAACAAACAGGTTTGATTGATGGTCAAGACCTCTAGTCCAGAGACGGGTGTGTGCCCGGTCAGTCAATTCCGACTCCGAGCTTTCTATTCCGCGAATCAAGAAGTCTCAACATTGTGACTTTGCTTAGTCCACAGCATTCAAATACTCAAAGAAGATATTCCCTAGTATAAAGAAAAAGCGAGCTTCTAATGCTGACAGTCCGTATGTGCAGACGAGTTTTAGAGCTTCATTTTCGAAGCGTAGACTACATAGTGACCTCGACATAAGACGAGCGAGAGTCTAAAAGGAGATTCATATGTTCTTCATTGAGTCATTAGGGAATCCCGCAACGTCCAACCGTAATAGAGGTATTCACAGGAAAACCTCAATTATGCGCGCTAATCAAACCAACCAAAACCCCATTCCGACTCTCTGTGGTAAGTCTAGTCCGCTCAACAAACTCTCTCACCGGATCCCGATTCTCCAGCCTCTCAAACTCCCACATCAAACGTACAAGAACATACGCGTTCTCCGTCAACGTGATATCCATACCCGGGCAGACACGGCGTCCCGCAGAGAAGGGCAGATATGTCCATCCACCTTGCGTTTTGACGTGTCCATCTTCGTCTAGCCATCGCTCGGGTCGGAAGTCGTCGGCGTCTTCGCCCCAGATCTGCTTGTCGTAGTGTAGTGCGCTAAAGTTGGCGTTTATGTTGTCTCCTTTGGCAATGAAGATTGGGGATGTACCATCTGGACCGCCGCCAGTTGGGAGAATGCAGTCTTGGGTGCAGCGGCGTCGATTGCCGGCAGCAGGTGCATGGAGCCGGAGACCTGTCAAGAGGCCAATCAATAATCTCCTACGACCTAGGTACCTACGTATTTTTCAGTTTTCAAGATTGACTTACTCTCGTTTAGGACTGCCCGCATATAAGGCATGGATCGAAGAATATCGCGCGTCACGGGACCTTCAATTGCGAGTACTTCATTCCTCAATCTGTCCCATGCACTCGGGTTCCTTGCAAGATGAAACAAGCATCCGCTGAGGCCAGTAGCCGCTGCATCACGAACAGGTAGAAAGATGTTCATGAGATGGTTACATATTTCCTCGCGATCATCGAGCTGCTTGACCAGCTCATCGACGATGATGTATCTGTTGCTGTTATTCGACTTGCCATCTTGCCGCTGTCTTTGTATAGCCTCGTCAATGTACTTCATAACTATGGCGCGGACATTGGCCGAAAGCTTTTGGAATGTAGTATCCCAGGCAGTAAAGATCCATAAACGGCCAAGAATGATGCGAAGACCAGTACGCTTCAAGACTGCCGCAAAAGTGTCGAGAAGTTCATGTGCAGAGTCATCTGGTGTCTTCTTGAGGAGGGTTTCTGTTGACTTGCCGAATATCAGTTCTGTCGAGTGGTCAAGATACTAGTAGCAATGCCATCAACATTCCGCTCTGAGGTCTACATCACAATACAGATAGTCATACCATCAGTTTAAGTAGACCCTGGAGTTCCACCGTCGAGCCATCTCGCGGAAGCCGCTCAAGCATTCTATCAAGATGAATATCTAGCGCACTTAGATCAGAAACCTGTGATCGCGAGAACATGGGTGCAATCAGTTTCCTCGAGTACTCCCAATACTCCCCATCCGTTGTGAACACTCCAGGACCCATGAATGTGCCCGAGACAGCCAAACGCATCTCCTGAACACCAAACTTGTCGAAAGAGGTACCCAGAACTTCGCGGATATTTTGCGGATCCATCGTCATAATGAGCCTGTTTCCCCATGAATTGACCTCGTAGGTGCGTCCTAGACGAGCGAAACGGTTACGCTGGCCGGCCCAGGAAGTCCCCTCTTCGCGCTCTTTGAGTTCTGCCAGAACATAATCAAGACCGAGAATTGGGTCTTTGTGTGGATAGCGGGGTGGTGATTTGCAACCATGATGACGACGTTTGATATTGATAAAAGCCCAAGAAGTAAGTCGTCTTCCAAGCAGGATGGCAAGTAAGCCAAGTAAGGCAGTTGTAATTATGTCAACCATGTTGGTATATTTCAACTGAGGCTGGCAAAAGTCAAGTAGTATCTAGTGAAAACAATTGACTTCTGTTGGGAAAAAACTAAAGGTTTCAACTATGTTGTCGTTATTATTTCTGTCGGAGTTTGAATTTGAAACAAAGAAAGCATAGAACGAACCATGGATGCCTTGTAGATTAGGCCGCGACTAGATACTCGAGTCTCGATCATTACCTAAATAGGTACACATGTCTCTCGGAGTTTCAATGTTAGCTGATAGCAATTCAGCTGGAATTCCTCAGCTGGGGTTTGAAACACGTGAAATCAGCCTTGCATGGATGATTTGTTAGTACTCAATGTTGGAGGCCTGACGACTGATCTGGAGCATATATAACCCTAGTTTTGCCGGAATGGACGCATCCTTGACACCCAGATGAGGTCGTTGAGTCTATCAAACCAATACTACGATATATTGAATGATCGGATCTCATCTCATTTTATATCTGTTCCAATCAGCATGGTCGGAATATTCGACGACGAAACGCTCCCTTTGAACGGGGACAAGCATGTCAAGCGACGGCCACATTCTTCCAGGGTTACAGTGACACCGACTAGGATCGCCACGTTTAGTCTTCTATTATTCTCTGTTGCATTGCATGGACTTTTTTATCTACAGTCACGCTGTCCATCGGAGCGAAGCGCATACGGTATGATCCAGCAATTCTCTTCATCTCTTGAATGAGACTGATGTTTACTTATCTCTAGCACACTTATCTGCTACACTGTCTGTGCCATGGGTGTCCAAGTCCGTATACTTTGGAGAAGGGTCGGATGAAGACGCCGATCGTGCTTGGGATGGAATTAGTATCGACAATGGTTCAATCGCCCTAGATCCTACACATGTTGAGCAGATGGGGCTTCCGCATGCACAGCCTTTTCCTTGGGATGTCACCAAAGGGATTTACATATTAAATGGTTACCATAGCATGCATTGTCTTGTAAGTATGCGGCGCATTTATGATATTTAGATTCTTTTTTCTAAGAACCACCGCAGAAAACCCTTCGGACCTGGGTCCGCCAAATCGATCAAGGCACCCCAACAGACCAACCTGCAAGCCACATGCTCCATTGTCTGGATGCCTTGAGACAAGACGTCGAGTGCTACGCAGATGACACTCCACGCTATACCGGATTCCAGGAGCCAGGGAGGTCTGGTACTCATCAAATCCGGAAATGCCGGGACTGGAATCAAATGGAAACCTGGGCACAGCAGTATTCTGCTTGTTGGAGATATATGCCTGAAAGAAAGCGGGATGGTCAGTCTATATTGGAGGAGTTTCGGTATTGCCCTGAAGGTTCGCCGTATACCGAGAGGATGGAGAGATACTTCAAAAGTGTTGAGTAGTGATACTTTACTTTCTACTTTCTAGGTGTACACATTTTACTACAATAGAAATAGACTGATTTTCAACTGATTTTCAACTGAAGACAAGCATTCTCTAACAAACAGATGCCACCAATCTAGTTACACGATCAATGTAATCCTAATGATCCCTTTAAAAACGACCTCTATTGAGTACCAAAACATTACCATCCGTCCTTTACCCTTCTTAATTTCAACGCCATCCGACTCCATCTTTGTTAGAACCACTCATCTGGCGTCGGTACTGTCGAGGTCGCAACCGGAGACAAACTGACACCTATGGAAGCCACGTTCTCATCATCTCGTCCTGTCAAGCTCTCATAATCAGACATCTTGACTGCCTACCTCCATCTTTATCCACGTTACAGGCTTTGACTTACCGGCAATTCCCACGGCTTCGGCATGAACCATGTATAATATTGCGAACAAGAAGGCGCTGAGGATTTGAGAGCGCATTGTATCGGGTAGTCGCAGGACTATTGCCAGAGAATTTTATTTGGTAGTCAATGTATGTACTTCGAAATATAGGCGATAGTTAGTACACCAGCGGAGCAATTGCATACTCGTGCATCCGATTCATTCTATTTATGCTCAGATAATTGATGATTGATTCAACCTTGAAAAACAAACTTCAGTCAGCCTGCTCTATCATACATTCGAGTTGAGAAAATGCTCACCAATGGTGTCTCGTTTCTGGTATCGCCAGATGATTCATGGTGTTTAGTCGCCGATACGGTATGACTTAGCTATGTCGATCATCAAGTCACACTACAGCTGAAGGGTGGTTACACAAAAAAGGAAATACCATTGTGTCACGGTAAGGGACTTCCAAATCAGGTTGCTAGATAATTCACACACGCGGGGCTTGTATGTCGTTCTCTTCAGCTGAAATTTTTCTTCTGTTCAAATATTGCGTCGTACTTTGCATGTACACTGCCCTTTTCTCACCAAGGAGTTTCTCGGCTTGGGGAAACATTCCAATACTCACGCCCTACCCGAACAAAGGTCTTCAGTCGGTGAATAAACAGAAAATAAAATATGGTATTCTGACATCTCCATGAAAGAAATGAGAGCCTTACAGAACCTCCATTCGACAGCCGATCTCAGTTCATGATAATGTCAGAGCCAAAGACCAAGGACTTGGGAGTTGCTTACCCGACTCCCGGCGAGGTCTACTCAGCTGCTATAGTCCTACCCTTCCTAGGCATCATCTCCTTGGCGATTCGATGGTGTCAGCGATGTCGGCAACGAAATGGGGTCGGTATTGATGACTGGCTCATGGTGCCTTCATTAGTATGTCTTGCCTTCCCGTATGTCAGCCTCCGGTATTGACTCTGGTTAGCTGTTCACCATTGGTATGGGCATTACTCTATGCATTGGTCAGTAAGTGAGGCTCAGGTTGAAGAAAATGGCTTATGCAAGACAGGCGTCCATGGAAAGGCCATCGGCTACCCAACCCCAAACGAGCCAAACTTGACCCCCGAAGAGCAGATGAACAGTATCAACCCAACTATCAGATTAATGGGACTGGTAGTTTTCCCTCTATCTTCTGAACTGAAACATTAGTCTAAGCTCATTCAGGTCCAGTTTATAGTAATCCTCCTCCTCGTCCTAGCAGCCGGCAGTCTCAAACTCAGTATCATCTGTCTGTACCGCCGCCTCTTCGTCGTCGTCCTATATCGCTCAGTCTTTGACTGGATCACCATCGCCGCATTGGTCATCGTCGCTGCTTGGATGATCAGTTTCGTGATCGTGGCTATATTATCGTGCGGCGTCCATGTTGCGGTGCAATGGGGTACACTTGCCGATAAAAACAGGTATTGTGGGATGGATCTCGGTATTGATACTGCACTCGTGATCAGTGATGCGGCTACGAATCTGCTGATTTGGGTGATGCCGATGCCGATGGTGTGGAGGATGCGGTTGAGTTGGGGTAGGAAGCTCGCTGTTGTGGGAATTTTGATGATTGGGTCGATGTATGGCTTTTGTCCGTCTCTATAAAGATAATACTGACATCTATAGTTCTGTCGTTGCCTCTATTATCAAAATTGTCGTATCCTTTGAAATTTCTAGCGGTGGGTTAGCTGCGAATGTTGACGAGGACTGTGAGTTCACACTCTATTACAAACGACCATATACCCACTATTGACAATATCTAGTAACCGTCTCAACGATCCTCTACTGGTGCATGATCGAAACAGGACTGGCAAACATTGCGTCCAATTTACCGCTTTTCCGCGGATTACTCAAAGATACCTCATGGAGCGGTCTCATCAGTATTGTGCGGAGTCCAATCAGTCTATCGTCTCCGCAAGGCTCTTCTGACAAGGATTCGCGGGTTGAGGAACATGAACTTGAGAGCCCTCAGAGTGTATGACTAGGTGAAAAGAGGAATCACCACTTAGTTAGAGCTAGGGTTAGAATACGCGCCCGGAATTACCGCATTAGGCAGTTCCTTGTTTCTAACTCTGCCATAAATGAGAAAGGAATAAGTATAGTTTCAGAATATATCAAAGTATTTCTATAGTTACGGCAATTCACTAATACGGATTGAAGAGATCTCGACTCGAGGCCTTCCTGAAGCCATAGTAAATGTGGCACATTCCCCATTTGGAGGAATTCAATGTATGACGCAACCAATCCTTCTCCCCAACCTATCAATTCACTCTGCCTCCCTAGGGGGCATTCTTGACCACATCGTTTTCTTATTTTAAGAATTTTATATATCCCTCTATCTACCAGAGAAACTCCCCGGCCAATCAGCGGCAATATCCCCTGCCGAGCCTTTGGCTTGACAGTCTAAAATAGTTGATGTAATGCGTGGTCATTATCCACACTGCCTAATGTAGGTATCATGGCAAAGTAAATGGAGGACGCTAGAAATAGAAGCGATCGACTTACTAGTAGTAGACGAGGAATTGATTTCTTTTATCCACATGTCGAATTAAGCAGACATTTTTCGTGGCAGAGATATCCGTGAGTACTAGATATATCATCCACCTCTTCCAATCTAGGGCTTAGCTCCGCTTACAAAACCCATCAACCAAAGAACAAAACCAGATTCTTCCCCTCACGAGGGAGGTGATAGGTCGGCCCATAATCCCAGATGTTCACGATGCTTCAGCTTATCCAAAAGTAAAAAAAATAAAAGAAGGTCTAGGTCATAGTTATGCTTCGATGGTACATGTTAAGTGTGTATGACGACACATGGCTACCCCAAGTTTTGCCTCAAATTATTATCTAGGGTCTGCTTTCGGTAATTGTGGCTCCGTTAGAGTTATCTTTTATGAAGATTTCCATGGATAATGCACTCTATCTAGGTAAAAGGTATATAAGAGAAGAAGTGTTCCCATGTTTTCGGATTTCATTCACGATATGTTCTCTTTCTTTATTGTTGCGATGACCTTAGCGATTTGTTAGGACAGAGCAACAAAGATGACTTCGGCACTGAGCTCGTCCTTGAAACGGGCATCCATAAAATGCGCCCCTAGGGCATTATGGTCGCAACACAAATCGATGTTTCTTCCGTACCAAGTTGTCTCCAGCTATGGAACGGCAACGACGACTCCCCCTCCTACAACAGATCATATACAAACAAAGCTGCCGCCTGCAATCGGGACACAGAATGCACAACGATTTCGCGAGTTCAATCTCGAGGGTCGCGTGATTGCCGTCACGGGCGGTGCGCGTGGTCTCGGATTATCCATGGCTGAAGCGTTGATGGAAGCTGGCGCGAATGGTTTTTCTTCATTTTCCTTTGCTGTTTGGTATGCAATTGGTAAAGCTGACGAAGGTAGTATGGTGTCTCGACCGACTCGAAAAACCAGATGACGAGTTCAACGCCGCCAAAGAACGCTCCCACTCGTCATATGGCGGGAGCATAAACTACGCCCGCATCGATGTCCGCGACAATGAACACGTAGATAGCATTCTGGCCGAAATCGCCGCAGAAAACAAACGTCTAGACGGCATTATCTGCAATGCCGGAATCAATCACATCCACGCCGCGATTGGCCACTCCCAAAAGGCCCTAGAGGAAGTCATGGCCATTAATTATAATGGTGTCTTCAATTCGGCGACTGCGGCCGCGAAGCAAATGTTTCAATACAAATGTAACGGGTCGATATTGCTGGTTGCGAGTATGAGTGGGTTGATTGCAAATAAAGGAATGAACTCGCCCGTGTACAACTCTTCCAAGGCAGCTGTCATCCAATTGGGCAAATGTCTGGCGATGGAATGGGGTCGTCATGGTATTCGGGTCAATAGTCTCTGCCCGGGACATATCATAACACCCATGGCTGAGATGGTCTTCAAGGAGAATCCATCAGCGCGCGCGATTTGGGAAGCAGAGAATATGCTGGGAAGACTAGCGATGCCGGAAGAGTTTAGAGGCGCAGCCTTGTTTGCGCTTAGTGATGCCAGTTCGTTCATGACAGGCAGCAATCTGATCGTCGATGGCGGACATACTGCTTGGTGATTGCGATACGAGGTACTCATGACTTGCATTTATTTCTTTGCTTCTCTATTTGGCGAGTTAAATGTGTTAGCAACGAGGCGCATTCGCATTCGGTCTCTATATTTGGCGATGATGGCGTTATTCCTTCTGCTACCATGTACTTCTATTTTGTTAATTTAGTTCAGGACAGACTGATACGTAGTTCATTCGTGATATTCATCCAAAAACTCATACGGGTATCTATATACATAAGCCTCATGCAATCAATTGAATAAGACACGCACATCAATCATGACCATGCACAATATCACCATCATCTTCGTCGTCATTTATCTCGGGATTGTCATTCAACCCCGCAAAGTCCAACTTCATTAACAATTGATCAACTCCAGCCGATTTGCGAGGAATGTACATGTTCCGATCTTCCCTTGACCCTCCAGACTCTGTAGCCCCAAACATTCTTCCATGACCCTGATCGACAGACCGGCTGTCATCTATATCACGTAGACGTGAAATGATATCTTTGATTCTAGTCTGAACTGCTTCATGCGCGTCTCGTAAGTCATCCTTGATTGCGCTTTCTTCTTTTCCATAGTCTGCCAATGCATCCACGACACCTTCATCGGCCTCTAGGTCGAGGTTACGTTGGACAGTCTCCAGCCGAGAAACGAGAGCAATGAGATGGTCGAGACTAGTAAGGAAGGATCTCAGAGAGCTAGTGAATGGAACCTCGCTAAGGAAAAGAGACTGTGTAAGGGAAGAAAGATATCGACGATGCGCAACTGTGATTGTTTCAGGATCATGCTGTTGTGTTGGTGTCACTGCTGAGTTTGCTGTGGATGGTCTTAATTGTTTCTGCTGCATGAAGCCGCCTCTCGATGCTACCAACGAATCGTGCTGCGATCCGGGTCGCGATGTGCTCATAGCAGGAAACGCTGGCCCTCTTTCGAGCCAAGTCTGGAAATGTTGCCATGATTCTTGAATTACTTCGCCTTGCAAGTAGCCTCCAATTTCTGAGAGAACAAACAATGAGGCACTTGCAGTAGCCCAGACCTGTCGCATTTGAACACTTCGCTCATTATGTCTTTGCCGTTGTGTTTGCAAGTGATATTGACCTCCACGAGTATTGCTCCGGGGCGGTCCGAGAGGGGATGGATGTAGACGACGCATGGTTGTGTGTTTCCAAAGACTGCCCAATCGTAGTTGAGCCCGGCGAATACCGAGGAGGTATGAATGCATAGTTGAATATACCAACATGTCTGAATTAGACAAGAAAAGGTCAATGGGTGGCTGTATCTTGAGCGACAAAGCGGTTTCAGTTGGGAATAAAAGATCTGCAAACGAAATCGATGAGATTTTCGTCGCGTCTGTGCCTGTGTTATCCTGAGAAAGGATTGCTGTCTGATCGCTTTTCTTTGTAGGCTGTATAGAAAGACTTAGCAATTCCCGTGCGAGGTCTAGCTCTTCGTCCACCGGGGCCTCTTCGCTTTGCAGAGCATAGAGTTCAGTCCATGTTTGCGCTAGCGCTGCTGCAACCTCTCCTTCTTTGATAATAACACCATCTAAACCAGCGGCCGCGCCTCCGGGTCTTGTCATCCGTGCTTGAAGTCTAGAGTCAGCATTTGAAACGAGCGATGTCACAAATTCGCCACGACCGAGAAGTAGAAAATCATGGATTAGAGAGAGAATCTCGATAATCTTTGGCAGAGGCAATAATTTGGATAGCGAGCTCTGAGAGACGGAGAGCCTAATAGCTGTAACAGAACTTGCAAGCAGTGAAGTTGAGATTGGCGACTTGAGAGACGATAATTGCCTAAGATGGTCTGTCTCCAGAGTGATACCTGTGATTGATCCTGTCGCATTGTCGGCAGTCGAGCGATTTCTCTGACTGCGAATATGATTTAGAGATTTTCCAATAAACAAGATCGAAGATGCCGTCGAGGTTGAGACGAAGTTCGGCAACAAGTCGTTATGTAACACGTAGTCCACGTTTCCCTTGCCTGAAAAGCTCAGTTCATCGTCCTCGAGCTCAACTTCAGTCGCCTGGATGAAGAAGTCTTCCTTGCCAAATGTCGGTAGTTCTCCGTACAAAAGCCACATTGACAATTGTCGCATCCAGGCTGTTTCGGCAGCTTTGATGAGTTGCAAGGCGATCTCTTGCAAATCCAGATAACCGGTCTGCGATTCGGCACGAAGATAGTCAATGAGACTAGCACCATTCGTGGTGGTAGTTGGTTCCTTTGTAGCAGACTCCGGCAAGATGAAGCAAGCCACACCCCATAGCCACTCCAACCTCCGCGTCCAAGGAGAAAATTCCGAGACCAACGTGGAAAGCGGCACGATCCCATAGCCGCCGACATAATTGCTATCGTTGCCTAAAACCGCTCTTTCGACATCGAGTATCTGCTTCTGAAATTTTCCAAGCCCTTCAATAGATATGGCACTGGATACGGCGCGGCAAATCGTCGACGGGTGGGAGGAGGATATAAGGGTAGTATGGGTGCGGAGAAGGGCATGCAGTCGGCTTAGGCGAGCGAGTGAGGCAAGCAACGCTTTCTCCGGTGGCGACAGAAGAGGGAATGGATTCGAAGACGCGCCATTACTTTCAGGCTCCAAGTCGAGCAGTGGCGAGGGTTGGCCCGAGAGGGAGAGAAGGATCTCATGGAGCATTTTCGTGAATTGGTCTTTGCACGTCGCACGCCATGTGATGACTGATCTGTGTTAATTGCTGATCTCGTTATATTATCCCGATGAAGCTTAGACCCGTAGAGCTGCCATCTGCAGCCCCGTGCTTCTGTTCGAAGCTAGCTGTATCGCTTGTGGTATGATTGAGGTTGTCGACGCGACTGATCGCGGAGCGGTCAAAACAAAGGAGCAATCTGAGCTCACCTAAGAATTGACTCCACCATAACCGTTTTTTTAATCTTGAGAATGTCAATTCTGGAGGTCAAGACTGATGCTTCAATTCAATCACATCGATTGATTCAAATTCTGCATTTTGAAGGAATTTACACTCAGCAAAGGCAGAATTGGCGGGGGATCTGCCTGGACTGATGCCTGAGGCCGCAAGCGGGGCATGCAGCATCACTCAGCCAACCAGCAGCGCTACAGCTGGTTATGGTCCCTCTCTTACGTCGAGATAGCCACCTGCTCCTTCCTTCTGCTCCTTCTACTCTCCATCTGAATTTCCAGCTTGACATCGTTCCTCTTGCTTCTCATCATCTCTCTCATACATACTGCAGCAGTATCCCAGCTGCTTTCCTCCTCCATTTTATCGCACCTTTTAAAATCTATCCGAGTTGCTCCCTCGGTTTACTAAGCATCTACAAGCATCTCCAAACACACCGGCATCTTTACCACATCCAAGCGCCAGAAAGCCTTGTCACCGGGCAGGGCTTTCTCTGTATACGTCGTTCACCATTCACTCTCACGCCGATATTCCTGACACTACCACAACCAAGAAACGTAAAGCCTCCGATCAAGACGCCGCTCGGCCGGATAAGAAGATCATGACGGTATGTTGATTTCTAATACACCGCGACAGAGCACGCCACCTTGCATGGAAATTTGGGCTGCTCTCCTTGAGTTCTATTTCTCCTTCACTCAAAACTTTACAACCTACACACAAAATTCAAAACTAACAAAACCCAGGACGGCAAGATGCAAGTCGACAATGTACAAGAGACCGTGGAGGCAATCAAGCATGGAGAAATCGACGAGTCTCTATACAGTCGCCAACTGTACGTTCTTGGCCACGAGGCCATGAAGCGCATGGGCTCGTCCAATATTCTCATCGCTGGACTGAAAGGTCTAGGTGTTGAAATTGGTGAGTCTACTGATGATTCGACTCTTATGCGAAACTAACAGATACAGCCAAAAATATCGCCCTGGCCGGTGTAAAGTCGCTTACCCTTTATGATCCTACACCCGTCGCCATCTCCGATCTCTCCTCGCAATTCTTCCTGCAGCCACAAGATGTTGGCAAGCGCCGTGCTGATGTGACCGCACCCCGCGTCGCCGAACTAAATTCATATGTGCCCGTTACGATCTACGAGTCGGACAGCCTCACCACTGATCTGTCTCAATTAAAACGTTTCCAGGTCGTTGTACTCACAAACACCTCGCTCAAAGATCAACTTGTGGTTGCAGACTATTGTCATGAACATGGTATTTACGTCGTTGTTGCCGACACGTTCGGTCTTTTTGGATACATTTTCAACGATTTTGGAAAGAACTTTACAGTTGGTGATGCCACTGGTGAAGACCCAGTGGGCGGTATAGTTGCTGGGATCGACGAGACTGGTCTCGTTTCAGCCTTGGACGAGACCCGACATGGCTTAGAGGATGGTGATTACGTTACATTCACAGAAGTCAAGGGAATGGAAGGACTCAACAACAGTGATCCGCGCAAGGTCACCGTCAAAGGACCCTATACATTCTCTATTGGCGACGTCTCTGGCCTCGGCAAGTACCAGGGCGGCGGTCTGTACACACAAGTCAAGATGCCCAAGTTCCTCGACTTCCAGCCGCTACGAGAACAATTGAAGAAGCCAGAACTTTTAATCCCTGATTTCGCAAAATTCGATCGTCCCGCACAGCTGCACATCGGTGTGCAGGCTCTCCATCAATTCGCCGATGCTCACAACGGTGAATTCCCTCGCCCTCACCATGAAGCCGATGCGGAGGAGGTATTGAAGATTTCCAAAGACTTGGCAAGCCAGACCGAGGATAAAGTTGAGCTGGATGACAAACTCATCAAGGAACTTAGCTACCAGGCGCGTGGTGATCTCAATCCTCTTGCGGCTTTCTTTGGTGGTCTGGCTGCTCAAGAAGTCTTGAAGAGTGTCTCTGGAAAGTTCCACCCTGTCGTTCAGTGGATGTATTTCGACTCTTTGGAATCCCTACCAGAGTCTGTGACTCGCTCCGAAGAGGCTTGCAAGCCTCTTGGTACTCGTTATGATGGTCAAATCGCCGTCTTTGGAAAGGAGTTCCAAGATAAGATTGCTAATCTGAACACTTTCTTGGTCGGAGCCGGAGCTATTGGTTGCGAGATGCTCAAGAACTGGGCTATGATTGGTCTTGGTGTTGGCGCAAAGGGCGGAATTCGAGTTACTGATATGGACCAGATCGAAAAGAGCAACCTTAACCGTCAATTCCTCTTCCGACCCAAGGACGTTGGCATGCTGAAGAGTGATTGCGCGTCCGCCGCGGTCCAGGCTATGAACCCAGAGTTGAATGGAAAGATAACGACATTGCGAGACCGTGTTGGTAACGATACCGAAGATATTTTCAACGAACAATTTTGGAGCGAGCTTGACCTCGTCACTAACGCGTTGGACAATGTCGATGCCCGAACATACGTTGACCGTCGTTGTGTCTTCTTCCGTAAGCCATTACTTGAAAGTGGAACTCTCGGCACAAAGGGAAATACGCAGGTCGTTCTTCCTCACATTACTGAATCCTACTCCAGTTCTCAGGATCCTCCTGAAAAGTCATTCCCGATGTGTACGTTGAAAAGTTTCCCCAATCGCATTGAACACACAATTGCCTGGGCCCGTGACCTCTTCCAGACATACTTCGTTGGTCCTCCTGAGAGTGTCAACTTGTATCTTACGGAACCAAACTACATTGAGAAGACTCTCAAACAGGCTGGAAATGAGAAGCAGACTCTTGAGAATCTTCGGGATTTCTTGGTGACCGACAAGCCTCTCAGCTTTGATGACTGTATCGTCTGGGCGCGTAACCAGTTCGAATCCCAGTACAACAATGCCATTCAACAATTATTGTATAACTTCCCTCGCGACTCTGTCACATCCTCTGGACAGCCCTTCTGGTCTGGTCCAAAGCGCGCCCCTACCCCTCTGAAATTTGACAGCTCTAACCCTACTCATCTTGGTTTCATTATTGCTGGAGCGAATCTGCACGCATTCAACTACGGAATCAAACCTCCTACAACCGACAAGGGATACTTCAAGAAGGTGGTTGACGATATGATCATCCCTGAATTTACGCCCAGTTCAAACGTCAAGATCCAGGCTGATGACAATGATCCTGACCCAAATGCTCAGTCTGGACCTATTGACGATAATGAAGAGATTCAGAAACTTGTGGACTCTTTGCCGGCTCCAAAGTCTCTGGCTGGGTTCCGCTTAGCCCCTGTCGAATTTGAGAAGGACGATGATACCAACCACCACATTGACTTTATCACCGCAGCAAGCAACCTGCGTGCTGAGAACTACGATATCCCACAAGCGGACCGACACAAGACCAAATTCATCGCTGGAAAGATTATTCCCGCTATTGCAACTACGACGGCTCTTGTGACTGGTTTAGTGGTTCTCGAACTGTACAAGATTATTGATGGCAAGACCGACATTGAAAAGTATAAGAATGGCTTTATTAACCTGGCATTGCCATTTTTCGGTTTCAGTGAACCCATCGCCAGTCCTAAGGGCAAATACCAGGGCAAGAACGGCGAGGTGACGATCGATAAGCTGTGGGATCGATTTGAGGTGGACGACATTCCTCTGCAAGACTTTTTAAAGCATTTCTCGGATCTTGGTCTGGAGGTGACCATGATCAGCTCTGGAGTCAGCTTGCTATATGCCAGCTTCTATCCACCATCCAAGCTTAAGGACCGTTTGCCTTTGAAGTGAGTACCCTAAAGATTTATTGAAAGCGATACGCTAACGATATCATAGAATGTCCAAACTCGTGGAGCATATTAGCAAGAAGCCTGTTCCAGAGCACCAAAAGAACGTCATATTCGAGGTGACAGCCGAGGATCAGACGGAAGAGGATGTGGAGATTCCATATGTGATGGTGAAGTTGTAAACCAGGATGATAAACGATGAATCACGATAGTGTCAGCGAAGTCTTTGGAGCACCTATTGTTATGAAACCTTGGATAAATAAAGAATCTCCAGTACTAGTGTAGTATTGGACGTATTGTGCTTTTATATTATTATTAGGGAAAAGCCTAAATCCACGATTGGTAAATCACCCCTTAGATTGTATACTCATTTTACAACATACCTAGGTAGTGTTGACATTGAAGATTATCTTACCGGCACTTGGAAATCACTGTTTGCGTATTTCAGATCTTTTTATTGCACTATGAATAATTGGCAAGGATACATGTAGGAAATTACACCCATGAGCATTGCCACGTAGGTAGTGTTTTCACCTTAGCCTGGGGCCCAAGAGCGCGTCTATTCACTTCGACAGCTTCTATCAACGCCCTCGCAAATTCCTGACGGCGCTTACCGCTCGCCCCAGATTCTGCTTCCAACCTTTCTCGATACTTCTTCGAAAGTACACGGCCAACCTCCCACCCTCCATCTTCGAGACCTTCCGCGGCGTCCGTGATTTCTTCCTTTTGCAAGTTTTCCCATCCAGCTTGAAGCGCCGCTGTGCGAATCATTTCGGGCGATATAATGGACTGGATGTTATCGTCTCCTCCAGCCGAACGCTCTAGGTCGTCTCGACTGTTGAATTCTGCCTGCGAGATGGCTGCTATCATGTGCGGCAGAGCAGTGATATCGCCGCGAATATCGAGTACGTATTCGGCAAGAAGAAGCTGCTTTGCTCTCCCGCGAAGAGACTGTAGCATAGACTGTAATGTGTCGACGGTTGGCAGATACCAGATTGAGTGCATGAAGATGGTATAGTCGTAGAGTGGCTCTGAGGCCCCGGAATTGAGGAAGTCTTGCAAAGTAGTCCGGTGAAATGTTATCCGGTTGCCATAAGGACCGGCTTTGAGCTGTGACTGTGCCTCTCCTAGTGTCATCGGAGCACCTATACTTCTTGATAAGCATACAGAACGCCAGTAATTTTCTGGTAAAATCTCAAAATTAGAACAAACCGTAGTCTAGAGGAGCAGGATCAATGGCTGTGACATGGCCATGCTCTCCCACAAAATCGGCCAGGACAAGAGTGCAATCTCCTTGACCACATCCAATTTCAAGTATTTTTGAGCCTGGTAAAAGATCCCATTTCTTCAAAATATCAATCCTGTGCCGGACTTGTGGCTCSGATGATAGTCCCCGATCAAGCAGATTTTGAACACGAGACTCGTCCCAAGACATAGTCTTTCTTTGTTTCGCTGAACTGCACTTAAAGAGAAAATTCTTGATTCTTGCAGCAATCAATACAGAACGGATGTCAGCAGCGAGATCAGCTAATATATCGTCAGACTAACCACTGTAGGCAAGCGATTTTGCGACAAAATTGTGTAACTTACTCAAATGGTCCAGACCACACTGTCGGCTAAGCGATCGCTGAGTCAGAGTGAGTCACAACTCTCATGTAGCCTCCTCGAATAACTAACTACATCTTAGCTGATCTAGAGACTAAGAGTGCTCGAAAACTGTTGTAGCAAACTGTATGGTGTTTTAGGGTTACTGAAGGCCCAACCTTACCCTGACACTACGGGAATACGGATATAGCGCGGACGGAGCGGGGATGATAGCATCAGCATTAGAAATAATCTACTTCAATCTATGATGCCATGATCGAGCTATCCAACTCAGAAATCGTGGTTAGTAAAATATGAATAATCATACAGATTACTAACCAGTAAACTCAATTATACAGGTTGTAAAGCCTTCTGTTGCATTCCATATCAAATTATCAAAGTGCTTGAGCTTAAGCTCTCAGAGCTTTGTATAAGTAACGTCATCTACCCGTGCTTCTCCTGTCGACACTCTTCCATTATCAACGTCAATGTCTTTTGCGCTATCACGACTGAGAACAACATTCACACTCACGAGGAAAGTCTCAAGTATATCAGTTTCAGCTACTATATTCCACGGATCTAGAACCATGTCGGTACGTATTATGTCTGCCGGCGATCTTATACCTAGCTAGATCCTGATAGCGGGGTTACTGAGCCTCCTCAATGACCCTTGAGGAATCTCACTTTCCACCACCATCACTTGATTCTCTCGTACTACAAACACTATATTGAAACAGGGACAATGAGCTGACCATAATAAAAGACAGGAAACAAAACCCCCATCACCGAATGGGTGTCAAAGGACTCCAAAACCGGCGAGTTCAAGCGCGGGGTATCGCAGTTCCGTAACTTCATTTCCAGCGAGCCTGGTGCACAGTTTCCGCCGGAGAAGGGCCGGTATCATCTCTATGTTTCGTATGCGTGTCCATGGGGTATGCTTTCTTTTTCTATTTTTTTGCTGTTCACATATTGTCAATTGGAATGATTTGCTAACAAAGGGCAGCGCATCGAACGTTGATTACGCGCAAGCTCAAGGGGCTGGAGGATATTATTCCTGTGACTTCTGTGCATTGGCATATGGGCGAGAAGGGTAAATAGTCGTTCCAACGCGCATGCGCAACTAAAAGGCTGACCATGCGATTAGGATGGCGATTCGTCACACCCAATGAGAACGTCCCAGGGGACTACGTCCATCCCGACCCTGTTCACCCCGGCTTCTCACATCTGCGCGATATCTACTTTAACGTCGACCCGGAGTACACAGGACGCTTCACCGTGCCGACATTGTACGATACCAAGACGAAGCGCATCGTCTCGAATGAAGTCCGTCCCCACCTCCTTCCATGTTTATTCGTAACCTAAGCACTAATAATAATACACAAACAGAGCGCCGAAATAATCCGCATGTTCTACCACGAATTCGACTCCCTACTTCCTGCCCAATACGCCAAAATCGACCTCCTCCCAGACTCACTCCGCGCGGACATCGAGTCTTCGAACGACTGGATCTACAACGACATCAACAACGGCGTCTACAAATCCGGCTTCGCAACTACGCAAGAAGCATACGAAAAGGCCGTCACCACCCTTTTCGCGGCATTGGACAAAGTCGAGGCCCATCTTTCCGGTAAACAGTACATGTACGGTGACAGCGTCACCGAGTCCGATATCAGACTCTACACGACCATCGTCCGCTTCGACGCCGTGTACGTGCAACACTTCAAAACAAACCTGCGCGACATCCGCTCTGGATACCCGGCGATCCACAAGTGGTTGCGGCATTTGTACTGGGATATCCCCGCGTTTGGCGAAACAACACAGTTTGAGCACATCAAGAAACATTATACAAAGTCGCATGCGCAGATTAATCCGTATGGGATTACGCCGTTGGGGCCTGTGCCGGATATTTTGCCGAAGGATAAGGAGGTTAATGCTGTTAAGCATTGATTTAGCAGCCGCCGATTGGAAGGAGAGGTTTAGGTTCTTGTGTATCAAGTGAATTCTTTGTATCAAGTCTAACATAACTATGTAACTCAATGCCACAGATTCTATGTATATCTCCTCCTCTTCTTTACTCTCCGTCTCTCTTTCTGTATCATCTCAATGAAAGAATTGAGCCAAGGAGAAATGGTGATGTGACGATAAAATTGAAAACTTTATCCAAAAGATGAAATGTGAATGTGATGAAAGAACGCCTTACCATGCATGTATTGTTGTAAAGTACAATGGGGATCTGAGAATGAACAGATGAAATAAGATGAAGGAGTATATAGATGACTGCGCTTGGGACATGATGTCTTTTGTGTTGTATGTGAATGTAGTATATGTATGGCGGGATATCAGCAAAAGACGTCGAATTGTTCGAGAAGAGGGGTATATGGTATATATCGAGCAGGTTTATGTTATTTCAGACCTAGGAAGCGTTTCGAGTTCTCATAGACAATGTAACTGATCGATACTGCCGGCGCAACTTTGAGCATGTTTGGGGTAATGCCCTTGTAAAATCCGCGGAAACCTTCGGCTCGATAAGTCGTTCGCGTCACATCCATGATACCGTCGTATGTCGTGGGATGTAGGACTGTGCCCTGTGCTTGTAATCGTGTTCGCAGGACGTTAAGCGGATAGACGAAAGATGCGCCTAGAGCACCACTAAAAGCACCGATGGCTCCAGTCGTAAAGTTGCTCAGAACCACGTCATCTTCGTGGCATTTGTCTTGTCGCGCTTTTCGTGCGAGGATTCTTCGTTTAAGATATTCAAATGTTGATAGATCAATTGCCGCGTAGGGGAACATGCCAATGAGACCGAGAGGTAAGCCACGGAAGAAGGCAAAGCCGCCGGTGCTCTGCCACATTTTGCGTGCAGTTTCGGCGATGAGTTTGTTGCCTTGGACGCCTCCTTGGACGAGTTCGCATTGCATACGACTGTACCGTGTTAGATATATGCCTCGAATATATAGAGATGCGCACTCACAATTTCAACGTGTCAATAGGGTAGACGAAACATTGAGCTACCATGCCACCAAAGCCACCGGACAAAAACTGAGAAACTGGTCTGATCTTTTTTGTATCATTGTGTCCTTCAAGACGTGCGAATGCCCGTTTCGATGACTAAGAGGTGTCAATCAGATCTCCCGATAAGAGAAGTCGAAAACTTACTTCGTAGGCACCAAACTTGATGGCAGATTCCGGCATGATTTTGACAACATTGAGTCCATTGCCTACACAATGAGCTTGAGTTCAATCATTACGAAACGGGAGACAAACCAGCAAAAAGACTGCGGATCCCGCCCGCCTTCCATAGCTCCTTCGTCGCATCGACCAGACTCTGGATTCCCTTCCGCATGGCGTTCACCGGGGCACCTTTTTGAGCCGCACGGACAGCCTCTTCACGTACGCCAGTCTGGGCGATGAGGTACACTTTCAGACGGTCGAGGGGTGCGGTAGCTGTCCGTGAGACGGCGCCAGCGACTCCACCGGCGATAAAGTAACCTAAGTGAGGGAAGATGTCGGTCAACTGCAGTTCAAAAGAGTGTACTGACAGCCACATAGCTACAGGTTGGGAAACAGAAAGCCACTCCAGCTCATAATCACGATCAACATCAACATCAACATCAACATCCCTGTCAAACACAACCTTTGAGTCCTGATCGGAGGCTGGCTCAGCATCGGGCGTCTCTGCATATGCCACAGCTACCAGGTTGAATGGAGCGGCATTCATGAATATTGAGAGCGGAACGTGAAGGGCACAGTATAGAGCAGTTTCTAGGGCATAGAGTAAGAAATGAGACAGGGTCGGGATTCCAATACCTAAACCCTGTAGAGTATCACTGATGTCGACGTCTCCTTCCGGGTTTAGATTTCCCGTTGCCTTGTAGTATGACAGCACGGTGCGCAAGTTGGTGGCTTCGGTTGGTAGGAAGAGTAGGAAGTCTCTGCGCTGCATCAGCATAGCCCCTCATGTTTTTCACCCATAAGTTATGAAGGTTTGTTACCTCCACTCATTATAGCTTATAACCCCGTCATGATTCCGGTCCATTTGAGCCAAAAATTCATCAAGCATAGAGCTTGATACTGTAATCCCCGCACTTGAAAATGCATCTTTCAATTCCGACCTGTCTATTTCTCCGTTGTTATTGCGATCAATGCTTTTGAATAACTCCCACAACGCTTCGTCGGCACTGGAGACAAAGTCGCGAAATTCTGTTGTGTCGGTTGAACGATCGTCAAATCTTGCATCACAGCGTCATCGTTGAGCACAACGTACCTCCATATTGGATTCGACCATCACCGCTCGTATCTACCGTGTTGAAAACTTGCCGAAGCATAGAGTCTGCATTTTTGAGGGCTAAACGACCGAAAGAATTAAATCAATAGCTGTTAGTCATACCAACAGCTACAAAGAGGGGCACGCGCGCGCAAAAGTAAACAGTAGATAACTGGGAAAATTGAGCGCTCACGATGATCCATCTTTCGAAGGCCCTTCCTCAAGCCATTAAAGTCCACGTAGCCCTGTCTCCGGGTGTCGATGACCTCCCATAGCTTGTCGACCCTGTCCGGGTTTCCGAGGGGCTTCATCTTCGCGGGCGGAAGGTGGAAAAAATTGTTGTCATGAAGTCGACGCAATCATTCTTTGATGTGTGATTGAATGTACGAGTGCCGCTCAAGGGGCGGCACCGATATCCTTTTTGCAATTTTTGGAAGTATATCGGCAAAAAGCACAATGAATCTTATGCCTTGCTTGTTGGACGGCCGGGATATGATGTCGAAGTGCAGGACAGAACGCCATGTCATCGGGATGGCTCGGCTCTATGGCTATCACGGTGATTCTGGCCAATCAGAACGGAGGTTTTGGAAATATGGCGCTATTCTTGTTCGGGGACAGCGCCTTTTGTTTCAATGTCGACTCTGTCGTCTTCAGCGTTGAATACACACGGTTCACTGGTAAAACTACCGGCAATACTAGGCATACTGGCATAGCTTGGCTCGGACAATCTCTGTCTTGCCGAATATATACACACCACATATATGCATGGGCAGCAAGTCACCGGACATCCACGGGAAGCGGGAACATCAAACGATGACAGTATAACTTGCATGCTACCATCTGTCAATTATGACAATTCTTTGGTGTCTGTATGTATAGCGCAATTGATGAGAGCCCATCCTTGACGTGCCACCATGGCAGCAAATTTTTGGGTGTCGACTCAGCGACGGCATTGGATGTTTACTCGCGAGCGATTGGCAGAAATCCGAGAAAATCTCAGAGACAAGGCCCAGGATCACCAATTACAGCTTCCGGATGTAAGAGTTATCAATATATTTTTAAAAACAGGTCTTTCCGCCCTATGCTTTATCGTATTCTTGAGTGCAATTCACTGACAAAGATAACAGAGCTATGTAGACTTGCGAAATTGACGCATTCGCGGCAACAGGCCATTTCAACGGCCCAAGTCTACATGAAAAGATTCTACACAAAAGTTGACTTCCGACAGACGAATCCGTACCTGGTCATGGTCACGGCGTTTTATCTCGCCTGCAAAATGGAAGAATGCCCCCAACACATCCGGGTTGTCAGCAGCGAAGCCCGCCAACTCTGGCCAGAATTCATCACCAACGACCCGGCCAAAATTGGGGAATGCGAATTCTATCTCATTTCTGAAATGCACTCACAATTGATAGTGCATCACCCTTACCGAACGGTTTTGGAATTGACAAAGCCACTCGAATTAACGACCGAGGACGTCAGTCAGGCTACGACATTGATTAGCGATCATTATCAGACAGATTTACCCCTTCTATATCCACCGCATGTCATCGCGGTGATGGCTATATTACTTGCAGTCATTTTTGGCGGCGGGGGTGGGGGAGCCGCTCATCGCAATCCATATGGCCATGGAGCAATAGTGGCCAATCCGCCTTCGATATCTACATCCCTTCGAGAAGCCGGGTTGGGCGTGGCACTGTCTGCATTGGGTGGGACAAATGCACCGGGCACAACAGGAGCAACAAGACCAGACCCGAGGGTTTCAAGAATCGTCACTTGGCTCGCGGAAAGCGAGGTTGATATCAAGGCTGTTGTTGAGTGCACGCAGGAAATGATATCATTGTACGAGGTTATGGATGGAGTGAATATTCAGCAGTGCAAGGAAATTATATCGAGGATGATCAAGACTCGAAATGCGGATAAATGAGTATACTCCTTATTTGTTAGAGATATCTGTCACGTATTTATCAAATATAGTGTAAATTATTAGCACGATGTATGATTGTGCAACCTCAAAAATCAGGCCACCAACCTGCAGACACTATATCTACATAGTATGTGCACACCATACTACGTAACACAGACCACATCTACGACTAAACAGCATCTAAATCTAAATCGAGGCGAATCTCATTCCCACCAGTCACACTAATCCTGCATCAGACTCAAAGCAGAAACCACGACCATAAAAATTTCTTTTACTTCAATCGATCTACTGGTCAGTCCACCAGATCGATGCATATCATGATACAACAGTGGCTGGGCGTCGATGCGAGCAAAGAAGCGGTGACTAGGCCGGTTTCATCCAATCGTGGGGAGGAGAGAGGGTGGTGCATGAATGGATACACAGGTGTATGCATGCCGTCCATGAGGGCGACTGACTAGTCAAGCCGCGATGGTGGTCGGAAAGTTAGAATAATGCGAGTACGGAGTACGCTCCATAGGATCTTTCTATTACTCATTGTCATTATCTGATTATCATCGTGTTGTGTTGAAAGGTAGAAAGACGGATAGCACAGCCTCGTTCGGTACACGTGACCAAATCGAACGACTCATGCAAAGTCTACATCTGAAGATAAGGGCATGCAAGTAATCAACCCCAAACAAAACTAAACTGATCATATGCTGTGAACACCCTCTACATAGTAGGTGGTCGATGTACTGCATAGTAGTGAAACGATCAATGCAAAAATAGCATGGCAAGCGCTGGCCACGGAGTCCTCTTACTCCGCAATTGTCAGGAACTCAGAGTTTCGGTTAGAGAGGACGATCCGTGAAGATCGTTGGCCCGAGTCTGTAGGGCACTAGCGCTGTTTGGGCTGGTAGTCGAGAATTTTCCAGGTCAGCTGCACGGCCGGTTCTGTACGGGTATTCCGCTTACAATACGATACTTATCATAGTACGCTGGGTGAAGTCATGTTGTTGATATGCTGCTAAGAGATTCCACCAGGTCGTCAGATATTATCACGGTGTTAAATGAGTCAGCTCATCAGCTTAGAATGTGCGAATAATAGTCATAGCTTAGCTAGTAATCTAGTATGGACTGGATCAATCGAGGAATGAAACTTGCGGGAGCGTCGGCATCTCGCCCAGCGGACGCAGGTACGGCGTACTCCGTCTCTGGTCCGCAGTCCGCAGACCAGGATTCCAGAGGCTGAGCCGTGGATTCTGCATCGCCATGCCTTGCACCACACACGTAGTTATCTGTATTCGAGAGTCGATTATTTAGACGGACTGCTCGGATATGATGATATCAATCAGATCGACGGTGGATTGTATGACATGATGCAGTTGCGTTGCTCCAATTCAATGGAAATCCAACGTACGAACAATACAGTTTTGGTAATAATACGGCCACCACGCACAGCAACACAAGCCGAAGGCGACCAGTAAAGTGACCGTACCGCCATCGGAATGGGTCAACGTCATGTTACTATACTAGTAGTACTATGTATGCTGTCTGTAAGAAAAGAAAACAGCAGACTCCATCCTGAGCATGCCGCCGCACACGAGTTACTGTCGACAGGCCCCTTATTGGATGTATTCGATACGGAGAATCCACATGGTGGCTGAAATGACATAGCATAATTGGAGATAAGGTCCACTTTTGTCCGAAAATGGCTGGCCGATTTTGGGTTTGCCACTAGCTTTGCTACTAGCGTCTGCTCAGACTCGCTATGACTGGCTCCGCCTGAAGAAGAGTGCATGACCTGGTCTCATAGATGTGGATCGCCTTACAAGCGCAATACCAGAACATGCTACAAGATACTGACGTTGAGTCACTTCTCATGGCAAGGTACTCAACAATACGGTGAAAAACGGTATTGCCCTTGCTCAGCGACTCCACAAGCCACACATGATAGGCGGAACCATGTATTAGTGCCTTGACTAGTACCGTACAGTACGTAGGTAACTCCTCGTCCAGGCAGTGCTCCCACCAGTACTAAGACGTTCCCCGTCAGCCTTTATTATTGTCCCGCCATCGTTAATTTCTTCTCTTCATCCAATCCATCCCACACTCGTCTCAACTCGCTACAACTCCAATTTCAACTTTCTCAACTTCGACAATTCTACCTACGCTCGTCTACTACAATCTTTCTCATATTTATTTACTTTCCATCCATTGTATTCCTTTATCCGTTCAATCCACCAATCATCAAAGACTAGACAACACTCATTGTTTGTTTCATCTGTTCGAAAACGCTTATATACGACACCCACCCACATATACCATGGCATCTGCATATTTCTACGGTCAGCACCAGCAACAGCAACATCATGCTGTTGTCAATGCCCACATGCAACAATCCAACAATCACCACGGTGGTCGCCGAAGAGGACCTCGCAGCATGGCCGCCCAGAATGCCCAGCGGCAATCTCGCAGTGTGAAGACCATGCGGGAAATGGTCGAAGCTCCTACTGTTACGGCTTTCCGTCAGCGTTTCGAGGCTGGTCGCTCGTTTGATTTGGACGATGATCTGGAATTCTGTCCTAATCTGCTTACCGAAGATGATGTTCGTTATTAGCATAATGTCTATTGTGTATTGACAATGTACTAACAGGCGTAGTTGCATTCTATCAACTCATCTGCTTCTGATCGCTCATCCCTGTCCAGCGGCTCTCCAGAGTCCTCGCCTCTGCAGCACCAGATCCAACCCGCCCAGCAACAGGTGACGCCAAGCATTTCACTCTCACCCGGTCCTTCGACCACAGCTTCCTATGTCAACAATGTTGCCGCGGCCGCTATGAACCATAATGTTAATGTCATGCATTTCCAGCAGCCTGCGGCTGCTCGTGCCCGAAAAGTCATTCCGATTGTGAACCCACAGACCGGCATTACTCTTGCCAGCCCTCCTACCTCGATCAACCCCAGTCTGATGCAGAACCAGCGTCGATGGTGAGCTCGTTGTACTTAGAAAGTCCTGGCTCATGGTCAGGCTTCCCTTTTCATTAGGCATGCCTTGTGACTTCGTTTCTCATTGCCGTCGCTGGCGTCATCTGCATCATCTGGGTAACAGGAGTTTTGTTTTTTCTTTCCACTCGGTCTCGACGATCATTGCACGACACTTTTCTTTCTACTGACCATATATTCTCTGATCAAAAAAAGAATTTCTGTCAATATTGTATATACTTTTTCATTTGACGACGACTACATTGCTTTTCTCGGCCTTTTACCCACGATACTTGCAGATCAGCGACGGCGTACATGTTTTGCATTTCGATCGACCACTTGTGACGGCATTCTTCTCTTTTCTGCGACGGGAAAAATTATACCAAAATTTCGTTTTCGGCCCGGTGCACGATTGCTGCTACAGTGTATAGAAAGCGCAGCACTTGTTCAATTTTTCTTCTTGGGTTTTTCAAGACATCACAAACGCATGCCTCGTGTTGGGGGAGTTTTTCTTTGGATCTCTGGGACTTTCAACCTACGACTTATTTTTAACACACTCTACGACACGCATTTATTATTCGGTAATATGTTCTTTTACATCATTTATCATATATCACTATGTCGCTATATCGCCATATCGCTATATCACTGGGTTGGATGTAACCGGGGTGGAATGGTTGTTTGATTGATCTGGTTTGATTTTACTAGACGGCGGAAACGATACATGTCTGCATTGGGTGTGATTGTTTTTTGTTCTATTTTATTTTGCTTTTGGTTATTGTGGTTTACGAGCATTCTGTTGTCAAGATATCTGGGCATCGGGAGAGCCCTCGTTTTCTTGTTTATTTATATAGTTGTGTTGGTTTCATTGTCTGCGGATATCCATTGGGGCATATGTATGGGGTGGTGAAATGATGACCTGCCGGTCTGGAGTTCTGGCTGTACAGGCCGCGAATATATTGCTTCTTATCTCATCTTTGGGTAAAGATTGTTCACTAAACGTAGGCTCGTAAACATTATTCTTCAAGTAGTTTACTGCGGTAGTTGTCCGCGTGCCGAAAAATCGGATGTGCAACCTGAGGCGTCCCAGCAAATCGTCGCTTTGACGTCATACACTCAAAAGCATCCATTCGTCCATAGCATGACGCTGCTTTCGTATATAACCTGGTGCTTCTTCTTTCTTCACTGTACAATTCTTGTTAATTATTACAATAAACACAGAAATTGGCTTCTCGACTATTCAATCGTTTGTTTTCATCCTATCTATCAAGTAATCCAGTACCTGTATCGTGATATATATCTACCGGATACAGCGCCCTCACCATCATCAACTGGAATATCCCACCTACACTGAAACCAAAGAAGGAGAATTAAAAGAACAATGGCTTCACTACCATACCTCCGCCAAACACTTCGTCCCTTTACGACCGCTCTCCCAACCACATTGGGCGCTTCATCGCGAGTAGCCGCGTTCTCAACCTCTTCAGTCCAACGAGCCCTCAAAGAATCTGATCGCAGTATGAAACCTAACAACCCCTTCCCAAAGAACCACCTCCTCCGTCAATCCTATGCTTACAATTTCAACAGACAGAGATAATCTCAATAACGAATACGAATCCCACAAAGAAGAGAATCTCAAAGACGTCAAATCGGGAAAAGCGTCTTGGAAAGAGCAGCTTGCGAGCGAGAGTGAGGCGGATGTGAAAGCTGACAGAGGAGAGTCGTCGGCGACGGCGAGCGTTGATGATGTTGTGAGGGGAGCGAAGGAGGCTGTGGCGAAGAAGGGGAAGAAATGAACCCCTCGCACTATGTACTATGTACTCGCTGCATGGGAGAAGAAGATGATAATGGGACGTGCGGATGGTTCTGTGGTTCTAGCGTTGTTTAACTCATAACTGGGAAAAGGTATTGCTTGCAGCACATCGATGTCAGAAGGATGTTGAACAGAGTCATTTCTATTCCATGGTGAATAAAAAATAAAGATAAAGAGAGTGGTATCATGAGATACAAACCAAACCCAACCACAACGCCATACATACAACCTTGCTCTATAAAAGCAACACAACTACTTCAGTATAACAATCAAAATAACAAGCACAATAATCAAGCCAACAATCGTCATCATACTCCAATTATCCCCGGCCTTCCGTCGAATCTTATCCAGTCTGCGGCGCGCATTATTCAGTCGTCCCTGATGCCGATCAACGTGCTCATCCACATCATCCAACAACGCAATATGCCCTTCTAACTCATCACCGATCTGGATACTCAGCTGGTGCTGTCGCCCAATCGATTCGCCCAGCGAGTCCAACTGCGCATCCTGCTCGGAGAGGATCTGTTGGTGGTGAGCGTGAATTTGCTGGTTATCGAGATTGTTGGTGTCGAGATATGCGCGTCCTTCTTCGCGGGTGCTATTGGGGTCGTCGCGGTAGGGTTGTAGTAGTGCCGCTCTGTTGGAGTTGTATTCTTCGTCTTCTTCGTCTGCATCTGTAAAACGTACCGACTTGGAGATCGGATGTTGCGGAATAGGTTGCTGCAGATTTGTCCCGCGAGTCGCATGTGCAAAATCCGGGCCTAGCGATGGATCGTTCGGTACCTTTGTAGCGTCGCTCGTCTCTTCGCTGTTTCCATAAAACTGAGATGCAAAGTCGTCGTATTGAGTGCGTAATGTGCTTATTTGTTCTTGTGTATCTTCGTCGGCATTTGTGGCGTCATTTTCGAGGCGCTCGAGACTTTCCCGAAAGGACTCTAAGGATCGCGAGATTTCGCCGTCTTGTGTGTTGGGTTCGAGGCTGAGGGATATTGCGCGTTGTCGTTCGAGGAGAGAGAGTTTGATGTGGTCTGCTAAAAGGAAGAGCTGGGATGGATTCGACATGACGTCTATCAACGGCCGATTTGGCTGATTAGTCACTGGATGAAATTGGCTGTGATATAGCAAAGTCGATTAATTGTACAGTTGATACACCGATTGATGTAGATTGATGTAGATGTGGTGGTCGATGAAATGAGTTGCCTGAAACGGGTCGGTAGCAAGCCGCGGCGTCAGATCCCGTGGCTTGCGAGCTTAAGTCGAGCGTGGTCTGTCCGCAAACGATTAGTGGTTGTCAAATACTTAATCGTATCTACTCAGTAGAGCCGTCAGCGCAGAAGTGCTGCGAACTAAAGTCAGATTGAAGCTGATCAAGAATTAAAGTGGTGACCGGATCGACGGATCACTTCGGCATGTGCTTGGGTGGCTCCTTCTTCTGATGCAATTTTGAGATAGCCGGAACTCTGACCCTTCAACTACAATTCCTCCCCAACAATTACAACTTCGAGTCTATCCCTGATACATCTAGGACTTCTTGCTATGTGACTGAAGAACAAAACAAATTCTTGTAGATCGCGCAGGTCTGTTTCAGCCACTGAGCAATCATCCAATCACACGAAACTATTCGGAATCCCTGGCTGGGCGCATCAGCTCTCATACCGCGACCCCTTTCGCTATTGTGTTACCCTGTGGTCTTAGCAGAGTCGGTAGGAGTGCACGAAGGAATATAAAATAATCAGCACGCCTCTAGGCTAATTTCATGGATATCACCGAGCTTCTCACAACAATGGATCTAGAACGCGGGGTAGAAGAGGTCGTCGATCTCAGAGCACTGGACTACATCTCGACATATGATGAGCACCTAATGTGCCCTATATGCCACTGCCCCTTTATCCGACCCTTGCGACTCCAATGTGACCATGTGTTTTGCCAGAAATGCATCAACGACGCCATCATGTCCACTGTACCGGACTCGCGTGACTTTAGATGTCCGTCTTGTCGAGCCCGTGGAGATATCGGTGGCAAAGTGCCGAAGATATTGATTAATATGTGTGATGATGTACGAGTACGATGTCCGTATTCAGGCGAAGGTTGCGCAGAGATCATGGCCCGTGGACATGTGCAGTTGCATGTGGACAAGTACTGCGATTACAAGTTGATGAAATGTCCGGACTCGACCTGCGAGCAAAAGACGCGCAAGAAGAATCTCAAGGCAGAAAAGTGTATGCACAGTACGGTGAAATGTGAAGCTTGCGAGGAGGATGTCATGGAGCAGGATTTAGAGGTAAGTACGACCCTATCGTGAGAGGTACATGATCTGACATATTGAATAGGAACACCAAGATCAACAGTGTCCCAGCTTACGAACGACTTGTCCCGACTGTAGCGCAATGGTGTTTCGTAGCGCGTTAGAGCAACATATCGAGACATGTCCTGAAGCTATTCATCCATGTCAGGCGTCAAAATACGGATGTCCTGCTAAGCTCAAGCGTTCGGATTTGACAATTCACGAACGAAGCTGTCCGTTGATTACCATGGGTCCATATCTAGAAGTACAAAACTCGCGCATTGACTCGCTGGACATGACGATCCGACAATTACGGCAGAGGAATGAGATTCTGGAGGATGGAATCGCCAACATTCGCTCTACCTTAATGGACAGTGCGCGATTCATGCCGGAAAGTCGAAATCAACGTCACTTCTCCGGTGACGAAGTGTCTCAGGACCAGTCTCAGTCTGGATACAGAGAAACTGAAGATACTGACCGCTCATCACAATTATCATCCTCAACCGCAATGACATATCTACTGTCTCTACATGAATCTCTACGCGAGGAAGTATCTCAGCTTTCGCACGCAATGACGGACCTTGACGCAAGAGCCAGTATGGCAATTCTTAACGAAAGCATGCGCGTCAACGAAGACTTGGCTCATACAAGCGCTGCAATTAATACCATTCGGATGCAAATGCATTGGCTATTGAATCCTCGACTGCAGCAAGGTCATCGACTCGGAGCTACCGGAGCAGCAGGAGATTCAAGCCCTGGTCCGAGTCGACCAGCACCTGGACCTGGCCCTGGACCTGGCCCTGGATATAGTGGTTTGACGCCACGGCGACTGAGTGATGGTGGCCGCGAGGGGACGAAACTGTAGCATGTTACGACTTACGACATAACGAGGATGTATGCACAGAGTAGCTGTACAATAGTCAATAGTATTTATAGTAATTCAAAGAGTTGCCACCTGAAAAATCAGGCCCTGACACGTGACTTCCCCACTAAGATAGTACGGGCATCAAGTGCAAAATGAGACTAATCTACAAGGAGCCCACAACTTTGTGGCGGTCGTCATTGCGTCGCTACTTTTTTATCTCCATACTCACACGACCTATACAAGCGACGGGCCTGTCATTCCCCGGCCGTTTGATCGTCCAACCACGTCTATTTTCCTCCATTGATTACGACCATAGCGAAGAGGAGCCCAGCCCAGGGAAAGGGCCGTCGCCGAGATGCCGCCCAAGAAAGTAGCAGATCAGCCCAAGAAGAAGAAGGCGTCGGTGGAGGATAAGGTGAGTTTTCTTTCCCATCCGGAAAGAATAATAAAGAGTAAAGACTGACGTGTGAAGACGTTTGGTATGAAAAATGTAGGTCAATTCCAGCGGCATCTGGCCAAACCACCCGATATTATTGATATTCTCGATGTTCTCGATGTTCTAACAGGACGATAGAAAAAAGGAGGAAGCGCCCGCCGACAAATAGCCCAACTCGAAGCACAAGCCAAATCCAACAAAAACGCCGACGAGAAAAAGAAAGAAGCCGAGAAGGCGCGCAGAGCCGCCGAAAAGGCTGCCGAAGAACAAGCCAAACGCGACACCGCAGAACTCTTCAAGCCGGTTCAGGTACAAAAGGTACCTTTTGGCGTGGACCCAAAGACTGTGGTCTGCCAGTTCTATAAACAGGGACACTGCGACAAGGGCAAAAAGTGTAAATTCAGCCACGACTTGAGTGTCGAGCGAAAAGCGGCGAAGAGGGATTTGTACTCGGACACGAGAGATGCGGAGGCCGCTGCTAATGGCAAAGAAAAGGATACGATTGATCAGTGGGATGAGGCGAAGTTGAGAGATGTGGTGTTGAGTAAACATGGTAATCCGAAGACGACGACCGATAAAGTGTGCAAATATTTCATTGAGGCGGTTGAGAATCAGAAATATGGATGGTTCTGGACGTGTCCGAATGGTGGAGATAAGTGCATGTATCGACATGCTCTGCCTCCTGGGTATGTCTCTTCCTATTTTACTTTTATTTTTATTTTTTCGCTTGTTCAACAATTCTGACTAAGTGACTAGATTCGTACTCAAAACCAAAGAGCAACGAGCCGCCGAAAAAGCGCTCATGGACAAATCGCCCCTCAACACGCTTACTCTTGAAGATTTCCTCGAAATCGAACGACACAAACTCACGGGCACCCTGACACCAGTCACGCCGGAGTCCTTTGCCGAGTGGAAGAAGAAACGACTCGACAAGAAGGCGGCCGAGGAAGAAGCGCGCAAGGCCAGGGAGGCTACAGGTCGTACGCTCTTCGAATCTGGCAATTGGCGTGCTGCGGGCGACAGTGACGAGGAGTCGGATGAAGAGGGTGAAGATGATGGAGTGTGGAACTTGGACGCGTTGCGTCGGGAGACGGAGCGGATACGCATGGAGAAGGAAGAGGAGCGGTTGGCGAGGTTGCATGGTGTTTCGACTACGGGGGAGACGCTGGGTGAGGAGGTTGCAGTTGACGGCGATGGTTGATCATATACGATAGATTGCTGTTGATTATAGCATGAGCCGGTATAAAATGTGCTTGCATACATTGTTCATTTGATTCATAAAACTACCGTCCTTAATTCCTCGTGTTAAATTACCACTTCTCAACATACGGCCTCAAGTCCAACTCATACGCAAACGTCGTTCGCGGCTGCGTATGCAAGAACCAATACGAATCGGCAATCTACACCGTCAACTTTGATCATGTCAGAGCGGACAAGGGGAAATAACTTACAGCATCAGGACTGAGCTTCGCATCCTCATGCTCAAAGACATATCCCTTCGTACGGGGAATATCAATTACGCCATCAACAATGACATGCGCAACATGGACTCCCTTGGGACCGAATTCTCGTGCTAGAGACTGAGAGAGGGCCCTAAGACCGAATTTTGCGCTTGCGAAGACGCTGAAGTTTGCCGAGCCGCGGACGCTTCCCGTTGCACCTGCTATCGTCAATACTACTGCACTCTCTCAAGTACCTAGCTGGGGATTTAAAGGGGGCGGGGGGAAGGTACCGGTGAATATCAAACTCGGCGGAAATTCACTCTTCTCTTCCACACCCTGGAGTAGTAACGGCAACACAGCCTGCGAGAACAAGAACGCAGCTTTAACCTGCCCCTCCCAACCCTTCTCAAACTCTTCCGTCGTCAACTCCAGGAACGGCTTGCGCACAAACCCGCCTCCAGAATTGAAAATGGCAGCTGCAATGGGACTGCCGGGAAACAGTTCTGTGGTTATCTTTGTGAATGCGTTTGATACAGCGGTGGCGTCGGAGACGTCGGTGCTGAGCCCGATTGCGTGGCCGCCAGAGGAGTTGATGGTCTCGACGACTTCGTTGTAGTTTGCGGGATTGCGGGCGAGGACGATGACGGGGTAGTGTTGGCCGAATTTACGGGCAATTGAAGAGCCCTTTTTGCAAGTTAGCTACATTTCAAAAGGAGTGGTGAGAAGGGAGGGCGTACAGTTCCGGGGCCGACGCCGGCGACGACAGCGATTGCTTTCTTTCCTGCCATTTTTCTGATATTGTATGGATCTTTTTCAAAAATTCGAGTAGTAGTAGCTTATCAATTAACTTCAACCTGGGTGGACAACCAGGAAACAGCCAGAGAATCTGACTTATATATTCAGCTAGGTACGTCCAGCTGCTTAGAAATCAATTCCCATGCCAACCGAATGTGTTATCTCAGCAGATCAACTGAATGGTGAGATATTGCTAGAGAGAGGGGTGTTGATGGCGTCATCTTGATTGACTGATTACTTATCGCAATTGATTAGATAGGGTTAGTTAAGCTTTTGTAGTGGGGTTGTACATCTGCCTGCATCTAGCGATGTGAATATCATACAAGAAACGTAGTATCTGAACTACCACCGTCGCCATCCCTTCTTATTGCTATTGTTTTCATCTCCCGCATCTTGCTGAGATGCTTGTCTCTCTGCATCGAGCATTCTATCGAAATCCCGCTGCGCGGAGTCCCGTTCTCGCTGGCCGTTTTGTTGTTCGCGTTCATACGATGAGTACTCTGAAGATGTGTTTTGTTGCTGTGGTCGTCCCCAGCCAGACTGTGACGGAGGCGCGGAGACTGACGATCGAGAGGCGTTTTCGCGTCTGATGCGGTCCCATGCATTCTCATTCGATGTTGATTTCAACGTTGCTGATGTCTGGTACTCAGGCGCTGTGGGACTGGCATCGTCGAAAAAGTCCGAACCCGAAGAAGTGTCTGCGTCAAAGCGAGGGGTCTCGGTTCCCCTAGATGGAGTCTGATACGTCTGATACGTCTGATACGGCGGCGCATCACTCTGCCCGCGTCCCTCAGCCTGTCCATAAGTACCACTCTGGCCGTCAACGCCATTGTTCTCATCTCCAGCCTCCTCCGCACTAGCCGTCGCGCCCGCATGCCTCACAGTATCAATCCCTTCCCTCCTCTGCTTCGCCTGCTCCTTGTATCCCTCTTTCCTCTGATCCCTCGCCTCTTTATACCTTTTGATAGTCTCCCTAAAGTCCGCAAGTCTCGGATCTGTCGACAACGCGACCCTATAGCTAGTCATCGAATACGAAGCAAAAATACCACTCGTAAAAAACACCCAAAGACTAAGTCTCCMCCCCGCCGCAAACAGAGCTGCGCGTTTTTCCTGCACGGCAGCAAGACCCCACGCCGTCTTCCAACCCTCAAACAGCGAGACCTTATTCGGCACACTTAATGATCTTCTCAACGTGTAATAGGAATGTATCGCGCCTGCCGTCAGACCAACCGGAAACCCGATTCTACGCGTGTTGATCTCATGACTCGCATGCTCCGCCAACGCATCCAGTTCCGTCTGCGACAAATCTCGTCGCAATAAACTCTTTATACCCTCGACTTGCTGTGAAACAGACCACATGACGGTGCGTTCCCAGTTCCAGGCACCTCCAAAACCGACATATAGCAGGAAAGGATTGGGCCGCTGGAAGTGTTCGTGATTTATTTTGAGTGGGAAGACGGAGGCATAGCGGGAGGAGAGGTCGGGGCTGTCCCAAGTTGAGGTGTCTTGGGATGGGTCGAGGTTTGTTCGTGACGAGGAGTAGTCGTCGTTGGAAACCATTTTTAATATGTCAGTCCTGTCCAATTGTTGTTATATTGTAATTGTAGATATGATGTTGGTGAGTGAGGAACTCGTGAGGAGCTCGTGAGGAGGTCTTGGCCACTCGGAGCTTGCTCTCCGCTCGGAATAACTTGACGTCAATCAGCAGCTTAGTCAGCACTTTGTTTTCTAAACAATCCGGGGAAGGCAATTTCTACTTCTACAACTGTAATCTACTCAATGAGAGAGTGAACATTCCAATATATACTTCAAATTTAATTCATAGTTTCCCGCACGGTTCGCCATTGTAATCGCCCTCGCGGGCTACACTATAAACTTCTTTTCTCAAGAACAATTCTTGGAACGAGAATCAAACATAGCAAAGCAAAACAAATAACCGCAAATATGTATGTAGATGGTGTAAACCCAAGGCTGGAAACAAGATACGAACAAGTGTATCACAGAAAGATCAAAAAGCAAAGCTAGATGCAGAATGGTAATTGTACAACATGTATAGAGCCGGATATTCGAAGCAAAAGAGATTCGTAACTTCGTTTGCGCACAATTAGTAGTAGTGATTGGATAAGCTGAAACAAAAACAAAAAAAACTAATCCCGTGGTGCTTGAACGCTTTCATACGGAGAGATGGCGTTCTTATCAGATTCTGTCGGTGGGGACCGTACAACAGGTCCACGGCTGGTACTGCGCATTCGACCGGTGAGGTTTCTGAACTTGCTTGCGAAAGTCTCGTTGATGCTGCGACCTCGTCGATGGTCAACAGACATCCTACGCATAGACTGCGCGTCGGCACCGGTTGTCATTGGCCGTGTAAGCTCATGACCTACACGTGCATTATCGGTAATAATTTGACTCGACACCATTTCCCTTCCCCTAGGAGCAGGTGGTGGTGGCGGAGGCGTGTTTAAATGCTGTAGCTCCGGAAGAATTGGAGGAACGATTTTCGTTGTGTCCACAATAATGTCAGGCTCAATACTCACAGAGACTGACGGGGGCGATCCATGAGTCGACATTCCAAGCTCTCCAGAGTTTTCACGTCGATGTCCCCGTGGTCCTCGAGTCCTGCTTGTCGATCTGCTTCGCGGCATATGAGGAATGAACCTGGGATGATGGGGAAGGTCGGAGGGAACCGGTGTTTGGTGAAACTCAACCACTGGTACCGACATGGACCGGCTAATTCTGGCCGCTTCTGCTTGATAGACCGTGCTCGGGAGCGTCAGCGGCATTTCCGGCATCGCTGGCGCCTCATCGTCAACATACCCATCGCTATACTTTGGACGTCGCATTGCCTTTGGTGTAGCTGGTAGACCGACGGTGCCAGAACGCCCTCTTGTAGACGATCCGGAATCAGATCCATTCCCAAAGGTCGGTGATCTTTTGCTGGCGTTACTCTTGGACCGGACCCGTTTGTTGAAAGACCCGCCTGATGACGGTGGGCTTTCCGGTAGATTCCCACCAACAACAGACATCATTGCAGCGGTCTGAAAGTCACCAGGATGTGGAATCTTGGGAGCCGAGGGGCGTCGAGCTAGCGAGAGTCGTCGGGCCTCGAGTTCTGCGGCCGCCAATTCCCTCTTTGCTCTTTCATGTGCACTCAAAACCTTGTTCGAATTACTGGAGAATTCTGTTCTTGAAGTGTCTTCAAAAGACTCGCTTGACAACATAATCTGAGAATTGGAATCTGGCTCGTGACTGTGTTCTTGAGGCTGGCGGCTGCTTGATCGACCTCTACGTCGTTTATCTGGTGAAGGGTCACGTCTGACACTGCTGGTACCATGGCGACTGGAACTGCGCTGTCGAGATCGGTGTAGTCGTTCGCGATCGCTAGTAACAAAACGAAGGCTGTCTTCAAAACCTCTCACATCCTCGGAAGGTGACATTGGCAATGGCGACGTCGGCGATCGAATGCCCGATTTGCTCCTATCAGCACTGCGGCCTCGACTCTGGCGACGACTGCTATTGCGACTCTTTACCTTTTGCTTCCGATCGATCCCCCTAGATGACGATCGTTGACGTCGGTCGGTTTTGGACGAGCTACGAACACGGGAGCTGCCCTTGGTATGACTCCTGCTGCGATGCTTCGAAGCATCAGTGCCGAGGCTGTCCACGCTTGCGTTGTATTTGGCAAACTCTTCAGGAGACATTGGCACAGGCGAAGATGGTGAACGTTTGGCAGGTGCAATGTACCGGTTTGTTGCCCGTCCACGAGAGTCTACTGAGCCATTTCTAGAACTCTTTTTGCCGTGTTCACTACCTGCGTCTCCATGTCGCCGAGTCTTTGTATGAGGATGATGAACATTTTTGGCATAGTAATTAGCCTCGTCTAGGCTGCTGATGTATTGGTCAATGCTGCGGCTGCTGACACTAGGACTCTTTGCAGAGCGCAAGGTTTGGAATACCGAACTTGGAGTTCCACCACCGGTGCCGTCAGTATATGGACCAGCTTCAGACTCGGATGTATCGACTGGAGGCCACTGAATGTGAAGTCCTTCTGGTTTGCGGTCGCGAGAGCCGTTTCTTGCTGCGGCCTGTCCTTTGAGTGTCTCAAAAACTCCGGCAGCAGGTGATGGAAGACCCTTGATGCCTTCAAACTTGTGGGTTGTTGTCTGCACGGCTGTTTGTGGGCTTGGGCCGTGGCTATCCTTGCCTGGTTCGTAGCGTGCAGAAGTCAATAGCAGCACAGGTGGCTCGTTATTGTCGCTAGAATCGTTGTGATCGGACCTGATTATGTGACGCTTTCCTTTCTCGGAACTCGAATCAACCGGCGTGGGAAGGGATCTGGGAGGGAAGTTGGGAGGCTGCGAATCCACTGGGGTTTCACCTATAGAAGGTAGTCGATGTCGGTGTGCATGAGAGGGTGTTCCAACTCTGGACAATGCGTTATTGAGGCTGCGCGCATTATTGAGTCTATACGATCCGAGACCTCCTGGCGAGAGAGCAGACTCTCCGACGGCTGATTCAGCAATAGGTGTGATACCGGGTGCATTTGTAGGAGTGCGATCATCCGACTTGAGACCTGGAAATTTGAATGCTTGATTGCCTTGAGGACCAAAAGAAGTGATAAGCTTGAGGGCAGAGTTCTTCACGGTCATTCGGTTGGCAGACTCGGGTTTCAGCATTTCGACCGGCTTAGGCTGGGGTTCAGAAACAGGCGAGGCAATGCGATAAGGTGCGTTGGGCGCCGTAGGAGACATCCATGGCTCTGAAGGCTCGGCTCCTGTGCACATGAAACATCGGATTGCTAGCTGTTGCTGAGCATTCGATACCACATGTTCACCCCATCGGCGAACAAGGTATGACTGTCGCTGCCAGTCGCTCGGCAGTAGGAGGCAGGTCATGAGGATGGCTTCCATGAAATAGTTCCGCGACACATAGACCTCAATTGCATCGTTGCGGTCTCCGAGAGCTAGCAGAATTGTAGCAGAAGCGTGGATATCGCCAATTTCGAGCAACCTCTGAACGAAACTCTGGCCGACCTGATTGGCTTGCTCTTCACCACCCATTTGACTAAGAGCCAGGAACATCCACGCAGAGGAATTGACGGGGCCAGCACTAAGCATAGCCATCATTTGCATTGGATCGTTCTCGCCCAGCCAACGTGAAAGGAATATGGCATTCTGACTAGCCGGAGGATGTCGGTTTACTATAAAATCTTAGAACATGATTAACGAGAGAGAGAGAGGTAAGTTCCAACTTACGTTCGTCCCTGATAAGGCCTTCGATATCCCCCTCCCATCCAAAAACTACACGAAGCATCTGTTGTCGCAATGCTTCGGGCGTTAGGTGAGACTCGTCAAGTGGGGGTACTTGCTGCATATACGAGACTTCATTGACTCGTTCCCTCGTGAATGGGAAGAGATCTACCAACGGCTTGTCGACAGGGCTTTGGGTAACTTCATGGCGAAGCCGCGAGCCGCCTCGAGAGCGGACGGAAGAGACCGATGCGGTAGATCCATATGCAATGGATGTTCCGGACTGAGAAGGCAGACGACCGAGAGGCGATGTCATGGAAAAGGTCGTTCCACTATAGGTTGATTTATTGACGGGAGAGAAGGGTCGGACCCGGCCAGACGAAGCATGCGAGCTGATTGAGTTAGTACGGCTGCGCTGTGACATTGGACTAGCGGTGGCTGCTCGTTGCTGGCTTGCTAGCTCTTGAATCGAAACTTCTGGCCCTCGGAAACCTTGGGCACTTCGCGTCCCGCTTCCCCTTGAGAAGTAGCTGGGTGACATTGGCCTCATTTTTGACTCTTCGACAATCGCCATCTGGTCCATCGGAAGATGCCTGACATTCTTGACCATAGCTGGATTTTCCAGATCGTATTGCTGGACGGTATCATTGGGGCCGAGAGTAAAGAGAGTCGCAGTCGGTCCGTAATTGGCCATACCAAGGACGTCTTCGATCGTAGGAATAGTCACATACGTGACATGTTTCGTCCTAACATCCCAAACCCAGGTTTCCCTAAAAAAGTGAGCGGCTGTTCTTAGAAGTTGTTGGATTGAGTTCACCTGTCTGAGTATTGTACGATTCTGCCATTCTTGGACCAGGATATCCACTTCGGGCCTGTCGAGTATGGTTCGGTGCGTTTCAATGCACGAATAACTCGAGGGGTTTCCGTCATAGGCGCCTTTGCCACACTCCATACTCGAAGATCGCCATCCAGAGTTTGTGTGGCAAGCATATCCGACTTTTGTTTCGATGAAGATGCATGCCAGGCGAGACATGCTATTGGGGATGGGCCGCGGCTGGTAGAAAGAGTATGGAGGATGGTGAACGCCGGGTGCAACGTTGCTATGAGAATCGAGCCATTTTGATAGCTGGGATTATCAGTACATGCAGAGCAGCTTGGGTGAACAGATACTTACCCAATTGCATAAGTCCGGCAGTCTGCCGATGGGGCCAGGGAGGTTATCGGGTCGAAAATTGTTCGGGCCGACAAGTGCTCTGAAGTCGAAGGCTCAAACAATATGACATCGCCCTTGCCGTTGCCTATGCCGAGTTAACATCGAAAACAACATACCGGGCTAATTGTGAATTACCGAAAGCCACATTCCCATTCCGCATCCATGCTGCTACCCGAAGAGGCTCATATGAGGCGAAGCGCGAGATTTCACTTCCAGTGAAAAGATCCCAGACAATTGCTGTTTGAGCGAAATCATAGCTGACCACCAACCGCCCGGCACCTCGTTCACTAACATTATCGACACATATAAACGCTATCCTTTCTTCATGAAGTGTGAACCGGCGCTCGATAGCCAAGGTGTCGTGATGCAGACAAAGAATGACCGAGCCTTGGGAGAATAGGAACAACGAAGCCGTTGAAGCACATGGTTGAAATTCAGAATCCCATGCTGGGTCTAAAGGCGTGGCGGGKGCTGTCGACTGTGTTGTGGATCCCACAGGTCGATGCCACGACGACAAGTCCGACATATTCAGATACGCACAGGAGCTATGAATGTTGTCAGTGTGAAACCATGATGATGGCCGAGTACGAGCTGCATAGTGTGTCCACAGCTAGAAGAAATAATGAAACCAAAGGGAAAGCCAAGGACAGCAATAGTGTCAATGTGGTGACACTCACGATAGAAAGACTGTGGGCATGAAGAGTGTTACTCACCGTCAACAGATCCGAGTATGAATCACAATTGACTATCCCGTCAACCTGCCGGACCTCCGATATCTGAACGACCGGGCGTGACAAAAATTCCGCGACCACGGCATGCAGAAGAACTTTGTTTCAAGTGTTGAGACGAGCGGTTTGAGTTGATGGTCGACGGCCGATGACAAAGATGGACGCGCTGAGTAGGCGCCGACCAGGATGTCTTTCTTTTTTTTTTTGGTCTTTCAGGAGGGTGTGAAAGAAGACAAGGTATACGAAGGGAGTACAGGGAAAAGGGAAATGCAGCTTACATAGTGCCGTGGAAGACAAAGTTTGTGGGAAGAAGCTGGTATTGAGGGGCAGGGGCAGCAGCAAAAAGCAAAGATGCAGGGCAATGAGATGCAGGCACCGGGGAAGGCCCCAACGGTATACTGTACATAGTATGTATTAGCGTTGCAATATGCGCAGGACTAGAGAGAGAAGCGAGGTGAGGCCGATCCGAATATAGAACGAGCACCAGTCATGGCATATCACGGCGCCAGTGGGATCAGTCTGGCATGGTCGGAATCTGCCAACCACGACGGCATGTCGCGGGGCCGTCAGAAGAGTGGACGACTAGGAGCTAGGGCAATTTACGGCGAGCGCCAACGAGCGTGCGCAAGTCGAAGATCTGTCGGGAGGAAGGGAGCATCAGTGCATCCGGTGGAGCACGTACTAGTAGCACTACTAAGTAGTAAGCAGTCACAGCACGAGTCAATCCGGCCCTCACGGAGGAGCTTGCATCGGATCGCAACCGAGGGCTTGTCCATGCATTCACATTATCACATACCCGTGCTCATTCAGGATGGATGAGGAGATGATTCGAATGGTCAGTCCATTTGCATTCCATTCTCTGCAGAAAATCTTCAGCAGTGTCACTCACCATCCGGGATCTGGACGAAAAGTGAAGGAGCGTCGATCGAGGTAGGACGCTAAGACGTGAGGCAAGAGCGACCATTGACATCGTACGGAGTAGTAGGGCAGGCAAGAGCCCTCGAGGAAAGAGCTCCGTGGGGCGTGCTGATTGGCTGTGTCCCCGAGAGGATGGCTTCTTCACGATGCAGCCTTCATCACGGGGACACGGCCAATCAGCGGGCTGAAGAAGTGTGCTGGCTGCAGAGACCCCCGGGAACATCACGGCCCACTGCACTAAACCACGCTAAAGAGGGGCACTAAATTGGCGCTAGCCCACGCTAAAACAAGGCCCGGCGCGTACGGATTGACCTCTCCAGACACATTACTTAGCTATGTAGTATGTATTGCAGACCGTACGATGTATATGCATTCATTGGGCATGATTCGATGTTATGTTCATGGCGATGGCGATGGCGATGTCGAAGCATCACTTCATGTGGCTGTGCTTGCCACAGAAATCAATTGGGCATACTGCTGTTGTTGCTGTCGTTCAGAACATCACGTGTATTCTCGAACGCTTCAAGCTGACCAATCAATCCTCCTCGATGCAATATATCTCATCGCGCTAGTCCGCATCGGGACGACCTCTCGATGAGTGGCTGGCACTCAACAATTTCTCTACTTAGTACAATCGTTGGAAATAGTGGCAAGTCAAGTGACGGAGATAATTTCAGAATATCTGCCCAATCACTATGTATTCAAGGACATATGATCGCTTCGTATAGCTCGAAGCTAACATACAATGTTGGTGACGAAGCGGCTATAGCGTTATCCGGATGGAGTACTCATAAGTATCGCTCGTAGTACAATTACAAAATCAACCAACAAAGAAGGAAAAGCAATGGCACGAGATTAAAAAAMAAAAAAAAAAAAAAAAACAAGACAATGAAAATAGCATCGTGCATATTGGAATGTACATGGTCATATTAATGTATGAATCTCGGTTACATGTACTAGACCACGGACCAAATGCCTCAGTTTGAATGTGCAAGTGCATTGCATTGCTGTCCATGATTTCAAACTGGACTGGCCTGACTGAGGGGGCGCCCGATTTGGTCGACGGCGGTGAAGAAGGGAGCGTTACACGGGTATATGTTTAATTTGATGCACTCATCTCTCGTAAACGAGTTTATATTCTTGAGAACATCAAGGCCTCTCTTTCTCAAGTGCTTGAGAGAAAGTGCTTGAGAGGGAAGGATTTATTTGATGTCTTCTCTAGAATTGTCTATCATTCTATACATATAATAAGACATCCGGTATAATCGGGAATAAACGTGGCATTATCTAATATACCGACTGTGGTATATTACATTCCGAGCGGGGAAATCCATGGCTACATACATAGCGAGCATGGGTACTCGGGACGTCTCCGTATTGAGTTATCGACACGGAATCCCATGAGCTAGAAGTGACTGTGACACAACGGTGTACTACGACGAGTTCGCTGAAGAATAGGATTTTCGTCTCCACTGAGTCCACTCGACTCTTCAAAACGGGAGACGGTCAGACCAGTCGCGCAGAAAAATCAAGGAATATGGATACCACCACAGACAAACACGTGATGGATACGGTATGCTCAAGCTACATCGAACTAGTTGAATAAATATATCGAACGGGCCAATCCTGGCAAAGGATTCGAAAATATTTTCGTGATATGAATCCTTTCGAGTCCATCCGATATCTGATACACAACGCAAAATGTATCACACCCGTGACTATCCTAGCACAATGTGATTGTGCCCAGTGCACCGATTGAGTCGAGTCATGGATGATTTTCATGGCAGCCAAACTAGAGTTAGGCACATATCTGAGTCCAGTCCAGCCTCTTGTTTTTTTCTTAGTGGGTTTTAGTATACTATCCCGATTGAGTAAGTACCTTATCTTTGGGTCAAGTCTCTGACCGTTCCGTTAGCCAGCGATGTTATCCATGGATTCGTGATAGTAGCGTTGAAGTTTGCATCTCTGGTCTAATTAGTCGAACCTTGAGAGTCATGAAGGATGGTTCTACCTGAGCAGATATGTATCCACTATCACTACTCCGTACCACAGTTGTTAATGCGATCCCCGCACTGCGATGCGAGGTGTTGTCATTCCCGCCTTTTTATTGATTTTGCTTTTTCCATTTCTTTATCTCAATAGACTCGCCAAGACTAGTGCTGAGAGTAGGAGAATTATTTATAGATGGCCGGACACATTTGGATGTATGCATAAACCAATAGCTATCCATCCCATATATTGCATGGATATTGAATGTCGCTGTAAAGTGATGAGTAGTATATCCATGGATGAGAGAGCGKTATMCCGCMAAGCCACAATATAGCCAACCATGGGACGACAATTGATTGTCTCCTCATACGTACCCATAAATAAGTTTTGATCTTATATTGATTTCCTAATAATAGTAAATGCCTATCAAGCAGCATTAGGGTTATGCCTACCGATTTCCAGGATGTGATCATTGATGTTACCTAGATACCTTGTTCCTACTTGTACATACATAAATGCCAACGAATGCATGCATGGCCATGAAATAAAAGCCATGTAACACGGAAACTATCTTTACCAAAATTGGTTGCGAGCTTGGACATGATAAAGAGTGCGGGGGAGGTAAATATACGGAGGAGCTTTTATTGTCAAACCTCGAAATATATAGCGATGGAACCAATTATAGATATCAACTTCTTGTTCGTTATCTTTCTGCAGTCGAGTAATGGATTTCGTCCATTGACCAATATATAGATATATCGGAGTAGTGGGATACTATACATATCCTGTAACATCCCTGATTCCTCGGCACGATGTGCATCAATCCAACGGACTATCCAGCATATCGACGAAATATCAACGATCTCCGATGTCGCATAAAAAAAAGACGCAACAGTTCGCCTCGTGTAACCCTGCGTACATGTAACTTTCTCATGCACAAGACGAGGCTATTATCAACTGAGTAATTTTGTGCGTGATGTTGCTACTTCTATTTATGATATGTCAATTGATCATAGGCGTACACATTAGGGCTTGCTCGACACGACTTACATGTCAGAACAGACGCCCTTACCCAAATGCCAGCTTTAGAATCCGAGATACCCAGACATGTAGTAGACTTAGGTACCCTATACAGTACCGGTGTTTTATACGTCAGAAGCTTGCAAAGGAGTATCAATGCCCACCTACATGAAAAGCATCATTCACTGAGAGATTTCTCCATGTGACAGAGCCTTGGAACGACGTATAAGGGAAAAGACTACGTGAATTCGGAGATGATAATATATGTTACTCCGTAAACTTAACTGACTCAAGACATTCTTTACTCAAACATTGCACAGTCATACGATGTAAATATGCCCATTGAATTCAATAAATGTGATATCACAATTGCCCGGAATTCACATCAGGGTGAATTGTTCTCCATCCTTTCCCCAGAAGATGACATGTCTAGGTCAGACGGAGACATTCCTGTCGTATCCCCCAAATCGAGAATGGAGTTAGGGCTCGATCGTGGCGGCTGTTTCCCTTTCCGGAAATAAGGTTATCGATACGTGACATCATCGTCAGTCGCGTCGCGTCTCGTTTCAACATCTCAGAATTCTCGACCTGATTGAATTGATTCATGATCAAGTATAAGACAGATACAATATATACCCAATTCTCACCAAACTGGCAAGACGCAATGTCCAAAAGAACACTCGACGCATATCTCAAACCCGCCAGAGCTTCTACAACAGACTCCTCCTCATCCAAAAAGCTCAAAGAGGTGGCGCCATCTCTAGAGGACACAAAGCCAGACACAGAAACTTCAAATACGACTCCAGACACACATCCATCCTACCCCTTCCCCATCACTGCACTCCCATCCCACATCTCCACAGCCCTAAAAACGACAGCACCCGCTCGAGCAGCCAAAGAAATCAACAACCGACCTCATCTAGACCTGCTCTACTACGAGCCCTTCATCCCGCGGCCCACGGCCAATGAATACTTCAATTTTCTCCGCCGAGAACTCCCCTTCTACCGCGTGAAATACACCATAAAGCGCGGCCCAACGGAGACACTTATTAACACGCCACGCTACACAACCGTCTACGGCGTCGACGGCACATCCTACTTCTCCCAAGTCCCTGGAGTAGAAGACGGTTCCAAAACCCTTGTTGATAGCAAAACGCACAAACCAGTCCCCACAACAAAATACAAATGCACCCCTCGGCCCATCCCATCATGTCTAGACGCGTTCCGGCAACACGTCGAGTCAACTCTAAACGACGGCACAAGCTACAATTTCGTGCTGGTGAATTACTACGCTTCGGGCGACGATAGTATATCATATCATTCTGACGATGAGCGTTTTTTGGGCTCAATGCCGAATATCGCTAGTCTCACTCTTGGGGCAAGAAGGGATTTTTTGATGAAACATAAACCTGTCGCTGGTGACACTACTACTTCTGGTAGTGGGAGCAGCAGTGGCAAGCAAGATAAACCGCTCAAATTGCCGCTCGGATCGGGTGACATGGTCATCATGAGAGGCGAGACGCAGTCGAACTGGTTGCACTCGATACCGAAACGGAAGGGAGGGGAGTCCGGGAGTGGGAGGATTAATATTACGTTACGAAAAGCGGTTGTGCCGGGAGGGACGGAGAATTATTATAAGTATAATGTTGGCGAGGGGGGACTGTATCGCTGGGATGAAAGGGGGAAGGAGATGGTTTTGGTTAATGTTGCGTGATTAGATTATTTACTACTGGGGGAAATATGTGTATACTCTTGAACGCAGCCTAGATAGATGCTTTATGAATCATGATACCAATGTATCAGTAGGATGAGAGGATTGAGAGACGATTAAGCGGTTCTCGAACCTTGGAACAAGATACTATCTATACAATATATGTAAACATCTCATCCTGCATCATCGACCGATCTCTCCCACGATCAATCAATCCCTCACCCTCAGCCATCTCAATACCCATCTGGTCCCTCTTTTCCGCAATCCCCCTATTCTTACGCAACAATACCAGTCGCAACGAAAATGCCAATACGGCAACCACCAACATGAACGCAGCGCACGCCAACATACCGCGCACAAACCATGGCTTGTCGCTGTCGGGGTAGAGTCGAGTACCTATAAGCGGACCGCATTGTCCGACTATATTTAGGATTGCGACGCTGCTGCCCTTGCCTTCTTGGGCGGTGCGGTTATCCATGCTCCAAGTGATGATGATTGTGACGGCGGAGAAGAAGCCGGATGTAGCCGGGTAGATGCATAAATAGCGGATCATGGTGTGGAGGGAGGTGGGCATGTGTGAATGGAACAAGCCTGTGAGTCCGATTACGAGGTAGGCTGTTGCAGATAGCAGAGCGTGGAAGATCAGATATGGACTTCGAGTGCGGGAGCGGTCGGATAGTGAGGCTGTCAGAAGGACTACCCCGAATGCTACCAGGAATGGAGGCGCTGAAAGAGCCTGTGAGGCTATGGATGAGTATCCCATACTACAATCGTCAGTATCGTACTCTTGAAAAGGAGTTGGAACATACTTGTTGATGATTGTTGGGAGAAAGACCGGCATCGAACTGAATGCCACATTGCAGCCAAGGAACATGAACTATATTGTCAGTATGTCATTGTTGTGAACGGTAAGACAAAAACATACAGCTATGAGATACGACATCGGATCACACAATGTCTCAATCACCGCCTTCCAATTAAACTTCTCCGATTCAGCAGACTGTGAACCATGTCTCTCAATCTTATTCTTCGACTGCAATCGCAATTTGGCAACTTTCCTCTGCCGCGATGTCAAAAATCTCGCTTTTCCCGGTGAATCCGGAATCAATAACCAAGCAAAGACTGCCGCGACCAAACTCGGAAACCCTTCCACCAAAAAAAGCGAGCGCCAAGGCGCAATAGGCATGTTGCTGCTCAATTTCACAATCAGCCATGCCAAACTACTTGCGAATGAAGTAGCAAGTGGTGCCGCAGATATGAAAAGCGCGGTGCGATACGCGAGTTCTTCGCGCTTGTAGAAGAACGACAGATAAAACGGCGCGCCAGGGCCGAAGGCTGCCTCGGAGACGCCCAACAATGCTCGAATGATGAGCATGTCCCAGAATCCTCTGGTCAACGCCTGACAGGACGCCAATATTCCCCAGGTGAATACGCACAACGGGATATAGATGTGCGCTGGTACTATTTTATACATTAATGCCATCCACTCAAATGCAATATATGTGATGTAAAATGCCGTAAGAAGCCATTCATATTGCGAAGATGATAATTTGAGATCGTTTGATAAGCCGGCAATTTTGGCGTTTCCAATATCTGATTTGTATCAGCATGTTTGGCACAAAAGCATGAGAATGGGAGTAATTACTTGACCGATCCAAGAAGGAAAGCATATATAAAAGAGCCAAGAAGAGTACCAATCTTTTATCTAGTCTCTTCACAACCTCCTTCTCTTCTTCCGCCGTATATTCAGCATTGACGCCTCCGCCTATGCTCATTTGTCTTCGCAATCGATGCCGAGTCTTGTATTCCAGCTCCGAATCATATCCTTCCTCGTCGTAGCCATCAGCAACGCTTGCGAACTTTTGCGCTTCAGCTACCGATTGCGGCTCSTCTTCATCTTCAGCGGCGATATTGTCGGCGCGACCCCGACCAAGTTGCGTTTGTAACCGAGGGAGTTCTACCGATCCGGGTTGCGGACGATTTATATTCGCAGTGGAGGTACTCAATTGCTCCATCCCGCTTTCCGAGGTGTTGTTACTGCTGATATCCGGCGTAAAGCGAAGTTGCGAGTTTGAGGACGAATCTTCCATAGGGGGAGGCGTGACTTCGACAAAGTTCGAGGAGAAGGAAGAGCTATCGGATTGCGCGGTAGGAGGATGAGGATTGAGATGGGCCATTGTTGATGCTTGGTGAGGCTGTTGGGCGTCTGTTCAGGATGGATGGTTCATTGCTGAGCTTAGGTCAAATCCATGGAACTGGACTGACGTTTAGCTGTGAGCTTGAATAATATATATCAGAGATAAAACAACTGAAAATATCGCTGCAACTATTTTTCTAGATCAAAATTGAAGATGTTGTCCCTCCTTACAGCGAAAGGTATCACGTGTCTCCCCTTAACCTTCTTAGTGGGTTGCTTGCTGTGGGGCGGCGATAACCTTATCAACGCAGCTTTATCTTATCGGGGTATCTCTCGAACAATCATATACATTGGCACATCTCAAGGACAAGTCACTATAGTACAATTTCTCTCCCACAGAATATCAATGAATTTAAGAGGAAGCCCATAACGACTCACAGGTATCATCCAATTAATGGCATGCATACCACAATGATCACTGCTTCATGACCGACGTCTCCTAGAACGCGACCTCTCATGTCGATCATAAAGACGCCACGAATCAGCATATGCACCCGTGTACCGATCAATGGCCTGACGCTTCTTTGGCTTCGGGGACCTCTCAGATAATGACACTCTGTTGTCGCTGCTTCTGCCGCTGTCGCCATCCCTGTAGAAACTCTCAACCTCGAATCGCCGCTTTTTTCCGCCCAGAATCTCAATAGCCTTGCTCTTCGCAAAATCGAACACGGTCTGGAGCTCCAGTACCAAGTCGCTATCGTATGACGACAATAAATCCTGCGCTTCGAGGTAACTAAGTGCATTCTCGGCACTGTCACGTAGGAATTTCGCGGCGTCGGCTAGTTTCGCATCGTATGAAGAACGGGTTGACTCGTGCTTGGTATAGAAATCTTTCTTTGCTCTGAAGTAAGTGTGCAACATACAATTGATGTGTGCGTTGATGGTCATGTCTGGGTGGAAGACTGTTGCGTAGGCGGCGAAGGTGGTCTCACTGAATGGTAGGTTCTGAGAGGAAATTACCTGGGACTGTGTTGTGATAGCCTTTCTTTCTTCTTTGATATTTTGATGCTCGGATTGAGAAAGCGACCGAGAAGCTGCTAGACAAGCGTGTCAGTATGTAGATAAGTCAAAGCAGAAACTTGAGACGAACACCTCAAAAGAGCATCCTTGACCGAAATTTCGCGATCAATCAAATCCTCGATATCTCTTCGAAAACGCGAGTCTGGATCAATTCCCATGAATTCGCGAATAAAAAATTCTTGACCAGCCAAACCGTCGACATATCTGCCATCACGACACAGCTCCAAGAGACACTTGTCATAGATAGTAACGTAGCCGTCTTCGATTGCTTTGGGACGACTCATGATCAGACCAATGTGGTGCTTGATGAGGTCGCAGAAGGAAGAGTAGAGTCTGAAACTGTCGCGTATGTAGCGTAGACCGTGGCTTGGTTTTTCAATCGATTCGTACTCTGAGACCATGGCGTCGACATGGTCCAGGGAGGTCGAGTACTTTGACCGTTGGTCTGAATAGATAGTCATTCTTCTATCTTCCTATTTTTTCAGACTTCGGATTAAATTGTAGGAAGTCGTTGGCGTTAGATGAGAGGCACAATCATCTGATAGGAGCTTGCATCAGTCTCAAGTCTTAGAGAAATTCTTGGCTGTGATCTGAATTGACTTTGAGTCAGTGATGAAGAGACTCACTAAGAAGTGAAAGTGAACAGTCAGAGAGGGGCAAGAGACAAATTCCACAGAGGGGAACTGGCAAAAAGGAAGGAAAGAAATTAGAAGAGACAAGACCAGAGGATAAGAAAATTATTGGGTGCAGGTGATCAGATGAGGCAATCCAGGTCTTTTGTCCTTAGGTGCCATTTTATCACACAAACTGATTTAGAGATTGGGCAAATTTGACCTGCCTTGTATCATGAAACACTACATTTAGCAGATTAGTGGTATTTCTAAAATGGAAAGCATGAATTTATTGGTTATTGCTTGCAACAAGTCCATCATAAGAGAAAATAAAGCAATCAGCACAGGTACACAGAAAAGGGTATCGGATGGGCAATAAAGTGACAGCCATGAACTGCCCAGTTGCAATCGAATTGTCATGGCTGGKGATTTTCAATCTATGGAGAATTCTCATCTTAAAGAGGCCACGGAAGCCATTGCTAATTCCTCTCCTTCCATAATTTCTCGACTGCATCCACAAAAGTCGACACATCGCTTCCATGAGCGCAGTCCTTCCACTGCCCATCGTCGCGAATGCACCAGACCGTCTCATCGAGTCTGACGGTACAGCTCTTCGTAACCCCAACATCTTGCGTGTGACGTACGCTCTTGCGCAGCAAGGCAATACCACTTGGATTCTCAGGTGTAGGGTCACCGGGATTCTCAAAGTCGTCATCCTCGCGACTGGCACAAGTATTCAAAGCCTCAAAGTCGATGCCATGCTCCAGCGCACAGTTTTGTACTAAACTACGGGATGGGATCTCCGGGTAATCGTCAATGAGACAGTTTGCGAAGCCGAGGGAGCGGATGACGGGGGTTCGTGGGATGGCTGATATTTGACTGGTAGTAAATGGAAGATTAGCGGCGCAGAGCATGAGCATGTTGCCGATGCATTCGGTTGGGCCGTGTTTGCATACGACATCGGAAGTACTATCGGATACACTAGGGAAGTCAGTACTAGGCAGTATCAAAGGCAGCGAAAATTTTACCTTCCAATGAACGAAAGTTGAAAGTCAACCTTGTCACTGATCCTTTCCATCGCAGGCAAAATCAACTTCTGCAAGCAGTCCTTTGCGTCTGGACACTTGCTCATTATATGTACGTCGAGAGGAACTGTTTTTCCCACTGTCTCCTTATCTGCGATTTCGGCAGTTTCATTCGATGAGCCCGGTATAAAAGATGAGGCATACAGACGGTTCAACCATAGGATATAGACGAGCCAGCAGGCTCCAATTATAGCGAGACCTTTGCGCAGGTTGCGATTCATGGCGCGTTCCCGCCATGTTGAGTATGAGCCCTGCGTTTTGCCTTCTTGAGGTGCGAATGACTCTTCTCGCTCGAGGTCTTGGTAGACTTCGTATGCTGTTGGAGGCATGATGTTCTATTTGCGATTGATGATAAGTACTTTGGCGTAAAGGACTGATGTTCCGATCGGGATGAGGGCGATCGGATAATAGGCCGACGATACCGCGCCGCTAGCTTGATCGGGTAAGCTCTGTCTGAGAGTATAAATTTGGTTGACTTTATCTATCGTTCTCTTCCACTTCGCAGTACCGAGTATAAATTGTAATGAATTATCTGATGAATAATTTCGTACATGCAATCACCAGCATCGGTATCTCGTCGGAAACGGCGTCGTGTGGCGGATGAAGATCGGAAGAGAGCCGCCAGAGCGTGCGTATCAGTCGCATTCCCTCGGAGAAGACAATGGTCACTGACTACTTTGGCAATAGATGTGATCGATGTAAATCGCGAAAGAGTAAATGTATAGAAACGATCCGTGGTAGCTGTGCGAGATGTCTTCAGAAATCGCTTTCATGTCACTTCTCTCGGTTCGTCTCCTCGGGATTCTGTACATTTTCAAACATTAGACATGCATTGACATAGGGCAGAGAACGAACGCCAGTCAGCGAAGATCAGTCAATGATATCTAATGATACCACACGAATCACTCAAGAGTCGGTGACTGGCGAAGATGGAGACGAGGAAGATGAACAAGGAATGCCCGAAGAAAACGCGAGCATAAACGTCTCGCTTGATGAAGGGAATTACATATGGCCTCAATTCTTTTCTCGAATTCGGGAGACCTTGTACCTCGACTCTTCGTCGGTTATACAAGAGCAAAGTTTAAGCCACTTGCAGATGGTATGTCAAATCCTGGAAAATCAACTAGATATCGGTTTGACACGTTTACAGGGCAGCAACAATGATATCGCATCTTCACCAGAGGAAGCCCATCGGTTACGCAAGGCAATTAATGGCTTTCCTCCGCGGGCTGTAGCCGACTTTCTTATATCAGTGTGTATCAAGCATGGTACTGACAACTTCTTCTACTTCGACCAAGCCACTTTCATGTCAGAAATTGACCAGTTCTACACGGATAGTAGATCCCCTCTAAGGCAAGACACTCGTTTTGTGTGCCTAGCTCTGGCGGCCTTTGCGCTGGGAAGTCAGTGGACTACACTTGAGAAGCCGACTGAACTTCAGAGAAACGCCATCATTCAGCCCGATTATGGCGATCCTGGAAAAATATTTTATAGCCATGCCAAAACACTGGTTCCTGATATCATTGACAGGCCAAATCTGGTGACGGTCCAGGCTATCTACCTTCTAGGTGTATATCTCATGCCCGCTAGTGCCATTAGTTCCTCATATGTCTATCTCGGGCTTGCGCTACGCACTGCTCTCACGATCAATCTCCACATGGACAACTCAGACGACACTACACTTTCAAGCACGGAGAAAGAAGTCAGACGGCGTCTATGGTGGTCTATATACTCCTTAGAACGAACAACCACCCTCAAACTTAACCGTCCCCGATCAATCAGCGCCGAAATTATCAGTGCTCCTATTCCATCGCCATGTCCCACTTTTGATAAAGCCCAAGTCTTTGACAATCATCTCCACCAAATATTCTACGCCAAACTCGCTTTGATCATTGACCGCGTCGCCGAGTCTTCATCACTGTCTATGTGGCCTCCCGTCCAGAGTAGCGGCACGGATAACCCAAGACAATGGTTCGAGACAGTGGAAGCAGAACTCAAGTCATGGAAGAGAAGTCTGCCTTCGGACTTTGCGCTTGAGCTGATTGATCCTCGAGACTCGCGCTACCGGGCAGTATTTCATCTACATCTACAATATTACTACGCCTGGATTGCCGCTGGAAAAGTATGTGTCGTCGCTGTGGTGCGTGAACATCTTCGGCATCATATAGCAAAGGAAAAATCCCCTCTATACAGGGATCAGAGCGTCCCTTCATTAGCGAGGCATTGTATAAAAGCGGCCAAGAAGCTGCTTCGGCTATTCGAGAATATCACCAATACGAATAATCTTACTCGATTCTCCTTTACTGATTTTCAAGGATGCAGTATCTCTACTATCATTGTGTTGTTAGCGGGTATAATGAATAGGGACCCGGAATACGAAACACAGGTCAACTTCGGCCTGGAATCCTTGAGAAAAATGGCCGATGGAAACAAAAGTGCTAAGACTGGTGTGCAATTTGTCGAGATGTTGCGGTCTATTGCCGATGAAGCAGTTGCAAAACTGAGGCAGACTGTTTATCATTCTCAAGCACAGCCGGGAACATATGAGGACAATGAATCCAAATACGTTCAGTGGGCTGAATGGTTGGCTCGGGCGGATGGATCACAACGACCGACTGCACATTCCCCGGCTCGTACCATGATGGGTCCGTCGTCATCACAAGTGTTTAGCGCGGTGCAAAATCCTACATCTGCCACAGCACATGATGTAGGATATCAATGGCAGACGCCCCTATCCCATTCTTCGATATCCCCTTCTATTCTGGGGTCGGATACGCCAACGGTGCCAAGAGCAAGACTACGAAAACATTCAAATGCTTTGGTCTATATACCAGACAGTGCCGGCCACGAACATCTTCAGTCTTTGCACACTGAGAATGTGCCAGAGGCGACCAACCCTTCTTTGCAATGGCTGCATGGCGACGACCAGACGTTTCTTACATGTCTTACAGGATTTGATATGCTAGATTTTGCGGATCTGACGGGGCCGGTAGATTCAGCTGATGTATAGTCACGATATCCGGCCAAGTCCATAGTCTATTTAGATACGACAGAGCAAATCACAAAGCCGCCTTGACTCTAACTGGGATCTCCGCATCCTCTTCTATCTCCTCCCAACGACTCTTGTATATCCTCCCTTCCTTCATAACAGCCAAAATGAATTTCTCCGGATCATCCAGAATAGTCACATCCTCCAACGGATTAGCATCTAGCAAGAGAATATCAGCCTTGAACCCCTTCTGGATCTGTCCCAACGTCTCTGCACAACCCATCATCTCAGCCGGATTGATCGTGGCGCTCTGCAGAACCTGCAACGGCGACAGAACCGAAGCTCTCAGCTTGAATTCCTTGGACTGTGCAGCGCCCAACGGGCCCAGGAGGTCGGTACCATAGCACATCTTGACMCCCGCCTCAGCCGCGATCTTAAGTGCCGTCAATCCGGCCTGTAGGACCTCTGTGTTCTTGGTCTGCGATTCAACGGGTAAGTAGCCCTCCCAATTTGGGCTTGCCATTTCGGCATATGTAATCAGCGTAGGTGTAAGATAAACACCCTTCTCAACCATGAGTTTCGCGGTATCCGGATCAATGAAATTGCCATGCTCGATACCCCTGGCACCATTGTTGATAGCATGCCGAATCGCTTTGGGTGTATATGCATGAGCCGTGACAAATGTGCCCGCTTGGTCAGCGCATTCCACCATGGCACGAATCTCGCGCGGCGTAAATTGCAGATGCTCCAATTTATCGGTCGGCGACGAAACGCCACCCGAAGCCATGATTTTGATGAAATCGCTTCCGGTCCTGATTCCTTCGCGCACTGCAGTCATGCATTCTGCTTCTCCGTTGCAGACTCGGCCGAGGCCCGTGGTGCCCAATCCACAGCATTGGGTGTGATCGTGTGGCCCGCGATAATCGGCATGACCGCCCGCCTGACTCAACGCATAACCCGCAATAAAGAGTCGCGGGCCCGGCCACACGCCATCTTCAATAGCCTCTTTGAGCGCTAAATGTGCACCGCCGCAGTCGCGCACGGAGGTGAATCCCCGATGCAACATTTGGGCACATACGTACGGCTGACGAAGCAGATGCACATCATTCGGGTTACCGAATGCCTTGGATAGGTCTGTGAAGCCGGGGACGGCCATGAGATGGACGTGGGCATCAAAAAGGCCGGGGCAGAGGTATTTGCCCTTGCAGTCGACGACTTTTTGTGTTGTTGAGGATTTTTGGTGTGCTTTTGAGGGAGAGTTAGGGGTGACGGATTCAATAATGCCATTCTTTATAGTGATGGAGCAGTTTTTGAGAATTGTGCCATTGAGTACGTCGACGACGTTTCCGTTGGTGAGAAGGTAGGATGAAGGAGCGGCACGAAGCCAGGGCTTGATGGCGTCAGGTGCTACCATCTTGAATATCGCTTCACAGTCTGTGTTGCGAGTAAAACGAACGAATGCGAAGAACAGAAACAGACTTTGTTAAAACTAATCGCATTACATATTTTCTTTCGAAGATTCGTTGTCTCAATTCAACCGGCCGATGTAATAAGATCGCCGGTGACAAACTGCCGACATGTGAGGTCGGTAGTCTGTCACACGGCATCGGATATCTGACCGCAATCATCGGCAATCTGCCTCTTATCAGGATGCCTCGAAACGATATCGCAGCTTTCCCCAGAAAAAAATTGGGCAGACGCTCGGATTTATTCCGGAACTCCACGTGGAACGAGAATTAGAAACATGCCTTGACCAAGATAAAATAGAGGATGCCCCCTCTGTCATTCTCATGTAGATTGGCTTCTTTCGACTATCAGTCTCCTACCAGACACCCGGAGAATTTGCATCATGGCTACCGCACTTGAGGAGAAGGCTTATTCGCCCGAAGTGGGCGAGTCTCAGGCACAGAATGGCTTCACGGCTGAAGAGGAGAAGCAAGTCTTGAGGAAGATTGATCGGGTCATTTTACCAATGGTGTGTACCATGTACCTCTTCGTTTCCTTTGGGCTCCTTTCTAACGACAAGGTAGATGTGCTTTGTCTTTTTCCTACAATATCTAGACAAGCAATCGCTATCCTATGCTGGCGTATTCGGTCTCATCACCGATTTGAAAATGACCAGTAGTCAGTATTCATGGTGCAGCTCCATCTTTTACGTCGGCCAATTGGTCTCCGAGTATCCCTTTATCTATCTCATGTCGCGGCTGCATATCAACAAATTTGTAGGTACAACAGTGTACGTAATCCCATGCAATCATTCAACAACTAGTGATATTTTTGATAGATTCAATACTGACGAGAATAGATTTATTTGGGGCATCATCTGCATGTGTCTCGCCGCACCCCAAAACTTCGCCGGCTTCGCCGCAGTCCGCTTCCTACTCGGATTCGCTGAAGGCGCTGTCTCCCCTTCTTTCATCACCATGACTGCAATCTGGTACCGCAAATCAGAGCATAGTTCCCGCACTGCGCTATGGGTTACCATGAACGGCGTTGCGCAAGTCATTGGTTGTCTTTTGATGTACGGTGTCGCGAGAAACTCTTCCCTGTCGCTCCAGCCCTGGAGGACGTTGTTCCTGATTTGTGGCGCGATTACATCCATGGCTGGAATTGCGTTTTATTTCTTGATCCCTAATGGTCCCAAGGATGCCTGGTTTTTCACTCCCCGTGAAAAGGAGGTCATGGCACTCCGCATGGCGGCTGATAGGGAAGGAGGCGACAAGACGAATTTCTCTATGGCCCAACTCAAGGAGACATTGCTCGACCCAAAGGCATGGTTCGTCTTTTGGTTCGGCGTGCTGGTCACCATGCAAAGCCCCGTGTTGACTTTTGCGAGTCTCGTCATTAAGAGTCTGGGTGCGGACAAGTTTCAGACCATCCTGTATACGGCGCCGTCGGGGGCAGTTCAGATTTTATTGCTGTGGATTGGTGTCTTGCTTTGCTATTTGGTGCCCAGAAACCGGACCGCGGTTGCTTTTTGTCTTTGCATTCCGCCTCTGGTCGGTAATGTGTTGTTGATGAAGTTGACGGTTTCTGCGGGATGGGGGTTGATCGTAGCATCATGGCTGGTAAGTTTATTCCTGACCTATTCTCTCTGCATACCTAGGTAATACCTTACTGACATGTCTCAGTCATCCTGCATCACAGCACCATGGTCCATCCTGCTCTCCCTGGCAGCGTCCAACTCCAAGGGAAACACAAAGCGCGCCATCGTCAACGCCATGTTCTTCATCGGCTACTGTGCTGGCTGCATCGCTGCGCCTCAACTATGGACTCATGGACCCCGGTACTTTTCCGGCGTTGTCACTTCCATCGTCACATGGTGTCTCTTGGCAACCGTCGTACTGGGTTATTGGTACGTGTGCTGGAGGGACAATAAGAGCAGAGATGCAGAGGAGCTAGAGCAGACTGATTCAGACGGCGGAATGGCTTTGGATGAGAATGGGTTGCCGGTGGGCGATATGACGGATAAGGAGGACCGGCATTTTAGATACAGCTATTAGCTGGCTTGTTTCAGGGGATGCAGTAGATGAATTCATGCTGTATTACGATATATGGAGCACAATGGTACATATTTAGCAAGAGCTAATTGCACACGCAACCAACTCGATGATGATTCCTTCCAAAGATGGTAATAAGTAGGCCTACAATCCTAAAAGTCTTCTTGCGGCTGAATACCATGCTTACGAATCCAATGATGTGGTTAGCGATGTTGGGATTGAGTCTAGACTCAGAACACGTAGCATGTCGTGTACGGCGGTTCTTCCGGGTCCCTGACTCGTGTCTCTTGCGTGGCGGACGCCACTGTCAGTGCCCTACCGGTTCTCCCTCATACAATCGACTTGTAAACCCATACATAAGTTGAGTTGTTGGTGAGAAAGGTAAATGAAGGCGCCGTTGCCGGGATGCCCCAGGCACTAAGGCAACAGCCGGACCGGTATCGGTGCAGGGTTCATAGATCTTAGTTTCTTGGTTTCTTAGCACTACGTCCTCATCAGAGTCAACACCAAACATACCAATTTCGAGCCAACAATGAAACTAGGAACGAATCGGAACCGTCGGTATTCCTTCCCTTTCCGCTCATCGACTCCGGACCAAGCGCCGCACTAGTCGGGACGTTGGTGCAGACACGCGAGCAGGCTGAGCCTAGGGTGCATCGCCAGAGTCATCTCCTTACACCATGGAAGTCTATCTCAGTACATGCTCGCGGTCTATGAGCAAAAATCCAGTCCATATGGGATACACTTGCAGATCCCCGATCTCAGCATAGAGCCGTCGTTTCACATCCAAGACCTGAACATCAAGAACCCGTCCATCTACGAAATCCCTGTTCTCCATATCTGTCACGCGCCCTCCACACGTGTCTGATTCGATGTTACTGTCTCGGAGCGATTTGGGGTCGATGTTTGTTAAGTATGCTCATTTCTTGCTGGACAGTTGTTCGGCCAGGCCAGGCCAGACAAAAGAATGCAGGGACGGTCCAGTCCAAGCAGCCATTTCGAAATGACATCAACGATCAGATCGTCGTCCATAGATCAACAACTAAAAACTAACAACTATTAGGTACAAGACTAAGAGATGGAGTGAGTACCCGTTCTGCTCCGACAGCGGAAGTGAAACAACATACGTACTTCTCTCCATCTGTGACTACGTGTGTAGTGCTGAGATGACTCACACGATAACAAACTTAATTTATCTAACACATATGTAGGTACGGAGCACTCAAGAAGTGAATCAGAATTGGCCGTTTGAAAGCTTTGCTTAAAAAAGTTAACATTGATGGGGTTGGTTGCTCCGCTATGCGGAGTTGTGCTAGTGCTCCGGTGCACTACTATGAGATACCGAACTATAGAGCTGGTCTTCCTGTACAGAATCCTGAGGAAGAAGATGAAGTTGATCAAATGTAGAGTAAATGAGTAAAATAGTGAAATCATAACAGGGGAAACTTGCAAAGAGCAAGGTCACCAGGGTGCAAAGCTAAGAGCAGTTCCATGCAGCTGGAATAGGTATGACCGTGGGGGATCATCTATCTCTATCTGGCCAGGACGTATCAACTCTCCGCAGTCAACTCCCAGTCCCAACAAATCAGGCTGCCTACAACTCGTCCCTGTCATTGGTGGCTGCCGTTTCGTAATTGGCGAATATCATTGGAGACCTCAACTCTGGAGCTGGACCCAGAAACATCGTCGTCCTCGTTCTCACACAACGTCACATCGGGTCCAAGCCTTGTGCCCGTGTGGTCGCATTGCTATATCTCACGCGCTCACCCACCAACGATTCACGTCCGTCCGTCTTACTTCGGCATCTCCTTCGGCACGTCGGCATACGTTCCCAGATATCCTGATACATACACGGACAGCGGGCATCGAATAATAGAATAGACACCATCGTGACCATCCCGCCAGGAACAGTCATCCCCCGCGCCGCCGCCCTCCACCACCAGAAACAAACATCACTAGCTCTGCTACTAGAACCGTCAGCATTGCAAACCTTCTAGTCTGATTCGAAGAGTATATATCCCTGCTAGTACCCGTTATCTACGCTTTCCGTCACGCCATAATAAGAATACATAATTGTGGTGGAAGGAGTTGATCGAAGCTCCCTTGCACGGACGCATCCCGTTGGGCATTCAGTGCGCCATTCTCCATTACACTTGTCTGCATAACACGCGAGCTGACTGGGCAGTTTTTGATTGATAAAGTCAACTGAGAGGCATGCCGATTTGACCGTTCGCACGTCTCGAGAGATATACATATACACATACGTACTCTAATATACAACCATATACATACGCACCATGACGCAGGCGACCGCCACGTTCGTTCAGGATGTAGGCCAACAATCTACAATAGACGACGTTGACGACGAGGACGTCGCCTCCGAGCCCGAACATACACACATTGAAGAGCCGAGACTAAACGTGGATCCTGTGGAAGATTTCATCAAGCCATTGGTCCTCGAGGAGTCGCGACTCTACAATCTAGCTCGCCGCTTTTCGGAAGTCTACCGGCATCTTGCGCTCACCTCTGATCAACAATTTCTCCCGACACCTGTGACGCAATTACCGACGGGAGAGGAAGTTGGTCGTTATCTGGCAATTGATGTTGGAGGTAGTAATCTACGGGTAGCCTTTATTGAATTGCTGGGTGAAGATGCAGACTCTGATAGAAGCCCCGGGAACGCTTCGGAAAGATCGCGTGATACAATCCGCAAGGCTCAGCGGCAGCGCGTGAGACGAACTTTGGAAAAGGCATGGCCCATTCAGGACCATTTGAAGAAGGATAAAGCGGAAGATTTGTTTTCGTGGATAGGTGATTGCGTCGCCGAAGTCATAGCGGACAGCCTTTCTTCGGATGCGACCAAGGGAGATATTCCGGAGGAATTGGAAATGGGCATCACTTTCAGTTTTCCCATCATGTATGTTGCGTTCTTTATACAGAGTTCGATTTCTGACAACAATAAACAGGCAAGAATCAGTGGACGAAGCTACACTCATGCCAATGGGCAAAGGCTTTGCAATTACATCCGATCTAAACCTGCGAAACATGCTTCTTTCTGGTTACGAAAAGCATACACGGCGAAACGAAGACGACGAGCCGTCATCCAAGCGACGGAAGCTTTATGCTCTTCCCAAATTGAAGATTGCCGCCATCACCAACGACACCGTTGCGACTCTAGTCTCGTCAGCATATTGTGTCAAGTCGTTACCTAACAGTCGTGTTACTATGGCTATCATCGTTGGAACAGGGTGCAATGCCACGATACCAATGTCACTTAGTGATTTGCATGAATCCAAGGCCAAGCTGGTCAGCTCAAGAGATTCCAAGGCTACACAAACAGTGGTTAACACAGAAATCACAATCTCTGGTGCCGCAGCTCCATTAAAGGAGCTCAATATCGAGACGAAATGGGACATTGAACTCGACAGAGCATGTTCTCGACCTGGTTTCCAACCTCTTGAATACATGACCGGTGGACGATACATTGGCGAACTTGTGCGGATTGTTTTCTTCGATTATCTTACTAATGTGCTCAAAGCTACGAAGAAAGAGTTGCCGGCCAATCTGGTCCAGGAATATGCACTGTCAACGACCTATCTTTCGCACAAGGTTGCGCGCAGTCGATCTGACGAAGAATTAGCAACAGAACTGGCACGGTCCTTGCCTCCGCCCGAGTCGAGTGAATGGACCTGGAGTAAGGACACAGCAGGCGCATTCCGAAAAATTGCCAGAGCTGTTCAGACCCGATCAGCCGGGCTGATCGCTTCAGCGGTCGTGGGACTTCTCGCATGTACTCGGGAGATTCAACTTCGGGACGACAGTGCGCGAAACTCGCCTCAGCCCCCACTGCCTGAAGACAAAAATCTATCCCAAAACACAGCAACATCCACGAAACAAGAACAAACCTCTGCCGCAATTACATCAGCAGTCACAGCAGCCGCCAAATCACTCTCTTCAAGCGGAACCAGCCACCAAAGAGGCCTCATCGTCCCCGTCCTCGCCCCAGCACCCGCAGATTGGCAGTCTGGACCCGAGGAGTTGGTGGTCGCTTACACTGGAGGTATCATCCAGAACTATCCAAACTTTAAGGAAACGTGCCAGCGATACATCGATCGCATGATCATGCGGACGGGTCCGCAGAAGAGTGGCAAATCTGTGTTTTTACGTGAAGCGTCCGATGGAGGTGTGATTGGGGCTGGTGTACTTGCTGGTATGGTTGCTGGTCTTAGCTAAGAGGATAGACGATTGCGATTGAGGTCAGAAATGAGATAAAGAAGGATACTATATAGGAGGAGTTTGAGGGCTCGGTGTTAGTATGAGGTTGGCGTTTCTTTAGCTTTAGGTATATATAGTGGGATAAACCATAGTATACAATTCATTACTCCATAATTCTGAATATCCTTTACCTTCGAAAACAAAGACACTTACAACGATCTCTATGAGTATTAGTGCCTGAGGCATCAGTTTGTGCTTACATTGCCACGCACGTGACCTCATCTGATCTCGCAATTCGCAAGCGGAGCCTCACTTCCTCCAGACTATATAAGCCTCATTTTCTCAATCTAATTTCAACCTCACAACCATCAAACGCAAAAATGAGCGCTCAAGCATACTATGAGCTCTACCGTGGTAGCAGGTATAGCCATTATCTCTCGCATCTGCCACATACATTCCTAGCTCAAAAGAAGTGGAAGTCGTAGAATTTGGGCTAACGTTGGACTGTTTGCTTATTGTGATAATACAGCCTTGGACTCTCATTGACAGACACCCTCGATGACCTCATCAACGAAGGACGTATTGAGCCCCAGTTGGCTATGAAGATTCTCTCGAATTACGATCGTTATGTTACCGAGATACTAGCTGTGCATGTGCGGGCGAGGTTGACGTTCAAGGTATACCTCTCCCCTCTTTCTGTTTTGTGTTAGGGAAGACCGTTGACGGATGTTGTTGTGACAGGGCCATCTCGATACATACCGTTTCTGCGACGAAGTATGGACATTCCTGATCAAGGACGTTACCTTCAAACTCGATAATCAGCAGACTGTTTCGGCGGATAAGGTCAAGATTGTGAGCTGCAACAGCAAGCGTCCTGGCGAAGTTTGAGCGTTACGAACGAAACGAGATGAGTCGTCGATATGATATTTCACGTTTTGCATATTCCCATCAAAGACGGTCGATCTGGGTTTACGATCAGAAGAATGAACAAATCAAGCTGATCGATCACTACATTATGCTGGATGGGATGGCGTTTTTGGGAATTTTTGGTTATGGCTTGGGATTAAACCGCATTATTTGTTATTAGAGAAAGCAGATACCCATCAAATACACATTTCAATTTTACATGAGCATGTAAATTTAGGATCGTAGAGACATGCTGCCAGTAAAGCAGGCAGGCAGGTTACCGCGGACGTTCTTATAATCTCCGTCGCGAGACGTCATCGGCATCTCAACTACCTCACTCATCTACATCTACACCTCACCTCAACCACACCACAGCATAGCACTGAGATGCCACGCCTCCTACCATGGCTAACAAAAGACAATATCCGCGGAACTCGTGATCGCAAAACTCCGACCACAACTCCCAGCGCACAACTGTCTTCGCGACGACGACCTCGTACACCTTCACCAGGCGCATCGAGCCATGGCGGCGGTGATCGCACAAAGAAGCGGGGGACATCGACCTATGATACGCCTTCGAAGGGTGTCGATTTCTTGAGATCTTGTCAGTGTCCTCCCTTTCCTATGATATTGTAGTCGGTATTGACGATGTCAAGCCCGGAGTCCGCCCACGTCGCCGATAGCATCTCCGCCCACTGAAGAGTGCGTGCCTACCCAAACCCACCAGCATTTCCTCACAACTTACTTCGTTTGGTAGATACATAATCCCCGGTTTCGAGCATGACGACATGTACATAATGGTCGAAGACGAATTCTACGCCATCGCGCAACAATTTMCCCGCCACTTACACCACGCCGAATACATTCGTCGTAAAAAGCAGGCCAAAAAGATGAACGCATCCGTCTTGAGGGATATGGAACGGTCCACTGACGGCGCTACGAAGATGAGCAGAGCCACGCTGAAACGGAAGGAGAGTGAGAGACTACACGAGCGGCAGAGGAAAGGATTGGAACCGGCTGTGAGAAGGCCGGATGATAGTGATGAGAGCCATGGGGAAGACATGGAGGTTGAGGATGAGGAGGAAGAAAGGGAAGATGATCCGTGGTATGGCACTTCATTACATACGTTTATGACGAGTCCGCGCAAGAATAGGTCTCTGGTCGGGTTGGAGAGGATTAGGTCCAAGACTAGAGCTGCGGCGGGGTTTGGGTCGGAAGTTGCGCTTGCAGCGAGGCCCGGCTCGTCGTCTTTACGTGCAGATGCGCAGGTAGCAGGTGATGAGCTGGCGATCTCGTCGGGAGAGGACGATGATTTGGAGATTGTAGAGACGAGGTCTTTACCACAGTCAGAAGTACGGGTGCGGACGAGTACAGTCAAGAGTGAGTCACCGGAAGTTAATGTGAGGTCTGTTATTCGAGGGAATATTGTCAAACGTCGAGAAGTTGCATTCGACGACCAGCGGGCGACCACTACCAAGCCTCGCAATCAGCAGCCCACTCAAAAGAAGGAAGATGTCGGCCTCAAAACAAACCCACTGTTTCAGTCCAGAAAAGAGGCTTCTACCACAGCTACAAAGCCATCTAATTTCAATAGAAAAAGACCGGAGCCTGAAAACCGAAGAGAAACGCCTGTCACATCTGTTTCCAACGTGCTCCGGAAAAGAAGATTTTTAGATGAATTGGACGATGTTATTCCACCGATGATTGAGGAAGACGACACTTCAGAAAATAAATATATAATACAGGACCAGCCTCGAAAAGTATTACCAACATCCTCAACAGCAAAAGAATCTCGTTCCACGTATCGTACAACATCCGAGCAAAAGCAACAGGAAAAGATGACAAAAAGATCGCGTATCACTGATATTCCGACTTTTCTGGTGTGATTATTGAACTTTGGAAATTTTTGGATAATCCGGCCAACGGCATATTCGGCTCGACGTGGACAATCACATTGTCAATCTCGCACTCAGCCTGAAGACCTGTTTCCTAAGCTGATCCCTCTTAGACGCTTGTCGCATCAACGCGGCATTCTGAGCGACTTCTTTCTCGGCCATTACTCCATGGCTGTCATTTCGATGTAGCGTATTCTGACTTGGAACGGTCAGATTTGATTAGGGGTCGGAAGTGAAGAGCAACCTACTCATCGTCTATGAACGGCATTGTGATTTCTTCTTTTCGGAAATTGGTTGGAGGTCCCTATCCCCAGCCGGATTAGTGATGGTCTTCATTCAAGTCATGATCGGGACACGAACAATCTCCATAATCCTCCCTGTGTTGTAATCCTCCTCTTTTCGACTGAATATGTTCTTGAGCCATTGCGTTATAAGCGAGAAACAGCCGCAAGTCGACATGGTTATATATCGATATGAATCGTTTCGTACTCGAAGAGGCGGATTCGAGATGCAATGCAATGCAAAAGAAAAAAGGCGAGGGTATCTTATGACATGCACACGAAGAACGACGCACAGAGTGGCAAATAATATAAGCAACAAAGAATGCAGGAGAAAGAACAATTCAACAATAACTCCTCTTCAGAGCTCTTCTGTTCGTTATGTCATGGAAAGAGCATGGTATATGAAAAGACAGTGGATGAAGAAGAAGCTCGACAGTTGTATATAAACGTCTTACCATCCAACGTTCCACAACCCATCATCATGACTTCTAGCGTCACTCACATAGCTCAATTAACGAGGGAAACAATCAGGTCTCACAGTCTCACATTTCCCATCCCGCGCTATGTAATCCGGACCTAGGCCTTCTTCCTACATTGGCAGGATCGAAATCGAACTCGTCTACCTACTTGCAGTACTACCTGTGCATCTCCTGGCGTCTAGACTAGATGGAATTCCTCAGCCAAAGTCCCGAGCCACCTCCATGAAGATCCGAAACTCGGGACGAATGAGAACGTTCTGGAATTGTTTCGCGTGTGTTTCTGAAGCGTGATGACTGGATGTCGAGGGTTCGGCATTTTTTGTTCGTATTTCTTGCATGAGTTGCTATTTTGTAGGTGCCCTGGATGTTGTCGACATGCAGAGGTAGAAGTTTTGACTGCAAGGGTCTGGTCAATCTAGGCTCGTTCGTTGCACTTGCATGTAGCTACCCTCGGGAAAATGCGTATACACTACGTAGTAAGATTGAAACATGTGGAAGTCTTTAAATTGACTCCTTTTTGACGTGTTCGATGTGGGAGGACAAGGACTTGGCTATGTGCATCTTGTGCACTATTCCGAGCTCTCTGTCTAGTCTCTACCGACATCATTAAACGCTTGATTCTCACTTTAGCTTGGATTGTAGTCACGTTGTATTTTGTGTTCTCACCAGGTGGATATCAAATACCTCCATCCCGTGTGCCACATTCCAGGGCGCGAATCCCCCCTTTTGATCTCCGATCTCGTGCTGCCGTCGAGCCCCTTTTGGACTGCCCCTGGCCGCGTGTAACGCGCCAGGATTGTTCTCACTGTTTCTTTTATCGGATGATTGGGGAAGAGTGTAAGGTGGCTTTTCTACATAATATCCTCATGACCATTCTAGCCCTAACTCCACGCAAATCGGGAATTCGTATCACACTCACGACTCCCTAGTTTTAACAACCACTCTCGGAAGATTACATAATTTTTTTAGTTTAAAATGACGCTAAATTTCTTAAAAATTTGAGTACGTACGTCCCAAATGTTTCGATCTTCATTCAGACTTTGTGTTTCACCGCTTGCAGTGTCGCACATTGAGAATCTGAGAATTCTTCGGATCGGATTTTATGTGACTCCTGACGCAAATCGCGGACTTGGGGGATAAAATGTCGATTATTTTAGTGCACAGATATTTCCTGAGATGTAGTTTAAAGGCTGTCTCGAAGGACTTTATATTTGAGCTCCGACCTGACAGGTAATCATGGCGATCTTCAAGTGTCCCCGTTTCCCTTGAAAACACAGAGGGTCAACGGTCAGTTTTACCTAGGTATATTTTGAGGTTGTCGGGGAAATCAGCAGGTTTTTCCGCGGTATAGCAATCTGGTTGGAACTACGTATCTGAAGCAAAATACAGCAGTGCCATTACCGCCCTTAACATCAAACCTATTCCGTGCGATAGACCAGACAAGACGTCTGGAAATATATTCAGTATGCCTTTACGTACTAGCATATAAGCGTAATTGTGCATCTCGTATTTTAAGGTTTGCAAAGCCTCCAGATGTCCACTTCCATCGAATAAGAAAAGGCCATCGCGATGAAAGACGGGTGATGACAAAAAAACGGAAATGCAATGTACCATTTAGTTCAGCCCTTTTGATGACAGGGACCAAACATAGGCGGGATCGACTGTTGGTTTTTCCTGAATGAGTCTGGATGTCTGCATCCTTTAAGTCGGCAGGCATTGTATGTACCCCAACCTATAATCGAGGGCCTGTGTGCTTCTGAGAATCAATGAGGCTTGAGCGGCCGTCTAGTTGAAAATGACATGGAATTGAATCTTGACGAGGCTGAATTCGCATAGAAAAGAGATGTAGGTTGGATGTGAAGCTGCCTCAGCGGCATGAACTCGTGCTCAAAAGCCATCCTTTGGCCGTCCTGGGACATGCTTTATCTATCCTGCTAAAAGCGAGAAACACTTCTTGGCTATACATGCACACCTTATCTGTGTCGTAGCAATGACCTCTACCTACGGCCCGATCACGACTTCAGGGACCGTGGTCTCGTATCTCCCCCTGACCACCGCATGGTCTGCTCCAAGTGAGTGCTCATCACTGTTCCTCGACACGTCAGGCTCCCTGTTCATCAACGCGCCCGAATACCACAATGGTGTCGCCGGATCTCCTGAATGTGTGCCCCCCGAGGTATCTATATGGTGGTACCAGAGCTTGAACTCAGCATCGCCGACAGGAGTTGTGCTCGGAGGATACGATTTCGCATGTCCGGAAGCGTACACAACTGTATTCTCTTTCTATGCGAGCTCGACTTCGACTATAGGCTGCTGTCCATCGTATGTTGCAAATAGATCTGTGGTAGTTGCAATGTCTACATGCTAATAGCAACCATAGTGAATATACTTACGGCGGCACATGGTGGCAGCATGGTAATCCATACCAATGCTCCTCCACCATTCCTGCTGGTACGATCACCTACGTCCAGGCCTACACCGATACTATATATACAACTACAAGTCTTTACGTGTCGACGCCTACCATCATAACTGGAGTACAGATCAATGGGTTCCGGGTCGAGACAACTCCTCATACAGCGCAACAAACAAGCTCTTCGACAGGTTTATATTTCTTGGGTCAGCCAACCTCGACAACATCAAGCAGCGTATATGGTACCGCGACGTCTGCAGCGGTGACAAATACATCGGGCCTTAACAGCCAAGCAAAAATTGGTATTGGTGTTGGCGTGTCCTTGGGCGCTATAGTTCTGGTAGGCATGCTAGCGATTTGGCTTCTCATGCGAAGAAGACGGAATCGACAGAGTGCAGTCCCGCATGAGGCTATCATCGAGACTTCCTACGCAAAGCCGGAGCTGGACTCTGCTCCTGCGCCGACGACGCACGACACTACAATCCCATATACAAAGCCAGAGCTAGGCTCTTCGCCTTCGCCCGTCAAGGAAATGGACTCTACAACTAAGATTTATGAACTTGGATCTCCCCCGATTTCTCAACCCGTCGCCGAACTTTCTGGTGATGCACATCCACCTGCTCTGCTCACAGAAGCAGAGATCTCCGAGATGGAGAAACGTGCGCTCGAAGAAGAAACATCCGGTGCGTATGAGGCCGCTGAGGTGACATATCGGCAAGTAGTCCAATGGCGCGAGAGCCATCAAGGCCCCGAGCATCCAGCCACGCTTACAAGCATGTACCGTCTCGTCCTAGTCTTGAGCAACATGCGCAATAAAACCGGCCGAGCCGACGAACTATATCGCGAGCTCATGACACGACGACAGACGCTACCAAACCCACGTCCAAGCTCACCCCTTCTCGGCGAAGCATTGATGCTACGCGGGAAGAGCCACGAAGCTACCGCCGAGAAATTGATCAGACAAGAACTAGATCTCAACATGCGGGTGCTGGGACCCGAGCACTTACTGACGCTATTTAGCCAGGGCAACCTGGCGAACGTGCTTCGACGACAACTCAAACTCGAGGAAGCCGAAAACGCATATCGGGTTACGCTGGAGATGAGTGATAAGGCGTTGGGTCCGCTGCATGCGTATTCGTTGCAACAGATTAATAATCTGGCTGTGACGTTGTCGATGAGAGACAAAAATGATGAGGCAAGGGAGGTTTATCGGCAGACGCTGGAGAGGAATATTAATAAGGCTGGGTATAATCATCCTGATACTTATCCTAGTTTGCATAATTTGAAGGGGAAGTTGAAAGAGGACGAGGATCTTGAGATTGCGATTACGACTCCGAGGGATGGATCACTTCCACAGGGGCAGAAACATCGGGCAACGGTTAAGATAGTGCGTAGGCACGGATAGAAACAAGTATTGCACAATTGCAGAGAAGTTCGGATCACATAGGCATGACGGTCCTGCTGGTTACAGGCCGTTTCAAAATAATTATAATCAGTATTTCGACGGCTCGGACTTGTGCGACGAATTTGAAACAAATTTCATGTACTCACAAACACTATCGACAGTGAACATGCTCACTCATTGTGGTACATTCATCAGACAGAATCATGCAAAAACCTCCGCAATGTTCAAAGGTATGTTCCAGTAGTAGCTTGCAAAAGCCATCGCGCCCACACTCATCAAGGCAGCCATCAGGACATTCACGGCATTATTGTCGAGAATATCATAACCACTCTCAACCTTTCGACTTCCATGCGCCCCGTCTTCTGCACCGACCGTTTCCGTAGACGTACCGCCCCCGCGTGTTACCCTGCTACTGACGGCGTTGGCAACTGATTCCGTCGCGTGGATATCGCTATTGTATTTCCTTGCGTCACTTCCTGTTGCTACAGAGGATGTAGTTGATCCAGGCTGAATCAGGACCTTGCGACCACCGCTTCCTTCGACGACTTTTCCGCTCCGCTTATCGACAACACTGGCTTGGAGTAGTCCGCCAAGGAGACTGTCGAGAAGACTACCCAGTGTGCCGCATACAGTGACCGCGACGACAAACAGGCCCCGTTCAAAGAGGGACCATGATTCGGCACAGAAAGGAACGAATAGTACCGATGTTACGGCAATGAGAAACGCGCCGAGGACACCGGCTAAAAGTCCGGCTAGGGTGACACCGCCATTGGTACCGGGAGGCACTACTCGTAGGGTTGGGGAGGTGATGAGACGAGGTGGTGTTTTGGACAGAATGCCGAGTTCGGAGGAGAATGTATCTGCTGCGACGGCCGCGTAGTTTCTGTGGACATCAAATTAGCCTGTGTTACGAATTCTTTGTGTCTTGATGATAGAGAACGTACGCAATGATTCCCACGATCAGAATGTCGCCAATGTCCGCACCCTGAGCAAAACAGGTTGTCGAGTATCGTCTCTGGTTCCAGATCAAGTAGGTATGTAATGCGATGAGGACCGTGGCCACGATCGAGTTTGCGAAAACTTGTATATGCGTACGAGCGCCTTCGCCGCCCGCAGCTCCAGAGGCTGATAACGTCAACTGCGCTTTGATGTCATGTTTGACCTAGTGCACTTGAAGTAAGCAAAAATGCTATGAGATGACTAGTGAGTGATTTACCTTTGTCGCTCGACTACCAGCAAGATAGAACACTGCCAGAAGCAAGAAAGGCGCTATCCATGGATGGAGAACGTGGACAACAGCAGTGAGGAAGGCTGCCAGAATCCCCGCAGGAGTCAGTGTCTTGCGGGACCAGGCCCGGTAGACCAGAGCGCTGACGGCCGGAACGGCAATAGCTGGATTCACCATGTCGAGTCTTGTCAGTCTTGTCAGTATTATAATGATTTGAAAGAGGTGTTAGAATGTAAATGCCATAACGTGACAGTTACAGTGTTGTGCAGAGAAAAGACATTGTTGTTGTACTCCAATCAGGTCAGCTGGCGAGTGGCTTGCTGGGKGTTTACTGTGGGGCCTCCCGCTAAACGTTTTGCGGACTCAGATATAACATTGCCTAATTAGGCAATAAGCTACATATTCCATACAAGTTCCTCCTAAGGGCTGGATTTGGCATCAAATTGTGACTGTCATAAAGAGTTTTTCTTTGTATGGACAATGAGATTGCGACTTGCACATTGTGTGCTTCATGCAGCCCTTGTCCGTTTCCCCTTTCCTCTTACAGTTCATGGAGCTGCAAGTCATACTCAAAGAATTGCAGACAATCAATAACCTGTTACTCACCGGCCTGTCCAGACACAAGATAATGATATGGCTAAGATTGCCCAATGTGCCCGTCATGAGCAGACTAATTCATGTCGACAAACAATGTCCCAGGGCATATATCAGTCGAGTCTGGCTACGAGCTTGATATCGACAGATCATACAAACAAAACATCAAAACATCAAGTCTAAAGACAGATCATCAAAACTACTCACCGAAGTCAAACTTTTGATCAAGTCAGCAAATCATTTTATCAGCTCAATATTCACCTCCGATAACAAAAATGCCTTCTCATCAGGAATACCGGTTCGAAGACTCTCCTGGTCTTGGTAAGTTGATCAATCAATGGACCCATCGTCTGCTTTCGCTGATACAATAACCAAATAGAGCATAGCTGCGGTGTCTGCGGAACACCACTGCACCACCCACGAGCGAGAAAGTCGTGCTTTGGACGGCATACGATACCGTGCTTCAATTTCCACCACACGATGTTTCGTGTTGGTAGAACAAGCTCCTGCGAGTCGTAAGTTATTCTAAACTCTTCGTTCCGACATATAATGACATCTGAAATAGCTGTAAGCGATCAAGAGAGCAGCATCTAAAACGTCACAAAGATATTGCTGATCTGGTCCGCCAGATTAATAATAAGACTAGAAACGAAAMCCCGCCTCTGCCTCCTGCAGAAGTTGGTGTGGCTGTCCATGGGTATCGCGAGCTTACCTTGGATAGTAGGCGTGAAACCCTAGACAAAGCCCTCTTGAAAGACGTCCAGAACCGGGAGAAGCTGAGCGGGAACCCCGACAAGTTGCCCACAGCCGAGTTCAAGAATGAAGAGATTAAAAGGATTGCCGCTCAGCTTGGCGTCAATACCAGCCGCCACAATGCAAGAGATCTTCGAGGACTGTACACAAAACTGGCCGAGGCTATCGTCAAGGACATCGATACCACGGCGAATGAGTCGAGGGAAACTAGGAAACGTCAGCTAGGTTACTATCGATATGCGGACAAGAGTGCCTACAACGCCATCATGGTGAATATCAACCCAGCGGCCGTTATAGAGATTACCGACGACGAAGCGGATGGTAACGAGGAGGATCCTCAGGAAGAAGAGCAAGAAGCTGCGCCGGTAGTGGAACAACCTCAAGAGCAAGCTGCGGCAAATCGACCCCCGCGTAGAATACGACCGACTATTGAAATTATAAACACTGGTCGTCCTGAAAGGACCTTCCGGGAAGGGGGCATGCAAATTACAATCGTCCCAAACACGCCTGTGACAGCACGTCGTCCAGGGCATCAGGGACAGTAAGTCCTAAGTACGGCGAGAAATATGCTGAATTATGAGAGTTGTTGGTCGATAGACAATGAGAACAGAGAATACCCATGGATGTATACAAGTGTAGAGAAAATGAGTGTGAAGTGTAAAGAAGTAGAGATAAACTGCCCCACTTATAGCAAGCAGAGCTCCACACTTATCGACCAAGGCAGGAGGGGTCTGATAAGCTCTTTCCTTTTCTCCATCTCTTCATTCTATTCTACTGAAAATATAATCCTGTTCTCACTGATAACGATCATCAGGCACTTGTCTCAAATCGTCCAAGATACACTTATTGCACACACTGAAACAGGGCATCCGCGTATGACATCATGGCCCTCGAAACCCTCAGCACCATCTCCCCCATTACCAACAAGCCAGTCCTGACTCGGACCGGAATCTCGGCAGAAGAGCTCGAACTACTCCCAGAAACCGCTCAAAAAGCATTCCAATCGTTCTCGCAGACTACGACCCTAGCTCAACGTCAAGAAATCGTCGCACGAGCCCTGGGGATTCTCGCGAAGAAGAAGGATGATCTGGGAAGGGAAATTACCGAGCAGATGGGCCGGCCCATCGCTTACACGGGTGCTGAGATTGCTACTGCTGTAAAGAGAGGAGAGTTTTTAAATCGTACTAGCAATTCGGTACTTGGAGAAGAGGGCATTACTGAGGGTGAGCCGGAGAAAGGATTTAAACGGTATATCAAGAGGAAGCCCGTCGGTGTAGTCTTGGTTATTTTTGCATGGAATGTGAGTCACCCACTGGACGACGATATAACATCGGCTAATTCAATAGTATCCATACTTGATCCTTGTCAACAGTTTGATTCCCGCCCTCCTCGCCGGAAACGCAGTCATTTTGAAGCCCTCGCCACAGACGCCTACCGTTGTTGAGCAGGTCGCGTCTGCTTTCCAGGAAGCCGGACTACCGCAGAATGTCATACAATACTTCCATTCTGGCTCTTTGATCCAGATCCAGACACTCATTCGATCGCCACTCGTCAACCACATCTGCTTCACCGGTTCCGTTGCAGGAGGCTTGGCTGTCCAGCAAGCTGCATCGGATCGCATTATCAACGTTGGCCTAGAACTCGGTGGCAAGGATCCTGCCTATGTCCGTGGCGACGTGGACCTTGCCTGGGCTGCTGGAGAGATTGTTGACGGAGCTATCTTCAACAGCGGGCAGAGCTGCTGTGCAATTGAGCGTGTTTACGTACATGACAGTATTCACGATCAGTTCGTGGAGGAGGTTAAGAAAGTCCTCAGCGAGTACCGAGTCGGTGATCCATTCGACAAGAACACACAGATCGGTCCCGTCATTTCACGCCGATCTCAGGAAACATTCAACTCTCATGTTGCAGATGCGATTGCAAAAGGTGCCAAAGATGAGACACCAGAGAATGAAACCTTTAAGAGCATGCCTGCCGATGGTAACTACGTCAAGCCTACACTTTTGACCGGAGTCACACACGAGATGCTTGTCATGACAGACGAGACATTCGGGCCCATCATTCCAGTTATGCGAGTCAAGAGCGACGACGAGGCTGTCCGGCTCATGAACGACAGCGAATTCGGCCTTACCGCCAGTGTGTGGACCAAGGATGTTGCAACAGCGGAGCAGCTTATTGATAGGATTGAAGCCGGCACGGTGTTTATCAACAGGGCCGATTATCCTAGTCCGGTGAGTCCTAATACAGTCATATTGAAGAGATCGAGTGTACAGTTCTGACAACTTAATAGGACCTAGCTTGGACAGGCTGGAAGAACTCTGGACGCGGGGTGACTTTGAGTAAATTTGGGTTTGATCAGTTTGTGAAGCTGAAGAGTTACCATGTCAAAGATTATCCGAAATAAAAATAGCCTGATCAGCTTAGCAGAAAGATAGAAAAGTATATAGATAATCTGACCCATAACTTCGACTCTCAGCTGGCAATTGGGTTCGACTAAGGGTCGACATGACGTTGCATCAGGCACTCGATGCATACGATACGAGCCGCTGTACCTAGTAGGCAACACCTGTCCAATTCTCAGCTCGACTTATTTGTCATTCGACTCGTCTCGAAGCGTGGTCTCGCCGAAACTGAGGAAATTAAGACAGGCGGATTATGGAATCACGCTGGATGAAGTCAAAGCCCCGTTCGTAAAGGGAAGGAAGTCAAGAAGACAAACAGGCAAAATAAAACAAACCGCGCAAACAAGACAAACAGTAACCGCCCTCGCCGCGCTTGCCCTTGACGACGCCTTCCGATTGGCTTTCTGTCTTTCCCTCACTCTTTATCGCCTCAATCAACTACCACGCTGGGTTTTCCAGATTACTCGCACTCCACTTGGGGCTGGGCTACTACGTTGCTACTACGTCCCTGACACAGACCTTGTGATCCCCGTGCAACACTCTCCGTACCGATCTCGTCGACACAAACAACTATGCGGATCATTGCCGTCATGCATTCCAGAGAGCCCATCAGAGCCAGTGTGCCTACTCCATGACGGGCATCGACGGCATTGGGCCCCGCAGCACAAACAAGGCACGCAGCCGCAATCCCATCAATTGGATCTAGATCTGTTGCGGTTTGTCTGTGTTTGCAGCGCGTGGTGGGTTCGAGGTGGATATTACTGGGTGAGTGGTGTCTCGATCCATCGATGCCAGTGGCTGCTGACCCATGGCTTTGTGGGGTAGCTAGTCTTAGCTGACTCTAGTGTCTTGATGAGATATATTCTTTGGCCTCTGTGAGACTTCCGGTAATATACTTTTATTACGTACGACTTCCAGGTAACTCATTTTTGTATTTATATATATATAGGCCCGGTGGCTTGATCAGTTGCACCTTAATCAATCCTATTCCAAGGTATATTCCTCTTCGAACCCTTGATATACGAAAGTACTATTAGCGCTCTACTTAACAATCGTCATGTCTCCAGCTCTTCTGTCGAATGGCTCGGTCAATATCGTGGACATTCGCGAGAATGATACTACGTTCTCAGCAGCCTCTGCTATTCAGGACGGTTTAGACCCTCCAAACGGCACGCCTCGCTCATTTCCTACCCTGCTGCTATACGATACTGTTGGGTTACGGCTGTTTGAAGAGATTACATATTTAGATGAATACTATTTGACCAACACCGAAATTGAGGTGCTGGAGAAACATGCAAGAACCATTGCTGAGAGACTACCCGATCAGTCGCAGTTGGTGGAATTAGGTAGCGGGTGTGTTCCCTAAGAATGCCGAATATCAGTCTACACATGTAGAGCTGTCGAGGCCTCATCCCTTCTAATACACCGGATTTAACACATGTACAGGAACCTTCGTAAAGTCGAGATTCTACTAAGAGAGTTTGAAAGCTTGCAGAAGCGAGTAGATTACTACGCCCTGGATCTATCATTAGAGGAGCTGCAGCGTACATTTGCCCAGGTCTCGCCTCAATCGTACCAATATGTCCGCTTCCAGGGTCTGCACGGCACCTACGACGATGCCTTGGAGTGGCTGAAGAATCCGCAGAATAGGAAACGGCCCACGTGCGTTCTCTCACTAGGCTCATCTATTGGGAATTTTGGCCATGCAGATGCAGCAAGTTTCTTGCGTCAATACTCCCAGGTCCTCGGCCCTACCGATTCCCTTATCATTGGCCTGGATGGCTGTAAGGATAAAGATAGAGTCTACCGCGCTTATAATGATTCAAAGGGCACCMCCCGCCGCTTCTATCTAAATGGCCTAGTTCATGCTAATGAAGTTTTGGGCTACGATGCATTTAAGCCGGACCAATGGGAGGTTGATTGCTTGTATGACGAGGTTGATGGGTGTCACCGCGCGTTTTATGTACCTACGCAAGATGTGACGATCAATGGGATATCACTTCCCAAGGGCGAGAAGATCATCTTTGAAGAAGCGTACAAGTACGACGCTCATGAAAGGGAGGAATTGTGGCGCAACGCGGGGCTTATCAATGTGGCTGCATTGGGAAATAGCCATGACAATTATCGTAAGTCGATTTCCCCGCATCATCTGCATATGCATAGATATTTCATATACTGCTTGATTAGCCCAGTAAACACTATACCATTCATCACGGCCTAACTTGCTTAGATCTCAACATGCTTTCGCCCGCCAACGTCGCCTTCCCAACTCACCCCAGTGAGTATGCGCCTGGTCCCGTGCCCTCATGGGAAGAATGGAGATCAATCTGGACAGCCTGGGACATCGTTTCAAAGACCATGGTCCCACGAGACGAGTTGATGTCCAAACCGATCAAGCTAAGAAACGCTTTGATCTTTTACTTTGGACATATTCCCACCTTTCTTGGTAAGTCAGTTCAGCTCGGATTGGTTTTTAATATTGCTAACTTAACTTCACAGACATTCACTTGACCCGTGCTACGCGCGGCAAACCAACAGACCCAAAGTACTATCCGCAAATCTTTGAACGCGGAATCGACCCTGATGTGGACAACCCAGAACAATGCCATGACCACAGTGAGATACCTGACGAATGGCCTGCCCTGGGTGAAATCCTTAACTACCAAGAGCAAGTCCGCAGTCGGGTGCAGTCTCTCCTGAGAACGGAAGACTTGCCACAAAACAGATTGCTCGGTGAGGCTCTGTGGATCGGGCTCGAGCATGAGGCTATGCATTTGGAGACGTTTTTATATATGTTGCTGCAAAGTGACAAGATTCTGCCTCCGTTGGGATTTGAAAAACCTGACTTTGAGGGCATTGCGCGTCAAGCAGAGCTAGAGGCTAAGCCAAATCAGTGGTTCAGAATTCCAGAGCAAACAATTATAATCGGAATGGACGACTCGGACTTGACTAAGATGCCGGCACAGTCATTCGCATGGGACAATGAGAAGCCCAGACGATCCGTCACTGTGCACGCATTCGAAGCCCAGGCACGAGCCATCACAAACAGAGAATACGCTCATTACCTGAAAGAGAACGACATTCATCGCATCCCCGCGTCTTGGGTTATTCAAGCTGCGAATAGCTGGAACAACACGTTCAACGGACTCCATACCAATGGCGTATCGAACGGACATGGCAATTCCATGGATAATTACGCGGTGCGCACTGTCTTTGGACCAGTCTCGTTTGCATGGGCAGCCGACTGGCCGGTCATGGCGTCATACGATGAACTAGCCGGCTACGCCGAATGGAAGAAGTGTCGGCTTCCTACTTTTGAGGAAGCGAGGTCTATTTACAAGCATGCTGCGACACTCAATGGACAACCAAGTGTCGACGGTCTCAGGTAAGTAGCAACCGGAAGAAAGCATTGTGTAGGACTAACCTGGATAGTAATGGCCACGCGACTATCGAAAGTGAAAGCCCGACAAATGGCCCTGTCCGCCACAATGACACCAAGTCCGAGTCTCTGTTCGTGGATCTTTCCAGCGCAAACGTCGGATTCAAGGACTGGCATCTGGTCCCTGTGACCACGAATGGTGACAGACTAGCAGGACAGGGTGAAATGGGCGGCGTTTGGGAATGGACCAGCACGCCGCTGAGTGCGCATGAGGGGTTTGAGGAGATGAAGATTTATCCTGGATACACTGGTGCGTCTACCTTATCTTGAAATCATCTGTAAAGCGAATTCTCACCTGGCATTGTAGCCGATTTCTTCGATGGAAAGCACAACATTGTGCTGGGTGGATCGTGGGCTACGCATCCTCGCATTGCAGGACGGACCAGTTTGTGAGTTGAACCCCAGTCGTATCGACTGGAAACATACTGACATGTGATAGTGTGAACTGGTACCAGCACAACTACCCATATGCTTGGGTCGGAGCAAGACTTGTCCGGGACCTTTGATTGTATTATAATATTGACGAGTACATGTTTCTAGCACTTGATACTTAGTTCTGTTTGTCTGAGGCTACGCAGATTGGCAGGAAGTAATCTCAACTATTTCCCATTTGACGGGTCCAGATCATAAGTGAAACCCAGGTTTGTCCGAAACATCACAAAMCCTCCACAAGCCAGCATCTTCAGCTGCCTTTCTGACAGACCCCAACTCCTCATCCGTGACCGCTCTATTTATATCCGCATACCTAACCTCTCCTCCTTCCTCCTCTATCCCGCCGGGCTCAGTGACACGTCTAGTCCTCCGTTTCTTCCCTACATGCGCATCAGGATGATACTGCTCCATAACATGCACATACAAACCCCTCGACACATTCTCCGCCAACCACTGCATTATCCTCTTCCCTTCCTCCTCCTTCCCCGGCATAACAAGATGCCTCACAAGCACCCCTCTCTTCGCAACCCCATCAGACGTAAAACTCAAATCGCCCACCTGTCTATACATCTCCTTTATCGACTCGCGCGCAACATCCGCATAATTCTCCGCTTTGAGTAACCGTCTCGACGTAGCCGGATCCCAGACTTTAAAGTCAGGAAGGTAAATATCAACCAACCCATCCATCAACTCCAACGACTCTAGCGAATCGAACGACGACGTATTATACACAATTGGCACTTTGAGCCCCATCTCCCGCGCAGACAAGATGGCCAACGCGACCTGCGGCACAACGTGCTCCGGCGTTACGAAATTGATATTGTGTACGCCGCCCACATCCTGCAGTTTGAGCATCCACTCCGCCAACTCCTCCGGCGTGAGATCGAAGCCGTTTCGCTGATGCGCGATGTCGTGATTTTGACAGAATACGCATCGCAGATTGCAACCGGAAAAAAATACGGCGCCGGAACCGTTGTGGCCCTGGATACAAGGTTCTTCGCCCCTATGTGGCGCGATTGTGTTGACTTTGACGCTGGACGCGCCGATTAGGCAGACCCCCGTAGTCTCGTAGCGATTTACATTGCAGAGGCGAGGGCAGAGGTTGCATTGGCGTAAGTGGCGGTAGGCCGAGGAACGTTTCTGGGAGGTTTGCACGGAGGTGAGGACTTGGTAGCGAGGGGTGTAGTCGTCGAGGAGGTATTGAGGTGGGATGCCGAGGTGGCGTTTGAAGATTCGCGTCTTTGTTGTCGTCTGTGAGAATATGTGAGGGGAGGATGATGTACATTTAAAGAGGAGACCAGCTCCTGTTCGGATTGGGGTGGAGAGCATCTTGCTCTTTTGTCTACATCGTAAGGAAGTGCTTGAAGGTGTACACAGCGATAAGCTTATCGCAACAACGTCATAACGGACATCCAATCACATCAATCACGTTACCTACATTCCATTTAGCCTAAATACMCCATCCGATCCATGTCTCCGTACACCAACATCCTGCCAGTAAAAAAAAAGCAAAGAAGTTTTTCGTAATGTACAGGGGTATTCGATAAATCACCAACTCAGTGCGCACCAGACCAGACCAGACCGGACTAGACCAGACCAGACACGCAGCTCCACAAAAAGCAAAATTGAATCAAAGTCAAACCAACTTTTGCCCAATCCTTTCAACTCCACGCCAAACTACATACTACCTGGGTATAGACTGATCATAAAGCCAATCCGCTGCCGTCACCGGTCCAGCGATAAAGTGCGAGAACCTCGCGCCGTCGTTGTTGCTGTTCGCCAAAATCGTCTGGGACGCGGCCGCGGACTTGTGCCAGTGCGGAACGCATGACTTTTCGGAAATTGCGCTGCAACGTCGTCAGCAATATAACTAAAAAAAAAAATTGGGGGAGAATAGGCTAAAGGGACACAATGACGAACCTGATACTCTGTATTCAGTGTTACAACGCACGCTTCGTGCGCCCGTACTATCGTCTCGCATGCCCTGACAACGCTAGGGTCAGCGTCGCCTTGTAATTTATCGGCCGTAAGCAGTAGCAGGAAACTGCCTTGTAGGAGATAAATGCCGAAGAAGAATGGCATAAAACTCAAATCTGGGTCGTATTCTAATATATCGGACGCTGCTTCGGCGGCCTTGACGGCGTGGCCCATAGCTGTGATGAAGGCTTCTGATGAAATCCAGAGATCGTTATCGTCTAGTAAAGAGATCGGGTCCCACTTTCCGACGAGCAGAATATGTAAAACGTGCATGAGGTAGGTGCCGTATGCGACGACCATTTTGGTCTGCATAAGCGATTCATTGACTCGGGATCCCACTGTGCTCGACGATCTCGCTGATGGACTGACATGATCAATCCCTGTGGGTGCTGTAGCATTGAATCCAGCATCAGCAGCGCCCTCATTTCCAATGCCCAAACTCGCCGTATGTCGAGTCTCAAACTCGCGTAGACTCTGTTCGTAGACATCGAGCTGTCGAGTAATCTCCACAGTATGACTATCCCACTCGCCGCTCGTTCGAAAATGAATACCAAACCGAGGATGGTTCCGCGCATGATTCAAATCGACGATTTCACCAAGAATAGTCATCAACGGTAGGAAGTACCCAAACATGCCGTGGCCTGTACATTCAAAGCTGGGACCTGCTCGTCGGTAACCGGCATTCACAAGCTCGCCTCTGTGCCAAATATCGTCGTTCATCGGCTGTAGCAACCCTTCACACTCTTTATCCAGTAATGTCAACGGCCGGTTGTAGCATAACGCCAAATGGCGATCCATCACGTAGAGAAGCCACCATATTCGCCTACGTTCTTCTCGTTCTTCTTCGGTGACATGGCTCGTATCTCGCGTCGGTTTGGGCTCTATCTCAATAGTGCCATCTCGGTCATGATTCTGAGGCTGCGAGGGCGTTGGCGGAAGTTCACGTCCGAGTTTTAGTTCGCGTGCTAGAGACCATGCTGCAGCCCACCAGCGGATGCTTGCAGCCTTGTACTCGCTGGCTGATACCACAGTCGCTAGGTGAATGTATGTGGCAACGTCGTCGACTGCTCCGGTAGCGCTGCTTTGTGCACCGAGCTGATCCATAGATACACCGAATCCGCCTAGCGCAACTCCGTTGATGACCGCATTGGCAGCGTAATTAGGCGACGTTTCTCCGGGCGTAGGACCATGTATTAAGGGTCGTAGCAAGCCAACTGTAAGCTCCAGTAACTTCTGACAGACCCTTCCTCGCGCTGACGGAGGTGATGTCAAAAACGGCGCATCGCTAGTCTGAGCTGCTACCCAGAGCATGCTCGCCAATAAAGCGGGACTGCATGTGCGTGGTTGAGTTTGATGTAGGATCGACTTCTTTCGGAATACGTGTCCTACCACGTACGGTGACTGGGGAAAGATATGTGAGGCAGACGTGCTGGCAAAGTAGAGGTCGAGCAAATCACACGCCAGCGACTGCGGAATGATCGAAACAATATGAGGTAACAATGGCTCTAGCACGGGATATTTCAATGTGCTAGTGAAACCATTCGACATATTCAGCGATGGAAACCCCACGGATGGCGCAGGCAAGGGTAACCACCCGGGCGACTGGACAGGAGGAGTGAGGCCAGTAAAGTGGTTTGCTGTATTTTCTTCTCCAGACTGTGGGTATTGATATTGATTCATATTGGTCGGCGCGTGATCAACCATGTACGCATCGTGAAACCCATTTAACCCAACCGGAACTATCGCAGATGGCGACCTCGGCTGCAAGTCTCGCAGATCAGGCATCTGAATGAACGATCGATCTACATTCTGCACCTGTCCATATCCATTCATCGTCATTGAATTCATGTTCGATGGGAAGAACTGTCTTGATCTCGTTTGTGATGGCTGCTGCTGCTGTTGCTGCTGTTGCGCAAGTTCGCGCAGACTAGCAAGACCCGGTTGTTGGTCTGCGACCTGCGACGCTGAAAACGAGCGTCTCGACTGACTCAGCCGCGCATCAGACTCTGAGGCCATGACCGCCGACAATTGAGATGACTGATCTGGAACCGTCTCGTAGCCGGGAGTACCAGGTTCGCGAGCACCACCACCAGCTTTCGCAGCGGCTTCTGCGATATCTTTTTTTGATGCTTTTCCGCGCTTTTTTCTTTCTCTAGCATATTCGCAACTCAGACCGGAATCTACCGACCCGAAAAGATGTTGAATTAGCCTCAGCAATTTATTAAATTTGTATGTGACATTCTATCTCACCGGTGCAATGTGCACAAGGACTCTGCCCATCACACTTCGTTCGTAGCTGATTACACTGATCGCAAGCTCGACTAATCCGGCGCCGCACCGCCGCCGTATCAGCAGAATGCTTGCGAATACCAGCCCTCGTATCTGAAAGCGGACTGCGCATAATCTGCATTCTTGAGCCAGAATCCGCAATGGCCTTATTATCCTTTTTGACGAAATCATTGTTGCCGTTGCTGCTACTGCTGTTGTTCATATCGACTTCGCGCGCAAGACGCATTTGCTCCAGAGCGTAATGCGAGCTCTCGGCGAGAGTGTCCAAGCCGGGTGTCTGCGACGGTTGTGCCATTGCAATAAAAACTTTGAATCGAAGTATCGAATGATAATAAAGGTTCTTAAACCGAAGTCCACTTCACTGTATTGTCATCTGTATTCTGAAGACATGGCGTGGAGCCGTTCCAACCGCCTACAGGTCGGTCGATGCGACGAAAGGGTCTCAGAGACCGACCTTATTCTTTTCTTTGAAAGAAAGAGAAGGCCGAGTCTCTACTGCGATTTAACAACTGCCTCGCTAACGTAACAAAATAAGATGATGTATACAAGACGACAAAAGTCGAGACAATGGAGTCGGACGCTCAAGAACCAACAGCCGGTATAGCCAGAGAGTTTAATGCAACCGAGTCAGAAATAGCTCACCGGTTAAATATCTGGCACCAGCTCCAGATGGGCAGAGCTGAGTTAGTTCGCTTAGTACGTACGGCGTACTTGGATAGATTGATAAGAGGCTCGAGCGTGGCTTGACTTTGCAGCGTGCAGAAACAACCCCAGGAAAAAATGTCGGCTCAACCAGATATTTAAACTGCCGACTGAACCATCCGAGGGAACAAGGAAGAGAAGAGAAGAGGAGGAAGAGGCGAATAGCGGAGCAAAGCTAAATGAGACGGGGAATGGCCAGTCTAAGATTTTCATCCTTTCCTTAATTTGACGCTTACCCCGAACAACGCTAACAGCGAGAGTGCGGGGCTGGAAGGTCTTTCTGGGCTAGTGCTCGTTGAATACGAGAGCAGGAGGTTTAGTATGGCTGATATAGGCAGGKGAGTGCCGAGAAAGATGATTTCTTTAATGGACGGCGTTGAAAGTAATTATTCTTATTCTTATATGTATATATACAGTCACGCACCATCTTCTAGTACATGAGATATTCCTTCGCCATCAATCGTACAAAAACTCCTCAACAAATGCAAACAAAATCCGTAGAACCAACTCCATATATGTACAGCTTAAACAAGACAAGTAAAGACGTCTAACTGAAGAAGTACTGACTGTCCTTCAATCGCTTGACATCAAATTCTCCCTTTTTGGGAATATCGCGGAATTGGAGTGGTAACCATGCCCACTCCATCTTGTTCTTCGTCTTCGTAGGCTTGAGTTTTTCTTCGACCTCGTCTTCGAATGGTTCTGATTCTTCCGTAGCAGACTCCGCGCTTTCCTCGCCGACGACGTCCTCGCGGGCTTTGGCATCAATCTCAGCATCGAGGTATTGAGGATCAAGGTCAGAGAACAAGCTGGCCACAGCTGGATCCTTGTCATCAACAACGGCATTACCAAATACACCTGCTCGCTTTTCGGTCGTAGTGTTACCTGTGCCAGTTTGACCAAGTGTGGAGGCAATGGCCAAGTCGTTGTGACTACCACCCACGCTCTCAAAAATGCTTGCCGCTGTAACCATCGCACGGCCCCTTTCTTGCAATACGGGATTATCAGATCGTAAAAACGTCTGTCGTTGATGCTCCAAGAGCAATTCATCGACGTAGTATTTCTTCTTTGTGTTGCCATACTTTTCTTTGCGGTACTTGGCAATTGCTTGTGCGACAGGGTTGGATTCGGGAATCTTGGCAAGGAACATATGACCTTCGTAGCGAGCGCGGAACTCGGCAGCCAACCTCTTGACGATATCATCGCTATGCATGCGGATGAAACAGTCCCGCAAAGCAATATTCATCTTGTCGACATCGCATGCATGGGTCCAGAACGAGTCGTGAACAGCAGAGAAAACGAGTCCTTGGCGATAACACTCAATAGCGGACAACATCATGTGGGTGGCGTCCAGTGAGTGAATAAAGTTCGGTGGGAAAGCCTGAAGTTGTTTGCGTTTAGACACATTGCCTGAAGTCGAATCCTGGATAATGTTCAGCGTCTGCAAAGTGGTGTACACACGCTGACACTTCACGGCACGATAGGGCTGGACAACAGGGAGGCCTAGAGGCGTGGTCCAGATAATAGTAGATCTGAACATCTTCAAGGGGTCAGTCTCAGCATCGTCCTTGGTTGACATGTCGTCCTGGTAGACATGTTTGGCAAGCAAGTCCAGTTGATCCGGAGAGATAGATTGACTGATTCTGGTAGCACAGTCACCTAACCAGTACTGAATAGAATGGGCGCCACTGAAAATCGTGCTGAGCGCTTCGAAAATAGCGCTAGCGATATACTTGCTAATACCGGGAACCTCTTCAAGGCCCGGGTAATGCGCAGCAATCTGACGACGGACTTGGCGAATGGCACCAACAAAAGTAACACCATATACGTTGGTCATGACCGTCTGCTTGACAATCTTACGCTTGATTTTCCCTTCGAGAAGCTTGGCAATTTCGTGCCCTGCTGCTGCGTCCCGCGCGACCTTTTCGGTGACAAAGTCGGAGACACCAGTGTAGATATCCTTGGGTCGATCACCGGGTTCCAGGTTGACATGTTGAGCACCTTCCATATCTCCTCCCAATGCCGCATAATGTTGAAGACCATTGCAAGAGCCATCTTGGTGAACAGGCAATCGCGACATGTACTCCGTTGGGTTCTCTAGTTGAAGCGCGTTGCGGAGTTCGCAGCATGCGGCAAGACACTGCCATGGATCTTCTGCCTCCATAAACCATTTACGACCATGGAGACCATTGTTTGCTGAATCGAGAATATCATCCAGATGCTTCATCGTAAATTCTTCTCTTTCCTGGAGACTGGCCTTGTCGAAACCGTAGACGTTGGATAGATGAATCTTCAGCCACCTCAAACCAGCCTCGCCAAGAGCCTTGCCCTTTTTAAAGAGAAGAAGAGATCGAGCATTATCGGCAGACATTTGGTTCAGATATGCTGGAAGTGGGTAAGCGCGGCCACGGAAATCCATGTTATGAGGTAGATAGAAGGTCTGGTTCTTGTATGCACGAGCAATCTCCATCTGGAAATTGATAAAACATCTCTGAGAATGGAGACCAGATCGCAAGTTCTCCGCTTCCCGGAGCTTGTTGTTGTATACCTTCATCGCTTCAACGTCATCATCTGCGGGTTTCTCTGGTAAGGTAATCTGCGGGTCGAGAGGAGGAATTTTGGCAAAGGCTTCACCCGTGTTCCATGCTTCTAGCATAACATCAAACACGTCGTTGTTAATAGTCCATGCGGTCTTTCCCAATATGTCCAAACCGGCACGAACTTCAGGAAGTCCCTCGTTTTCTAAAGCCTTCTTCATGTACGACTGTTGAAGACTGTCTCCAGGTGTTGTGCGCATAATCGGGCTGCGCTGTGCAAGAAATCCACCTTTGTCAAATCCAGTCCATGGCGCAGGTTCCGCAAGCATGGGCATATGACGAGCTGAGACGGCATTAGGAGCGTCGCGAATAAGTCTTCGTGTGACCTCGGGATGAGCGTGTAGTAAACCAAACTTTCTGCCTCTGTTAATCTCATACGAGTGTTGAAAAGCCGGTTCCATAACCATGACACGTTTCTTGGTCTCTGGATCTTCCTGCCACACTGGTGCTTTGGCGCAGTCAAATAACAAAGATAGCAAAGCGCCTCCCACCTTAGCATGCACGTCAATTGGCCAATTATATTCGGACTCGATTGTATCCGGACTCGATAGGCGGCTGTCGCCTTTCAATTCCTCAAAGAGCTTCTTAAACTTGACACGGCCTGACCTTTTCTTCCTATTTTCCACAACCTGCTTGATAAATTTCTGGTGACGAGAATCACGCTCCGACTTGGCGATCATGGATTGAGCAACAAACTCGTTCTGGATTTCTTGTCCAAGGGATGTCATGATTGTAGGAACCTTGAGACCTTTCTCAACACCTGCTCGAGCGAAAAGTTGAATAATGTGCATAACTGTAATGGCAGCCAACGTGTCAGGTGGTAGAAGACGTAGGAAGTCGGTGTATTCCCGATTTTTGTCTTCGGACAACACTTTCGAGCTTTTTTCTGACGATCCATGGATTTTGATTTCCTCTTTGACCTTGATGACCAAATCGTTGTACCATTGTTCCAACAAATTAGCTATCGACTTGCCGCCACCAGACGTATCGATACCGGCGGATCTCATAGTCTCCATCTCTCGTTGCCAGCGCTTTTTGGCGGTGTCCACAGCTTTACCTTCTAGATCTGCTTGCCTTTTACGCTGCAGGGCTTTTGCTTCTTCCGAGTCGAAGTCATCTGTCTCGAAAGCGTTGGCAAAATCCGGAAGTACCGATAGAGTAGACTTTAAAGACGAAAGACCAAGACCTTTCTGCTTGGTCGCGCGAACAGATATGTCTTCGTGAGTCGGGGCCACTTCCGTGGTAAGCTCGGGTTCGTCTTCGATTGCCAAGTCAAAATTTGGTAGTTCATTAGGACATATCTGTATCGTCAGTTTCACTTGTCGTTGAAAAATGCCCGAGATAGAATAATACCTGTGAGATCTCGCCCAAATCCCGCTCCGTCAAAAGATCAGGCATAGACAGAACCTCAACCTCAAACTTATTCTGCTTCACCATATTCCAGTACCTCCTCACCGTCCGATCGCGCCTCGAACCATGAAACAAACGCAGCGTCATTCTCAGCATAATTGCCATCGTCCTAGCATTAGGCTTCAAGAAACCTTGCGGTAACTTGACCTCAAACCAGGTTTGCAGACTTAATGCCTTTTTCAGCGTGTCTCCAGTACGCTTATTCTCAATCATMCCAGCCACGACAGCTTCTATATATTGATTGTGCAAATCGAGAAAACGAGGATCGCCATGCGAAAAAGCGGTCGACATACGATCGAGAACCTGTGCGGCTTTTTCAATTTCTCGGGTCTGGAGCAGAACATGAAACCGGGCCATCATCTCCTCGAGTGAGCCACCGATACCACGGACTCTCTTCAAAGTAGGCGTGGTAATCAATTGGCTCTCTTGGATCATAATGGCAGGKTCGCTATACATGGTCTGTCCTAGAAGCGGCGACAACCAGGACGGAGTGGGGGAAGCACTCGATGAGAGTGGCACGCCATCTGTTGCGGTTGCCAGGTGTCGTCTAGACTGCGAAAAGGAAGAACGACGATGTAATGCAGATGGAGTAGAGACATTTGAATCGTTATTTCCCGGCCGGTGTGATTGAGTATGAGGCCGGAGGGCCGCTGGACAGAGCCATGGTAGAGTTAGCTGCTCGGTCGAGAGGCGCAGCTGGTGAAGGGGATTTCGGCGACGGGCGGCACGAGGCAACATGGTTGCTGTTGTTGAACAAGTCGCGCGGATTATTGAAAAAGCATCGGTAGTCGAGTATATTGGTCGATATAAAACAATTGTAATGGTACTTTTGTTATTGAAGACGTGAAGAAAGGACGCAATGCAATAGAAATCTCCCACGCTTGACAGTCAAACAAGTACAGCAAAAAAGAATGAAAAGGGGTAGAGGATGATCTCTCCTGCCCTGTGTGCAATTAATCGGCAAGCCGGGAATGAAATAGAGAATGGGAAAGAAGAAAAGAGGACGACAGTTGGATGAATGGCGATGAAAAAGTCTGGAGGAAGGAAGGGAAGAGAAAAAACGATTAGATTGTCGCGCGATCAAATCGGGCCGTCGGGTTGCAGCCGGCCAATGGCATTGTGCGAGTCATGTGATGCCCACCTAAAGTTCTAGAAAAAGGGGAAGCTGGAGTGGGTCGTGGCGATCCTATCACTTTCATCTTTTTAAGAACAGGGACTAATAATGCTGCAAGTGAGTTGTCTGTATTGGCGATACTATGGGAATATGCGGCCCTTCTTATCAGATGCATGAATACAAATCGGAGCTATTCGACGGCTGACTAGGCCTCGAACAAACAAATGACAAACTTCATCAGCTATCAACATCAACATCAATGAACCCCTTCTGCTTCCTTCTATTCTGCTTCATCGCCCAGCCCGTCATCTCCGGCCTCGCAGGGTCAACTCGCGGCGCACTCATAACATCAAGATACGTCTCTCCATCGACCGCAGATTCTAGCTGCGGCAGATCTTCGGGTTCTTGATGAATCATGTAATTCTCGTACGTAACCCATGCTTCCTCACTCTATTACACCATCAATTAGCACGCAAATCCATGAAACAAGAATATAAGTATTGAGTATTAAGGAACGCACCTCAGCATCAAACCACTCGTAAGACTCCCATTTGTCATCCTGAATCTTCTTCAACAGTTCGATGTTTCCCGCCGGTGCAGCCTCACCGGCTTCTGAGGATTTGACCTTGACATCCACCGCTCGCGCTTCGGCTTGTACCGCCGCGCCATCTTCCTCGAGATCTTTTCTACCGCGCATCAGTCGTGTCCGCGACGCTTCGTCCGAGGCGTCGATATGATGTAATTGAGGTCGTAGCTGGACTAGCGCCGAGACGGGAGAGAGGAAGAATTTCGCTACATAAATCGCAATCAGTAATTGAGCTCCAGATGACAGCAGTAAGCGAAATGAGAAGGAGGGAACGCACTCCCTCTGAAGGCACCAAGCATATAAACCGGCTCCCCATCAACAGGCTCCTTCATCCTTCCCGCCAATGTCTGCGTTCTCAAAATCGTCGACCCATTCTTGTTATTCTGTCCCTTGACATCTTTCATTTCCACATCTTCTCCTGCCTCTGTCTTTACTCTCCCACCACCACCACCTCCTCCTCCCCCGTTCCCAGCTGTAGAAGAATGCGAATTAAAACCACCCGCCAACCCAAATGAGCCCCCCTCCCTCAAAACCCTAGACTGCTTCATTGCCTCCCCATACTTAAGCCCCCTATTTACATCATACACGCCCGCAGAGGTCACAATCGGAACGTCTATTTCGACAAGCCCAGTTTTGGGTTTGAGTTTGAGTGCGACGGGTTTTTGCCCGTGGCGTTCGTCGTAAGGGCCGCCGGTGCCGTGTTTGGTTTCGACTTCACGGTCTGGGTATTGGAAGACGTAGCGTTGAATATCGGAGTCAGTGAGGAAGACGTCGTACGAGGCTACGATCGGGTCTGATTCCATTTTTTGTTTTAATGGCTGACCGCGTGCGGCGCGCGCTTTTTGGTGGGAGACTGTTTGGTGCGTTCTTCTCTGTATCTAGGAAATTGCTGTACTTGGTTCAAAAAATTTTTATTTAAAGGATTGTGGTGCAAAGAATTGTAGCAGTTCAAGATGTCGCAAGTGAGTAAGTAGTTGGAAGAAATTCTTGCGGGGACTTATTTGAGGTTGACTCTGACGCGGGCCGTTTTTTCTCTCCTTATCGATAAGAGCTGTTAGCTAGTGGCACTCTATTTGCATACAACGGCCATTGCAAGTACACTCCCATGGCAAGTCTGAAGAAAACTATCTGGAATTAATAACATTCGGACATCACCTGGTATTTAAACATACAATACAATTTCTAAACAAAGAAAAACAGGCTATATTATATCATTCAACGCAAGTCTTAAACACAAATTCATAATGCTAGATGATTTCATCCCTCTCATAAATCATCGCGTTAAAAGCTTTTGTGACCGTAGGAGATTTACTCTTCATCTTCTTCTTCGGCAGTCTGCATGAGTTGTCAGTATCATAAGCCATAAACTAAAGGGGAAAACTCACGTTGTCATGGAAGTATTTGCCCTCGGTGGTCTCGTTGATAACTCCGGCGCGAATACACCAGTCTCCGAAACGCTCAGGTGTCTCGCCATCAGTCTTGCGCTCAAGCGAGTACCGTTTGAAAAGATCCTTCATGATTTCCAAAATCTCGTCCTCCTTGATTGATGAGCGGTAGAGCTTGTTTAAGCGCTGGCCGTGGTATCCACCACCGAGGTACATGTTGTAAGCACCATAGGCTTTACCGACAAAGGCAACCTCAGCGAGCCAGGGACGAGCGCAGCCGTTAGGGCAACCGGTCATTCGCATGACAATGCTTTCCTTGGACAAGCCGTTCTCTTCGAGAGTGGACTCGAGCTTGTCGATAAGAACAGGCAGATAGCGCTCAGACTCGGCCATGGCAAGACCACAGGTGGGAAAAGCGACACATGCAGAAGACGAAAGACGCAGACCACTGAATGCGGTGTTGTCAAGCTTATATTTGGCCAGCAGAGCCTTGATCTCGGGAAGGTCGGAGTCCTCGATGTTTGACAGAATGACGTGCTGGTTACCAGTCAAACGGAATTCACCCTTGCTGAGCTTGGCGAGTTCTCGCAGACCAGTTCGCATGGGGAACTCGGCGGTATCCTCAATACGACCATTCTCAATGAAGAAAGTGAAGTGGTTCAAACCCTTCTCATCCTTTTGCCAGCCGAAAGTGTCAATGTTGGACACAAATTTGAACGGGCGTGGCTCAGCGAAGCGAAGACCCTCAGGCATGATCTCTTCGACTTTGCCCTTGAAGACCTCGATGCCCATGTCGTCGATGGTGTACTTGAGACGAGCATGCTTTCGATTTTTGCGGTCACCGTGGTCACGCTGAACAAGCATAACTTTCTCGCAGAAAATGTGTGCTTTATCAGCTGGGACGAAACCGAACATGGAACCAGTTCGGGGGTACGTCTTTTTGTTGTTGTGTGTCACACCCATACCACCACCAACGATCATGTTAAACCCTTCAAGATGGCCATCAGAGCCCTTGATAGCAATGAGACCGATATCGTGAGCGTAGACATCGGTGTCGTTGTGGGGAGGAATAGCGATCGTGATCTTGAATTTACGAGGAAGATAAGTAGGACCGTACATAGGTTCATAATCTTGGACGGCGTCTCCAGCGACGAGAACCTTCTTGTCATCATCATCCTTCAGCCAGATCTCGTGGTACGCAGTGGTTGTGGGAAGCAAGTGGTCGGAAATCTTCTGTGAGACGGCATACACTTCGCGGTGGTATCCGGAAAGCTCAGGAAGAGAACTGCACATGACATTACGGTTGACATCTCCGCAAGCAGCAAGTGTTGTCATCAGTGCTTTGTTAATGGCACGCATGGCTGGGCGAAGCTTGCTCTTGATGACACCATGGAACTGGAACGTTTGTCTTGTGGTAAGCTTCATAGTCTCATTACCATGTGCACTGCTGATTTCATCCATTTGCAACCATTGCTGAGGTGTAGCAACGCCACCAGGAAGTCGACAACGAATCATGAAAGAATAGGCAGGCTCAAGACCTTGTGCCTTGCGCTCGTCACGCAAATCACGGTCATCCTGCATATAGGTTCCATGGAACTTGGTGAGTTGTGAATCACTGGCATTAATAGCACCAGTACTCTCATCCAAAAGTCCCTCGACAATTGTACCTCTAAGGTAGTTGGAGGCAATCTTGATATCCTCGTTGGTCAATGGGGGAGGCTCATCAGCCAGACCCTCAACCTTGTCGACTCCTAGAGCTTGCCACAAACGGGGCTCCCACTCGGCGTAACCAGTCTGGAAAGCATCCGGGTCTTGGTCATCACCCAAACCGATATCAGTAAGTTTACTAGCACCCAAGAAAGAGATACGAGCATCAAGATCCTTTGCAGGCTTATTGTAATAGATTCTGTCTTCCTTGCGAGGCCAGTAATGGCTATCACCCAGACCGAAAACAGAGTACTTGACAGAAGAAAGGTCGAGATCGCCAGAGCTCTTGACAACTTCCCAGAATGCGCGGCCATTCTGAGGGAACTCTCCTTGACCTGCGGTACTCGAGATAAGCACAATGTTCTCCTCCGAAGCAAGATCCTCGATAGGATAATCGTCCATGGCCATAACCAAGGTCTTGAGACCTCGGAGACGTCCGCGATTGCCCAATCGCTTAGCAATGTTGGTAGCGTTGCCGTTGTCGGAAGCGTAGAGAATGGTAAGAGGAGCGCCAAAAAGTCCTTCCAAGAGCTTCTCATACGAATCCTTGGCTTTGCGCTTCTGAAGTGCACGAACCTCGGTTCCGTAAGACTCAGAAAGGTTGTTGGCAAACTTGGGGTGACGTCTCATAAGCTGAGTAAGCTGGTTATCACGGCGAAGGAACTCTTCAAGTTCGCGTTTGATACGCTCAGAGTCAAGAGAGAACTTGGGCTCTCCGTTCTCGTCGTTGCCGGGGTTCCAGCGGTAAAGTGGCCAGTAACCAATATCAACAGCCTTCTTCGTCTCTTGAAGGACAGTCAAAGGAGATTCGTTCTCCTTGTGGTAAGGTAAATAGGCGACAACAACAGAGGGTCCATCGTACTGGTCAGCCTCTGCCATAGCTTGCAGAACCTGTGTATAAGAGCCGTAGACCGCAACGGAGGCAACATATGCATTTCCATAGTTCATAGCATACAAACCAATGTCCTTCTTTCTGCGGGTAGGGTCAGCAGCAGCATGCTCGGAGTATGGTTGAGAATCAATGATGAGCATGTTCACATTAGCACCGGAAGCGAGAACGTGGTGAACACCAGAGTTGCCAAGGTCATAAGCCCAGGCATCTGATCCAATGAGCCATTGAGACTCCTTGAAAAAGAGCTTGTGGTTTTCAAGAAGCTGGCTTGCTACTTGGGAGCCGTCCATCTTTAGGCGGCTAACAACATCTTCAGCAAGAGCATTGACCTTGGAGGGATCCCGTGCGCTCAATGCCCACTTGGACAGCCATTGTGCTGGTCTATCAGTGGCAAATGCTGCTGACTTTGCGGCCTCCTCCACTTCTGCGATGAATCGCTCGCGGTGCTCAGATCGTGCAAGCAAAGAACCAAATCCATATTCAGGGCTGGCAGCGATTGTAGCAGAAATACCGGCATTTTTGGCGCCTAGCTGATTGGCAACGTACAATCGCTGACCAAAAAGTTGATCCAAAATCTTTGTGTAGGCATTTTCAAGAGCGGGCTGGGCCAGGTCTTGCTTTGTGGTGGGCACTTCGTGGCTTCCAACTTCGAGGTTCTGAATGGGTGACGCAGAAGTAAGATTCTGCAGAATGCCGCGTAATGCTTGGTCGACGGTGGATGACTCGACGTGACCAAGACGATATCCAACAAGACGAGGAGACTGCCCTTGGGCGGAAGACAAGCTAGAAAGCAAGTCCAAGAATGATGGTCCCCACCTGGTTGTCTTTCGCACTTGCTCTAGGACAGCAATCTGCTTGAGTGATTTGGGAATTTGGCCTGAAACCTGGCTTCCGATCCAGGGACGGTAAAGACGAGCTGTAATAATCCCAACCTCCTTCAAATCAGCGCTAGTGCTAGCATCGCTCAAAGCATCAACAAAGACACCGGTAGATCCGAAGATAAAAATGGCAGACTTTGCATCTTGCGGACCAGTATACTCAATTGCCTGGTATTGTCTGCTCGTGAGTTTGGCGATAGTCTCCCAAATCTCGGATGACCACTTGAAAATATCTGCAGAGTTGACAGGGCGCACACTGGAGGCATCCACAGTTGTTGCGGCAGAGCTCACATCATGGCTGTCAGTACTGCTGTCTCGACGAGAGGATCCCACGGAAGAAGCATCCTGGCTCAACGATGCTACGGTAGTGGGGAGTGTTGAAGCTGGCGCGGACTCAGCTGTAGAGGGGGCTCCAACGGTATCTTCAGAGACGGTCGGTAGTCGTCCAGAGTCGGCATATAGAGTCTGGCTCTCAGCCGACTGGTTGTATGAAGGTCGAATAGCATCCAGATCCAAAACTGTCTTGACAACCTCATAATCTTCGGGGATGATGGCAGCATCTTTGGCGGAGTTGGCGGGATCGAAGAAGTGAATAACACCCTTTCCAGACTTGAGAGCCAAAGCATGAGCGGTCAAGGCAATGTCTTGAGCTTCTTGAATAGTCTCGGATTGGAGGAAAGTGAATCCGCATTGGCGAATTGAGCTGATGGCGCTGAAGTCTGAGGACTCAATGGCAACGTGCAAGACGATAGGATAGCTGGCGAGTCGGTAGAGGTGGGGAATTGAATTGAGAAGTACAGGAGAGGATGTCGTGACTGTGACTAGTTTGCCTTGCTGGAGGGGGTGGAAGACGGAGAGAAGAGGGTCTTCATTGAAACGAACAGAGCGGACCTAAATAGTCAAGTCAGTCGATGATCTCATGCAGTCGTTGGGACCGAGCATACCTCTGGTGTGCCCTTCAACAAGACGCTGCGATCAAGGTCCTTAGCCTGTAATTTCAATGAGTCGGAGAAGATGGAGTCCGCTTGTAGCGATGGCTGGACAGAGAGTATGACATCGCTCGCAAGGAAGGCGATCCTAGCCACTGGGGTGTGTTAGTAAACATAAAACGGATACATGATCGATGACATCTTACCAGCTTGTGCGGAGGTTGTGACAGACGCCATATTAACAAGCAATTCTCACAACAAGCGTGGGGAGTATCAATTAAAAAAAGCCTGGGGTGAGGGGGGCGAATATCTATATCACCACCACATGTATGCAAGCAATAGTATGGTATACTTGACGCAATTAAACTGTCACACAAAAAGAAAATATTTGCAGAGAAGAGTAGAATATTAGACCAAAGAGAAAAGAAACTCTCCGGGTATTCTATCAAACGGCAATTGAGAACGAGGGGAGTCAAGGAAAAAAATGTCCCTTTAGGGTAATATGCTCAATGGAAATGCGGCGGGCGTGATTGGCAGGCGATCACGACATCGATGCAAACACGCCAAACTTTTCCGCTTTTGCGGAGAGTGGACACTCTGCCGGGCCCCGTGACGAGCACTAACTGTCGGCCGACTGCCCGATTCTTAGTCACTACAGTTACTACAGTCACTACAATCCCAAAAGAGCATTACTATCTCACAAATCAAATCATTATCTAGTATAGTATATGCCTCTACGCCAACCAGTGAATATACATGCAATCACGCCATCATCCCCGCCAGACATCAATCAATGCAGAACTGCGGATATTTGGTCGTAATGTTCAATGTTCAATAATCTTCTCTCTCCAGGTATTTTCGAGTACTCAGTCCGTTTGCCTTGACAAGACATCAGGCTGAAAAATATGAGTATATGCATAAGATGCTCAAACAATCATCCCGTATAGTAAATCATGTCCGAATATAAGATGTAGGATATGTCCAACGCCACAAAAATGGTAATAACTCCAATCAGACAAAAGCATGCTGTCTCGACTCGTTCTCGTCTAGTCAACCCCATTTATCTAGTTTCGTTCAGATCTTGAAGGTCAACTCCGGCATTGCCACCTTCGCCGCCAATGGGCTGCATCAACGAAGCAGCTTGAAGGACAGACTGCGATGGCTTTGGAGGGCCGGTGCCAGACCGGCGACGTCGTTCTCGCTCCGTTAGGCCTTCAATGGTCGGATCGTTGCGAGTATGCATACTGCGACCGAATCCATCCATCCAGCTCGCATCTTCGACTTCCGAGGTATCGGGAGCGAGCCAGTAATTCCTAAAAACGCTAATCATGGCACGGCCAAGAGTTCCTTGCCAACCCTGACCTTCGGGTGTACCAGGGAGGAAAGGCTCTCGGTCAATATCAGCTGCACTAGCCACCGTTGCCACTGATGTGGCACGACTGTGCGTAGGAAGCTGATTGTAGGATGGTTGCGAACCATTTAGCAGCTTCTGGCGCAATGTCTGCCTGGCAAAGGCAAACATGACCAGGACAAAGTATAGTCGAATCAGCAACAGGACGGAAATCATAATGATGCTTTCGAAGCTCTCGGGTTGTTTGATTCCATCGCCGAGACTGGGAGTGCCGGTTATTGCATCCGCAACGCCGGCTGGTGAGGCTGCCGGATCTGCTGTGATTCTGTCTCCGGGGACAGGAATATGTACCGACGAGACATTGTATTTCGGGCTCGTGAAGCCGGATGTATCATCAATCGTTGAGCCGGGACCAGACGTAGTGGGCGAATTGTGCTTATGTTGAGACACAACCAAGAACCATGTCACACCAAATGCAACTGTGTACGCGGCGTTGATGGCGGTATCGAAGAAGTAGAGCCAGGCGAGGCCCAAGCAATGGAAAGGCGTTTGTTTTTTGATATGAGGAAAAAGTATCACGGCGAGGGCAAGGGCGGCCAGTGAGTAGATGTACATGGATAATTGGATGGGCGACAGATGATATCCAGTTAATAGAGCGAGTAGTCCATATAGACCGCTAATTTTGTTGAGAAGTAATGACAAGGTAATTAGCGAGGCGCCGGTCTGTAAGCTCAGGACGACCAAAAAGCGCTGAATGATGCATGTTAGCTGGCGATCACTTTCAAGCATAGATCGTGTGTCGTCTTACCTGAATGCGCGGAATGCGAAAGATGCGAAGCGCCATGTTGATGACGCTCAAGGCGATGGTCGCAGACCACCGCTGCAGACCAAACGGCAGAAATAGGTATAAGCGGTAGTCGATCGAGTCTCTCTTGACGTCTCACTTTCTTCGTTTCTGATCCAGAAGTCGGAAGAGGATCGATAAGATAAAGCGTGGCAGGGAGGAAGGAATGTAACCATGATAAATAAGAGGGAGAGAAAAGAGAGCGAGGCTGGTGGTTCCCGGGGGAGCCGTTCGCCAAGCCTCTAGAGCGATCAGCTCCGAATTTTCTGCTGGCAAATCTTCAGTGCATGACGTCCGTGGCCATTCTTCGACCGTTCAATTCATATTATTTACATGCTAGTATTCTACATAATTTTATGGACATTGCAGTCTGAGTAACAGCCGCATACGAACTGCAACAATGGAACACTTGAGCACACAAACTCGAAGTGAAGCCGTAAGTCACCCGATTTTGATATGATGTTGGGCATCAACCATCCAATCAGAGACCAAAGAACGTCCTCGCTCCACCACCAGCTCAAATTCGTGAATTGTGAACGAATACGAAACCGACTAAGAAGCTAGCTGCTCCTTTATGAACCTAATATACTCAATATTGCTGCCTCACGCATCATTTTCAATAGCGCAGAGTCTGTCGAGTCTGACTTTGGAAAGAGAGTTGATGTATCATCCGGGATCAGATCGCGCTGAGCTTAATCAAGCCTGAAGCTTGGTTGTCTTTCTCACCTAATCTCCGTCTAAGTCCGCATATCGATTAGCGCATCTACAGAAATCATGCTTCTCTTTGAAGGATTCAAACTAGAAGTCTTCTAGACCGGGAAATAGAATAGATAGTATACAATTGATTCAGAATTGAATCATCCTAACCGGCAGCATGGGCTTGATTGGCCGCGAATTCCTCGAGCAATGCCTGTGGAATCACGAATCGCGTCCATCATTGAACTATGGTGCTTCCCAAAATGATGACGGTTCAAAGTGTGGTTTTTGGCATGGGTCCTTCGGTTTGGGTTAATGATTTGGCGAGGTCCCCAGATGATGCTGAATCTGGTGCTGGATGAAATGAGCGGTCGCAGCTTTAGAGAACTCGTCGGATTTTGCTGAGTTGAGTAGTCAGTAAGCCCTTCAGATACGATATGATGCCTTGCTTGATAATTTAGCCATATAATTGTGTTGATATAGATTTTAAGCAAACGGGACCGAAGAATCGACAGAATGCCTAGATATATATTAATCCAGAGGAAAGAAATAGTACTATTCATATACAGGTCCCAAGAATAGGCACTCAAAGAATCATGCGCCACTTATAAACACAACAGCAAAACCCACACCGAACATCTAACAGGCACATCCGTCGTTATTTGTTGGTTGCGATGGGTTAATGTTGACATCAATCACTGCGATGAAGCAATTAGTATATCGTCAGCATCCCTGAACGAAAGACAACTCACTTTGATTCTCCCCCCTCTGTGCCTCCCCATCCATGCCTGGAAGCGCCTGTGCTATCCTCCTAAACAATTGCTTCACATTATGTCCAACCTTTGCACTAGTCTCAATGAACATAAGCCCATTCTTCTTTGCCTCCTCCTCGCCCTGCGCAGTGGTGACTTCCCGCTTGTCGTTCAAGTCAGTCTTATTTCCAACAAGCACAATAATCACATCGTTGCCTCGTTCACCTCGAACATCGTCTACCCATTTTTTGGTGTTTTGGAAAGATTTGGCATTGGAAATGTCGTACACGACGACGGCTACACTGGAGTCGCGGATATAGGATGGGATCAAAGATCGGAAACGTTCCTGGCCGGCTGTGTCCCACAGTTGCAGACGAACTGTTCGATCTTCGAGGTACATGGTCTATAGGACAACCAAAGTTATGTAAGAGACAGACTTCACTAGTCAGGGGAATTCAGGGAAAGACACCTTTGACAGAAAATCAATTCCGATTGTTGCCTGATATGTGTTGTCGAACGAGTCGTACATAAATCGCGTGATCAAAGAGGTTTTGCCGACTGCAATTGAAGTATTAGACCCATAAGCCGATCGTTGAACAGTGTCCCATCAAAGTCGCAACATACCACTCTGTTCTCCGAGAAACACTAATCTATAAACCGCATCAGACCAATTCATTTTCAGCGAAGAACCAACAGCGATTGTAAACGCACTTGAACTTCTTCAACGGGTTCGAATAGGAACCCACAGCTGTTTGGGAAGCCATGATTCGCAGATATTTGGTATAGCCGTCTCTCGAGTTCAGGGGGACTGAAGCCGGGGATAATCGAGCTTGGAAATAGGAAGTTGATCGGTCTTAGAGTATGGCTGTGGATGGATTAAACAAAGCAAATTCGTAACGTTCGTCAAGGCAAAAACAACGATCCGAGGTAAACAGGTTTGTAATTGAACGTGACGCGAGAGGAAGGGAGAGAGGCAGAAGGTATATTAACGAGCACGGGGAGTTGTTAACCTAGTTACCTATGCATTAACACGGAGGGGCTTCGGAACCAATGACGCCGTTCTGTTGAACTTACCGCCCGGCAGATTGCCAACTTGCATCCAACCAGCTAAGGCTACCAAGCACAATCATCATCAACTGCCTACCAGCTACTATCCGCCCTCTTCCTACGGTGACCCCACGCTTTGAGTAGCTATAGGGACTGCGAAATACAATCGCTAAACACGTCGCCCAGCTCGGACGTTTTGTCTTTCACGAGAAATAGACATACATCAACAATGGCGTTCTATTCTGCGGGTGTTGCGACCACCGCACTCGGTGTTGTCGGTGCTTGTAAGAGCTGCCTCTCCAGCTTCAAGATATTTGTCACTAATATTGTGGACCAGATATGCTCTTCCACGGTGAAGGAGAAGCATTCAATGTATGATTCTCGTCCGCGCGATCGACGACTTTTTAACAATCTCTGACGATGCCAACAGGTCGGTCAATTTCTAGAGACTGTGTCACCATACACATGGGCGACTATCGGAATAGCTATGTGTATAGGTCTTTCAGTAGTAGGAGCAGCATGGTACGGAAACCTTCCCTTCCTAGAGAGCTCAACTGACAGCGTCATTCTAGGGGCATCTTCCTCACCGGTTCATCCATCCTCGGCGGCGGTGTCAAGGCACCGCGGATACGAACGAAAAACTTGATCTCCATTATTTTCTGTGAAGTCGTAGCCATCTACGGTGTCATTATGGCCATTGTCTTCTCGTCCAAACTCAACTACGTGGATCCGGTGAATGTATATTCCGGCAGCAACATGTACACTGGATTTTCCCTGTTCTGGGGCGGAATCACTGTCGGTGCCTGCAACTTGATTTGCGGTATCTCTGTTGGTATCAACGGAAGTGGTGCAGCCTTGGCTGACGCCGCTGATCCCAGCTTGTTCGTACCTGATTTTATTCCTTTTATGCGAATGTTGTGTCTAATATGATCTGCAGATTCGTCAAAATCCTCGTCATCGAAATTTTCAGCTCTGTTCTAGGTCTTTTTGGCTTGATTATTGGTCTTTTGGTATCCGGASGAGCCAATGAATTCAAATAAGAATTTCCCTCATACGTCGAGATGAACCCGGGGATTGAATGTTCCCAACCGCAACCTCTCCTCGCTCCGATACCATATCTAGCGAGCTTCTCATATCTCTGTCCCAGCCGGCAGACCCGTCTTTCTTATCTGTATGTCAACGGGCGTATGGTTTATATAGGTGCATTATGATTTTGTCATCGCATGATTGTTGTTTCGTCTAGTGGGCGATTGTATAGTATTATACCTTTGGCATATGTCAACATTGTTTGAAACATCAGTATTATAAATTATATCCAAATAGTTCAATCATTTGATGTCAGTACTTCCACGGAGATGATGAGCACTGACGGACTGAGGATGTGGGGCATATATCACTCCCCCAAGTCCTTCACTATTCTGCATACATTCCAAAACTCTATATAAACGTCCGGTTCTCCATTGAGCATCTTTCACCTCTGTTCTCCGTACTCGTAAACAATATATGCATCATGTCCACAGAGCTCCTCCGCCCAGCGATTCTGATCATCTCGGACACCGCCTCTATCAACCCGCAGAGCGACAAGTCTGGCCCAGCCCTGACGGAGATATTTGCATCCCCTCAGCATTCCAAGACATGGGCAATTCCTGTCGTCAAGATTGTGCCTGATGATTTTGATCAGATTCATAATACTGTAAAGGAATGGGCTGATAATGAGGATGATCGATTTAATTTGATTTTGACGAGTGGTGGGACAGGGTTTGCGGTCAAGGATGGGACGCCGGAGGTCTGTATACATTTGTGTCTTTTGTATGGCGTTTCACTGACTTATCGCAGGCGATCTCACCGTTGATTCATCGTCATGCGCCAGGGCTTGTGTAAGATTCATTAGTTATCTGGTTTTTCGAGACTTAGTCTAACAGTAAGCGCAGGCACGGCATGATAGCGGCATCTCTGAAAGTAACTCCATGTTTGTATTGAACCAACACAGTTACCAGTTGATATAACTAACGAGTCTCACAGTTGCTATGATGGCTCGTCCCGTGGCAGGKACACGAAATGCATCCCTAATCATCACACTCCCTGGATCACCAAAAGGAGCCAAGGAGAATCTTGAAGCAGTCATCAATCTTCTCCCACATGCTTGCATTCAAGCAGCCGGCGCAAACTCGCGTGAAATCCACGCAAAGGGCATCAAAAAACTTGAAGAAGACGCCGGAGTGCCGTCTAAATCCACAAATGAGAATGAGCACAGCCATGGCCACAGCCATCACCATCACCACCATCACCACAATCACAACCACGACCAGGGACACACAATCCCCAAAGCACATACATCACCAGAAGACAGACCACAATCCAACGACCCCAGCGCTGGTCCTACACGGCGATACCGTTCCTCGCCTTATCCCATGCTTTCCGTGGATGAAGCGCTCAAAATCATCGCTCAAGAAACTCCCGAACCTGTCATTATAGAAGTACCGGTAACTACCGACCTGGTCGGCTCAGTGCTTGCTGAAAACATCTATGCCGGCGAAGCCGTCCCAGCTTATCGCGCAAGTATCGTCGATGGATACGCAATCATTGTACCCGAGGACGGCAACGGGCCTAGATCCAAGGGCATTTTCCCTGTGGCTTCTGTCTCGCACGCTCAAGCAGCATCTATGCCTCCGCCCCTTGAGCCGGGGACCATCGCCCGAATTACTACCGGTGCACCTCTACCATCAAACGCGAATGCCGTGGTCATGGTCGAAGACACAGTTCTCGCCTCCGCAACACTGGACGGAAAAGAAGAAGCAACCGTCGAGATACTGACAGACGACATCAAAGTCGGCGAAAACGTTCGAGAACCAGGTAGTGACGTTAGTAAAGACTCCAAGATCCTGTCCAAGGGAGACATGATATCCGCCATCGGCGGCGAAATTGGTCTTCTCGCATCAACGGGTACAAGAACCGTAAAGATCTTCAAAAAGCCTACTGTCGGCGTATTGAGTACAGGCGACGAACTCGTCCCTCACGATGAACCCGTTCCATTGCATGGCGGTCAAATCCGAGATTCGAATCGGCCATCCTTGATATCCTGTTTGAGAGCTTGGGGCTTTGAGACGGTCGACCTGGGAATAGCCCGCGATACMCCCGCCGGCGAACTGGAGAACGCTCTTCGGGGCGCGTTACGTGGTACATCAGCTTCTCAGCCCGCGGTAGATGTGATCGTCACAACGGGGGGTGTATCGATGGGAGAATTAGATCTACTCAAACCAACCATTGAGCGCACGCTGGGCGGCACAATTCATTTCGGACGAGTGTCCATGAAACCCGGTAAACCGACCACATTTGCCAGTGTCCCGTACAAACCATCATCCTCAGCATCCGCATTAGGAGGGCAGCAGCAGCAGGAAAGAGAGCGGAGACTCATATTCTCATTGCCCGGAAACCCAGCCTCGGCGCTGGTTACATTAAATCTTTTCGTCCTGCCATCGCTACACAAATTGATGGGTCTGGCGAATCGAAACAACTCCTCCCCTCAAGCCAACACCACCACTGCAGTAGGCTCAGGATTAGGTCTGCCACTCATAACAGCAACACTTACACATGGAATCCCGCTTGACCCCAAACGGACAGAGTATCATCGCGCTATTGTGAGCGCGTCACGGCGTGACGGGAGGTTGTATGCGACGAGTACCGGGACAGCGGGTGTTGGGCAGAGGAGTTCTAGGGTCGGAAGTCTGGCGAAGGCGAATGCGTTGTTGGCTCTATATCCAGGGCAGGGTGTTGTAAAGGAAGGACAGACAGTTGAGGCGTTGCTGATGGGGAGTTTGATAGCGGAGGATTAGTTCTATCTGCTTAGAGATGATGAGATGAGTGAATGAGAAGAATGCTGATTTATTTCTATGTATATTTGACAAAGCATCGATATGTATACTCTAGGATGCAGTCTTTGACAAAGTGAAAAATTCTAAGTCTTCCAACCCTTCTTCTTCTCGGCTCTCAATGCCAACAACGTCCCATCTTTGTCCTGCCGCCGCGCAATCTCAACAACAAGAAACCTCACAAAATCCGGCAGAATCCAATAACTGCTATGAGCACTCAACATATTCAGATACTGAATGTTCAAAGGTCCACCGCCGCCAGATATGAAATAATCGATCTGTCCGTTGTCGTTCAAAAGCTGCATACGCTTTTCTGCAATCTCCTCGCGTGTGAAGTCGTGCGTTTCGAGTTCGACGTTTGATGGTAGTTTTGTGATAGCTGCGGGTCGTGAGGGGAGCATGGTGCCTGAGAGACCGGAGGTAGTCATGGATTTGCTAAGGCCAAACCCGAATATCGATGAGAAGAAGGAAGATGAGGAGCTAGGAACGACAGCTGGTTTGAGAGAGGCAGCTAAGTCACTGTCTACTGCTGCATTGACTTGATATGCAATAGCTATTTGACGAAGTTAATAAGTGAGCATATTTGTGATTTGAAGAAGACATACGGTCTGTGGTGTGCATGATATTGTAGAGGTTGTCTAGTGCCAGACAACCATATTTCTTGGCCTCCTCTGCAACACCCTTTTCCATATCCTCGCCTTCCCTTCCTGGTTTGTTTCTGCCTCGTCGCGGGAGCAAATTCGCTTGTATCATGTCAGCTTTGATCAATTGGAATGGGAGATGCGCATACCTTTGTTGAGCAGCAGAAACAATCCCACAGGACTTCCGCAGAGAAACACATTCTTCGGGTCGAATTCAAAAATATCATCATGCAACTCAGCTGACTGCAGGTCGAAATTGGGTAGACTGGTAGGCTGGTTGCTCAAAACATCAAGTGCCATGACACTTCCTAAGGAGTGAGCCAGTAGATGTACTCTGCCGTGTTCATGGAATCCAGGATTGTTCATACACCACAACCTATACACTCGGTTTGCTTCCTTCACCACAGCTCGAATCATTTTCTCTTTGTGGTGAGAGAGGTAGTAAGGTACATCCAACATGACGTCGCTAACAAGTGTGCGGATCGCAGGGATTGTCTTTGGTGTGAGGTCATCAAGTGTGTAGTGATTTGCGGTAGGATCGTTCACATCCAACGAGTCTATTTCAGCATCTGCAAGTTCCAGGGTCGACCGCCAATTGACAGGCAATACCATGATACCTCCATGATCAGGTCGAATATGTGGCCAGATTTCTTCGTTATTAAGTTCCATGTTGACAGATCTCCGAAACGCATTGATAGCATGGGTGAAATGATAGCTTTCCATTTTCTCGGACAGTTTTTGGCCGATTCCATGAATTACAAGGACCAAGTCTGACGGGTTGGGACGACTCCCCTCAATATCGCAAGCATAGCAAATTTGTTCACCTCTTGTATGCCTTGTCTGAGGACGCGTCAAATAATGCCTCATATCAATGTTCGTTTGTTTGACAGGGTGGAGTTGATCCCACTGTTTCCGGTCGAATCCACGAACAACAGGTATGCCTATTTGACGTCCTTTGCGAATTGAACTGAGCGGTCGGCGATTCCTGGAAACTGAGGGCAGGAGACTCGGGCGAAGGATCTGAGCGTCTTTGCCGTCGACGTAGATGACACTGGCATTCTTGTATGAACCTGATTCGGTTTTTATTGTAGCCCCGCTGGCGGACAGGTTTTGAGCAAAAATGATCTCCTCAGTTTCGGCATCTTCATCATCGACGGAAACCTCTGTAGACGTTTTACCTTGTGCCGTCTCTGGCCGGCTTCGAGAGATGGAATCATTCTGCCAGAGCTTGTATACAACCTTCATCTCAGCATCCGCCCCATGCTCGACGCAGCTGTTGAGTTCATCTTGCCACGTATCTGTCCATGCACGCATATACTGATAGCCATTTTCAAGTTCGTTGGCAAGGTGTGGCTCGATTGGAAGCATTGTGTTTTTGTAGAACCATGTAGCACGAAGGACGTCTGATATGTCGTGGAGCGGGCTCCAATAAATTGGTTTCATCTGCGTCGGTTAGCAAATGAACAATACACAAGGGTAAGGTTATATCACCTTTAATCCAGGAAGCTCTACAAGATGTAGACGTGAGACCCCAACTGGAATCTTGTATCTCGCTGAGCGATCATCCGGATCGTCGGGCGATGATTCAGTATCTGGTACATCAGCAGCCGCAATATTTGTGATTGCTTCACCCGGTTCGGAAGCTGTTATTTCGCCATTTTCGGCACCGAAGTCCATGCTTTGGACGTTCTCATCATCCCGAGGTTCCTGCTCGCCCTGCGAAGATGAAGCCCCCAGCGAGCTAGAAGCAAGATCTTCTGAACCAGGAAAAGAAATAGTATTCCTCTTCATAGATTTGAATTTTCGTCCCAACGGAGACATATCCCTTTTCCTAGGCCAAGTCGACGGGCCAGATCCATCAGGTTGGTTGATTTGTGCCGATCTCGTCATAGGCAAGCTACCAGGAGCCCTAGGATCGCCCACACTCCCATCTCGTCCAGAGCCCGTTCCTAAAATTTTTATTTTATCCTTTCCGACACCCGCTTTTTGGTTGGAATCATCCACAAGAGCCCTCCATGCTTGTTCCAAAGCAATATTATCTCGCGCCGAGAAGGGCTGTGATGCGAAGGCCGTTCTCGCAGCCGTCGAAGTCGTAGCCGCCGGAAGAGAGGTCAACGGGTCATCGATCGGAAGAGAAGCCGTGTAGAAGAATTGAGCATTGACTTGAGGCGGATTGGGCGAGGATTGGAGAGCGACGAGATCCTGCTTTGGAGTCGATCGATGGCATGCTGGGCCGTACGTGTGGACGGGACCGGACATAACTCAGATGACTCCCAGACAGTGATTCGAGTTGAGATGTGTATCAGATAATGTTTCGTTTCATCGCAGTGTGTCACTCTATGTTCGGAGGGAATCGTCGAGTAGCTACCAAGGCAGCAACCAACGCAAGGCTAGCAGGGGCATATTGCTGTAGACACGAGATATTATTAAGATCGACGTGTAATAGAAATCCCGCGATGACCAGGAATCAAGAAAGCATATTTCCAATGTTTCTCACGAATGAAACGGAGAAAACGTAGTTGTGTTGTAAGACACGAGCGGTGCTTTTGCCATGTGTGCAGTGCATGTGATCGGAGCGGTGATGACGTCGCGGGCTGCGCTTACGTTGTTTGTCGAGCTAATTCTTCTAATTATAGGGGTAAACTCGACTTTTTCTTCGATTCATTCCGTTCCAACTATCACTAAATTACTTATTCATTCATGGGATCATTTCGAAAATAGGCATTAAAAACAACAAAATAGAGAAAGGAAAAGCATCGATACCAAAGATTGGGGAGGCCAAATGATGGTCCACCGCCAGATCAGCCATAGAACGAATCTCGCTGAGAAGGCTGGAGCTTAAGAGCCTCCATCTTCTTGTTGTACTTGGCCTGATGAACAAGTCTCACGACTACCTGCTTCATTTCGAGGAATGTGGCGATAACATCTCTAGAAGCGCCGAGCACCTCGAGAATGGGTTCGACGTCGTGGAACAGCTTGCGAATAGCGCTATCGGGCCAGCAGTAGGTGCGAACGTTCAGCTGATTGACGACGCTGCCCCAGGCATCCAAAGTAGCTTTCAAAAGCACTGGATCCAGTCCGTATTTGCCAGGAAACTCAAAGGTACGAACGTTGTGCACGATGATTTCGCGTTGAGTCTTAAGATCGAACTGGAATTCGGGGACGACAGGTCGGTTCTTGGACTTCCAGAAATTGACGAATCGCTTGATTGAGTCGTTACCGAGAAAACGGTTATTCTGCAGCTGTACGAGCAGATAGGCGTTGGCGCTCATGCAGAGAAATAGTTCAAGCTTAGAGTAGATTTCCGACTGAGATTCTGGGTCGACGTTGATCGAGATGCTTGGCTTCATGACGATGCCGTGCAGCAGCTCCATTCTGTTGTCATCGGGGTCGCGCTCAATTGTGCGCTGAATGCTGTGCTTCTGTTTCGTGTTATTCCCAATATTTTCTGATTGAAGAAAGAGAACATACGACGCGCTTGCTGAGCGATCCCATCTTCTCGGTCACCCTCTGCAAGTTTGACTGTTTCCAATCCTTGTCCTTCCCGAGATAGCCATCCGTACCGTACAAGACCTTCTTCTTTGGCTGTCCACTGTGGTGATATGGATCGATGGGATCAAAAGGTACGTGATCTTTCTGTGTAGCAACAGAGCCAGTGCTTTCTGAAGTTTGTAAGAGAGGGGCTTTCTCGCCGTATTCGTCAACCTCAGAAGGCAGACGAGCTGCGTAACGGCGTCGAAAGGGGACTCTAAGAGCCGCCAACTGCGAATACATGTCGCTGTTGTTGTTGTTATTGTTGGACGATGTCTGAAACTGATCAAAGGTGTGAAAGCTAGTCTTGGTGTCTTCAGTTTTCAAGACAGGTTCACGATCTTCCAAGTAACTAGCACCAGGAAAGACAGTTAGTGGACGTGAATCCTGTCGAGAAAAAGAGTCAACTTCAGTGTAGTGCGACCGCTCTGATTTGAGGTGGGCAGCATTGGGAGGTTCCAGTGGGAGAGGTTTCGAGGTGTCAGGGCCAGGACGCATGTTTTGACGGGCGAGCCCGTGAACCCGTCGAGAGTTGGCTGTCCCTGCGGAGTTACCATCGTAACGCCAGGTACTCCCACTGCTTGTGGTCAAATCCGGCCAACGATCATCGTCTTCATACACTGACGAAGAAGGTCGTGGCTGTTGCAATACTCTGGAAAATGTCAGCTCTGTGCAGATAAGTCAGATGTCAGAATTATCATTCATCTTACGCGTCGTAAATGGACGCAATTCTTGCATTAGCAAGATTTGCTGGGGGAGGTTCCGTCTTCACTGGATGTTTCTGATTGACATTTCGTGGCTTCAATGGCTCTGGCAGCAATGAATCTACGACTCCACGTGCTGTACGAGTAAAGGAGAACCGCTGGCGACTCGAAGGAGAGGTAGGCGAGGACGCTGCAGTCTCAGTTGGCTCCTCGACCATTTTCCCTTTGGCATCGGGATGGTAACAACGAGGCAGGAGGATTGGTATATCCCCGTCAAGATCAGAGAGCCTAGTCTCGTTGCCATACTCAGGATTGAGAGATTTCTCGTCTTTTTTCTTTGAGTGTGCGTCCATTCTTGTCCGGAGATGAACTGAAAAGTGTGAAAATCAGATTAAAGAAACAAGCAAAGCCAACTTGTGCATGCACATGAGAGATGTTGGTGAGAATGAGGGTGAACAACAAAACCAAGAAGAAAGAAAAGTTCTTATTACTGTTGCTGTGGTTGTTGTGGGTAAAACTCTTCATCGCCGGGGGCGACGAGAATAAGAACAATGTCACAGGCTCAAGCACCAACAACAACAACACACAATGAACAGAGAGTCAATAATTGCTTGGTGCACTGTGCTGCCAATATTGCTCCTCTACAGTTCAGGGTCTTGTCATGGTGCTGCAGGTCATGCCGGATGGGCAGGCTCGAGTTGGATATCTACATATCGAATTTGAGACTCGACATTGTTACACTTTAAAAAGTCAGGCCTTGGCTTGCATTACAGAAGTCTATACTCGACGGACTACATTATCCAGCCTTTGAACCTTCGAGCTGCACATATGTTGAGCAAATAGAGACTATCAAGATAATAGTGGCGACTTCTTGGGTGTTCTCGAATTGAAGCTATACTGGAAATTGCAGAATGTCAGATATTTTGAAAACACTGTCAGAGCATACTACAGCACACCCGAATCCAGTCCACTACGGTTCCGGTGCATTATCAAGACAAGTAGTATTTGTAGTATGGATGTTCAAGACTTCGAAATGCTTTTGTTGAGGGGGAGTCATCGTACGTTGTCAAGGTAAACTACACTTAGCTATATACTGTTTATCCGAGTCATCAAGACTTATATTCAAATCAATCCATCTTCTCTATAATCCTAGATATAATTGCTTAAGTATACTCGGTTATCTACTCTAACTATTCTTTCTGTAAAAGGCCGGTCTCGTAGGTCTTGCAAAGTCACGTGACTGGTCATCATAGGAAATACCGACCATATCGCGAATGCCGAAATGCGTTCCTGAACACTTTCTTCCTGGATAGCAGTAMAAGCCATAACCACCGCATCAATCAGTCCAGTACACTGACATAACTTACATAACTGACATAACTGACATAACCGCGCCGGAGACGATTCGCGGCTGGAGAAGCAGGTCTGCAAAGCCTCTCCACTTGCCGATTTTCTAACCGTGAGTGGAGCTCTGATTGCCGCGATCCCCGACCGACCTCTCCTACACTCACAGACTCTCTAAACATCTCCCCGCACTGAACCCCAGTTTGCGTTCCAATGCTGCCATTTGCTGCAAACCCTGCTCTACCCATCGCTCACTTCACCGGTGGACGCCATGGTCCAGCTCGTTCCTCCTTGGCTAGTACAGCTCCAGCCATGTGGGCCGTTGCGGACGTGAACCAATATTTCTGCAGCTAATTCAACACCATCTGCCGTTTTCGAGATCCGGCCATGCGCTGATACACGATGCATCGGTCATTCTTCATCTATTTAATAGGGGCCTTTTCCCTTGAATATCGCCATTCTTTATCTTGTTTTCGTTTTGTTTGTCGGTCATTTCTTTCAGTTCTATCTTGATACCCCAACCACTTGGCCGTGCATAAAAAAGATACTCCTCTCTACCTTCCCTTCGTCAGCCACTCCACACATCCGACACATCATGACCAAACAAGACAACAGATACGATATCGTCATCGTCGGCGCGGGTCCTGTCGGGATTCTGCTGTCGCTATGTCTCTCCCGCTGGGGTTACAAGGTCAAGCACATTGACAACCGTCCCGTACCCACAGCCACTGGCCGCGCCGACGGTATTCAGCCTCGCTCCGTTGAGATCCTCCGGAACTTGGGCTTGAAGCGTGCGTTGATGGCATATGAGCCCGCCAAGGTATATGATGTTGCTTTCTGGGATCCTCTTCCCAGTGGTAAGGGTATTACCAGGACTGGCAACTGGCCTAGTTGCCCTCGTTTCATCGACACTAGATACCCTTTCACTGCTCTTGTTCACCAAGGCAAAATTGAAAAAATGTTCATAGACGAGATTGAAAAGGCTGGCACAACTATCGACCGTCCCTGGACGATCGTCGATTTTGAGAACACCGGAAAGGATGCAGAGTACCCCGTTGAGGTCAGCCTCAAGTGCTTGGACACCAACGTTATTGAGAATGTGCGCGCCAAGTATCTCTTCAGTGGAGAGGGTGCTCGTAGCTTTGTCCGAGAGAAGCTTGGCGTCAAGATTAGCTACAAGGATCAGATCTCGTTCGTTTGGGGTGTGATGGATGGTGTTGTCCAGACCAACTTCCCTGATATTAAGGTACATCCTAACACGCACGTAATTTTACTCTGTGCTAATTCTGGCAGACAAAATGTACCATTCACTCAGATAGCGGCTCCATCATGGTCATTCCTCGTGAGGACAACATGGTCCGACTATACGTACAAATCGCGTCCTCGACTGATCCCGACTGGAACCCGAGAAAGTCGGCCACCGTGGAGGAGGTACAAGAGGCTGCAAAGAAGATTCTTCAACCTTATACTATTCAATGGGACCGAGTTGAATGGTACTCTGTGTATCCTATTGGACAGGGCATTGCTGAGAAGTACACTTTGGACCACCGCGTGTTCATGGGCGGAGACGCATGCCACACTCATAGTGTACGTTTTCCCTCTTCTTAGTAAAATTCAGCCAAACTAACTGTATACAGCCCAAAGCTGGTCAAGGTATGAACACAGCTTTCCATGACGCCCTCAACTTCGCCTGGAAGATCCACGCTGTCGAATCTGGCTTTGCCAACCGATCTCTGCTCGAGTCATATGAACCAGAGCGCAAACAGATCGCCGAGAACTTGCTTGCTTTTGATAACAAATATGCTGCCCTATTCTCCAAGCGTCCCCCTACTGCAGAGGAAGTTGGCAATGCCAAATCGGGCGATGAGCAAGAGAACGAGTTTGTGGCTACTTTCAAGTCATCTTGCGAGTTCACTAGTGGATACGGAGTTGCATACGAGCCCAATGTTATCAACTGGAGCCCCAGTCATCCTGCTCAGTCACACCTATTTGGTGTCGACGGTGTGAAGCTTGTAGTCGGCAAAGCCTTTACTCCTACCACCGTTACCCGTCTCTCAGACGCCAATATGGTCCACTTGGAACAGGAAGTGCCCGCGAACGGCTCATTCCGTCTTTTCGTGTTTGCCGGCACCCCATCAAAGAGCAAGAAAGCTCTCGAAGACTTTGCCAGCAACGTTGAAAAGGAGAAATCCTTCTTGTCCGTGCACCGCCGACCTGATATTGCCGATGTATCCTACTTTGAGCGCCACAACCCTCACTCCAAGCTCTTTACCTTCAACTTCATCTTTGCGTCTGAGAAGAACGGCGTTGATCTGACATCTCTGCCTCAGGTTGTCAAGGACTACCACCATCACATCTATGCCGACGATATCCCCGACGTGCGCGTACCTCACGCCAAGTTTCCTGCCCATGAGAAACTGGGCTTCGATCCTGAGCAGGGTGCTGTCGTCGTTGTCCGTCCTGACAGCCACGTTTCTTGCATAGTCCGCCTTGTCGAAGGAAGCGGTACCGTAGATGCATTGAACTCATATTTCAATGCGTTTTCAGCGAAGCCATTGGGACAGGGGTCCGTAAGCCATCTTTAATTTTATGTATAGATTAGCATCAGCGTAATGTGTATGTTTATTATGAATTTGCATTTAAATTTTCACCTTTGTCCGTGCAATTGTGAAAATCATTCTTACAGACGTATAAAAAGCTGCATTGGCAGGAATGCCCCACCGTTCTCCAAAAAGTCACCCTCCAACCTTCACCCCGCATCATCAACATCAACGTACAACCACAACAACATCAAAACATCGTCAAAATGCTCTCTCTAGCTCTCACAGCTGACTTGCAGGGGTATAAATCTCCCTTGTCCACTTTAATAGGAATAGGATAAGCATGCTGATTTCCTCAGGGTCTCAAACCTCCAACCCCAAGACACAGAAGAGGAGCCATACTACTACACCTTCAAGGTCCTCTGCAGCTCCTGCCGAGAGGAGCATCCCAATTGGGTCAGTTTTTCGCGCTACGTGAGTCTTTCCATTACCCAGAACCATAGCTTGAAGACTGATGACGTCCTAGGAAAAACACGACATCCCCGGGAGTCGCGGCGAAGCCAATTTCGTCTGGAAATGCAAGCTCTGCGGTGTACGCATCTCTCCTATCGTCTAAACCTGAAATACTGATGTCTATGTCTAACAATGATGCAGAAAACGCACTCAGCATCCATAACAGCAGGTCCACACGCCTACCAAATCCCCGAAAACCCGAAAAACAAAACTCAAAAGGTTATCGAACTCGACTGTCGCGGTTTGGAGTTTACGGAGTTCAAGGCTGATGTACGTCCGTTCTTTTCTTCACTCAGTTCCTAGATTTTTTTCTTTGTTCTTGGTGGCTGACGAGTGAATGACAGGGAGACTGGGAAGCAAAAGGAGCAGAAACACCAACATCCTTTGCGGGCATTGATTTATCCGAGGGGGAGTGGTATGATTACGATGAGAAGGCGGGCGAGGAAGTCAGTGTTAAGGATGTCAAGTTTGAAATTAAGAATATCAAGTAATTGACCACTTCGCAAATGAGGAGCTGGAGGATGAAGGAAGCGGATGTATGTAAGTTAGTTAGTTTGACGTTAATATCATGTGTTAAGTATACACTGTCAAATCCATGGCCCAATACACCAGCAGCAGGAACTAGTATCAAACCCAGAATCAATATGACTTTCATAAAAAAAAAAACCGTAAACCAAAAGAAGATAGTTGGGCGAAAATAAGCTACACAGCTCATCAAGGCGGTCAGAATTTATGTAGATCTGATTGGCCGAAAAGCTCTTTTATCTCGAAATATTGCGGCTTCCCGAATTACAAGATCAACGACCACGATCACAAGCCACAGCACACGAGCTTTCCTTAAATCGCTCTAGAGGGAAGAAGTCCATTCGCAAATACTAGAAATTTTTGAGGATACCGCCACATTCGAACCGAAGAAAGAGACATTGGCAGAATCCGAGCTAGTCGTCGTCGTCGTCGCGTGAACACCTTTTCCTCCTCGCACTCCAAACTTAAGATTCATTGCGCCGACAATGAGTGTACGTTAAACCTTTTCCCTCTATGGATATCTCTATTGTATATCAGATAGCTAATCCTCGACAGTTTCAACCCCTCAACCCCCGCCCATTCCTGCAGGCCCGGTACGTACACCAGAACCTAGCGCAACCCCCTCAGCCGGTCGAATGAATCACCTTCATAGAAATGCTAACGATAATACAAACAGAGTCGGCACCGAACTCATTATTCGCCTCAAATGGGGCCAGACCGAATACCGCGGCACCCTCGAAAGCATCGACTCGTACATGAATGTTCTGCTGCGGGATACGGAGGAATACATTGATGGCAAGAACACGGGTAGTCTGGGCTTGGTTTTGATCAGGTTTGTCTCTCCTGCTCTAGAAGTTATCGACCTGGGAATTGGGTTTTGGCTAATGCGGGATTTTTGACAGATGTAACAATATTCTCTGGATGGCTAGTGCGGATGGAGTCGAGATGACGGATCTGGGATTAAAGTGATCGATTTTATATTTTTGAATGTTATGTGGTATTTGATGATTATCTCGGTTTTCTTGTTTGAGTCTTGTTTCCTCGTTCCTGTGCGCTGCGTGCGTGCCTACGTTCGTGTGTGTATCGTGTCGGCGAAACGGTTGAGCGATGTCGTCTATATGTCGAAGATGGGAACATGGGCAGATGAGAGGGATACAGCATATTCGAAGCTATGGTCCGGATTATTGAGCTTACGAAGGACATACGCACCTGACGGATTAGGTGGAAGAGGAATGCAAGTCAAGAACGTACGGAAATAGATATACTCGGTCATCGGCGTTTTGCTTTCTTGATGGAGCGGCTTGATTGATTCAATAAAAGCAAGGTTCTACTTACGTTTGAATCTTCAATTTCTGGCATCGGGGTCAGTACTAGGTAGTCTGTGCATGGCTACTGGTTGATGGTATGGCTTCATGTAGTTTGTGCGTGTAAAAACAACCAGTCCAGGTCTCAAATGTTGAAGAATAAAAAGCAACTTCTTCAACACGGATTCAATCCATTGTCAAACTCTTCGACGCAATGGCGTATCGCTATTATCGAACCGTATGGCTTGGGTTGGTACTGCCGGCGCCTACTGGGAGAGTCCTATTGGTCGAACTGATAATCCAGGTATGTGGGCTATCAGCCACTTGTTTCATACCTGTTGAATATATTGAATAGATCAGGGATCTGTACCAGGCTGTGCAGGAGAACTGCCTATTTGGATCAAGCTAATGTAGACCATGCTTGTCTTCTGACTGAAAATGCAGGAGAGGCGACTCTACTTAGCTGCTGTCGTGCTGTTCTAATTAGGCAGACAGCTGCTAAAATGCCTTAAATATGGCACTCCTCTACTCATCCTATATTCTTTGCTACTATAGTACCAAGTCATAAGTACACTCATGACTGCTACAGATATATCACTGGATGAATGGGTTTCCGAGCCCGACGGCCGCGGAACATGGAGCATCCTCTCGACCTGCCTATTGACTATATCGCTATGCTGCTGGTCTTCGGTCTACCCTAATATCCCCTCAAGATCAGACGGCGAATTCAGACAGTTCTTGTACAAGTTCTATCTCCTGTCTATTGGGATTTTGGGGCCAGAGATTCTACTGTTCATTGCGCTAGGACAATGGACTTCTGCGCGGGTTTCGATCAAAGTGTGTATCCCTGTCGTCTAGGTACGCAAGGTATAGACTAAGAAGAAGAGAAATTCCATGCAGCAGGGTTTCCAGAGTGGACGAAGACACATGCCTTTTTCGCTGATATGGGTGGATTCCTACTTCAGGCGCCTGATTGTGCATTGTTCCCGATTGACAGCGAGCAGTTGCTCCATCTCGTGAGAGACGGATATCTGGACTATCCGGAGTTGGACGTGGAGGATATCAGCGATAAGAGTAAATCGGATCGGTTCACGAGGTAACCTACCTACATCTTTGGTCAGAGCTGTGATTGCTGACTTGTGGGTAGTTTTCTCGCTATAATCCAAGCCGTCTGGTTCTCCGTTAACTGCATCGGCCGCGCAGCCAGCCATCTCTTCATCACCACCCTGGAACTTACTACCCTATCATTCATCATCATCTTCCTCATCACCTCGTACTGCTGGTACCACAAACCCAAGGACGTCACGCGCGCCATTGTGCTCACCACCACAACTTCCATCAAGGATATACGCGCCCGATACCACCCCCATCCAGACCAGGAATGGTACCAAACCCCCCTCGACTTTCTGTCTCGCAACGAATGGTTCGCCAGTCGTCTATGGCGGTACTACGTACAGATTCTGCACTACCTCCGCATTCCGATCTTCCGTCGCCCTACCTGCCGACCATATGATCGGTTTCCGTCCGATAATTTCTTGTATGTCGACAAATTAGCGGAATGGATTGCGTCACCCGTGATTGTGCTGTATAGCTGCATGTTCATGTTTGCATGGAAATCTGACTTTCCGACGCCGACGGAGCGGTTGCTTTGGCGTATTGCAGCGGCTTATTTTGTGTTTTTTGGCACTGCTTGTATGTGCGTTTGCTGGCATGCGCATTATTTTATCTTCCCGAAATTATCGACCCGGAATAATAAGAACGAGTGTCTACTATCGGATCACGACGTTGAGCATCATGAGCAGCCCCCTCTAGCAGCAAACAGAGGTCGACTGCATCGCCTTGCCTGGCGACTACGAAACATCCACCCAGACCGAGACCCGGATCTAGACGTGCCGCTCAAAGTCCTCATTCCGAACGCCGTGATATGTGCGTCGTACATCGTGTTTCGCGCGATGATCCTAGTGGAAGATTTCATTGGGCTGAGACGCTTGCCGCAGAGCGCATTTGAGACTGTCAGTTGGCCAGCGTATATTCCGCACTGGTAGTGCACAGATCAGTCGTTCATTAGGAGAGGCGATGACGTCCAATCGGCCGGGCTAGACGAGGTTCGTCAGAACCACGGAACCAGTATTGTTCTCCTGGAGTATGGTTGCGACGTCACTTCTCGAAATTTAACCCGAAGTATTTTAGGAAGAAGTATAGAATAGATAGAATAGGAGAATCTAGACCTGAGCGTTCAATGTTGTTGTCGAAGATGTCTCAGTAAGCGCCGGAGAAGCTACATCCGGCCAATGATGTCATTTTCTCTGGCTGCAATCTATTTTTATATTCTACATACTACGGAGCACTACGTACGTAGTGAGAAACTTTCTCTCCGTAATTTACTATGTAGTATACTATATACCCAGGTCAAATGACTCTACCAGCTCCCTGCCATCCAGCGTGACGCGCCTCTGGGTCTTCCTTCTCGCCATATTGTACGTATACACGTAGTCCTATGACCCGTTTCATCGTGAGAACGAGCCCCCGCCCCTCGTTCTACAGATCAATACATTAGTTTGCCACATATCAGTCTCACCTCAATCCAGGTCTACAATCTTACTGGCCAACACCTGTGTAGTCACAATGTAAGAGAATCCAACCTGCATAGATACGAAGCCGTGCATAACAGCCATTAAACCTCGACCAAATGAGGTACCATGCAGGAGGGATTGTCAGACGCGGGTTAGCGACCGTCAGAAAGAAATCTGCAATGGCTGAGCATCCATGTTCGCAATGTGGAGAATATTTCCATGCCGCTGACGACGGCACTCAATTTATCCATATCGAGCGTGGTTGTGTCTGGTGGGTAGGCTCGTCGAGATGTCCAATGGCGAGATGCGGAAAGAGACGCCCAAGTAAGGCAGTGCCGATCAATCTAACTTTTAACCTACGGAGCGACGGAGTACGTGCGTACTATGCAGTAGAACGAACGGAAATGCGGGAACAAGCAGAGAGGACGAGAGATGGAGGGTGAGCATTAGGTCAGTGGCTCATCGGGTATTGATTTCGCGTATTTTACACGCTTTGACGCCTAGGTGCTGCTCCGTTACGGCAGTAGTACCGTATCGATAAGATGATCTACATAGGTCATCCATTCTTAGTAAACAGTCGGCTTATAAGTATGTCCCTCCTCTTCCTTATAGTCGGAGGATGTTGGGATATCAGCCATATCTAGGTCATTGCTTTCGGTCTTTTCAGATGTGAATCGAAATCGTGCAAGTGATTGCAATTATTAGCACTCGTTACTACTCAACTATATATCAACCTCTCGCTTTACTACAACATTCCACTCGTTCACCAGACACAATCAAGTATGTCCTCAACCTTCGAAACAACATTGTATATCGAAATACTAATCGCAATAGAATGGCCTCCTCCAAATTCATCGAAATTCTAGACAACACCACCGATCCCACCGCCCAGCAACACGAAATGTCCTCCTCGGACGTCAAACTCGAAGACGTCCTCGCTGATCACGAAGCCACCGTCCAACAGCGATCTCGCTCATCAACACAGTCATCCTCATCACGGAAGAGTCATGAATATACCGCGAGCGCTGGCTACAATCCGCGCCAGTCGATGAGTCGAGACGACTCGCAGAGCCCGTCATCATCGGCCTCGTCGTCACCGTCATCCTCAGCGACGTCGACGCCGGCTTCGCCGGTGCCGAAATTGAGGAGATTGAGAAAGTTCACGTTGAGCGGAGGCTTCGGGCGGTAATCTTCCCACCGTCATGCCTCTGATCGATAGGCAGGGTAGCTCCTGGATGAGCGACCACGAACCAGACTGCATGCAGGCATGATGCTTCGAACATACCCAATCCTAAAATCGGAAAATGAACCAGCCAAAAAAGGAAGAAAAAAGAAAAAAGAAAAAAAGTGCAAATGCGACCAATTTCGGTTTCCGCTTATGCAAACAAGACTGTATACTTACGACATAACGACCCAGCGATCCTTTTCGTCTTATTTTTCTATGTTGCGTTTCTGTTATGGCATGACCAGATACCCACTCCTTTTTATGTTATTTCGCATGATGTTTTCGAAGAGATTGGCCAGTCCGCGAGAACAGAGAATATGTATATTTTGTTTGATACAGCCCTCGAATCGAGCAACGATGAATCGGCTCTACACTCCAGCTGTCTCCAGTATGCAGGAATTGTAGATGACACAAACGAGCATGTAAACTGTTCCTTCCGTATCTACTAGGCATATAGACGGAGGACATTAAGGTAAGAGCAGCAGAAAGGTAAGATGCGTCCCCTGAACCAGAAATAGCTAGTTACCTTAGGCATCGAATCACGACCCACAATTCTTTACGGTTCATATCTTATCATATTCATTATTCCGACCAAGTACTTACAACAATCAACAATCAACACCCATCATAAATCTCGAAATATTTTATTATCCCACACGGAGATCTAGAAGGAATACAAAATGTCTGCATTCGCCACCACCACCACCAACACCAATCCCCGGTCCGAATTCGAATCCCAACGCGCCGAACTCGTGCGCGAAATCGCCCTCGTGCGTCCCCCATCGTCTCTCACTTCCTGACACGCTCGTCGCTAATAGTAACTGGAAATTGAACAGGGCATGGAATCAGTCCTCCAATACATAAACCGACTCAATCGGAATCTGGAAAGTATTATTGCTGTTGGTCCCCCTATCGTCATCCTCCCATACGGAATAAAAGGTTGTAGGCTAATTTGTTGGGGAAATTAGGTTGGGAATGAGTTTTCGTCCGTTGAGACGCTGTGGAGTCAGTTTGAGAATGTCATGGGTGCGACTGAGGAGGGGCAACAGCAACAGCAACAGACACAGGCACAACAACAACCAGAGCAGGATAATAGAGATGACGGAGAGGCAGGGGGTGATGATGTCGACGTGAAGCGGGAGGAGGACGAGTACGAATCGAGATGATAGAGAGGGCGGGGTGTGCGTGGTTGTTTATTGGAGTTCAAGTGATACCCATTACGAATGAAGATTGTTTACGAATTTCCGTAGTGCAATTGTGTGTCATATATTTTATTCGACTAACATCAGAAACAAACAGACTGAGAGTCCGTACCAACGCCTACTCCATGCATGCTCCATGCCTCATGGGCCGATGAAAATAACAAGACGACAAAAAAAATACAGAGAATAAGGTCCAATCGACGACAATAAAACAGACGAAAAGCCATCCTATCAATCAGGACGCGGCAAGAGAAGAGAAAGTCGAAGGCAGCCAGGCGATCGATCGAAAAGATTACAGAATCTTGCAAGAACGCTTCTTGACTTTGCGACCTGTCGCTCCCCCTTTACCGCTGGGCCCCGGTCCGTAGTATCCCTGTTCTTCGACTCCGACGACCGTGTTGACGGCAAGCTCAAACACCTCGTCGACGCCGGTCATTTCTTTGCTGCTGCACTCAATGTAAGCGGCTCCCATGCGCTGCGCGACGGCTTGGCCCTGTTCGGGGGTGACTGGTGTGAGGCCCTGGGTCTTGAGGAGCTCGATGCATGTGCGTTTGTTGCGGAGGTCGGATTTGAGGCCGACGAGGATGAGGGGTGTTGTTGGGCAGAAGTGGAGGACTTCTGGGTACCACTTGACGTTGTTAGCTGTCTGCTTTTGTTTGCGTAGACGGTGACTCACCTTGTCCATGACGTTCTCTAGTGAGTTGGGACAGTCGATTGCAAAGCAGACAAACAAGAGGTCGGTCTCTGGATATGAGAGAGGACGCAAGCGATCGTATTCTTCTTGGCCTGCGGTGTCCCAGAGCGCGAGCTCGACTGTCTTTCCTGTGTGGCCATGTGTGGTTTGCGTGATATAGTTTTCAAAAACCGTAGGCACGTATCTCTAGAATCAACATTAGCAAGTTGACTAAGTCGGAGCAAAAACGAAACGCACCTCTGGAAAATATCCCTGGGAATAACTGATCAACAAACAAGTCTTGCCGCATCCTCCATCGCCCACCACAACAAATTTCTTCGAATAGGCAGGCGGCTGGGTGATGTTGGTAGCTTGCGACATTCTTCCTGACGACATGCTGGTGTTGGTGCTGGCTGTTCCACTGCTGCCGTTGCTGACTCGGATGCTCTGACTGCGGACGTGGGTTCCTCGAGGAGTCACTGTTGGGGAAGGAGTTTTCTCGCTGTGAGTGTAGACTGAGTGCCGTCTGCCAGGGGCATGATTGTATTCATAGACAGTAGCCATGTTGCGCAACACAAACAAAGTAGATCAACAAGTGGGCGTCACAAACAAATGGGTGTCACGTCTGGTTGCGTGTTATTACTATGTGTGTTTCAAAAATGATCTGTGAACAGATATAGATCTATCACTGCAATAGAATTCAGTTGTAGGAATGCAGAGAGTTGGAGGAAGAAAGTTGAAAGAAGGGAGAAAGGAGAAGGGTTTGGTTTCTTTCTTCTGCAGATGGAGATGGCCAACTCTAATGCGCCCACTCGGACTGCCAACTCATACACTTGGTACAAATAAGGTCAAGGCTTGTTGCAAGGCAGATGGACGATCTATCGACCCGCCCAATGCGACCACGCTGATTGACTGAGTTTATTGTTGATTCGATGTGCGTCGATGAGTCGATGTGAAACAGGCACCGGCTGTGTTGATAGGGCAGATTGCCATGGCAACGCGTGGGATACGACAGCCGCTGCGCTCATGGTGGTCCCTTTTACTACGTAGTAAAGAGTACTAGCAAGGACTGGGCGCTGCTTTCAGCTGGGCTGTCTATCTGCCACCCGCTTTTGTGCCATGGTTTTCGGTCTGTCAGTTGAGTCTCGGTCTCTTGAAACCGGATCTCGAGAGGGGCTGTGGGTGATGAAGTCACTACGGAGTCCGGAATATATCTTGCTTCTTGTCAACTGGTGTTTTGCATTTCTACCCCGCTGTGGACTGTGCTACATGGATGGACTTGACCATGATGTGCTTGGTCTACGCCTTATAGATAGTACTTCGTATGGAGAACATTGAAACATGGATATATCTAGATTGACCTCGGATAGACTGCGAGTAAACAACGTGCGCATCGGCCGTTTCCGGCTGAGACTTAGCAGTCTCATGTATTCAAGAGGCGCAATTGGTGGTGCCAAACCAATAGTCTGAGCAAAGAATAGCTCTCCATGTCCGTAGAGAGCAGAGAGTAGGCACTAGGGAGACAGTACAGTACTAGGAATAGGAAGGAGGAGGATCGTGCTGACGGACGGCAGGTGCGTTGACCCACCGCAATCACAGCTGCCGCCAATCGCTGTCCAGCCACTCTCCGCTCCTCCCCTACGGCCTTAACGATCAATCGCATTCGTTACTTTCCATGTGCGAGATAGAAACACAGAAAGCGACATCTCCAGACACTCATTACTGCTCATCTCGCCATCAGAGAACCGCTAATCGGTCGTTCCGATCACTTCACCGTCATTGGCATGTGCTGGTGATAAGACGAATGGAGCACGTCACACTCGACACTCGACACACGGCGCACGCAATTGCTTCACACAATGGACAAGAAACCGAACGGGCGGACTGACGCTGGTCTGAGGAGTTTGGATCATTGTACGTCCCCCGTCGAGGCGATGCTCTTCGCTTGATCGTCTAACGTGAACAGATCTGAATAGTCTTCCGAAATGGCGATACTACCCCCGACAGAAAATCCTACCGGTGGTGCGCTTCGAGACTCCCTATCTGGCCTGGTTCCAGGACAAATTGCGCTCGCCCATGCTTGATTCGTACTTTGCCTTCACTGCCAATCTCGGTACCCATACATTCTTTACGGTCTTTCTACCCGTGTTGTTCTGGTGTGGATATCCAAGTCTGGGTCGCGGGTAGGCTATGCCCATCCTAAAATACTTTGTTATGCTTTGCTGACGCCGTTAGAATGGTCAATGTTTTGGCTGCAGGCGTCTTCTTTAGCGGCTTCATCAAAGATTTGCTCTGTCTACCTCGCCCTCTTTCTCCCCCGCTTCAGCGAATTACCATGTCCGGTTCGGCCGCATTAGAGTACGGATTCCCCTCAACGCATTCAACAAACGCAGTCTCCGTCGCAATTTATCTGCTATCGCTGTTATGGTCCGATACAACATTGAGTCCTCCCGTCAAATTTGCATCTCAGGCAGCTTTATATCTATATGCAGTGTCCATCATCATCGGTCGTCTATACTGTGGAATGCATGGTTTCCTCGATGTGATCATCGGCAGCGGACTAGGGGCTTTGATTGCATGGTTCCAAATTGTATACGGACCAGCATTGGACACTTGGATTGTCGGTGCGTCAGCAAAAGAAGTGCTTCTTCTGTTCCTGGTCGTGCTGGTCTTGATCCGAATACACCCTGAGCCAGCGGACGATTGTCCTTGCTTTGACGACAGTGTATCCTTTGCCGCTGTGTTTATCGGCTGTCAGGTGGCGGCCTGGGACTTGTCCAAGTCGACTATCGGCTCGGCGGAACTCACTCCTGACACTATTCCCTACCGACTCGACATGGGTTGGTTTAAGACTATTATGCGATTTGTAGTTGGCGTCCTCATTATATTTGCATGGAGAGAGTTTACAAAACCACTGTTGTTGCGTGTATTGCCTCCAGTCTTCCGCGGCCTTGAGAAGGCCGGTCTTCTACTGCCCCGTCGATTCTTCACTCGCGCATCGTATGTCCTTGTTTCCCCCATCCCCATTTTACAAAAATGATGCTAACCTTATCAGTGAGTACGGAAAAGTTCCAGGACACCTCAAAGACGACGAGGTCATACCGAATTTCTCCGACATTCCTTCCATCCTAACATCCATTCGACATCCCCGCCGCAGAGCTATTTCGATCGGACCCCAATCCGAGGCTGATGCATACGAAACACTGGCATATAGAGAGAAGCGACGACGCGAGAGCATTTCTGACAATGCACATGGATTTCTGGGTATGTGTTCAACTTCTTTGTAAACTAAAACTAACAGTCTAGGTGAACAACGTTCTGCTACCAAACGATCGGCGTCCAAACTGGAGCAATACGAATCGCAAATGGGAACTGTCAGCCCTAGACAAAGTCCCGATGTTCCGGCTCATGAGACAGGCCCTACACCCTCAGGGGGCTACGAAATAGCCAACCGTTCCACGGAGGACGAAGAGCAAATGTTTTCCATGATCAAGAAGCCCCGTGTCCGATATGATGTCGAGGTGGTAACGAGGCTAATCGTCTATATGGGTAAGACTTCCTCCATAGAGCTTTATACGACATGGCTGACCTACCAAGGTATTGGCGTGATCGTGGTCGATTTCATGGCGTACGTGTTTGATATTGTGGGTCTGGCACCTTAAGGCTATGATCGCAATGGTGATGACTTTTTATTCTTCCTTCTGAACCCCCCCCCTTCCTTGGTCGCAATGGTGATGACTTTTTTTTCTTCCCTCTGAACCCCCCCCCTTCCCCCCCCCCCCTACTCACTAATATGGTACTGGACATAGTTTACTTCTGCATTGTGTCTATATTTTTTTTCACGTTAATGGTCCCATTTTACCTTCGTACCTGKGTAGATTGGTTACGTATGTTGTACGGAGGAGCACTCCGAGCATGTTTGTATTTTAGCAATAGAGATGATTTTCAACTACCCTTATTATATCACCATCGCTATGGTATTCATACAGGTAAATCCTAAGAACGAATAGATAAACTCGCTAGATAAATTCTCAATACAAATGCTTCTGGTCGACATTGTTATAGTGTCGTTTCTTATCTTATCGAAAGCAGCCGCATCACGTGCGGAGCTAGCGCGGGAGCTTAGGCGCGCGATGGAGCTGTCAGCCAGACTATGAAGCTTCAATTTCATCTACGCTGCCAGCCACCACCTTTGCGCCTCGCTCTCTCCGCCCTCATTGACCACCACTATCTCGCTTATTTGCTTCTCACTATGACAAAAAACTCCCGACCGATCATCAGAGCTAAAAAGAAAACACCCGCGGTTATCTCAGATCGCCCTAGTCCCGTTTGAGCTCCGACTACCTACAAACGAAATCGACGGCCTTAACCGTACGTCTTTCCCAATTCTGTCTCTGTCTCTCTCGTTGCCCCGCCATTCTCTCTGTAAATGCTTCGGACTGAGCTCGCTACTTCTCCTCTGTTCCTCTGACTATTTTGTTTTCCTGCACTCGAAAATTTCCTCAACTTCCCACCTTCATTTTCTTCCATCTTTATCCTTCCCCATTCTCAACCCTTCCATCTCTACAAACTCATCGCCTTGCGCGCAGTGTCTGAGATAGCAAGTCAGAAGATTCGACGCCTGAAAGCAATACTCATCTCAGCTTTACAAAAATCTCACTCGGTGTTTATCACGTTCGACCGTCTTTTCGTACGGCGCGTCTAAACTTCGATCCTCATCCTCCTCTCACCAATCGAACTTCCAAAATCGAGAACCTCGTCTCATTTTCACGTCGATCACTCCTTTCTCCGATATTCATTTTCGTCGCCTTCTACCATTTGGTATGGAAAAATCGTCTTTATTACACAAGGTTCGAAAGTGGTATTTGGAAACAGGACCCCCTTTCACAGCTTGCCACAGACAAGCGGTGCAACTTCTTTGACGACTTCTTTACTACATTTCAACTAAAATCTTGTTACATACTCGACGCGTCGTCCATTACCCAAGAGAGTAAGGAAAATGGACGGCGACTCAGATATTCAAATGGTGGACGCACCTGAGCCTTCACCTCGACCTGCAGAACCACATCTCTCAGGCCCATCAACAAAACATTCTTCATCAATCTTTGCCACAGGGCTGAAAAATTACCACAAAGTGAATAAACCTACGTCTGGCAGTCTATTAGGCTCTCAAAATTACATGCCCACTCGTCGAGCTTTTGGGTTTACTCCTCCTTCGAAATTGGCAAGAAGTCGCCAAACTATCACAATGCCTGCACCTCGCGGCCCAAATTACTTCAACACCCCAAAAGGTTCAACTGCGAGCTTCAAAAACCCACGCATTCGAGCCCTTCCTTTTCTTCCGCAAAATACACCACGGCATCTTAGCCCATCTCAATACCGCTTACCATGGAAATTACGGCAAAGCAAGCCTGATCCATACTCTATCGAAAAGACCGGGAATCCTCACATTGATATTCCCATGCTTCACAAAAAACATCGGCTTGAGAGGGCTGCTGCTAGGTTGTCTCCAGAAGATCGTTTGAAACTTAATGCTAAACGTTCTGCTGAGAGATCTGAAGAGTCCGCGTCCAAGCGTGCGCGCATCATTGAGACTAAAGGAACTGCTGTGTCTTTCACACCAGTGCAGTCTGCAGTCCCACGCGTGCCAGGTGCATTCCCGGAATCCCCAGAACATGACGCACCAGTAGAAATTCAACCACTTTCTTTGCCTGTTGCTCAGACTGCGGCCCGGAATATTGCACTCGCTGGAATGAGCATTTACGTCCGAATTCGCCGAATCACTGGTGTTGTGAAAGGCGCACATCGAGCTCTCAAACAGGGTATCAGAGCCAGTACCCTGTTTGCGACCGCCGTTGGGCAACGCATCAGAGCCACCCATGAACCTGTACCAACAGTTGTTGAAGAGCGTCAAGAGACACAACAGACTTATGAGAGTGCTACTTCATCTGCTAGCGATCAGTTGCAAACCGACCTCACCGCATACGCTAGAGCTCTACCCCCTCGTCGCTATGCTATTCCAGACAATGATCCGTCTGCGCAATTGCAAGCAGAACTTGTTGATCACACTTCTCATATTCCTCAACCCTCCACTATCATTACTGCACCAGCACCCACTACGATGTCTGCTAACTTGCTGGCTCAAGATCAATCTTCTGTTGATGAAATCATGTCAGAAGCATCCGCTGCTCTTTCGGGGCAATCTACAACTACTGCAACTACCACAGCCGTTATGGAAGTGCCAGCAGCTCCTACTACTACAGTGCAATCGACATCCGCGTCTGTCGAGGTGGAGTCTTCTGTCAGAGAAGATGAAGACCCGGATGCGCGAAAACTTCGGGAACTCTTTGGTAAACGCAGAGAGAAACTCGGTCTACCACCCTCTGAACGCTCGTTATACTGTCAAGGGCTTAGAAATCGTAAACTCAGGCGCCCTGCCCCTGTGACTCCTTCTGAGACCAGTACTGATGCAGAGGTCACTAATACTGAACTCGCACAGGAAACTGAAGAGCACATCCAGGACACTTCAGTCTTAGTTGAGGAGCGCCCGACTGTTGAAGTCCAGGACACCGCACATGTCGAAGAACAACAAGATGAAGAGCAACAGGCCGAAGACCAACAGGTCGAAGAGCATCATGTTGAAGAGGCACGAGATGAAGAGGCACAAGATAAAGAGCAACAGCTTGAAGAGCAGGCCGAAGAGCAATTCACCGACGAACACGAATTTTTCATGTCTCCCGATCCTCCCGACAATGACGATGAGTACGACCCAGACGCCTACTATCCGGGTGTACCACCACTCATGCCCGAGAGGCGTTTCTTCTTCAATGCAGAGTTTCGACGCAAAGTTGCAGCAAAAAAGAAAGCTGAACGTGAAGCTGCATTACTTCGAAAATCACTAGACGAAGCAGAAGCTCCCAAACGGGAATATCTCGCTGCCTTGAAAGAGTTCGAGGTTGCCAAAGCCGAGCAAACCCAGTATTCGCTGCGCTCTATCCTCAAACGCCGCCGCGGAGACCACCAGAACCGACGCTTCTCAGGGAGTCATCTAGAAGCAACCATACAAGAGACGGTCGATCAGTTAGCGGCAACTACTGTTCATGACGAGGTCCCCGAGATTCCTCGTCCGGCTCGCAACGTACATTGGGATGATGTGGAAATCAATTTTGGCGATGTGCTCTCCAAATGTCGGTGGTATGATGTTATGTCCCCGCCGGGCGTGTTCAGAGCAGGTCCCGAGCCAGGAGATAGAGCAGGGTTTGAGAAGTACGAGGAAGGTATACGACGTCGTGAAAAAGAATGGGAGCTTAAACAACAGAGGCAGATTGTGAAAGATCGGGAAGATGCCCTTGGTCGTGCTGATGCGCCGGAGCAGGGTGCAGTCAGACCCTTGACGCCTCTTTGGGATCAACGTTTGACAGTGGCAATGCGATCCCACCCGAAGGATGTCCTGGCTAAAACATCAGATGCGGACCTGACCCACGAAAAATTAGAAACGTGCTGGAMTACACTGGCCTGGTTGAACGATGAGGTTATCAATGGCCACCTCTCACACACCGTCAAGTATCTCCGTCGCCAGGCGAACAATCTCGGAGCTAACGACGCACCTAAATACTACGCTTTCAATAGCTTCTTCTACAAGAACCTGCGCGACGGAGGATACCAAAAAGTGAGTCGCTGGGCCCGTCGCGGCAAGATCGGTGGCTCCGCTCTCCTGAACGTCGAAACGGTCTTCATCCCCGTCCATGAAGGCATGCACTGGACCCTCCTCGTCGTAAGTCCCCGCATGCGCACGATCGAATACTTCGACTCCCTCGGCGGCAACCCGGACTCCTTCGTCGAAAACACGCGGCGCTGGCTACGCGGCGAACTGGGCGACGCCTATGTCGAGTCTGAATGGCTATTTCTCAACACCCCATCACCGCAACAGGATAACGGCAGTGACTGCGGCGTATTCCTGCTCACGAGCGCCAAGGCCATTGCGCTGGGCCTCAAGCCGACGGTCTACGGACCAAATGATATCGAGCTGATCCGCAAGAAAATTGTCGCCGAACTCATAAATGGGGGTTTGCACGATGATTTGGATCCTCGGGATAGCTCCGGCGTCGTACAATTGTGATAGTGCGCCGAGTAAATGAAAGACGACTATCAAATGATCCGATATTCGGGAGTCTTCCAGTGATATATCACCACTACTACTATTACGTTTTTGTTTATGTTTTTTGATGATTGTGAAAGGGCGCGCGCCCCGAACCACAACTACGACGAAACGACAATCATGCCGGCCATGATTTCCTTTTTGTTTTGACGAGCAATAAGCGATTGAGATACCCCCCAAATGTGAATGTTTGTTTGGCGTTTTCTGGTTTTTGTTTTTGGTTTTATATGGCATGGAAGGGCAGCACCTGTGTATATTATCGTGTTGTTATGCGACCGCAATGGAATTGTGGTAGGGTTCCCGGCCTCATTTCATTGTCGTGTTGCGGCGTTTATTGTATATTGGAGCGACCCTGTGTATTTTATCGTGCTGTTATGCGACCGCAATGGAATTGTGGTAGGGATGAGCTCCCGGCCTCATTTCATTAGCTGGTTGCGGCGTTTGTGGAGGCTTTTTTTTTTGGATTAAGCATTTGGGAATGTTTTGTATTAGTATAGATGCCCTGGGAATGAATGCTGTTAATGAATATTTCGGTTCTGGTAGAGAATAGATCCTATGGAGTGTGTATAGGTGGTGATGGGATGAGGTAATGAGTCTGTTTCTTTCCTCGCTAACTGTATACAGAATCTATAAATACAAGACTGTCCAATGCAGAATGCGTCTAATCAACAAAGCCCACCCAACATGTAATAATACAAAGCATCTCCAGCTCACGTCTCCGGTACACCAGGGCGAACGACGTTATCAATACGACAGACTGTATTGCAAGGTCGAGGAGCTTCGCCGGTCAAGTTGTATGCAATCTCGATCCATTCAATGCCCAAATGTACGCTGTTCCCGACTGTCAGATTGCCAGACCATAACCCGCCATCACTCCAGATATTGACGATCAGTCTGCTTGGGTCGACGGGTACTCCATATGCCAGGCTGGCTTGAAGCTGGTTCTCAACGTACCAGCGAGACATGCCCGGAAACCAGTCGAGACGATAAGCGGACCACGTTGTCCATGGCACATGAGCATCGACAGCGACTTGCGAACCTGGTATCACGACATTGCGTATCGGATCGTAGTCCGGTTGATTGGCGTAGTGTGCGCGGTTGGGCGGGTCTGAAGTAAGGATCTCAATATCCGACTCACTCGTTCGCGAAAAGAAGGTGAATATGCCAACGCAGGCACCAGTCGAAGGCGGCAATCGGGATGCAATTCTCTGCACGAGAGGATCTTCTTGAATACGCATGTCTGTCAATTCATCATTCCTCTTGCCAAGGGCCGTGTTCTCGAGCAATGGCGGCGAGAGGATCGGTTCATTGTTATCGAGAATTCGAAGTCGGACACGGAACGAAACATGCATGAAGTTCTGAATTCCAGTCTCGATTTCTGCAGTTGAGGAGTATTTCTCAAATCTCTTAGTACGCATAGCGAGAAAACTGGAGCCGCCGGCCAGGGACCTCGTTAAAAACGCATTCTTATTCGAGTTTGCGATGGGGATAGGGAAGAGGAGAGATCCGCTGCGTTGCCAGTCTTGGATGAGCCAATCGGCTGCAAAGGGTGTGTCTTTGAGCAGGATAGGTGCGGCATTGAAGTCGTTGTTCTGTTGAGTAGCTGCTACATCTGCCTGCGTGGCGGGTTGGAAGTGAAACTCTTTGGCAGCTAGAGCGTTGAGAGGGACCTGTCGAAAGTCCCAGAATTTGTGGTGCTGGAAATATCCAGGGTCGGGGCCTGAGACGCTGTAGCAGTCGCAGGAACGTCCTCGTTTGTCGGCGGTGGTCGAAGCTGCTGAGATAGGTGTTTGGGTCTGGTTCAGGACTGATCGAGCGGCTGACACAGTTGACAGAGTTGTCAAGACGAGGAAGAAGAGGTTGTATTGCATGACGAGATAAGCATAGAACGTATGCTCTATTCGATAAGAGAGGTGTTGGGATGTCGCTGTTTCAATTCATCTATGGCTGTCGATGCGTGAGTGATGCAGTCTCGTTCTCGACCCAGTGAGTTTGTTGACATCGACATGGACTGCGGCCGGGAGGAAGGAGCACCTGCCTGTCTCTGGCGAGGCAGACGCACACAAGGAAAGAGCCAGCTTTATCCTCTCATGGAATGATCAGCAAATAGTGATTGTATATTTCGCTTCAATCTGCCTCATTCTGTCGACTTGCTTCAGCCTTGCGACTGTGCCACTGGTCGGACTTGGAAATGCTGGTATTCGGCCACTTTCAGCGCATTTCTTGACTACCGGTAGTATCCTGACGAAATTGAATTCGATTGAGAGAAGAGTCCATACCCACTCGTCACCCCTATCATTATGAATCATAATGGATGTCACCACGAAGTAGGGCAGGGGGCTTGGTCTATAGCAGGGCAGCTGGATTGCCATAATAAGAAGGCAGTTGCTGAAAGTGGAAATTTCATCTGCCAGAATTACAGAATTAACAAGTTGTCGTTTTAATCATGATGTTTGCGACTCCTTTATTTTTTCAATCCTCCCAATGCTATAGAAGGCACATGGGATTTCTTCGATAGACGGGCTGGAAATCAGAGTCGCTCAAATGTAGGAAGCTGATATGTTAACATTCGAGACGAATCTGAAAGTCAGATTCCGACCCCTTAAATGTCGTGCAGATTATATCAATCAGAAGCTTTCTCCAAATCTACATCGATCAATATCATTATCAGAGTACTGACTACGAAGTAGGGCAAAGATTAGTATGTAGCGCAGCTGGATTGCCTCAATAGGAAGAAGTTGCTAAAATKGGGAATTTGGGGSCCMAAGCCATAATTACAGCATTACACGAGTTGGCGTATTGACCAGGTCAGCGACAATACAAACATGCAACGGACAGCGTCACCGCAGCCACGCAACAAGGGCGCTGTACCAATGAAACAGCGGTGATACAATACACAAGCGGGGGGTGACTCCAGAATTGATTGCTTATTGGCCGCTCTACCGTTACAGCCCGAGACCATCAGCCAATTCTTACCGCTAAATAAGCTAGTGGTACTAGCGCTTACAGAGCCTCACAAAAGCGTAGGAATGACCGGCAAAGGCCCAACCCTCCCATTCAGTCGCACAAAATGGCGGATTCCCTCCTTTCACGCGGTTTTTCCCTCCATTTCGCCTCCCTCACCCCATATATGCTGCGAGCCCCCGTATACAAGTGACGGCTACCCTTATTTTCCACTCTCAGTACCGCCAGATTACCCTGAAAATGAGCATAACGTGTTGAAATTCGCCCAACAATCGAATGACAATGACCACAACCCTTGAAAGAAGCCTCTCGAGAGCTTCCAGCATGTCCATATCGGTGTCCAGTCCGCTCCTCTCTGTGCACCGCGACATTACTCCTCCAGCCATGCCCGACGCGGGCGTGGCTCACCTCCACGATCGCCTGAACTATTTGGATTCCCGAATAAGCGAACTACGCTCTGTGATATTGACCAAAGACTCGTACGTTGAACGCCGCAACAGAGAAGATCTATACATCCGACGCGAGTTTGAAACGCAAAGAACGATATCTGAACGTATCGATGTGGGCGTGACCATACTCAAAACCGAATTAAACCAGATCCGTAACAGCGTCTCATCACTGAACGGCGATACGGCGTTTTTACGAAACGATGTCGCCCGTCTCCAGAAGAACGTTCAACAGTTGCAAGTCGATACCGCTTTTCTACGTAACGACGTCACACGCCTCCAAAAGAACGTCCAGCAGATCCAGATCGAATTGGAAGCTTTGAAAACGGAGGTGGGTGGTTGTCGTACGGAGATCAAGCAGTTGCACACGACAGTTCAGCAATTACATACGGCAGTCAATCAATCCGAGCGCGTCCGGTTCAATTCGTTGGCAACAACAGTCCACGCCCCCATTAATGCTGTGCCCAAGATCGATCAGGATGGAACGTTACGATATCCTGATTACTTTCCCAGAACCGTTTGGCGTTTCTGGTGTCTGAAGAAACGAAGTCGTCGTGAGTGCATTCAGATTTGTATGTTTATGCATTGTGTCATTCTAACTTATCAAGTCCATCGCCTGGTTGAGCTTGCCGAATTCTTCGAAGTCGAAGGATACGAGTACTGGGGTCGAGACCACCACAATGATGTTCCGTGGGATGACGACGATGATTCAAGCGACTATAGCGATCGGCCAAACAATCTTACACGTGCAGAGGCAGCTTATCAATATCCTGAAGCTTGCCATCAGGCACTGGCGGCCATCTGGGGATTGAATTATCACAAGATCCGCAAGGCTGTTGGAGAAAGTCCTAATTCGCGGATGGCGAGCACCCCTGCCCCCAAGAGACCGGCCGAGGACATGGTCTCTAACCCTCATGTATCGACCAGACCGAAGCCAGTCAAACTTGCCAGACGTCTCGGCGACGTCTCGCCAACCATGCTACAGAAGCTCGTTTATGGCGTTCCATCTGTAGCATCCAAATCAGTCTCATCGGAACTTGAAGACAAGCTCGTCTGGCGCGAGCATGGGGGGTCTGAGATATCAGACGAAGCACTGTCCAAGTTGAAGGGCCTTTCGAGCGACATTGGATCCATACTGCGCGCCATTGAACGTGGGAAGCTACACGTCAAATCAGACCAAATGCACATTTCGCCTACGGAGTCTCGCCCACGTGGAGAAGCAGATATCAAGGGCGAGAGTCCCGAAGCGATGGCTGTCGAAGAAGAGGTACGCTCTACACACACCGTCTCGACCGAGATCATATCACCTACCGGATCGCTCCCGGATACAGCAAGCATGCTGTCCTGAACCACCACCCACGTATAGTACCGCCACCCCCCCTTTTGCAGCATTTACGGAGTTTTGGCATTTGCGGCGTTTTGATTTTAATACCTGGGATACCCTGCATAGCGAATTTTTTCGGGTGCATTACCTGGATATGATGGAGAGAAGATGGATATACTAACTATTACATGCTATATACATTGTAAATATTCTTTGCATGAGTGTATATACTGTGGAATGAACCAACCGAAACTTACTAAACATTGATGACCTAGGTAAAAACAGTAGAGCCTAGCTATAATAAGCAGGCCGCCTCACGATGTTTAGATCTTGCATCAATCCATCCATGGTGGATCTGGTTTAAGAATGGAGAGCAATCCGGCACATCAAGTTGCTTGACTGTTTATGATTAGGTGCACCCCTCGTTACTAAATTGACCTGATGCTAGAGTTTGTCGATACACATGTGGAAGGCCTTTTGATTTTGAATTAACATAATGCTAGACATTGCCGATATAAATACGGGGAGGTCTTCTAATCATTATACTGACTGCCCCATCTTTACAGAGTTCAGCTTACAACAAGAGTTACGAGCCTACACCCAGACTGATAACTTGGATATCTGGACTGTATGAGTTGTGAAACGCCAAACTAATCCCTTTACCTAGCCTATACTAACAGAGCAAGCTTCTACACTGACAATCGCCAGGACCCCTCAACTCATTGTCACAACCAGTTCAACTGGCCTGCTCAATACATTGCTTTCTATTCTACTCTATAAGTATCTATCTAAACCTGTAAACGCTTCAACAACAACCGCAAAAGGAAATTCTCAGACCCAGTCTGCCGTTCCAAAAAGTCAACCTCCTTCTGAATCTGAGTATACATATAACCCAGCATCTCTTTGGTGTACTCCAGACTCTTCGTCTCTGCCAGATGATCGAGGGCCAGCTTCTTCATCTCAAAGGTCATTTTGCCGTTGATTAGACGTTGATGGAGCATGGATTGGAGTCTGATGTTGGGTTTTGTGGTTAAGGAATGGATGAGTGGGAGTGAGAATTTGCCTTCGTCGAGGTCCTCACACCAGCCTTTTTGGTTGGTGTACTGTATAATAATTGTGGTTAGTTGATGTAGATGACAAGGTGAATAGAATAAGTAGGAAATGTACCTCTTCCGACATCAGATTCTGATAATCATCACGGACCTGGAAATATCGTCCAAACAATGTAGTCATACTCGATAAGTCGGGAACCCTCCTTGAATCATATCAGTAACAGTATATCACTATGCTTGAAGCGCGACTCTTACCCTGCCATAGGGGATTTCAATGCCATCAACTTTGCCACCATTTGGAACAGACCTCCGGTTTCTGTCCACAGTTAGCTTGCATACACGATAAGATCAAAGTCTAAAACGTACTATAGTCTACCATTTTGAGATACTCCTCAAGACTTGGGCATTGCACGTTAGCGGTCCAGTAGAGGTCTAGACTCTGGCCGATGTGCAGGCGTTTCAATTCATCTGAATTACAAGGTTAGTTCACCCTGTATACGTATGTGTCTAGGTGGAGGAAATTCAACTCACCAATGAACACATTTAGACATGCCGGGCTGTTGAGTCKCTGAGTCATTTCTAATGCCATGACATACAGATAGTTGGCCGAGTTGATTGTCTGCGAAATGCCGTACACGACGTGGGTGCTTGGGAATCCTCGACGGAGGGGCGAGTCATCTTCAATATCATCGAGCCTGCGAAAATGATCAGCGAAGGCTCAGCAATTTTAAGGGATATATCATACATTAAAGATGAGTTGTGCAAGAGATCGATGGCTTCTTTGATCACTTCCAGCTCAGCCTCTGGGACATTGAACCAGATATTCAGGGCGTCTATGGCATGATGTCGGACCTTTTTCGAGGGTAGTGACTTGACGTATTGAGATGGTGATAGGACAACCTAGACACCTGAATTAGTGTGCGAATATAGAAAGACTTTTGTTAATATAATCACTCACCTTGTCCGGAAGTTCTGGCAATTGAACGTCTAGAACCGGGCCAACAAGTGACTTTGCGGTCCTGGTCATCAGAACATCATTCGCAGAACTCAACAAGCCCGAAGTAGCCGGTGTCTTGACATCGACGACAGTCGAGTCAGTGCTATCATTCAAAGTTGTCTTGGAATCATCCGATTTAGCGCCCTCATCATCAGTATCCTCATTCTCTTTGGCAGCAGGCTTGTGAAAGTTGTAGCGGTGCGTATATTGACTCCAGACGACATTGCCACTGATACTGAATTCCAGCGCAGCAAGATACCGAAGCAAGTCCTTCGAGACCTGGCCTGTAGCCTGACGTTCAAACTCTCGATGGCGTCGCACGTACTCCTCGCAAGATTCGCGGATCTTGTCCTGGCAGATCTTCTTGGCTTCTTCCAGATCCACGGAATGCTCTTTCATGATGATCCAGATGGCGTTGGCCATGTCTTCTGATGTCGGGTTTTGCTTGAATTCGACGTACTCTTTTTCCCAAGAGAAGTAGTCATTTGCTAGGGCTAAAGTGGCGTAGGCAGGATCGGTGATGTTGTTCGCTCTTTCGGCTTCGTCTGGGCTGATTGTGAGACCCATGGCGAACGTGATAATACCAAACCAGAATCTGTTCACGTAATTTAGTACCAATACCAATGCATATGCATATAAATGAATGAGAACATACGTTTGACCCAGATTGATAACACGATGAGGAAGATACTCGTCTAGCCTTTGGAAGTTGAAATGCTGGCTTCCACTTTCACCCTTCACCAAGCCCTCCCAGCATTTCAGCAGAACCATAGCCTGAGGCTCATTGATAGCGAGAAGCTCCAAGATTAGTTTGGCTTGCATCTGCGATTTCCCGGAGGCCGACATTTTGACATTGTCTGCTGGATTTAGGACGCTTCCGAAGCCAGCGGCCATTTCATTGTTTTCGTGATCTCCCTATGCATCACTTTAGTCACAATCAAGTTGCAAAGATTTCCAAAAAAAAAAACCTACTTCTTCCTTGCCGACGTTATCGAGAATATCTATAAAAGATGTTAGCATACTTTGTTCTCGCCAAAAAAACGCCAGGCTAATCACCATCATGCAAGAACGCAAATTCATTTGCATAGGTAACAATCTCCAACCTCTCTGGGATACACTCTGGCACAGCAACAGCAATACCATTGAACCTTGGACTGAGGCACCCAGTGAAATTCCTGATTGGGCCAACTAGTCTTTTCCAGTCTTCTTGAGCTCGCAGAGCACCTTTATCTGCCAAATGGGCAAATTTGTGTACACGCAGAGGGAGCGAGCTGCAGAGGCCCAGATCATTATAAGTGGACGGGTCTACCAGGTTAGAGTAACGGCAGATTATTGAAGATGCTGGACTTTCAACAATACGCTCGTCTTCTTCCGAGGTCGGTTTAGATGGTTCCAATCTTGCATTCTGAGGGGCTGCTGCAGAGAGCCGGCTCTGAGTTGACAGCAGAAAACTGCGTGCCCATTCGAAAAACAAGACAAAAACCTGAAGGCATGAAAACAAAAACTTATCGGCGGACATTGATGTAGGTTGAGATGATATGATATGATGCGCTGCTGTAGCAGTGCTTTTCTTGGTACCTGCCATCGCTGCTTTCCAAATGTTCTTTGCAGCTAGAGTGCGAGAAGTGTCAACAACATCAGCACCCAAAAAKTATTGCTCTGAAATCAATATTGGCTTCAGTTATAAGAGACTGGCCTTGTACGTATATACAGCTTCGTGCAGGTTACGATAGTACTATCGACGAGCAGCTCGCCGCCAGCCTCGCGTTAATGGGGGCCACAAAGTGGAAATACTATATATCAACCGACTTTGAGCTGCTAACTATCTTTGCACTGTACTCTCTATGCTGATGATGCTATCTAGGACCTTACATGGGTATGCGAGTCATGTACGTACATCACTATACGTGTAAATATGGAGGTTGATGTAGCTAAATGTGGGCGTCGGAATTCGGAAACTAGACTACTAAGCAAGCTCGTATTATCTACTAAGCGAACTCTACTAAATTAATCAACGTGAAATTTAGCTTACTAACTTTGCTAGCTTATCTTTAATTCTCAAAGATAGTGCAACTATAGCTGTCCCTTCCTTTGGGGGCGAAGATCCCGGATGTCTTAGTTTGCATTATTAGCTCGATTCTTAAAGATATAAGCCTTCTAAGAGGCCTGATCCGATCTGCACTGTGAACGAGTACGATAACACGTCAACAGAATTGATTAATGAGCAGCTCTAGATAGTGCTAATGCATATTTGGAGTATGGATACCTCTCGCCCCTTCGCCCCCAAGGTTGGGAATAAATCCGTTTTTCGAGAGGATATAGAGTCTTTCAAGATGTTTACCGCACTAGTTTTTTATATCTGAAATCTAAGTTTCGATTCTCGATACTACCAGCACCTTTTAGACGATAAACTACTTATACTAGCGTGTCTCATAGTTCCTTTAGATTGTAGGTGCGCCATACAGCCTGTAGAAACATCTTCAGACTGTTCCCCTCCCTCTTGTACTCAATTCTGAAGGCATTCGTAACAAGCCAGTTTGTTTCTTTCATACTTTCGACATGCTTGTTTCGAGCATGATTGTGCCTCAATCGGCCACCGAGATTGCGGTGTTGGTAGTTGCAGGCACTGTTTTATATCATCTTGTAGCCTGTATCTACAGGCTTTACTTTAGCCCTCTAGCCGGATTTCCAGGAGAGAAAATTGCAGCAGCGACACATTGGTATACAAACTCCCCTCCATGCTTAGTTGAGCGATCTGACTTTCTCCTTGCGCATTAGGTACGAATTTTATCACGATGTAATCCGCCGTGGCCAATACACTTTCCATATCCGCGATATGCATAAAAAATATGGTCCCATTTTGCGCATTAGTCCATATGAATTACACATTACAGACCCGAGTTTCATTCACGAAATTTACGCAGTGAGCAACCGGCGACGAGATCGATGGGAATGGTCTACGAGGCCAGGAGGATTCAATGGTTCAGTTGGTGGAACGAATCCGCACGAGCTGCACCGCAAGAGACGGGCTGCATTGAATCCTTTCTTCTCCAAAGCGAGTATCAGGAAGCTTCAGCATGAGATTGATGAAAAGGCGATTCAGTTGGTGCAAAGGCTTCGAAATGAAAAGGAACGGGTTTTTAAAGTCAATCATGCTTATGCCGCGCTCACAAATGGTTAGAGAATGAATATGCGTTGTGTCGTTTTCCCCCCATTACTAACGATTTTTTTCTCTTGATAGATATCATCATGAGATATGCTTTTGCTCGAGAGGATAATCGCTCTGCGCATAAAGGTATGTGGTTTTTTGACACGTGAGATTCCTTCTATTAACGATCTAGATTTCGATCCCTCGTTCCATGATAATTTTGTTGCTGGTGTATCGTGCTTGAACCTTTTGCGTCATGTCTCCTGGCTAGATCGAGCGGCTAGGTCGCTGCCGATGAGTGTACTGAGTTTATTTTCTAGCGTCATTGCTCAGTTCTGGGAAGAGAAACAGGTTCGTCGTCCTAGGATAGATACAAGATCGCAGGCACTAATAACGTGGCAGGCTATCACCGAGGAGGTAAGGCAAATTCTCAATGGAACCAACAAGACCTACGAAGCACAACCTTACCGCACCATCTACCACGGAATCCTGAACAGTAAACTGCCAGAGGAAGAGAAGTCCCTCCAGCGACTGGCAGAAGAAGCCCAAATCACAGTCGGAGCTGGTACTCTCGCAACCGCCTGGGTCATGTCTGTTGGCATGTACCATCTATTGGCTCCCGGTTCGGTATCAATGCTTAATACATTGCGGAAGGAGCTCAAAGAGGCAATTCCTGACCCCAATGAGCCTTTAGATTGGAATAAATTGGAGAAATTACCCTTTCTCACTGGTGTGGTCAAGGAAAGCTTGCGTTTGGGCAATGGAACGACAACGAGATTGCAGCGTATTGCTCCAGATGAAACCTTGATCTACACAGATCCCAATACCGGCAAAGTTTGGGAGATTCCTCCCGGTACCCCTATCAGCCTTACCTCGCTACATATTCACCACGATGAAAAGATCTTCGCCGACCCCGAGTCCTTCCGGCCCGAGCGATGGATCGAGAACCCAGAACTGGAACAGTATCTCTTGACATTTTCCAAAGGCAGTCGGCAATGTGTCGGTATGCACTTGGCATATTGCGAGATGTATATTGTACTGGCACGAATTTTCCGGTCTTTCGGTAGAAAGGACGAAGATTCCGGGTGTGATAAGATTGGTAACCTGGAATTGTTCGAAACAGATGAACGAGATACGATTTGTGTAGCCGATTTGGTGGTTCCTACGGTATGGGAAGGGTCCCAAGGGATTAGAATGAAAGTTACGGATTAGCCCTAATTGTCTAAAATTGGGCAAACTTCAACGGACGGCGTTGGACCAATTAGAGCACGAGAATAGATCTAAATAGTGCGAGGCAAATATGAGTTCGATTAAAGAACAGAACTCACCACTGTAGCCGAATTCCATCAAGCCGGACTACTCGGATCCGCGTAGAATGAGTTTCATAGGATTGACAAGCTGATTCAATATAATACGAGCTGTTTTATCTCATGCTTTAGTCTTCTGCATGCTTACCAACGTTGGATTTTTAGTGCCACCTATTGGTTCCCTAAAGCATGCCTATCTCCTACTTTGGGGCCCTGGGGCGAAAGCCATGCATTACGTGGTGTGTCCTTTGAATCTAGAAGCTTGATTGATTAGATTTACAAGATCCTAGCTATCAGTGGATTTTTTAGATCTTGAATCCAAGCTAATGCAAGCTAAGATACAGGCAATCTTTCGCCCCCAAGGCCCGGGCCGAACGTCACTAATAGGGCAAATGGCCTCATAGATAGTAGGAAGGTCGATGGCTATAGGACTGATTGACTGGGTAGTACATGTTTGGAATTAAAATTCGTGTCACAAATGAATTGGCTGCCCGTGGCAAGAACAAACTAAGCCTATATTCTTACACTTACAGTAGCACTTCTATTCCTCAGTATTACTAGGCTTTCAGCTATGAGCATGGTTCCAGCGCTTGCTCTAAAATTTAGCGTCAATGTATCGAATTTCAGATTCGTACCTACACGCAAAAATTTAGTGCGGTAATAATGTCAAACGAGATTACAGTTGTACCTGATTAAGATTAGTAAGAGCAATTTCTATGAGATATTCTATAAGAAGGATTCTAGTAATATTTTCTAAAAGAACAAGCAATGGCACTAATATTCATGATTTCAACCCACTGCTGCTGAGCGTCAACAAGGGCATTGACGTACTAGATTGCTGCTGATTGTCTTCACTTTCTGTAAATCTAATCTGCATGTGTCTATTACTCTGAGAAGTATCTTTCGGCGAAAAGTATGGAACTTATCATAATTGGCGTTGTGATCTTGGTAGGAACTCATATATGCCTCATCGAAAATGTCGTCTGAAAGCTTACACCCGACAGATCGCTGCGTACCAGGTTGGGATCTGGATCTACAACGCTTGGTTCCATCCGCTGTCGGGATATCCAGGCCCCAAGCTTTGGGCCGCATCGTATATCCCTTCTGTGTATCACCGCATTCGGGGCAATTATATTCCCATACATGTCAAGTTTCATGAGCGCTACGGGGACGTGGTACGAGTGAGCCCCTCAGAGTTGTCTTACATCAATGCGCAAGCATGGAAAGACATCTCAGGACAAGGTCTTAATCGACCGGATATGGAGAAAGACAGACTCTCGTTTGGGAGACCCTTGCCGGGCATGCCCAGCATCTTCAATGCGAATCGAGTTGATCATGGCCGCATTCGCCGGACGATGGCTCATGCATTTTCAGCTGTTGCACTCCGAAAGCAAGAACCGTTGATACGGGACCATGTCAAGCTGCTCATCAAATGTCTAAGGGAACATCAGGGCGAGGTGGTTGATATGGTATCTTGGTTCAATTTTACCACCTTCGACATGTTTGGCGACCTCGCCTTTGGTGAGACCTTTGGTTGCCTGACCAACTCGACTTACCATCCGTGGGTGGGTATGCTCATTATGAGCATGAAAGCAGGCTACTTTATCATCCAGTCTCAAAAGTACCCCTTACTCGAGAAGATTCTGCTGTACATGATTCCGGCCTCTCTACGTCAGCGAAAGAAGGATCACCTCGCTTTGACTCAAGAAAGGGTCGCCAAACGAGTAGAGAAGCAGACTGACCGACCTGACTTCCTCAGCTTTATATTAAAGCATGAGGATAGTACTGGACTGACAAGGCCAGAGCTGGAGATCAACGCTAGCACACTCATTGTTGCTGGATCGGAGACCACGGCCACCCTATTGTCGGGATGCACGTACTACTTATTACGCAATCCTCGTGTGATGCAAAAGGTTATTGATGAAATCCGACAATCCTTCCAAACGGATGAAGAAATTGATATAACAGGTGTCAACAAGCTGAAATACATGCTAGCGGTGTTGGATGAGGCGTTGCGAATGTATCCTCCAGCACCAGGCAACTTTCACCGTGTTGTACCTGATGAGGGTGCCGTTGTCAGCGGCAAATTTGTACCAGGAGGGGTGAGTAATCTCTTTTTCATTCCTTGCTACTTAGGAATGTGTATTGACAATCCTCTTCAGTCAAAGATATCTGTCTGTCACTATGCAGCATATCGCTCACCGAGGAACTTCTATAAACCAGATTCATTTATCCCTGAGCGCTTCCTCGGCGAAGCCGGCTTTGAAAACGACCAGAAGGACGTGCTTCAACCATTTGGCATTGGGTCACGGGCCTGTTTAGGACGAAAGTCAGTAGTTGCAATTCATGTTGATTATTTCGATGCCTTGGCAAACTAACGCTATTGTTCAATCTAGTCTCGCATATTTCGAAATGCGGCTTATCTTGGCTCACGTCCTCTGGAATTTCGACTTGGAGCTTGCGACAGAAAGTACCGACTGGTCTCGTCAAAAGGTCTACGCTATTTGGGATAAGTCTCCGTTGTACGTAAAATTAAAGCCGAGGGAACAGATTTGAAGCTGGGTTACGGTTGAGCAAAAAAATCAGTAACTGCATGGAAGCTTTTTATTAGATAGATATCCAGATAATGGATAAAGCAAAGTAGAGCTACACCGAGAATATGTACCTAACTGAGAAAGACAACCATTTGTTGGTGACAAACGTAGCTGAATACTAATTACAAAAAGCTATTGTAATGATAGAGTCTCTTCATCATTCAATCCGTGGTAGCGTATTGTAGCCATTCGGGGTCCTTCTGTAAAAGGTCCATTTGATCCGAAAATAGATGGACCTGAACTTCGATACCCCCTGGATATCCATATTTAAACTTATCATCAGAATCATGTCCTCTCCTTCCGTAAGACGGAAGGATCAGCACCAAGGAAGGGGTTATCGACTCCGTCATGCGCCGCATTGCGCAAAAAGCTCCCAAACCGACATCCAGGTCCTTCATATCTGGATAGAAGTGCTCCCACGAATTGAACAAGACATCATAGCCCATGAGATTCATTGGTGGATACACTCCAGACTTCATTTGCCGTGAGATGAATTGGTTGGTTAGCAGCAAGTTGAGCTCGTTTGTGTCCTGTTGGAAAATCTTCTGGATCTCGTTGATCGGCACAGTGCGTTTCTCATCATTCAACAGGGCGGAAACAGGCAGACCTGTAAATACCCAGGTGGCAGAATTACCAAAAAAGTCGTTTGGCAGTGGAGGGTTCAGGCGTTGGCGCATATTAGTTACGAAAAATCCTTTGCTTTCAGTAGCTGCAAGATCGGTTTCTGGCGTCAATCGCGTCCGGACGATGCATCGCCACAATAACACCGCGATCGACTGGAAAGCTGTTGGGCGTTTTGATAATTCGCCTTGTAGGGAAGATCTCAGATCCTCGAGTTTTTGAGCGGATACCCAAAAGTTCTTTGCAACACGTGTCGTACTCTTCATGCTCGCAAGGGGTTTCATTCCTGCTGAAGCATTCTTAAATGCGACTTCCAATCTCTGTAGACCATCGGTCACGCCTTCAATGTTATCTTGGCAAAGTCGAGATTTATCATGGATAGCCTCTGGGTTTTCGCCAGATTGGAGATCTGCTGACAATCCATCTCGGGCTCTCTGCAGCCAATGCCGTATCAGGCCGGCAAAGCCACTGGCATCCGTAATCTGGTGAGCAACCTGGACCAAGAGAACAAATCCACCGTCAATGAAGGTAAGATGAATGACACAGTTCCGTGAACTATCCGGTGACTTGGTCAGATCAACCTCCACCTTGAAATCGGCAAGATTGATCGCCTCCACTGCAAATCTGCCATTGCGGTGCAAGCTATCAAATTTGATATCTGGTCTGTGCGCGACATTGAAGTGAATTGCAGATGATTCCTTCACCGCAATATGAGGCTCGCCTCCGTCTCCTGGTCGGACAACTTGGCCAAGTAATTGGGGGTAAGCCAAGATCCCAGGCTCAGGCTGACGAAGGAAGGATTTCAAGCTATCCTGTAAACGCGAAATGAGGCTCTGAGCCTCCTGAGAGTAAGGTGATAGTTGCTCGTCATCGGTGGAATAGATGAGCAGTTTGCTAGTGAATACCGGAGGAACTTGAAGATCGCATGAAGAAAGAGGATATTTACCCTCAAATGGAGTGTCCGGACGGATTAGATACGTTTTTGACTCCATTTTCATCAGCCCTGTCTGTCAGTATTGCATGCAATATTTCTGCCCAGGAAATGTAAGAAAATAGTGTATGTTTAATGGTAGTCTTCTCTTGGCAATCCTATATCTAATAACAATTTCGATCCTCTGACGAACACGGTAAGAATTTTGGATACATTCATTAGCGGTTTACCCGGGACACCCCATTCCAATAGATGGATACATACAGAGCCGAAACATGCAATTTTTTAGCGTCTTACTATTATCATACGGTGCTTGTTCTGCCACAAATTCTTTGTGTATCCCCCGGAGCGGCCCCTAAGTTAAACTCCAAGTGATGTCCTTGTGGGTAATCTAGTTCGGCAAGCGCCGGCCCCCAACTAGGCTCTTGCGTGTCGATTGGCTCAGTCGTACAGCCCGCTGAGGTATTTCTCCCAGGGGTTATCCACCCAAAGCTTTAGGGCTTTTAGGCTTCTTATCCGTAGGCTTACTTATCCACAGGCTTGCTTAGTAGTTATTTACCCACAAGCTTACTCACCAAAAGCTTACTCACTCAAAGCGATACTCCGTTGAGACCTTGCTCAAGCTAAAGCTTGCTTTTTTGTCGATTCAGTTGCTCAGGCGCTTGCTCTTAGCCTCTTATGATTGCGAATCTGCAAATCTAGCCAATGAAACACTTTGGATAGATAGCCATCTAATATACCGCGCCAAGGTCCAACCTAACTACTGGGGTTGATTTGAGGTGTGCACTCAATCTTTGCATTTCAGATGGGTCCATAATTCATATTATCCAGTAGCTAGACTTCTTGCTCCTTTGAGCTGAGTGTACGAGCTAGGAGCGCACAAAAATGGCTCGTCGGGAACGATCTGTGACAGTTCATGAATTAGGGCTTCTTGATTAGGGCTTGCGAGTTAGGGCTTGCCAACGCCAAGAGCAAGCTCTACGACTCGCACGTGGGTTAAGTCTTACTCTAACTACGACTACGTGAATACATAGCATCTATGCAGCATCTATCTTTCAGCAAGGCGCTAAGAATTCATAGGTGGGCGCTTGTTCTGTTTACGTGTTGCAAGCCCTCATTCCGATCAGTTGAGGGTCGCCCAGTGACTCACAACAGTCTAGATACTGTTTCAATATGGATACGACTTACGACTAAATGCCAATCGTATACACATCAAAATAAAAATTAGTGATAGTAAGATCTATACGACCGTTTGTGCTTGATCGGCGAGCAACTCGTCTTGTTCCGCACTTCCAGGTCCTAGGACGCTCGTAGCTTCAGCTTCGAGCTCGCTTCTACAATCGGGTTCCTCCTTATCCTCATCATCATCGTCACTAGACGCATCACTCGACGAGCCCTCGCTGCTTGTATAGTCCTCGTCTTCCTCCGCTTCTTCTCCTCCGCTTTCGCTCCCAGCTTCGTCCGGGTGATCCCTTAAATAAACTTCTTCCAGGACAAATTTCCCCTTATTCATTGATGGCGCTGACATATTGGCATCCGATGTTTTTGCATCTCGTAGCTGTCGATGGAGATCATCATTCAGTATATATATTGTAGGAAACTCAAGTACACTTCTTCCGCGAAGAACATCCCGTAACGTCGCCGAAGGCTGCAATGGGACTAGAACAATGTTGATGGTAGCAGCCCGATGGCGATGGAGGTAGAAGTAGATGTTGCGATGGGAATCTGTATTCATATTGATATCTTCAGAAGAGGGCCGTTGTTCGTCGGCAGGTATATTGTTGATTTCGCTTTTCGGAGCCGGGAAAACTCGATCGTAGGCTTCTTTTAACGGTATAGTCTCTAGACAAGGCCTGACTATTTTCTGACCGGTTGAAGGCACGATCCACTCCACGCTCCAATTTAGGCATTTATGTCTGTCTCCTGTTAGCCTAGTGTTCGATCGCTTTAGTGGCAAAGAAGACATACTTAGGATGAACCCTAGAATGATTCATCTTCCTCCTCGACAAACCCGCCGGAGCCCTCACAAGCTTGACACCCGCCTCCTCCGCCGCACGCACAAACCCCAGCTCCCCCTTCACCAACCTCGGCGCTTGTTTATCACCATTCGGCCCCCTCTTCCTCTTCTTGCTTGCATGGCTATTTTCGCTAGTCTTCTTCACCATATACTCATGCTCCAACTCGATTCCTCGATTCTCCGCATCGCGCTCAGCACGTTCGAGTCGGCGTTCGATCCCCGTGATGAAATTAAAGTCGCGATCGAATGAAGCCTCAGTTTCGAGTTGTGATCGCGTCAGGTAAGCGGCTGGGTCGCGGACGCCGGTGCATGATGACCAGGTCTTGTGTTTCCGGGTGCAGGGGAGAGAGCATGTGCGGACGGAGCAGCGTGGACAGCGGTATTTGGGGGTGTTGATGTGGCTGGAGTTCCGAATTAGAATAAAGAATCATTATAGATAATAAAAATAGGAGAATACCAGATGTTGCACAGTTGCGAGAGAAGGGATTCTTCGGACATGATGATATTGATGTGGTTGAAGTTGCGGAGTTGATGACATCGCGGACGGAAAAGCACGAGGTATTTTTCTTATCAGCCACTCTTATCGATAAGCAGCTGATAACGATACTGCGTTTATCAAGGAAGAAGACATCTCACTTACAGTGAGACTTCAGCTATGGGGGGGAAACAATGTCATCTGTATTGAATGAGAGGAATAGTCTACGGCTCGCTAATCTTCCTAGGAATGTCTACATATATGCTATGTTCATGCATAGCGATATCATTGATTGGTCCTATTACTGCACTGTAATACATATAGCGATAATCTGCGCATAGACTCTGGTAACAACAGACCGATCAATCAAGGTACGAAGTCCGGATCAGCATCTTGCAGGTCTGGACGAATGTATTCCCTGGCTCTTTCAAGTGCGAGCATTCTTCTTCCAGCGAGCAATCGATGTCGAGCTTGTTTCATATCAATTCTTGCCACCTGTGATAAGTCGTACTTCGTAAACTTTTTGCGTTGGTCTTTTGGTACCATATCGAGAATGGGAATGACTGGCTGTACAGGTTTCCTTGGTCTGGGAAGAATATCCTGTAATCGAGACAAAGTAAGCATATGGTAGACGGAGAAGAAGTGAATCAGGCTTACAAAACTTTCACCGCGTTGTTGAAGTGTCTCGTCTTTTAGTTCCCAGAATTCTAGTCTTGCAGATAAGGGTCCAATCCAATCATCGACGTCAATTTCGGTCTCAAGTTCTTTAATCAGGTCATCTGTTGCTGTGTCGGACAGTATACTGCTTGGGTCATCGTTCCCGTCGCCCCTATCGTTGGTAACCTCGCCATCAGTATCATCAATACTACCATCACGAGCTCGCGCCTGTTCATTACCGAATTGGTCTACCAATTTTCGGGCTCTATTCTGGAACGCTGTGGTGTGTTTTACATCTTGAAGGGCTTTTCTGTCCTCTTTGATGTCGACAATAACAACAAGATTGACATCTTCAATTTTCGTAAGCCAATCGAATGCATCACCGAGAAGATCTTCGTGTGTCTCCGTAAAACCGACCTCAAGTACAACAGTGAATTGGAACTTGATCCCACGGGGGCTTAGGAATGAGATCACTAGATCAGGAGTCTTCTTTCGAGCTGGAGTCTTTCTTCGAGCAAAATGATCAACACGAGAACTTGCAATGGGCAGCGAGCCCGTGCCGATATTGAGATTCTTGAGCACTTTGTTCGAACTGGATCCTTCAGACTGGAAATCCCGTAGATTCTTTTCCAAGACCCAGCAGAGAGCTTGATGGACAGGACTCCCCATAGGTATTATCTGGAGTCGGCAGTCGTTGGGAAAGTAAGCGTAGCGGAGAATCTGATTTCGTTCTTGTGCTAGGTCAAGGAACTCCTGGAACCGCGCGGTGGAGTAAAAGTTACTGGGTATCCCTAATTCAAAGTCCTCTGACAAGGTAGCAAGCTTCCATAGTATATGGTTTTCGGCGGCGTCTATCGATTTAGCGTAAAAGATATTGCGAGTGCGATGGACTTGGGACATTGTCTCCCCTTGATGAAGTGTATTGCATGCCTTTGAAATAGGTGATGAAGACATCTTGGAGGTTGTCGGTGCAGTTGAGTAGGAAGAGGAGGAACGCACTGGCGCGGATACAATATGGTGCTGGATGGGAAGGTGCTGGACAGGAAGGCGCCAGACGAAAAAGCTTTGAAAGACAGGTACTAGAGGAGAAGGTGCTGGATGGAAAACAGAAGAATAAAAGGAAAAGAAAATTTTAGATTAGACGTCGGGGACGTGTCATCGACCAAAGTTTCCAACGAAAGTTTGGTTCCTGTTGCCTAGCAGTCTTGTCGAAGGGGAAAACACTGCGACAGTCATGTTCAAGCTAAGAAGGTGTCCATAGGGAGGAAATGAGAGAAGATGAAGTTGAGAGGGTATATTTTTGAAAGTAAAGACGGTCGTCGCAGACGCCACATCACGAATAGTCTCTCACCAAATCTCCCAGGAAACACCAAATGACCTTTTCTGGAGAGACATATTTGATGAAATCCTAGACTGATGTGAACAGTTTATAGTCATGTCCAGGACTGGGTGTGAGCCGGATTGTTGCCTTGCGGTATGGTTGCTTGCGAAAATGGTGGCCAGTAGTTCAAACAGCGCTTCGACATGACGGGCATTTGAGCGAGATTGTGTGACTGAATCAGTCTAGGCGTCAGTATCCTTGACGTTGACTGCTAATAGGCGAGCAAAGATCGCCTCCCGCTCGGAGAGACGATTCGTTTCTTAGTAGTGATATGAATAGTGTGTGATAATTTGACGAAGTAGTGGACAAGAAGGGTAGTACTAGTCCACATCAATGCCCTGAACAAAGAGAGTGTGGGGAGTCATCACTTCATGGATCCGATGCCAGTCATTACACGTAGCGCTAGCACCATTGTCAGGAAAGACTGCGGTCGCGAAGGTGTCGAACTTGTTGAAGATAGGAATCCAGATCTACGACCCGTTAGTAATTGGCCCGTAGTCCATTCCTCCTTCCACTATCCAGCGGCAGTACTAACTTCGTCTAACTTCGCGGTGACAATATCGGACATAGTGTGCCAGGCGAACGATTCTCCGCCATACTTGGTTGCACAAAACTTCAGCACAAGACCACGCCATTGCTCATGGCGAAGGATCGCCATAAGACGCGCGATTTTCGGCATCTCGAATTGGAACTGGGTAGCTAGAAAAGTTTTCATCACCTCGGGTTTGGAGAGTGATTGTATGATGCTGAATTTGAGAAGGTCAGAGTAAGACCATGCAAGGATATCAGAAATATTACGTACCATAAGCTGTGCATCGTAAATCCAGATCAGATATAACGCCGCCAATTGTGGCGTACAGAGGACCACCTTCGTGCGAGCAATGACAAGTGATAATAGTGGCATGAATCGTGCTAATAAACATGATTGCTTTGCCTAGGAATAACCACAGAAATCCAGGCCATTGGCTCTAAGCATTGTCCATCCTCATCAGCCAGAATCATGGTACTCTCGGTCTTAGATGTAGCAAATTTCTTCTTAATGAGATCAGACACCACCAGTTGTGGAATGCAGAGGACCACCTTTTTGCGAGCAATCAGTATGACACGGATTGTCGCTAATGCTTTGCTGAAGAGCTCCTTGTCCTTGACCCATTTCTCGAAAGCGCTATCAGACTTCTTCGGTGCCTTTATGAAGTCAATGTTTTTCAAGCGATGGTAGACTGCAATGGCGTCATAAGTGAGGTCGGCTGGATTGTCTTCATCTGAGTCGGCGTTCGGGTCGACTTCGCGTTCATGGTCAGGCAGGTAAGTGAAGGGGAGGATCACCATCGGGTCGTATTCCCGTTCGACACTGAACGTTTGAAGTTGCCGTAGGCTCATGATAGCCTAAGTAGCGATTGAATAAGATCAACTCATGTTTTGTTGAGTACATAGTTCGGTCCTCATTAGGCAGTGTTCCTGGAGTTTGGTTAGCAGCCTTCTTCTCGATCAGGTAAGAACTTACATACGTGGACTGCCCAAATAGTCATGAGTGTTGGATATAGTAGAACAACGAACATGCTAGCAGAGACGGCTAGCTTAGTCTACTAATAGACATAGATCTTGTAGCCGTTTGATATGGAGAGTCCGTGGATGATGCAGGAATGCAGAGGACTACCTTCGTGCTAGCAATGACTGCGGCACGAATTGTGGCCAATGCTTTTGACGAAGAGCCCATTTTCCTCGACCTATGGCTCGAAAGCATCATCGGACTTCTTCGGTGCTTTTATGAAGTCTATGCTTTGCAAGCGATTGTATACAGGGACGCCTCATCCGTAAATCCCGATCCTTCGAGGTGGGCGTAATTAGTGAAGTCTTGTAAGATGTCCTAAAGCCAGTCGTAGGCCCAATAATCAAGTAAAAGCGAGTAGCTGCCCGACTGCAGTGAGGTGTAGTCGATTGTCACTTTTTGCAATACTTTTGATCTGGACCGAAATAGTTGTAATAGTAATTTAGAATCCTCATAGCCATATATCAGCACGGATAATCACACTTTATTGAGCTATTTGATTAGTATATCATATATCTCAGTCGATAGTTGAATATAGACGTACATTGCAGGAGAGTGGTTCGGTAAGATGCTCTTCGACCACAGCGTAAACCGCAGGCGGAATAGGTTGTTCAAGGAAGGTAAATTCTGCGCTCATCTAATATCATTCTGTTAGTTAGACTCTGCTCGAATGATAAAGCAGTCGAGGACATGGTTATCACTTACGTTGAGGGTCTTTTTCTTTTGACGGGGCGAAGTGGGTTTGACGATGTGTAAGTAGCGACTGTAGATAATGTTAGCCTGTCTTTTGCAGAGACGATTCGTACGTCAAATGCCTACCATTTTTAGCGCAGCGTTAATGTATTATGAGCCAGAAGGCGAAGGAAATTAATGAAAAGTCTCATAGTCTGAGGAGTAGGTTAAGAAAAGGAAGAAGATCATATCTTGAGCATGGTGGAAAAATGGACATGCTAGCAGAGACGACCAGCTTAGACCGAGGAAGAGGTTGAAGATGAGGATGTAAGAGAGAAAAGCAGAAGATGAAGAAGAGGGGGAAGGAAGGGGATTTTATACCCTTCTGGTCACACGTCTGCAGAGCTGGCTTTCCCCGAACAGATCACGTCACCTGTATTGCCCAGGGCGCAAATTCGTTTGTATCTGGGAAAATTTTCAAGTTGCACCAGAGGGCTATTACCGTCTAGCCTATCACAAGCTCTTATGTCAATCATGAGCATCTTTCAAACGGCGTCAGTGCCCGATTGAGCCTCCGGCTTGCTCCTTGGGGATATTCTATCTGCCTACGTATTGTTCTCTTTGTTCTCATTTCCCTGCTACCGGCCATTTACCCGAAAAGAGTACCGCATGAGAAGAGGAGGAGGAGGAGGAGGGGGAGGAGAAGACTCGCCACTGGGCAAAAGACACTCAGTCATCTGGTCAATGCTCATTGTTCGTAAGAAAGAATGACTTCGGCGACCTAAAGTGGGCTCCGCAGATTAGAATATTCATTTACCACAGGTAATTTGTTAGTACTGGGAACTCCATAGATAAAGGTATTTGATATCACCGTATTGATTAGAAATTAGTGGTCAGATTTCAGTTCACTGTGTTGTGCACGAAAAGATATGGTAGATGTGTTTCTAGCATGAAGCCAAATTAGGGCTACCGCAAACGAAGCCCTAAGCCATGTAACCTGGGCGCGCCACTCAGATCAGAATGAGACAGAATTTTAGTTGAGAAAGACTGTAAAATCAGAAAGGAGAATAGTAATTCATTGGGTAACTTCCACGAGATTATTTTGAGCTCTACGCACCTCGGCTTCTTCGTACCTCGAAACGATCACCGCCGCCTCGTTCCCACACTAACAATTCCTCTTGTTTTCATTCCAGAACCCGACGTTCAAGAGACACCTCCCACTCCATTGACTGTATCGCCATCGACGACGATAATTTACCCGGCCACTCCGCCCCCATTGCCACGAGAAATGCAACTCCAAATGCCGCGATCCCCACGCCCAACCACCATGTAGACCATCAAGATAAGCCTGTCACACACCGCGGAAAGCGCCTCTACCGTGCTCAGTTTCTTTTTTCTTTAGTTTACGAGTCTGACGGCTTAGCCGGGATGGCGGTTTGCTTCTGGTGGATCTTTAGTGGTGACTGGTATTTGTTCGGCAGCAGTGAAAGCGAAGGTGTTCAATGTGGCCATGAGGGCGAGAGAGCAGTAGTATGCTGAGTAGTCTTGTAAGCGTGATGTTTTGGCAGAATGTGTTCAAGGGTCTAACAGGTTCTGTCTATGATCATCCAGACCCTTAATGCTTTGACATGTTCTCGGGAGAGACATATGAGTGGAGGATATACCACTTCCACGACAGACGTGAAGTCTAGATCTGAATACTCGATCAGTAATGAACAGGTACGCATGGGTCCAACACCTACAGTTCTTGATAACATCCAGACTTCCCTTCGACCTCGTTGTCGTCTCCATCATCCATGGCAGGGCCAATGAATCACACACCACCGACAACTTCGGAACATACATCTCCTTTCCATCCTCCTCATCTCCACCGCCAGTAGCAGATTCCGACACGGCAAGCCTTGCCGCCAATTGGCGATGACCATTCAAACGCCGTTATCGATTATGCGTCCTACAAGCATTCTTCCCCTTCATGGCATGGCCAAGCGCCGAGCGGCGGGKCGATTTGTCAGTTTAAGTGCCATCGACGAATTTGAAATGTTTTATTCAGATGGGTTTTCATATCATTGGGCAGGAAAATATGCATCGGTAGTGCATGTAGGTGCGTTGTGATGCGATGTGTTGTGGTTACTATGTTTAGTTAGGCTTATCGATAAGCCGACCGATCGATAGATAGCATACTGCACATTCTACAATCCTAATTTATGATACTAACCAAAAATGCGATGCGATTACAGAGTTACAATGATAAAAAAGTTGGAAGAATTTCCTTATCAAAGATAATGTATGTCAACTAACTAATGCGATGCGATGCGATGCAATGCAAGCAAGCAAAGCTGTAAATGCTATCCTATGTATGTATGTAATGCCAACGCCCATCAGATATGCCACGCACAAAACAGGCTCAGAAAATAACAACAAGATGGTATCGTAGCGATATCGGGGTATTAAGAAATAGAATCAACAAATAAGTACATGAGGGGTATATCTCGAACAGAAGGAAGAAATGGTATCAGGCAGCAAAAAAAGCCGGAAAGAATAGACAAACTCCATCGCTGGTGGGATAATCAGATAAACAAAAAATGACGACATCGCAATTATGGAGGGGTAAAAAAAGGTTGTAGAGGGAAACACATGCCAGATACGGTAGGTAGGATAGGTAGCGATGGAGAGAGTGAGTCACTAGATGAGGAGCGGTGAGCAAGCAAGAGTGTTTGGCTTGAACGTGTGGTTGAGTTGTGAGAGGTGGTGGTGCTGTGTCGGAGGACGCTGCACCGAGTAGAGAGAAAAAGAGGTAGCCGCGGGTCGCGCTGTGTATTGACAATACGGTATTGTATTGTATGACTGTGGTAACGGCCCAACGGGAGGGTATTGTGCATTAGCCGTTGCCGACCAGGGTTAGGCGCAGGCCGCCGCCCCGATAACGATTACATTCATCATTCACCGATGAATGAATGGATGGTGTTAATTATGTCGATGTGAGAGTCGATAGAGTCGTAGTTGTAGAAGTAAATGGCAGAAGAAGCGAAATGAAGTCGAGTATCGGCGCCAGCGCAGGTACAGTAGTGTTGTAAACATGTGAATGTAAACAATCACATGCGGCTGGCCTTTGTCGATGATGATGACGACCGATGCTTCTTACTCGCGACAGGACGCTTCTTTTTGTTGCGTTTCGCGTTTTCACGCTCGGCCGCAGCTAACTGCGCGACTTTGAATGCTTGTTGAGCGCGCGCATGTGCATGTACATGTGCCAGGAACCGTGCTCTTCGCTCGTCCTCCTCGGCTGCTGCTCGCATCATTTGGATTTGTTCTTCGGTGGTGAGGTCGTCAGCACCTGAAGGAAGATAGACTGGGTCGGAGGCAGCTGATTCTTCATCTATGGCGCTTTCGGAAGGAGGTGTGATGGGCAAGTCTGTAGGGAAGAGGTCTTCATCGGAGAGGTAAGAGCTGGCGGTAGATTCTTCTGACTCTGGGCTGAGCAGAGACGGTCTGTTGGGCCAGGAGGGAAAGGCACATGCTGAGCTCATTCCCATGGCGCTGGAGAAGGACGATTTGCGAGGTGTGATATCAAGTAAACCGTCGTTGGGAGTTGGTGGAGGAGGTGGAGGAGGCAGTGATGATGGTGAGGGCGAGGAGGATGTGCTCCCGCTGTAGCTGTAACTGAACCTCATGATGGATGGTATGGGTTGTGTGTTTGTGTGTTGGTATGTTTGTGACGTGGAGGAAAAAAAGTGAAGTCGAGTGGAATAGGCGCGAATATATACAACCGTGTAATCACAGGATTGTATGGGCCCAAAATGGATACGGGGAAGTTCCCGGCAGATTGGGGGGTGGGGGACCGACTTAACCGCTTCTGGTAGAAAAAAGGCGTGTTTCCGAGGTTGACCCAGAAATCGTGACAGTTCGGAACAGCGTCGGAACCAGTCTCAGTAGGCGTGTTTGGATATGGATGAGTAAGAATATGAATGAAGATCACAAAGAAAGAAGCAAGAGAGCGCGAGGATAAATAGAGATAGACGATAAAGAGCGGTGACAATCAAACGGCCCCTGCAGCGCAACGAGGATGCAACAATAATAGATAATAGGGCGAGGCTTGCAGCAGCGTAGCCCCGTGGAGCGGTCCGATGTGACGGTCAGGCTGACCGTGACTTGGGTGGGGGTGTATTAGCGTATAAGCGGATGTATTAAGGATGGATAATTAGTAGCCGATGGAAAATCAGAAATTAGCCAGAAAAGAATAATTCTCTGCTAACAGCGCTTGCCGTGGTTCTAGTCGGGTCTTTTTGCTTTACTCCGTAGTCGAATTCGTGACGAGGCGCTCAGCCCTGCTCCGGCGGCCCAACACAGTAGTTCAATAGGCGGCGGGAATAGCCAATCTGGCCACGGAAGTTGTCTTCTGCGATTTCGTTTGTTGTTCTGACACTCTGACTCACTCGGAAAAGTCTTTCGGGTGGCCAGCGATCAGGTATTTATCAACAAACCCCAGGATCGCAGAAATCCAGTCTGGGGGTGCACAGACGGGCCACAAGCAAGGTTGGAATGACTGGATGTGTTGATAATTCCTGCTTCCGGTGGTGCTGCAATGGAGGATATGCAAGCAGATTCCCCGATAGACTTTGCGTATCGATAGCCGCCGCAAGGGATGAGATGGGAGGCGGTGAATCTTGCGGTATGTATGGAGGATGCACGTAAGCCAAACACCTCACACGGCAGGATGCACACTCTCTTTCCCCGGCCGATCGATCAATTACTGACAGTCAGTGCGGTGAAGAGGCAAGACTGAAGTATGCAATCAGAATGTCAAGTGTCAAGTCGAGTTTGAAATGTGTCTGATGCAGTATTTATCTTGATTGCGCTGCGGTCGTTCGATTGTGACAGCACGTCGGCTCTAGACCACACAAAGGAGCTTGGGACGCTCTTTGTCTTAGACTGTCTCTTTGACACCGACTTCTTTGATGTGAATTCGATAGATTTGATTAAATTCGACCAAATCCAATCAATCAGAAATCAGAGTCTGGCAATTAAAAACAAAACGAACAAATGCGACCGACAGACACTAAACCGGCACGGCCCGTACTCCAATTTGTATGAACTGACAGATCGATTTCGAACGCGATGATGACTCCCTCCTACTTATATGACATTTCACATTCAATTTCAATAAAAGCAATGCGTGCCCAACACATCCACATATCCAACACGATGGATCCAGCATCCTACGATCCAGGGGAAGCGGGAAGCGGGCCGTCACCATGCTGTCGGGGTGATACTATCGCGAACTAAGTCGCACCAAAAGTTGCTATAGTGGATATCTCATTTCGCAGACACTAGCTATCCTAGACTTCCTATGCCGGCAGTCGCGACAAAGCCGCTACGTTTACTTGCCGGAAGAGGAAAATATCGCAACGGTGACGGACGGGATACCCCAGTCGATCCTTTGACGGTTATTAATAACTGCCCCTGTCCAAGTATTCTACCCACGAACGTAGTACGTAGCTCTTTGGATTTGCATTGATTCAAAGAATGAACTCGTTTCAAGCTGACTTTGCTGAGTGAGATATTAACCAGAGCTGCTAGCTCGGCCGTTGAGCGGGTGTTTCCACTGTTACGAGTACTTTACTACCCAAAGATCCACATTACCGCGTACCTGGTGCTTGTAAGCTCCGTAGCTGCTGGCAACGAAGGCTGGTTTCAAGATTAAGGAGAACTCTTTTCTTCATTGACACAAATATTGATTGTAGCTTACTACCCCATTGGTACATTACTATATACACTTTCAGCGCGAATGACCCGTCCCAACACTCCCAACCTGCCGGATTCATAGCTACGCATTCTCTATACATCAGAAAAGCATAAAAACAAGCGGAATCGGTTCCGTTTGTTTTTAGTTTTCACACCATAATGGACGTGAAATGAGAAAAGGTCCTTTTTATGAGACCAGGCAGGCCCAGCCCCGTAGGTGTACCTGGTCTAGCGCTAGTGGTGAAATCCCGGGGAAGCTACCGGCGCTCTTCCGCGGGTCCTCTAAGCCCAAAACAGAAATGGTATTTCCACTCCCTTGGGTTGAGACTTATCCGGATTCCCATCGCTGTGGACGAGATTGACCCAAACTCAGGGGGGTTTCCGGCGTATGTGGTTGGGTACAGACCGATCGAAAGAGGATTTGTGCTTGCTCCCTTGCGGACGGGGTAGCCGGGGATCTGGAAATGATGCTGTTGATCAATCACAATTTCAAGACATGCGCTTCCCCGGTTACCAGCCTACCAGAGACTATGTTACCGGTACCTACGTAGTAGAACTAGTTAAGTTCATGGCTGATGCTTGAATTTGGACAGAAAAAAGTAGGCCGAGGTACGCGACTTTATTTCAATTTTCGCATGTTGTTGACAAACAACGCCCCTTTCACGTTCCGGGTATCATTACTAGTGTGGTGGTAACCGCGGTGTTGGAGCATACTATTCCAGAGCATCCCTTCCGACAGCTGTTTCTCGCAACTGACTCAAATCTCCGGCCAGAATCCAGCTGCTGAATCGTAGATCAAGATACTGCACATGTCGATATACATCTCCTTGCGTCGCCTATGGATTGTACTATGTATGATGAAGAATGAATACACCGCTCCCACTGCGTCATCACTGGGCGCTGGCATGGACTCATCCGATTACCGTGCATGAAAATGCCTTGTGGCTGCTCCTGCGACTGCGGGCTTGCTTCCGGGGGCTTGGTGGCTGAGCGCCACGGGATTAGGCCGTCGACCTTCTCGATTGGGCAAGTACCTAACGGATTGCGCGGAAATCCCGAGGTACACTACCTACACTATGTACATTCGTACATCCACTGACTGCCACCGACATTTCGACTATCGCCTCCGTAACGCTTGCAGCATCGCAAAAAGGGGTGCGAAATATTTCTCAATTTTAATCTATCACTATTCAGCTTTGATCGCCATTGCTAAATGGTTGGTACGAATCGACCATGTATCAGTCCATCGGACACCTCACCGCGGGTAGACGGCGAACCACAAAATCTAGACTTTCTGAAGCTTCTACTTGCCTAGGGCGGCGGGCTTGCTAGGGCTTATCCATAGCCGTGTCGAGCAACTCTCGCCGTTCTCTAGTCCAGAAACGGAACCCCAAGAATAACGCTTAGGCGCGCCAATCATGATTTGAGAAATTAGCTCTGTTCGTGTCGGATGGTGAAATTCGGACAGTCCGCCGGTGGGTACCCTTGTGCCATTTGTTGGGCGTCTGACTGGTGGAATAAAAATTAAGGACTCCCTAGACTATGGATAAATTGTAATTTGTTAGTGCTACCGCGGCAGAAGAGGAAAATACCCCAATTGAATTTATCCTTTAGTGTACCGCGAAAACTACCGATTTTTGTACGGCGGATTGCCGGCACACTAAGCAGTAAGACTAGAGACACGTTCTAGAAGGATCGTGGAAGCGATTAATACGAACTGTGGTAGAATCCTAGCCGCTAATGAAATTGCACACCACTATGTAACATGGTTACTACGTGGATAATCGCCGACAGAACGAATTGTTTCAACGTCCGTTCGCTCTGTGCAAAATCGAAACGGGGTTTGGAGATTTGGCCCGGACAGAGCAGCGCGGAGACTCCAGGTTTGATACACGTGGTCCGCACGGCGGTTTCTGTCCACTCGTATACTACGGTGGTTGTCAATCTTCAGCCCCCAAGCAACATTCAGCGGTTGCATATCGTAAACGCAGAGGATACGCCACGCCGTTTGTATCGAACTACATATCCCTTATACCGAATATCCATGACAATAGGCAAAGGAAGGAATGCTTGCAGTGGCGCTGGCCGCTGAGGTATGAGGCTTCACGAACTCATCCGCCGTGTTGATAGCGATCTTCGGCACCCGCGATGAACGCTATGTTTCGTATTCATTTAGTACCATCATATCATATAGGATGGATATGAGGCGTAGATCGTACTTGTGTTCGCACTCATGCGGAGGTATGACCATCCCGTTGGCTGACCTATGATTACTCCTCCTACATTCTTCGACGCAGTCATCCAATACATCCAACACATTAGCTAAGACATTGCGGTGAAGCAATCACGTACAATTCATGCAATCTTGCAAATTCAGCATACAACCAACGCTAGGCATACGAAGCTGTCTGAGTAAGACCGCAAATCGACCCCTGATAATAAATTGGGATTAATTGAAGCACGTTCTAGAAGGCCTGTTCCGCCATCTAATTATCCTTCAAGCATACTAATAGTACATAGTAAATAAGATAATGCACCGGCTAATCCTAATCAGTCAATTTTCAGCGACAAGTCCAATCAGATCGACACTTCCGCTGTTCCCCGACCGTATTTAGCAGATGCGACCAATCACTATGGTGTATCCGGGCGGATGTCGTCGATCATACCCGCATAACAAATGTATCCGCGATAGGCCTTATCAATTGGTTGATCCGGATTCCTTTGCTGTGTACGCATCACCTTGTGAAGCTCAGCGAGTCAGAGTCGGGATATCGTTGCTCTGTATGGAGGATCAGTCAGATCGCTTTCTATGATTGTCACTGTCACATCTCTGGAGTAAAAGTCGACAGATACGGAGAAGATAGTCATTTACCCCGCCTCCAATAGTCTGTTCTCATTCACAAAATCCGAGGAAATAGGTCCTTTGGCA